AAAAGAATCGCATTTCGTTGTTGTCGCAAATGAAGATGAAAGATACTCTAGACCAACTGCCTAGCAACTGCAACGCCGGAGGAGGAAAACACATTCACATGATCGGACCAGCTCCTACAAAAACTCGAAGACAAAGTAGATGTAGATGCAGTGACAAGCAGTGTTCGCGGATGTTGAAAATAAATATAAATTTTCATTTTGATCGTAGTACTACTTCTAGCTTTTTTAGTACGTACCGGAATCACGGTCTCCACCCCCGTTTTTTCGTTTCTCGTCATTTTCCGCATGTTCAACATTTTTCCCGCCCCCGCTACCACCGCATGATCCGCCTTCCTCGAAACGATCCTTTCCGCGTGGACTTTTTTGATTTCGTTTTTCCAGTTCAGATAGATCAGCTGCCCGGAGGCACGCCGCAGCAGCTGGTTCCTGGCAACATCAATTGGAAGGACGTCCCCCGTCTGCAGGTCGACAATCGAAATTTTCGTCTCCAGCGTCTCGGTATCGATGACTTCCTCGATTACGTCCGCGTCGCGAATGGAAATCTCCGCGGACAGCGGTCGAAAAACGAGGTTGTCGAGCTGGGAAGCGAGCCTTTCTTCGTCCTGAATACTCCCGGGTTGAAACTCAAAAGCGTGGCGCAGGAGGTTGTTCTTTGTCGGTTTCGAATTGGACAAAATTGTGCTGCTAGAAATTTGTTTGTCGTCAGACTGCTTGCTTTGGCTTTCCCGCTGGAACAAATCTGGCATGACCACTTTCACCGTGGTTCTCCGGCCCTCTTCGTCCCGTTCTTCGAGAATGTCCTCGATTTTCGCGGCTAAAGTCTTCTGTTCATGTTCCGCCCTCACCTCGGTGTCTGTACTGTAACCGTCGTCGTGAAGATCTTGATCTTCACGACCTGCTTCTTCGTTGACACCTGAGGCGGAGGACGATAATTTCTCTTGCTCCTTCGGTCCTCTGACGTTCACGAACATATCACTAGACTTTGCGAAAACTTTCAAACTGCAGCCGACATTCAACGGGCGAGAAACCGCTCCACCAGCGCCAACGGCAAACGCACAAAATTTATCGCGTTTCGTGCTCCTTCGGTTTTTTTTGTCAGCATTATTTTCCAGCAGTTTCCTTCCGCCAAGGACGATCTGCGCAATGTCCGTGTTCTCGTCGTCCCCTACCGTTTCTTTGTCCATCATGAAGACGCAAGACAGCAGACTGCTCCCACTCACGCCGCTGTTCCACAGCTGCTTGCGCTGTTTCCGCAGCATCCTTGCCCCGTCCGTTACGTCCCCGATCGGCCAGAAGAGACCGGTTGCTTTGTGGATCAGAAGCAAAGCCGAATTGGACGAAACGAGGAGGAAATCCTGTTGCTTCTGCAGCTTCTCCTCCGGGGAGGCGAAGACCGCGTCGGTGGTCGTTAAAAGCTGCTCCGGAATCGCGACCTGCTCGGTGAATCGACCTTGGTCTTCTAGATCTATTTGATCGACGTTGTCGTCCCCGTCTAGCGCGAGCATCTGCTCCCAGGTAAGCAGTTCCGGAGCTTGCAAATCCAGCTCCAGCCGATTGCCGACCGGAAGCTCACTGTCCTCGCAGTTCGGTCCGGCGGATTGTGATTGATTGTTTTTTGTTCCACCGTCCAGAAGTCTCGCTCTGTCGCTTGCCGTTTCATCAAACTCAAAAACGGTCTGAAAAACCCTCTCCGCTTCGAGCTCCTCAAGGCGGTACACCTTGCTGTTCCCCCCGACTTTAAAAGGGGTGTCCAGGGGCAGCCCGCGCTCCAAGTGCCACTTCGCCACTTGGCGGATCGAAAACGGCCCGCGCCATCTGTTCCCGAATTTGAACCGCAGCTGGAGAGACCAGATTATCGCCGGCCGCCACTTGGGAGGTTGCCGGCTGCGGTGATGAGGTTGACGCTCGCCCTCGTCCTTTAATTGATGTTCGTCTCCTATAGAAGTAGAACTTTGATCGACTTCGCTGCTTGTGCCGCTAGTACTAGCGCTTGTCTCCGTCGCGCTCGCATCATCCAGGCCACCAATCTTAGGCGTGCTGGCATCGTCACCATCATGAGACGCTTGCTTCCATCTGGTCTCCAAGAAAAACGGGCTCCATCGTCTCACCGCCAACTGGGCACTGCTCCTGGCGTTGTTGCCCACATGGTCTTCAACATCGCTTAAGAACCCGACCGCCCAATTGTTGTCTACCTGGCACAACTGGAAGACCAAGTTGCTTCTCGGGTGTTTTGCGAGGAAAACTCGTCTCGAGTTTTGTGGATTGTTTGCACTTGTTCCGCTCTTGTCCTCTTCCACTATCATCACGTCCCCGCGTCGGGACCCCACCTCCGCGGTCCAAACGCCAGTCAGGGACAGAAATTTCGCAAACTTCTGATCCGCCAAAGATTCCTGTTTCTTTTCTGGAAAGAGCAGCAACTGGGGCGGCATCTTGTACAGAAAGTTTTTCTGCAGGTACTTCTGGGGCGAATAGGTTTTCTTGATTTCCAAACCGTATTTCTTCTGAACATCTTCAAAATCCGTCATCATCCGAGAGGTGAAATCGACCGTATTTAGCGATGGAGAGGCTCTACTTGTGCGGGCCGGGGGTTGAAATCGCGTTGCCCGAGCTGGCTGACCTTCGTTGCCCTCGCTTTCATCCGGGGCCGCGAAGCTCACGTGAACGGTGCGGGTCGAGCCAAGTTCCCGCTGTCCATCAGGATAATGATCTTCACCAGGAAGAACATCACCATTCACATTCTCGATATCGGCTTCATCATCGTCCTCATTATCGTCTACATCTTCTCGAGCCAGATCCTCCCAGATGCGTAGCGGCACGTTGGTACTATGGACACTAGGCGTGGTCGCAGCTTCGCCAAACCCGATATCCACGCTTGTTCCAAGCAGCTGTTGCAGCGCCGCGTGTCTCCTTCCGGGACTTCCACTTCCGCTCCGGGTCGCAATCGGCATGCTCCAGGGGGTCGCTTTTGGGTTGAACACGGTCTGCTTCCGCGTGTATACGAAATTTTCGGTCGTGCTCGTCTTGTTCGTGCGCGACGAAAACGAATTTCGTCCGTCCGCGGAGTTGTAGCCGCGAGTAGAGCTACCAGGTGGAACGATTAGCAAAAATACCTTGTCCCACTGCGGCCACACGTCGCGGATGCAGTAGTCTCCGCTAGACAAATGCCCGAGTCGAATCATGGAGCGGGAGTGCAGCTGGCTCTCTGTCCCGGTACCCTCCTCGTACTTCGCCCGCATCTCGCTGAGCGTGAAGGGCCCGCGCTCCTCCTCGTCCTTGTCATCGTTCCAGCGGTAGAACCAATTCTGCTGGATCAACTTCACGAGGTTTTCCAACTTGTCATCCGTGACAAGTGTAACCGTATTTGAAGTTCTTGTTCCACCCGGTCGTGCTCCTGTCGTCGGGGAGAAAGATGAGGAAGAGGATGATGATGCTGTAGTGCCTCTGCCCGTGGATGAGGATCTTGCAGTGTTGTAGTCCGCTTGTGTTTTTACATGAACCTCCAATAGCGGTAACTTCAGGCCCGGGGGTGCCGGCCTACCTGAAGAACTTCTGGCCGCCCTGGTCGTTGCTGGAGGACCCGTTCGGCCGTCATTCTCCTGCTCTCCGCCGGCGAGAAAATTTTCAACTTCGGCGTCGAAGTCATCCTGATCCTCTGGCCCGACATTATCCACCAGCGGTGGACGACCATCTGTCTCCTCATCAACGACCGCAGAAGCAGTTCCACGACCCCCTACTCTCCTGATAACTTGTTCCGGTTGCCAGTAGTGCTTCGCGGGGAAATAGGGTCCATGCGCAAAGGGCGAGATCGGAGTGGTGTGGGGGAGCCTCGCCTTTTTCAACCAGTGCGAAAGCTCTTTGCTGGTGCACGGCCCATAGTAAAGCCCGTCCGGAGCCAGGTAATACCAAGTTTTGCGCTCCTCGGGAGCGACTGCACCAGCAGAAAGAACAGGGGACGACATCTTTTGAATAAGTTTCTAATGATATGATCTTCTACTTGATGATGATGATTTAGTGGTCGTACTGTTACTTAATGTACTCATGAGGACACCGAGCCCACGGCCACAAGCGACGGAGCATACTAGTACGACAGACACAGACGTCGTAGCTAGACCAGCGTTAGTACCGTGACTCTGACTGCTACCACGGTCTAGAATACATCCACCTTAAGCCTCGAGCCTGTGGAAATCCTACTACTATTTTCGGCCCAAAATGGGCAAAAACTACTGCATATTTTGTCAATTCATCGATTGAAATTTTTGTTTTTGAAGGAACAAGAAGCCACAATCCATTCACTGCAAACGACCCGTCGCCACTATCAACCTCAACCATGTACTTGTTACGAAGTACATGAGACGAAGACCCACGACACGACAATTGGGAAACACGACGTCAACGACCCCAGACTACTTTCTTAAATCAAAGAACAAGCAATACGAACAAGATATACGTAAAAGTATGTACTTGATCAAAAACGAATTTAAAAACAATGACGGTGCTGGCACGAAAAAATCCACGACTGCGAGCGACTGGATAGAAAACATGCTTATGCACCCCACCACGACCATTACCACAAAATTCGAAATATTGAGACGAAATTGTTCGATCAAAAGTCCATAGAGCACATGCATGCAGCGTCTTGCACAATGTATAATTTCGAGTTAGTTCTACTTTCTTTGTTCGACTCGACAATGACATCGACGACCCGGGGCACATACATTTGATTTCTGATCAAAGACGAAAAAGCACGTACGATGAAAATGATTTGTATTTGAGTTGCGTCGAAATCAAGGATCACCCTGTCAACTTCGACACCAAAAAGACTTGCAGTCACCTGATGCAGTTTTCGTTTTTACCGAGAGCGAGACCTCCGAGAGGAATTCCATGTACGAACCTCGTCTCCATAGATATCGTTTATCAGTTCCAGCACCTTTGCTTCGGCGTGGTCACTCACCAGATGAACACAAAGGCAACAACAGGCGCAATATGTTGACAAAGAATTTCGCAATCTATTCGGCAAGTGCAGTGCCGTCAACACGATTAGATAGTGTTCCATCCATGAAGATAATGATACTTAACGTGAAAAAAAAATTGTTTACAGTTGCAGTGGTCTGATTCGTAGATTTTCCGTCGTGGAAGGTCAGAATCAAAATGAATTGCGTCTTTCTCCTCCTTGCTGGCAAATAAGGTCGCAGCGGACGCCGGCGGCCAGCAAAACCTACGCCACGCCCACGGCTTCTAATGCGAAAACATGATAACAAGAATCTCCGTACAACACTGTATGATCAAGATCATCATGTTGAAAGTCCAGTTTACAAAAGAAACTTAAACCCTCGCGATGAGTACACTGAAATACAAATATATCTAAAGCTTAATCTATCTTTTTCGTTCCTAGTCGTCGTCTTCCTCCATCGTGTTTTCTCCCGACGGCTGCTCCTCCATCACCAAATGGTGCTGCATTCCCAGCTTCTTATTTCTCGCCGGAGGGTCCGGCACGAACACCACTTCCTCCTGTTCGTCCATGATGACCTGGTGCTGTATTGCCAGCCCTTGGTTTTTCTTGGTCCTTGATGGTGCAGCTTCTGCTTCCGTCGTCATTGCTGAACCATCCTCATACTGCTCCGTCTCGCGGTACTTACTGTCCATGGAACTGTCCAAAGTTACTCCTGTAGTTGCACCTCCAGGTGAAGAAGGTGATGCAGCACCCATGTAATTGTAGCTGTTGACACTCTGCTGACCTCCACTTTGCGAATTTCTTTTTGGAGACCCAATCTCGATCGGGATCGAAGAGGCGGCCCCGGTGAGACCAAGTGTCTCCAGTGTTTGTCGCACGTTTTTGTCCATCTCCTCCTGCAGCTCCGCCGTGCTCATTGTGCCTTTCTTTTTCGCCTTTTTCAGTGCGTGCGACTCCCGCCGGAGCGCCTCCTCGCTGTCCTCGTAGCCGGGCTGGAACCGGGAACGGAGACCGGATTTCACAGCACCAGGCTTGTTTTTGTCGTCCTTCTTCTTCTTTTTGTCACCGTGGTGACCATCTTTCCGGGTCGTACAACATCGAATGTAGATGCACACGGCGATCGAACAAGCCACAACGCCACCCAACAGGAGACCGATGTACAAACCCAAGCCTGAAACCGGCAAGTCTTGTTCGCCCTGCGCTTCTTTGTGGATGTCGTTCTGGCTGCTGGTGCTATCGGAAGTTGTCGCAGGCTGCGCCGCTATCAAACGAAAAAACCAGAAACTACGAAAGACGAACGACCCCGACCCCGTCCCTGAGAAAACTTAATATAACTTTGTTTTCCTTGTTGAAACATCAGACTTATGTTTTCGAAACAACTGCTCTTTGTCTTCTCGTGACGAATCATGCATCTGTTTCTCCACAAGAACGCCGAGATATCGCGTTTGGGCAAAAAATCACGACATTTCATCCACCGCCTTCCATTCACTGAAAGGCGATGAAGTGTTGTCGTGCACGTGATTTTCTTGCCCACACTAAATCAAAGAAGAGAGGTAGCACCAGCGAAAGCGACTCAAATTGCTGTTTCATCCGGAAGACCTTTCTCATCACTGTGAGTGTGAAGTCGAAGATCACAATAAAGATAAAGATATCATTATGATGCTTAACATGTACTCCCTGGTCGTGCACGAGCGTGTTATACACCACTTCTATCGTGGTCACCGTTCCAACATGACATGATCGGGCCCAACGAGGCCCTCGTGGCTGTGGGTCGACAAGTTCGTCGTAAGGAGCAGTTTTTTATTCTGTTTGATAGCGACAGCGCCATGAAGTAGAAGTCCCTGTCCTTGTCCTCCATCACTCAAGCCGCCCTCTTGAACGCCCTCGGCAGGAAAAGCTCCTTGTACCTTGTCGCCGTCGCCCCGGCCACTCGTGAAAACTACCGTGCCAGTTTCGGGCGGAGCATGCATATTAATACCGGTAGGTGGGCCGCCGCTCCAAATTCCGCCCCCGTCGTCGGGAAGAAATAGGGAATCCGCCAGAGAAACGAGCTTCGCGGTGAACGGGTTGTTTGCGCTTCCCCCGCCCAACAAGGTCACTGCAGCAGGATAGGACTGGGGGGGCTGCTGGTGGTGCCGTACTGGCGTCGTAATAGACGTAGGCAACATCTTATCACTACGAGATGAAGTTCTTGATGATGCGGCACCACCGGAAGTGTCTGGCGATTCCTCCTGCTCGTCGTCGTCGTGTTTATCCTTTTTCATTGAAATGGGAGTTTTTTGTACCGGGTTCCCATTCTCCTTCGCGGCCGCCACCGCAGGTGCCTCCATGATTTTATTTCGAAATTTAAATGCGGCTTCAGAAGTTGTGTCATCTTGAAGACCAGCGTGGTCAGCTGGTGCATCCAGGATATTATTTCGAGGTGTTTGCAGCAGCTCTTCGTCTTCCCCCGATGTTGTTGATGATGATGAAGGAGACGAAAAATCCTCTACATTCAGATCGTGGGTTGAATGCTCTAGCTCCTGGCTGCCGTCTAGCGCGTCATAATAACCGTCTTCGTGGTGTTGAGGACCTGCTCCACTGTGAAGATGTTCTTCTTTTTGTGCACTACTCGCTTGCAGTTCTAGTTCTGCCAGTCCCTTCAGGTCGGCCAGAATTTTGCTCGGCCAGGTTTGTGCCAAGGCTGTTTGCTGCTCCCGCGAGAGTTGGTCTTCCAAAAACCAGCTGGAAAAATCGCTCCCGGAAGAAGTTGCTTTAGTCCCGTCCCGTGACGTCGCCGTGGGCCACTGGTGCGCATTCGCTTCGAAGAAGTCGTAGCAACAGCGGTCGATGCAATACGCACGGCTTTCCAGATATGGATGTGTCACGTTTGAAATCGTCAAAGTTGAAATAGTTTGCCATGCATAAAACGGATACCAGTTAGGCCTACAGTTTGTAGTCGGTGCATGACAAATTTTTCCGGTCCTGGAAGCGAGTCTGTCATGCGGTTTAGGGCAAAAGAGCTGCCTTCTGTCATGCTAGTTAGCAGTCCAACTTTTGACCCTTACCAGGGCTATAATCTGCCTCCCGTGGGTCCTCTGCAATGGAGTCACTTTTTGTGTCGCATTTTATGCATTACAAATTATTTCAACTTTGACGATTTCAAACCTGACGCTTCCATACCAGAACGCCGTCTTGAAGCGTCAGTTCGCACACGACATTTTCCCGGTCCGGGCGCACGAGGACAAAAGCGCGGTGCCCGCAGTGCTTCGCGCAGAGGACTTTTCTGGTGGAGGTAGGTGCTTTATTAGTACTGAAGCCGGTAGAGGACTTTTCAGCAGGAACAAGAGAACCTCCTCCTGAAGCAGGTGATTCTTCTTGTTCACGCTCTTTGCCGGCTTCTTTCGGAGGTGGACCATCTTGTTCCCACGATCCTGCTCCTCCCGAGTTTTGATTGTCATGAGGTAAATGATCATCTTTGGGGGCCATAACGACCAGACGCCCGAGCTCATCATCATCATTGTTCAACAACAACGAGGACGACGAGGACCTGTTGTCTACAACTTTTTGCACAACTTCCTTGTTGCCTTCTTCGTGGAGCTGCAGCAGGTCCTGCTCACCGGAAGATGATGTGCTGCGAGATGTGGTGCTACTAGATGCTGTTGGATTTCTTCCACCAGTCCCAGTGCTTGTGGCAGCAGGTTTTGCTCCTCCTGAGAATCTTCCTGAATGTTGGCGCGCTAGTACCACATCCACAGCTTCACCTTTATATTTATTTGCTGTTGCTGGTACAGCTATGGACGTTGTAGCTGAGGCCGCCAGGCTCGAGCTTGTCCGTCGTGCACCTGCTCTTCCACCGTCACCGTGGTCGTGTCGACTCGTGTCTGGGACCTTCTTCTTGGCCAAAAAACTAGAAGTCCTAGTTCTACCGAAGGTCGGTGCCGTAGACGTAGTTCGACGGGACAAATCTTCGGAATGTTCTTTTTGGAGCAACAAGCCTCTTGCTCTGCTTCTACGTAAGAACGGCCTGGATGCTGGAGATGGTGAAGACTCGGAAAAAACTGGTGACGTCGTGGTTAATGTCGAGGTGCTTCTCGTAGTCCCGACGAGAACAAACAGCAAGACCACCAACAACAAGTTTTTGATTTCCATCATCTTCTTGCAGCGAACGTTAATAAAATTATTGCCGATGAAAACTATGATACCTGTTTTGTCCCCTTACGCCCGGACGAGCAGAGGGCAAGAATGAAGCGAGGCAAGAACGGCATTCGCCCTCGGGGACGAGAATAACTTATGTTTCCCCATTTTGCAGCGCGAGCGCGGGAGCCCGCGGGGTAGATGAAGATGCTCAAATTAATACAAGAGTGGTCGTCCTTGTGCAACTTGCCAAACAAGTTCTTTTTGTTTTCAATTTTGTTGTCACCACCGTGGGGGAAAAATAAGCGGGGGGGGACTGACTGTATCTCAACACAGAAATCAAAACGAATGCCTCAAGTTCACGAAGAGAATCAATGTGCAGTCGGCGAACGACTGTAACCGGAGAAGAACGACGTCGCATTTATGAAACGTGAAGCGAAGGTAGATGTTGACGAGGAGAATCTGTACAATTCTTGCCGCCTGCTTCAAGCAGCAACAGCGGTTGTACGAAGCTAGAGACGTGAGTACATGCACGATTGGGACGAGGAGTACAACGAGATGCACGACGGGAAGGAGTAGATGCTACTGAACTACGATCATCGTCGATCGCAGCGTCAGCGATGCTTCAATCTATTTGCTATTCCTCCACCTAGGACGATTATTACCGCAGCTACAGGAACGACGAAGCAAGAGGAACCGCAGGAACAACATAGCGAAAAGTAAAACTCTAATCTTCCCGGAGGATGTCAAAGTCCTTCTTCGTCCACCTATGCATATACCAACACGAAGTAGATGAGTGGCCCAACACACCGCATCAGTTTCTTGTGGGCTTAAGTTATAGCAGCGAAATTGAAACTATAACTAACTTCGTTGGAATCAAAATATGAATTTATACATCCGGGCTACGCGCGTTCTTTTGGGGTGTTCAGGATCAGGGTGCTGCAAATACTTAGTTGCTTTCATTTCACATGTTCTGCATGAGGTGCGATTATGATCAGGCACGACATGCGGTTAAGCGGTTGTGGCCTACATGTTGTCGCTTGCGAAACCATAAAACAAGAAGCTGCTCAAGGGGATGAAAAACTATAGAGCTACAGGGGCTGTTCTGGGAAACACGAGGCACAGGTAAGAACTTTACTAGGATTAGGACTTATGTTGATATATTTTTAGGGGCGGTGAAGAATTTGTAGGTTTCGTTACAACATTTTCGTATTCCTAGACCTAGTCCTCATCATGGGTACCTACTGCATTAAGTCGCAACATTTGTGTTCGTCGTTCTGTAGAAAAATGGAGTGCTTGCAAAAATTGTTTGTGATCTGAAAGGCGAGTGATTTTTTTTGTTGATCGATAAAAAGCCGATGAAAATAAATGCATACTTGAAAAAAAAAAATGAGGCAAAATCTCGAAGATGACACGGAAGCGTCGAACAACCCGGTCAATAAGAATAAGCTGTTCAACATCAGCATCCGCCCTCGTTCTCGTCCGCGGGCTCGTTCTTGTGCTCTTCGCCTGGATTGGCGGGAGGGGGAGTTTTATCATTCGCTCCTCCCGGTAATTCTTGTTTTTGTTTTTCCGCCTCCCCCTCCCCCGCCTGTTCCTCGGACACCGCCACCATCGGACTCCCTTACGTGGAGAAGACGGACCAGCAACTGCCCGGCCCAAACTAGTACTGCTGACAGCCAGCCGGATCCGTGTGAAAAAGACGCGTCCGTGTACAACATGATGTTGTCGTCAGCAGGGTTCTCAAACTGCGCCCGCTTCCTGATCGACGAGGCCAACACCAGCGTGATGTTGTGGAGGCATTGCTTGACCTTGTCGGACAACCCGCCCCTGTGACATGCTGGCAAGTGAATATATTGTGCCAGGGGCTTCAGCAAGGGGTTGCAACGACGATCAACCAAGGACGACAAGCAGAACATGACTTTGCCACGCAATGACTCTGCAACATCTTTTTGTAATTTAGCCCGTCGGTCCTGTCTTCCGTCTGGAGAAAAAAGTTGTTCATCCGCTCTTGGTATGAAGTTTCAATTGTTTCCCCGTTCATCACGTAGGACCTGCTTGGCGCGAGCGAGTCCGCCGACGTCGAGAGCACCTCATAAAATTTTGAGGTAGCAATCCGCTCCCAATCGGTGTGGTTCGAGTACTCCGGTACCGCCTTGATGTGGTCTTCAATAAATAAGACCAACTTGTGCGCGTCGGCGAAGTTGTCGAACACGGGCGGCGTCTTTCCTCCGACTGCGAGGTACCGCAAAAGTGTTGATGGTTTCATTGGGCGGGTTGCTACTACTTTTGTTGAATCTGCAATCTGCACTTGATTCTTATACGTGTAGCGGACTGCTGTATTCGCGGACTGCTGTATTCGCGCCAAGCCTGCCATCTTGATAAAACTAGGGCGGGATCTTCTTGGAGAAGATCGAATGGGTGGGAAAATCAAAATGTGGAGAAAAAATGTTTCTCCTCGTCCTCAATGTCTGTGCCCTTGCTCATTTTGCTCGTCACTCTCTCAATCGATTGCAAAATTGCATCGCTGTTCTACGTGATTAGTGATTTTACAATCTCTCTCGGTCGTAAACTCGAATTGCATGAGCTGACCCTTGTCCTGCGCGGATTCACTCAAAATGTGAGTGTCGGGAAGAATCTGAAGTCGCTCGTGAAAGCAACAACGCGTGTCGCTCGTGAAAGCAACAAACACTCCTTGCGCGCGCAACAACAGGTCGCTCATGACCGACCTGTTTGGCGAACCTCACCAACAGGTCTCGGACTGCCGCAAATGTGTGACTGAACACAGCGGAAAAAGGTCGCCAACAGGTCGGAGACTGAACTCGACTATAGCTCAGAGGGAGGCGTCGCTACTCGCCTTCATCGGTGAAATAGACGAAAAAATCAAAATGTGGAGAAAAAATGTTTCTCCTCGTCCTCAATGTCTGTGCCCTTGCTCATTTTGCTCGTCACTCTCTCAATCGATTGTAAAATTGCATCGCTGTTCTACGTGATTAGTGATTTTTCCGCCTCCCCCTCCCCCTCCTGTTCCTCGGACACCGCCACCATCACCGCCGCGCCACCGTTCCCGTCGGTACTCGTGGGGAGGGCCAACGTCATCGCATTGACCGGAGCAGCGCTCGTCCCGTACACCAGGGCTGACGCTTCGGACTGGAAACCGCAGGTTTTTTTCCCATCTTCCACTTCCGACAGGGCGCATAATTTTCCACCCGAGGCAAGAAGGGAAGCTCCAGCTTCGTCCTCGTTTTTCGCGCGTTCGCACAGCTGCGTGAGTTTCTGCAGGTCGGAAGAGGAAGATGATTGTCCTTCGATTGTTCAGAAGCTCCTTCCGCTTGTCCATCGGCTCCTTCCGTCAGCGCTTCCAGGTCCGAGCCCGTCACCGTACAGTAGAGAGCGCCCCGAGCGACTTCCAGCTTCAGGTCCGTGAAAAAGCAGTGACCAGTTGTCCGCGAGCTGTCAACATGTGGAAGTTCAAGTTCCCCCGCCACGGCGTCGACATCGTCTTCCCTCCAGGTGCATCTGCCCCCATTTTTCTCAATGTACTCCGGCGTACTCACGCAGTCGGCCTCCTCCGTGATCACGCCGCACAGCTTCTCCCCGGTATCCGCTGTTTCGTCCATCGCGTAATTGCATTTTGGCCCGGCGAAGTTCGCCGCGTCCCAGTAGCAAACGCCGGTCTTCGGCTTGAACGCAGGATTGTTGTCCTCGTTCCTGCACTTCTCTTCCGTGTCCAGATTGGTGCAGAACTGATCTGGAGTCTTCGCCAGCACCTCCCAAATTTTCGCGTTCACCTGCCCCGGCTTCTTCAGGCCGCACTCACCCTCGACGTTGTTCTCAGCCGCGTTTGGTGATGCAGCTGGTGTAGCGGTCCACTCGCAGGTCGTCCTCGCTTTCATTCACGATTGCTGCAGCTCCCCCACTTCGTTACTCTCGTCAACGCAAGTTTCCCTTGTCTTCCACTGCTGGCAGTACTCCACCGGAGTTCTGGCAATTATACCAGACTTTTGGTCGACGTTGTTCTTGTCTGGCAGTGGGACGTGGTCATTCTTGTGGCCCTGGTCAAGAACGTCGTTGCCGAGCGTGTCAAGGTCACCGGAGTGAACATTGCGGTGGACCTCGATCTTGACCTTGTCGTCGTCGCCGACGGAGGGATGCAGTGGTGCTTCATCTTTTTCAGGCTTCTCCTGCGTCGGCGGCGCCCTGGTGATAATAGGCACTTCAGGCTTCGGCGATATGGTTGTAACCACGCCGTCGGGGTAGCGGCAGACTTCGTTATCGTTGTACCAGATGCACATGATTGTGTGGCTTGGCGCTGAGCCAATCCCCTCGACTGTCGTTTCGCGGCAGTTTTCTTTTGCCTTATGAGAGTACACAGCTCCCCCCATCTTCATTTTTTGCAGGACAGGAACACCAAAAATAGAAGAGTTGGCAGGAGTGCAGGTCTTACATGGCAAGCACGCATAGGATTGCAGTACTGCTTTTCGCTGTCAGAACTACCTGTCACGCAATGTATTACTATTGCGGGCCCACTAGCAATAGGCAGTACAGCTACAGGGCGGAGGCGTACATGCGAAGTTGGTGTTCATTGGAGTAGTTCGTACCGGTAACATAAACAAAATATTCATATTGACATTCCTGATTTGCATTTCATGCCAAAAGAAGGAGGGGGTCACGACGAGTTCTGTAATGTCATATTCCTCGATGACGTTGCACAACTGGTCCGGCGGCGAAGATGTCCCAGGGGACTCGTCTTGGACAAAAGTGCAATGCTCTTTCAGCCCTCCGCTCAACCCAAACGGTGTTGTGTGGAAAACACACTTTCCGCCGAACTGAAACTGCTCGGCGATCGGGATCGCGTTGGTGCACGAAACCGAATCCGCACTTCCCATGTCGCACCTCTTCTGCGGATCCTCCGTTGTCGGCGGCGCACTGGTGGTACTAGGCGCTCCAGGCTGCGGCGATATGGTAACCACGCCGTCGTGGTAGCAAACTTCGTTGTACTTGTACCAGAAGCACTTGAATTCTTGCTGCCTCATGGGGCTCATCACGACGGTTGTATTGTGGCAGTTTTCTTCTTCGTTATGAGAGTGCACAACTGCTGCTCCCCCTCATCTTCATCTTTTGCAGAGTGCGAAGACTAGCGATACCAAAAAAGAAAAGAAGTAGATCAAGCGTGGTCGGCAACTAGAACTACAAGAGTGCAGGTCTTACAGGAAGTAGAACATTTAACAAGGCCACACAGGGGGACTGCACTACAAGTACTGCTTTCGCTGCCAGAAGACCCTGTCACGCAGACGCAACCGGTGTCACTTATGGGCGCAAAGAGCAGACGAGTCGACGCGGACGACACGGAGTAAGTTAGTGTTAAAAGTTCTTGGCAACATTCAAGTTGTAGCTGAATGACAATGACAAGTCATGACAAGAGGGAGAGGGGGTGTAGGTGTTGTTCTGCACTCTCATATTCCTCAATCACGTTGCACAACTGATCCGATCGCGAAGCCCCACCTTGTTTCACAAAAGTGCAATGTTCTTGGAATCCTCCGCTTGAAGACCCGAACGGGGTTGTGTGGAAAACACACGCTCCGCCAAGCACTTCCCCAAAACTGGGCTGGATCGCGTCCTTGCACGAACTCGGGTTCGCTCTTCCCATGTCGCAAATTTCCTGTGGATCCACCACGTCTTCGTCTTCTCCACCGCCTGGGCTTGGTGTGGTGGCCAGCACGACTTCAGACACCGCGTCCATCACATCCAGGATCGTCTGGGAGGGGGCGTACTGAAAGTTGCATGGTGGCATTCCTCCCGCAAATAAGACTGCATTCCAAATGCACTTCGCGCGTCCTTCGGCGGCCGCTTCAGTGTCTGGGTCCAGGTCACCGCGAGGAATCACCGCACTTTCGCAGCTGGCTTGGTCGGAAACCCGGCTGGCGTCCGCACAGTAGGTTTGGCCCTTCTCGTAAATTTGCTGAATGTAAAGGGCTTGTACAGGCGTGGAGTCGGACACGGGCAAAGAGTGTTGCGCACGAATCTGGGCCGCCAAATCGTTCAGCGAATTGATGAGAAATGCAGGAGCAGTGTAGTCGAAGTTGCAAGTCGGAACTTGATCGTGATCTGCATCCTGAAGAAGATCCCACCGGCAATTGGCGCGCCCCTCGTCAACGGCGTGGTCGGAATCGTTACCGAGCACATCCGCCGGAATTTGGGCGGAATTACAAGCCGTGGCATCTCCCTGGTCGAAGCCGGCGCAGTAGGCCTGGCCGTTCTGCTCAATGTCGAGGATGTCCGAAAGCAAACCAAAATGTAGATATTCGGGCGAAGGCATGTCGTCGACTTTTTGTGTTCTTCCAGCCTTGTCGTGCACGGTGTTCTTTGATACCATCGACGCAATCTTTTCTGTTTGTGTTTGTGTTTTTATCATTTTCCGCCGCTGCTGCAAGAACGTTTTCTCCGTCCTGGAACTTCTCATCTGCACCCCTGAAGTTGTTTTTGCCGTAGTAGAACTGGCGAAGAGGTGTTGTTCTTTCAATTGCCCTCGAAGCAGGGCCGCGGAAACGAACGGAAAAAACGAGTGGTAATTGTCGTGGTTGTAGTCCTCCCCTGGCATCGGTAACAAGGAGGACAATTCGTAGGCTGTTACGGACAATCGCAGCATCCCCTTCCTCGTCAGGGATGAACCGGGCAGCAGCGACGTGCTGTCGCTGCGGCGAACCGCCTGCGACTCACTCATTCTTCTACTTCTTCGGTTTTTTGGTGATAGAGTAAAGATTTGTGAAGATTAAGATGTTGAGATGAAACTCAAACTCTTTCGTGGTCAAACCAACGAAAGAACAAGAGTGGTATGCAATACGGTTATTTTTACTGCGGTTCTTCAGGATGAACGGTGACTGAGTGTTGTCGTGGAGGTCTTCCACCAACGAAAATCAGTATCCTGGAGCGGGTTTTCGTGAAGGAAACGGAGATCGATGTGCTTGTTGTGGTTGTTCATGTTCTAAGTACTTCTAAATTTAACACGAGTCCGAGTGTAATGCTCAGTCACAGAAGAAATTTTTTTTTAAAAATCTTCTACCCTGTAATGACGAAAAAGCAAAACGAGCTTGTAGAAGAAGTGGCGCCAACATCACCGTAGAAGAAGATGAACGTGGTCTACGTCAGTACAGCTACAGCAGTGCTTGTGCACGATGAAAGCCAGAATCAAACTTCATCGATGCTGGAAGACATCGTGGAGTCGTTGTTTTTGGACGAGGACGACGGGACGACACGAACGTGATGAACGACAAGGAGTTATGGCAATGCAACAAACTTGTTCTACAGCACAACTTTTTACACCTTGCGACCTGTTCAAGACGATGTTGTTCCGATTCCGTGTAAAAAGTGCATTGACGAAGCGCCACCTCTGTTGTAGCGAAGAACGACATGGTAGCGCATCGGCTTGAATACAATGCAAACGAATGATTTAGATTTACGAACAAAGCTGATTCTGCTGCTGCTGCTGCTTCTGCATCGCTGACACAACAGCAACCACAACGGATGTTAATGTTGCAGAAAATATTCGAAGATGTTGCTAAAGCTCATCATACAGGTGACTTATGTTCTCCTCGTGAAGCAGCTACACCGACATCCTCTGTAGTCTACCCACGGATCCAGGGGACCATCAATATCATGCTGGGCATGCTAACGTGACGCCGACTCGGCTACGGCTCTCGTTCCTGCTCATGATCTCAACTGAAATTCATCAGATACCGATGAAAGACGGTGATAGTACAAGGAGCACACTATCTATCCCTCTCAGCAAGTCTCTAACTTCTCTATTTTCTGTTTCAGTTTCATCATGACATGGGTATCAACAGGGCCGTCTCTTCGTCGTCGTTTTCGTGTGTCGCCCGGCCTTCCTGTTCCAATCTGCTTCTCTGTCGGGTGTCGCAACAGAAGCAGCCACAGGACATGCACAACGCCCGACAGCTGCAGTTCACGGTGTACCGAAAGTGGTGGATCGCGAAAGCCAAGAGGAAATACCCGATGACCAGCGACATCTGCACAAGGAGAATCCACGAGATCGTCCAGGAATTCACCTCCAGATTGTACCTGGACCGCAGCAAGTCCTGCGTTCCTTGGATCAAAACGAAGGGCTTCCCGCCGTTGAAACTGGTTTCGTCCAGCCCGACAAACAGGTCCGCCGGCACGTCGGAATTCTGCACTTCGCGGCAGGAGATGAAGTGCTTCCGATAGTCAGGTCCGATTTCCTCCGGTTTCAGGGGGAGGTAGTAGCAGAACTGAGGAAACCGGGCTTGCGTTTCCTCGACCGGATTCAGTTCCAGTAAATCGAAGTCCTTCCAGGCCCACACCAGGAGGAATTTCGAGGCCCAATTATACACCGAGATATCCTGCAGCCACCGAATCCAGGGCGGGATACTCAACCCCGGAGCGAATGCGGGCATCAGAGCGTAGACGGGAAAAATCACCACGGCGACAATGAAGCCGACCAACCTCGGATCCGTCGTCAAGTATGCATTGACAGATTTGCACCGCCGAGGATGTTGAAGTTGAAGTTGATGCACAAATCTTTGTAAATCCAAATCCAAAATTGTAAATTATGACAACACCGACGATCATTTGACTTTTGCCGGTGGTGGTTTTGGATGCAAAGCAATTACAGGTACAGGTACAACTTAGTTCAACGCTGCAACTACATGATCTTTTGCCGCGCATACCAGCGTTCCGAGAAACATGCCGAAGGACTGGGCCGCGATCTGGTTCATCGCAAGAATTGCCAGCAACGTGAAAAACTTTCGGACCACAACGTGCGCCAGCGGCGGTTGCGATGCGGCGTCAACTGCTACAAACTCCTCGAACGAGTAGGAAGTTCGGTTCTCCGTTAAGTCGTGGGGAAAGAAGCCGATCGTGAAAAACACAACCAAAGAGTAGTACAGTCGAACAACAGTGTTCCGGTCCTCCGGGCGACAAACCACGCGGACAACCGATACAGTTTTTTCACGCCGTACTCCCGCTCCACCTGCCCGGTGAGCAGAATCACGGCGTAGATGTAGCGGTAGGTCTCCTGAATCATGGGCAAAGACAAAAACAGGTTCAGCCCGGCCTGGCGCGCCCCCTGCGAGTCCGGGAGCGTGCCCACCCGCCAGTAGATCACCGACATAATGAGCAAAAGAATGGACGTCCCGATGATCCAGATCCGCATTTCGATCGGGTTCCGCCACCGGTCCATGAAATTTCGGCTGTACAAGGCGGAAAACTCCGTGCACCAACTCGCGCGCGGGTACTTCTCCAGTGGTTCGAACTTCGACGCAGTACTTCTTGTCGTGCTAGCAGCTTCAGATGAATAAGTTGACGTGCCCACAGCGGCCGCAATCGTTTGTTCTTGGTGTGAGCGCACTCCTGAAGTTGTGGCAGAAGTTGTACTTCCTCTACTAGCCGTGCCAGTTAGCCTACTTTTCATATTCTGCTCATTCTCTACTCTGGTGCTGGCCGCACGAGTATCATTGTAAGCGAGGATCTTTTCGACACACTTCTCATTGCTGATCGTGTCCAGAATGAATTCGGGTGCACTGTATCCGACTTTGCACTTCTTGACCAGAACCCCGAGCGCCTGCTCCAAGCTGGCCACGGCCTCGCTGCCCTTCCCGGAGTACACTACCCGGCCTCGCGCCAGAAACATAACATCCGTGAACCAGCTGTAGAGCAAGCACGAAGGCTGGTGTACCGTGAAGATAATCGTGGTTTTTTTCCTTCTTTGGAACGGCGATGAAGCAGAAGAGTTTACGTTCGCGTTCTGCGTCTGCTCGTCGCTCGTGTAGTTATAATTTTTTGGTGTAGTAGTTCCCGTCTGAAACTTCCGACGCTGATCTTTGTTGGCGAGGATTCTTGTTTTCCGCATCTTCATCGCCTCCTGTTCTTCCATTTCCAGAAACCACTTGGCGTCCAAACTCTTGCCCATACTAGTCGCCCGCCGGTTGCGCAGCTGATAGGAATTTCGGTGATCATGATACTGCATATCGCGCGGCGCGGGAGCTGCACCAGCTGCAGCACTGGCGTCTATCTGCACGCCTGCAGCAGTTGCAGTGTCAGACTCATTCTGTACATCGCTTATTATGTCGGCTTCTGCGCCATCTGCTCGAAAGGAAAAATGTGACTCGTGAAAGAGCCTCTCGTCCTCGTAGTTATCACGGCCTATCTCAGGATCATTTGCCTCGTCTTCCCCAAAACCTAAAAAATCATCTCCCGCAGCTGCATAGAAGCCCTGCTCTCCTGAAGCTGCCCATGATCCTTGCAGATTGTCCTCTGGCAAGGAGCCGTGTTCGTAGATGTTTGTCGTCACGTCTTTCACGTGGCACGGATCAAACAAAACCGACATGACTTCCCGTGCCATGGTACTGTCCAGCATGGAGGTTGGTTCATCGAGGAACAGAATATCCGGCTCGTGTAACAACTCCTCCGCAATGGAAACCCGCTTCTTCTCCCCGCCGGAAAGCGACAGCACGCGGGTGTTTCTCCTGTGGTTTAGTTTTAACCGCTCCATCACGTAGAGCACGCGGCTTTCCTTCTCCTCGTCCGGAACATCGTGCAAGCAAAGTTTCGCGTGGAACATCAAATGCTCACACACGGTCAAACTACTCGAAAACACGTCCAACTGCTCCACAATTCCCATACGCCGAACGTTCTTCGACATCGCGTGCAACTCAACCGGCGTCCAATCCTCAAACGTGTCAATCCCGCCGAGTTTGAAGGCAGACGAACGCCGCTTGGAGGTCTGTTTGCGGCTAGAAGATGACCGGGAGGCCGAAATTCTACTACTGGTGGAGGTGTCGTCGTGGTCATTGTCTGTGACTTTGTGCTTACCCTCGACTATCTCCTCTCCCGTCCTGCTTGGGTGCTGCACTGCGCTGGCCGGCGTCGAAGCGCTGGACGGGGACGAGACCCGGATCTCTCCCGACGCATCCACATTGTTCAACTTTTTGAACAGACCGGAGAGAATCGAGATCAAGGTGGTTTTCCCGCTTCCACTTGGGCCCATAATCGCCAGCGTCTCCCCCGCCCGCACCTGGCCGGAGGCATTTTTCAGGCAAAAATGCGGCTCCGTGTCGTGTCGTGGCCCTTTCAGGGAGACGGTCAGGTTGCGCCACTCTAGGGTGGCCATAATATTAATGGTCTAGAAAAAATGGTCGTAGCAACTAGAGCGAGGAGCTCCGCGGAGGAAGGTAGCTGACTGAGCTACATGCTCAATGTGAATATAAATATTCGTTGTTGGATAAGAAGAGCAGCCCTTCCTTGAAGAAAAGTATAAGTAACTTTTTTAAACTCTACATTTCTAAGTAACACTATAAGGGACAAATCATATGGCTACGAAGTTGTTTTGTTTGTTTGTTTGTTCTCATGCGGGAAGGTGGGACCGCGTTTACACACCTTTTTTCTCTAGCGCTATTTCAAGAAAAATCTCTGCTTCGAAAGCCTGTGAAAAAAGACAACAACTAAAACCACTTTTCCTACAACCATTGAAAAAAGACAAATAACTCTTTCTCTGACTATTTCTGCTTGCTATTGAGCGATTAGATTTACACTGCTTTTGCTCGAAAATGGAGGATCAAGATTGCTACGATGCTTTGATCGTTTGCTTCTGCTGTACTTCTGAACTGGAAAGTCTTAAAGTCTAAAGCTTCGAGTGACAACTACAAGTGTTGTCGCTGGGGAAATAGTGAAGTTTGAAAGTTAAGAGTTTGTATACAAAGTTTCTGCCTGGGTTTGAACTACTACAAGTTTTTCCGAAAGTTTCTGATGTGTCGATTTTAAAGTCGTGCTCTGATTACAAGTTCTTCTTACAGTTACGTTTAAATTTATTCTTTCCCACTCCACGCGCCACATCACGTCACTCCACCACCCCTTGTCTCCGCGTCTCTTCGGTCGTTTTCGATCAGCGCTGGTTGGTGCCACCGGCGGGCATGCGAAGACCCTCCACGGGCAACTACCGGGGACGAGTCAGCTCTGGGCCCACATACCTGTGGGTTGTATGTGAGCGGGGGCAGGCCGGGCAGAGGAAATCAACATGCAGGAGCTCGCTAGTATCATCGTATCATCCCTAAACCAACACCAACATGATGATGGGAGTCGGAACGCATAACAGAGTACCTGAAGGGTGCATCCCTCCCCGCCCGCAGGGGAAAGATGCAACCCGATCCCGTGTGTATTGCATGCGTGGGCTTCCCCTGTCGGGATTGTAGATGGGGGGCGCTGGCAAGTCTGGATTGGTGTGCGCGTCATGTGTGGAGTAGGGCTTGTGGACCGGAGCGTCTTGTTGTTATCAACGGGAACGGGATGTGCAGCAGGGCGTGGCACGCGGGGCAGCGGTCGTGGGTGGGGAAACCTGCGTTGTAGCGGCAGGGGAGGAGCAGAAGCGGGGCCACATGATCATATTGAAACTTTGAACCACTACGACAGCATGGCGGAAAATGTAGCGGAACGCATAACAGAGTACCTGAAGGGTGCGCCCCCTTCAATGCCTCCGAGAAGGAGGGCGCAGCCCTGCTCCGAAATTTCGCGCTTGGTGTAGGAGCGTAGTATCCGGCTCGTTCTCCGTCGGCATCCGCTAGTACTCGAAATCACCACCGCAGCAGACGTTTAGGCGTTTCTGCAGGGTGGGTCACTGACTATTTTACTTGCAGCGCCAGCGGGTCGGTGGTGGTCGGAAGTTGTCTTGTGTTTTGCTGCTGCTGTGTGCTACGCCTCCGCGCAGTCTGACCGGCCTCCTGCCCAGCAGAGGTGCCGCACCGCCGGGAACGGGCCCACGAGGGGCGTGAGGAGTTCGTTGGCCTGCGTTAGCGCGCGGGCTGTGCCGCTCCATTTCTTTTTGCACTCTTCTAAACCTTGCACCCCCGAGGCTTCGAAGAATGGGCGGGTCACGGGGCAGGATTGGACGAAGTGCGCTGTTGTTGCGCACGGTGCCCCGCACAGGGCGCACGGCATGTCTTCCCCCGATGCCTCCGCGGCCAGCAGGCCGAAGCGGAGTGCGTAGTACAGTGCTTGGCCGGTTCGCTCCACTCCGTCCGCGGTGAGGTCCTGGCCCCACCCCCCTGTTGCTGCCAGGGTGGTCGCGGTTTTGCTTCGGGTTTCTGCTTGGTGTTGCCTGTCCTCCAGGTCTTGGCGCAGTGCGTTCCGCACCACTCTCTTGGCCTCGGTTTTGAACTGGCGGTGCGTGATTGGTTCCCCTTCTTCTTGCAGGTCTGGCTCGTTGGCGTACCCTGCAAGGTGGTCGGCCACCACGTTCCCCGCAATTCCTGTGTGGCCCGGCACGTATCGGACTACCAGTTTCCTGCAGGACGCGAGCGCGTCGCGTGTCGCGGTGTAGAGCTCCGTGTCCAGGTCGTCCCGCAGCCGCGGGTTGAGCAGTGCGCGCACATTGGACTGGCTGTCGGTGCAGATGGTGGCGCACTCTGTTCGCAGTGCTTTGGTTGCCACCCCCCGAAGGGCTGCGATCAGCGCCATGCGCTCGGTCTCAAACGAGTCCGTATGCACTCCCACTGGCCAGGCCGCCCCTCCTTGGATGCCGAAGCCATGGACGAAGACTCCGGCCGCCCCTTGGAACTCTCGCACTGAGCCGTCACAATAGAACACCAGGTCCGAGGATTGGAGTGTGTCCACCAGCGATGGCACCCCCTCGTTCTGCCAGACGGCGCGAAACCGGCCCTGTTCCTCCGCCTCGTGGAGGAGGCTGGCGCCGACGCCCGGCAGGGCCCCGGTTTCGGGTAGGACTGTGGCCGCCGCCGCGTTTGAAGCCTCGATGACCCCCAGCGCCGTCGTCAGCCAATCCGCTTCGGTGCTTTCCGCGATTTGCCTAAGCCCATCCGCCTGGGGCCGGGCGAACGCTCTCGCTGCCAGTGCTACGGCCTCGACTTTGTACAGTGCCTCCAGCGGCAAAAGCCCCGCGGTCATCAGCGCGCAGCTGCGGTTGACCCGCCGGAACTTGGGAAACCCGAGGATCTCCGTCGCCCCCTCCAGCTGCACGCTGTTGAGCGCCGCCTTTTCCTTCGCGCCGAGGCCGTGCCAATATGTCGGCAGGCCATAGGCCAGCACGCTCTCGACGAACAGCTGGTAGAACATCCTCACGGATTTGGTTCCTGCGTGCATGGATCTGCTGAGGATCCGCACGGCAGCCATTCGCTTGGTGATTGTTTCGCTGATCACCTGGTAGTGCTTGCTGAAGGTAAGCCGCCGGTCGAACCACACTCCCAGGAATCTGGGGCAGGCCTCATAGACCAGTGGTTCGCCGGAGCCGGTAAGGGATAACTCGTCGAGTTCGCACGCAAACTCCGTCTGGAAGACGGTATACGCGCACTTCCCGGGGGACAGCTCCATGTTGCTCGCCTTGCAGAAGTCTGCGACGATGTCGAGCGCGCGCTGTAACTGTGCCTGAGCTTCGCTCTTCGTGCTTTCTTCGTACTCACAGGTCAGCGCGAGGTCATCCACGTAGGCCAGCACCTGCACCTTCGGGCACCGCTCTGCCAGTTCCTGGAGTAACACGTCTACAAAACTACACCAGACGAACGGCCCGAGGCACGTGCCCTGGGGGACCCCTTGGCGGAGTGGCACCGCTTGCGACACTTCTTCGTTGAAGCGCACTACCCTCGACCGCCCGGTTACAAAGGAGCGAACCCACCGCGTGAGCAGCAGAAACTCCTGTTTTCTCGCCGCGTTTTTGAACTCTGCGCTCCTGCGTAGCAACCCATTGAGGAACAACGGGATCGGCACCCTTTCGAATGCGGAGCTCAAGTCCAAGAAGCACGCTGCGCGCCTCTTGCCCTTCCGCAGTGAGTCGGCGGCTGCCGCCGCCAGGGTCGCCGTGTGGTCGGTCGCGCTCCTCCCCGGGGTGTCCCCGTACTGGTTCCGTGCGTACAGGGATAGGCCCTCGGCCTGGAACACTGCCCGCAGCCTTCGGAGCGCCGCTCGTTCCCACACTTTTGCGAGGCAGGATGTTAGTGCGACTGGCCTCAGCGACTTGGGTAAGTCCCCGGGGCGCCCGGGTTTTGGCACCGGCACGCACACTTCCAGGCGCAACGCTTCGGGCGTGACGCCTTCCGTGATGCCCTGTGAAAACGTGTCCCGCAGCAGCTTCTTGCCGTCCTGTGTGAAGTTCTTCAACATCGCGCCCAGGATGTCGTCCGGCCCCGCGGCCCCCGCTGGTTTTTGTCCCCGTAATGCGAACTCCACGTCGTCCAGGTCCAGCCTCATCGGCGTGCCCGGTGAGAGCTCTGTCGCGAGGGTGTTGCTGTACTTTGCCCACGCCCCTTGCTCTGAAGCTGGGTCGAGAGCTGGGTGGGAGCCGTAGAAGTGCGCGAGCACACACGCGAGCTTCTTGAACGCGTAGCCGCCCGCGTAGCGCAGCGCGCCGGTGTGCTGTTTCGGTGGGGGCCGCCCCTCCAGCTCGCGCAGGAGCTTGAAGGCGCCGCTTGTGCTCTGCTCCGCTTCCGCGAGTTTATCCGCGAAGCGTTCGTCCTGTCTGCTGTACTCCGCCTGCGCGACCCTTTTTGTGGCTTGTCGTAGCGCGGTGCGCCACAACAGCTTCTGTCCCGGCGGGCAGAGTGCTAACCTGCGCATGCACTCTCCTCGCTCTCTCAAGGCGAGGTCTAGCTCCGTGCCCACGCCGGGCGCCGACCCCCTCGGGCGCTTGTGCCTTTTCCGCGCGACGTTTGTGCGCGGAATGCTTCTGCGTGCTGCTTCGAAGATCGCGGTCTTCACGTACTCGGCCTTCCCTTCGACGGTTGCTGGGGGTGCGTTTTGTGCTAGGAAACGCCCGAGGTCTTCCCGGTATAGCGCCCAGTCCGCCCGCTTCAGGTTCAGTCTTGTGCGCCTTTGCACGACCGGCGTGGGGTCGCGCCACAGCGCGGGGTCCCAGGGTAGTTGCGTCGGGTCTTCCGGTAGGAGCGCCCCCTCTTGTGCGGCGCCGGTGCTGCTCGCCTCTTGCACGACCTCCGCCTTCGTCCCCTTCTCTGTGCTGGTGCTCTCCACGGCCCCCGGTAGGCCCGTGTCCTGTGTTGCTGTTGCGCACAGTGCCGCGACTGCGCCGGACGCTAGACACAGCACCGCCCCGAGGCCGGGTAGCGAGCGGAGTCGGTCCTGCTTTGCTGGCGGCGTCGTTGTCCCCTCGGCGGCGGCGCGTGCTTGCCTGTGCTTGGCCGCGCGCAGCTCCCGGATCCGCTGGAACTTTTCTTTTCGCAAGGCCCTTTTCTGACTGCCTGTCAGCTTCACCCCGCCTTCGGGGGTCTCTTTCGGTGTTTTTGGGTCCTGTCCTGGCCCCCCTCCTTTGGGAGCCTTTCCTTGCTTTGCTGTCGTTGCTACTTCTTGTTCCTTTGCCACCGCTACGGAGGCCTTCCCCTTTGCCTGGTGTTCTTTTGTCGTCGGGCGGATCAAGTCAAACACCAGTGCTGCGTGGTCACCCCCTATGAGGACGACGCTCGGCCCGGTCGGGTCGACCTCGGAGGCCGCGGTGTGCAGGCCTGCTGAGAGCAGGACTACGTCTGGCGACGTTTGGGAGCACGGCCGTGTCGCCGCTTCCGGGGTGTAGAACTCCAGGGCCTCCGCCCTTGCCCAGTGTTGTACTGCGCTTGTTCTTGGTTCCTGGGTGTGGTTCGCGTCCCAGGAGATTGCTACTTCTACGTTCGCCGGGGCTTCTACGTACGGGAACGCCGGCAGCCCCGGGGGCGTGTACACTCCCGCGGACACGGCCCACTCCTCCCCGGTTTCGCAGTCGAAGATTGTCGCGCACGTTGCTGCGACATTCCTGCCCGCGGTGACTGTGACCCTGCAGCCTTCGTTTGACCGCATGGCGCCCCGCAGGCTCTCGTGCTTTATCGTGGCCCCGCCACCTCCTATGCCGTCCGACGGGAAGACGTCTACTACTTCCCACTCCGGAAGATGTCGACTCACGAACAGCTTCAAGTACTCCGCGTCGCACCAGATTTCCTGGAGATGGCAGAGCGTCGCTTCTTGGAACTCTAGCGTCTCCCGTAAAGCGGCGCCTTTTGCCGCTGCAGCCTCTTCGTTGCTCGCGTTGAGCGACTGCGCGTTCCACTGTAGGACGCGCGTTGCGCCCTGCACCAGTGGGCGCTTGTGGTTCGCGTCGTACTGGCTGCTCTCCGGCTGGGGCTTTTTCGGTGCCGGGTGTTTCTGGTAGCGCGTGATCTCCTTCTGCCGGTTGATTTCCGGCATCAGGAAATGCGTGCACTCGGGGTGCGCTTTCGCTAGGTGCTTGCCAAACGAGTCCACCCGGTGCTGGTAGCCGCTCGCCCAGTCACACCCCGGCACTGTGCACTTGAAGCGCCTCTCGTTTGCGTTTTTCTTCAGCGTGTCCTTCACGTCTGCCAGGACGCACAGGTCGTTGACGTGGTCGGCCGCGTCCTTCACCGGCACGATCTCGCACTCCTGTGCGCAGGTCTGGCTCGGTGGCTCCTGTGACGTGGGAGCCAGGGAGCCCGCCCCCTGTGTCCCACTCCTACTGCTACTACTGCTACTCGCTACGCCTCCTTCTTGCGTGCTCGGAGTTGTCTTCTCCTGTGGCGTTGGCGCCAGACCTGGGGGGGGGCGGATTGTGCGTCGCCGCACTTGTGCTGCCTGTCCGTCGTGTGCTGCACCTAGCTGCTCGCGCAGGCTCGCGTCCGTCGGGCCTTGCCCGGGTTCGCTGGGGCGGGTTCGCGTTTTTCCCCCTTCCCCGGCGCCCTGGCCTCCTGCAGCACCCGTTCCCACTGGCTGTGCTGTCAGCGTCGGTTCGCGGGGGGGTGGTGGCGGCCCCGTTTGGGCGCTTGCTGCTTCGCTCGCCCCCGGCAGGGTGCGTGGCTGCGGCTGCGTCTGGCTTGGGTGTGTTCCCGGCGCTCTGCCTTGGTGTGCCTCGGGTTGCGGCTGCGGCTTGTTTTCGTGCGCCTCTGCCCCCCTCGCCCCTAGCGCCCCGTACCTGCGCACCGCTGCATTGCGCAAAGCTTCTGCTGCCGTGCTGAGGGCGGTGGTCACTGCGTTGTGGCACACCGCTATCCCCGCGAAGAGGAGCGCCACCCCTAGAACTACCATCGGCAGCGACAGCTCTATGTCGTGCCGGTCCGACAGCCACCGGCGGTACGCCTGGCGCTGCCGCCTTGCCTGCTCGATGCGGAGGTCGAGCGGCTCCCCGTTGGGAAAGGTGAAAATATTTTGATCATCTTCATCGTGCGGCACAAGTCCGCGTCGCGCCTTCGTTATGCGACCCGTGTTTATTGTGCGAAAAGCAGCGGCGTCTCTTTCCTGTAGCAACGCAGCGGCGTTGGGGATCTCGGCGACTTCGGCGAAGGAACTCGGACCGAACTCCAGGGCCCCCGGGCTGTGTTGCGTGCTCGCCATGCCAAGTGCCGCCAACAGCACTGCCCCAACCAGCACCAGCACCCAGCGGTGCGTGATCAGCGCCCAGAAGAAGCTCCCGCCTTCTGCGGCAAGTGCGACTACTCCATCACGGACGCTCGGCGCGTACCTGTCCATCCGGGGATGGGTGGGGAGCCGCTCTATGGTGGCAGGCCAGTTCGGGAACTGCTGCGCAGGATGGCCCGGCGGGAGCGGGGGGTGTCCGAGCTCGGGATGTTGCCTGGGGGTGGGGTTCTGCTGTTCTACGACCGGCCGCTGTGGTGCAAGTGCCTCCGCGCCTGTTTGCGCTTTCACCGGCTGCACCTGCGGAGGCAGGCGTTGGTCGCAGATCGGGATCGTGGACGCTCGTGCTGCAGCTTGTTGGCCTTGCTGCTGGGGTTGGTGCTCACCCTGGTGTTGTGGGTGGCTCTGCTGCGCAGCCTGTTGCAGGCGTGTGTCGGTGCTGCTCTGTGCGGCTTCGTCGCGTGCCTTGGCAAGATCTTCTACGGCCTTGCGGACTTCCCGCAGCTGCTCCGACAGTGTACGAAGGTGCTCAACGTCAGTCCCCTCCCCGGTCAGCGCGTTCCTGGTGATGAGCGGCACCGCTATCTCCCTGCCTTGCAGCTGGCCCAGGAGCTGGCAGATGTCCTTGTGGTTTTGCTGGAGGGCGGGAACAACACCTTCGTCACCCGCTCCCCCTAAAGCGCCGGCGCCTGACTGTGCGAGCTGTGACATGGGCCCGCCTATGTTGACAGGCAGGGACGCGCTTGGTCTCATTGGCTGGAGCTGTTGCTGCTGCGCCGCAAGGAGTCGCTGGACTTCTTCCGCGGTGAACGTTTGCTGCGGTGGGAGAACTTGTTGTTGCTGGCCCCCGTAGAACGTTTGTTGCGATGGGAGAACGAAATGCGGAGGCGCTGGGCCTCCGGCAGGGAATTGTGGATGTTGAGCCGGCACGGCCGGGTTGCTGGCCTGGTGGTATGCTGGGCGGTTTTGCAGTTGCAAGTTTTGGAGGAGGAGATGGTCTGCAATGGTTGGCGGTCCCACTCCGTTCGCGGCGTGGTAGATCCCTGTCCCCCCAAAGCCGGTCGCCCCCCCGCCTGGCGGGCCACTGTACTGCTGGCGCGGGAACAGGTTGCTTAAATGCGCTTCCAGACTAGGACCAGCGTGGGGGCTGGCATACGCCGTCGTGGCGATGTCGCCGTAGCCGTAGCTACTGTTGCTTCCCCCACCCCCACCATGATGGCTGCTGCTGTTCTCCGCTCCCATCGTACTCCCAAAGCCGCACGGGTTGCCGGCTTGCTGTCCAGCTATTGCACTGCTTGGCTGTGCTCCAAATTGGGTCGCAGCAACGTTGGAGCAGGGACGTTGTGCAGGTTGCCAGCTGCTGTTCCCGTTCTGCCAGTGCTGCGGGAGTTGTCCTTGCTCTGCTCTCATCCCCGTCTGCGCCGCTACAGGTCTGTACTGTTGCTGCGCGGGATACTGTCCCCACTGCTGGAACTGTCCAGTCGTGTGGCCCCATGCGGGGGCATCGCCGGTGCCTCCTTTTCCTCCTCCTTTCATCCGCAGTTACGGTTCCTCCGCCTCGTCCACTGCCCGTCTCGCCGTGCTACCAGTGTCCCCGACGTGTCGCAGGAGGTCGTTCTCGAGGCGTAAGCGCAGGCTCTCCGCGCGGAGCTGCCTGTTCTCCTCTTCAACTTCAAAAATGCGGTCGCGTACTGCGGCCGCCGCTTTCCTCTCAGCCTGCTCCACCAATTGGAGCACTGCGTTGTTGTCTCCGCCGAGGGGGTCGTAGACGGTCGACACGATGAACCGCTTCGGGATGTCTGCCCAGGTGGCAAAGACCAGGTCGACGCGGATGAAGAAGTTCTCGCACTTGTCGTCTAGCTCTTCGAGCAGTTCTGCGAGCCTGTCGCAGAGTTGCCTCCCCTCCACGGTAAACCTCGGCACCGGGGCCGTGTTCGCGAGTTCTGCAACTGCGTTGGTTCTGTAGTACTGGTAGACGTATGTCTGCCAGCTACCTGCTTCGTTAAGCTCCTTGCGAAGGATGACCACCGGGCAGTAGAAGTACCGGAGCAACACCGCCACGTGGGCGAGGTTGGACAACGGGGCGCGGGTCTCTAATGTGCCGCTTCGGTGTTCCGCCAGCTCTTTGCTGGTGATGATTCCCTTGAACTCCAGCTCCTCAAGCAGTGTGCGCGCTGGTCGCCATCTTTTCGACATCAGAGCGGGCATCTTGCCAGTGCATCACGTGCTGTGGTCTTGCGTGATCACTTGGGGTTGTTTCTGTGGGTAGTTGTTCCGCTGGCGCGGTGGTACTGCAGGATGTGGGCGCTAAAGGAAGAAACTGCGCGTCATCGGATTCCGCCCGTGCGGGACGCGAAGCAGGGTGGGAGTCCGGGCAATGCAGCTCTATCGCCACCAAAAGTGCAAGATGTCCACGCTGCCAGCCTGCGGGCGCCACACTGGTGGCGCGCGCCGTCCGCTGTTCGTCTCTAGATACGACGGTATGCTCGCCCAGGCTCGAGAAAATGTCGCTGCAAGCTTGAAGAATTTCCGTTTCCGCCCGTGTCTGGAGAGCAACACCTTCACCGGATCCGCCTGCTCGCGCAACAAGCTCCCCTGCGTCCTGTCGTCTCTAGGGACAGAAGAAGCGACCGCTTACGCCTAGAAACTGTTGATTTGCGTCAACTGGTTTGCTATCTTTTCCCGGATTTTCCCGCTTTTCTGCAGTTTCTGGTCGTTTGGCTGGGGTGAGATCGGTGGATTATAGGCGTAAACGGTCGCGCAATCTTGTTGCGTGCCACGCGACACAGTCGGGCACCTGCAACAAGCTCAGGCTCTTAGAATGAATATGCAAGATCCCCGGCGGCTTTTTCTATCTCTTTGCCCCCTGCCGCTCTTCTACTTTTTTCGGGGTCTTTTATTTGCGGCTGCGTGTTGGTTGTCCCTTGTTGCCGTCTTTTACTTTTTTGGGATCTTGTCAGTGGGGATCTTGCTTGCTAGCTACAACGCGTTATACAACGCGTTACTCGCACCTCAATGAAGCCACCTGCTTCTTTCACGGCTGCCGCCCCGCCGTCAGGAGTGCTGCCTGCTGGTCCCGAGCGTCCTTGCCAGGGGCGCCCGGACTATGACGACCGGCTTTGGCGGTCTCGCTGGTGCGTTTGGTGGTCGTGCGGTGTTGTTCGGCACGTCGCGTCGTAGTTGTTCCGTTCGGCGCGTCGCGTCGTAGCTGTTCAGGCCTTTTACCGTTTCCTTGAGGCGTTCGTCTTCAGACACGGCGGGATGCTCGCCCGGAGTCGAAAAAGGCGCCGCTGCGAACTCGAAGAACCCGGAACCCGCTCGTGTCTGGAGAACAACGTCGTGACTGTTCGTCTCCAGACTGGGCGAGATGCTTGCTCCCGCCCTTCTGCTAAACCGGTACCTCGTCTCGTTCCGGGGGCAAGGGTTAAGAACCGCCCGCCGAGCTTTCGCGTTCCCAGCAATGCGAAGTGGGGATCTTGTTATTTCCTAGGGCTTCCTGCGCTCTGTTCTGCGTCCCGCGCCACTACTGCCTTTTACCGTTTCCCGGGGCCTAGAAGGACGGTAAATGTTTGCGGCTGGAGATGGTTGTTTGCTGCTGGGCGGGCTCCGTGGCGAGAAGCGGGTGGCGCAGGGAGCGCGCACTATCGCGGTCGGCCTCGCTGGGGATGTTTGCTGCTGTTCGTTTGAAGATGTTGCTGGTTTGGTGTGGGTGGACGCGTCAGTTCGTTGCAGCAGAGAATCGCGACTCTGGGGGAAAATCACCAGCAACAGGCCCCGAGCTCCCCTGTCGCGGTCGCTCGGACTATGTCGGACTGTTCTGGATCACTACTCTCTTGTCGTGCTGCTGGTTGTCGCAATCTTACAATGCGGCCTGCACGCGTGTTGGAGGGGCTTGCTGGTGTGCGCTAACAGGTTTTCATGTTGGAGAGTGATAACAGAAGAGGAAAGGTAAATCACCAGCTCTAGACCCCGAGCGTCCTTGCCTTGGTTGCTCGTACTATGACGGTCTGCACTGGTTCACTGGTTGTTATCTTCTGTACTGTTACGCTATTCGTGGACATGCGGTAGTAGACGGTCTTGCCACGCGTGGGTTCTTGCGTCTCGTCCTAGCTCCTCGGCTTCCATCCACCTGGGTCCGCCTCCGTCCACGGTTTTCTCGCTTCGCTGCTGCTAGCAGAATGCACTCGCCCACGACAGTGCAGCAACGCGCGAGCAGAACCGCAACGGGAAGAAGTTGACGAAGCGTCGGGACGCAATGAACGAAAGATAGGAGACAAAGGAAACACGACGGGGACCGGCGTGTAGCAAGGCCGGACTCTAGAACACGCGGGGGCTCATCTTTTCTTTCTAGTACAAGTTCTTTCGATAACGATATCTGGATCATCCGAAATAGACGCAAACGAAGTTGTTCCGGTGATCTCTAAATAACTTTTTCCGTTGTCTTTTCAGAAATATTATTTAAGACTGATCATGTAGGTATTAATTGACGTATTTGCACTTCATCGTCCTCGTCGCCGTCGTATATTTTCTGATGAATAGCAACAGTTTCTAGTGCGTACAGGTGGTTATACAGACTCCAGCACGACCGAGCTTCGTCGCGATGATCTGAGCACGACCAGACAACTCGTTCGCGTTTCCGTTTCGCAGCAACTTGAGGCTCGACGCCAACCGAGAAAGGAGCAGTGAAAGGAGCGCGACCGAGGAGATGCTTGCGGAAACTGATCGTTCGTGGTTAAGTCGACCAGGTCCAGGCACGACCACAACTCACTGTTTGTGTTTCTTTTGTTGACATAACCGCAAGGATCCTTAGTTACCTCAAGCTCTACGTGACCGAATAACTGCTGGCACTGGTGGAGCATAATTGATCTTCATAATCTTACCGAAGTCTACTTTAAGATCATGCTCAGGAGGAGTCACCAGCACTGATGCACGCTGAGAGCAAGATTAAGATTTAGATTTGGATTTCCGTCACCGAATTATATCTGATGCTGTTCATCTTTAATCGAGTGAACTGCAGCCAAAGGGCAAGAAGTAGGTGTAGTGTTGATGGCATTTCGTCATTTTCCTTTCCCCCGACGACAGCACGTCACTCGTTGCCATTTGCCACTTTTCTACAACTACATTCTAACATTTTACAATTTACATACCGTTCTGTGACATTGCTTAGCAGCCTCGTCAACCAAGTACGTTCGGTTCGATTGTCCTGTAGTTGCGCCAGTTCCTGTAGAAGTTAAACGAAACTCTACTGACAGGTTCTCGTACTTCATCTAAGTAGAGAAACGTATGGCATTTGAAACTCGAAGATCATCCTATTTCTACTTCATCAATTTTGAAAAAAAAAATGACGTAGCGCGAAGGAATGGCTACACCAGGAGGCGGATGCATGACGTCAGGCACACGCATATAATAAGCTTAAATTGTACAGCGAAACTTTGACCTTTCTTGAAGCTAGACACGAATCCTGCTGGCTGCAGTCAATCCTGTGTTGTCTAATGGTTGATGTAATGTATCTTTCGCTCGTTGCTCATATTCGCTTTCCGTTTCACATCAGCGAAGATCTGTTCTCGTAAGAGGAACCCAATCCTAACATTCCGGATCCCAATGGCCTCATCGAAGACCGGAAAGGCTCTTGCACCAGAGAAGCCCCGAGCGGCCGCTGCTGCCCAAAAGCGGATCCGTTGGCGCGCTGCTGATCTAGTGACACCATCGATGACAGCGTCCTACCTGCTGCGTCAGCATTTTGTTGTAGTAAAATCGAACCGGTACTATTCATCGCCCGCTGCTGATCCAGCGGCATCATCGAGCCTCCGTTTCTAAACCGTTGCTGATCTAAAGACGCGGTTGAGGACATTCCTACTTGTTGCGCCGCAACACCAGCCCCTATAGACCCTTCTTCCCGGATGGACGACAGCGCCCGCTGCATTCTCGGCGCGGAGGCGTTCAAAATGACAGGCGCGCCGGCGGCCACGTTGTTTGCTGTCGCGGCGGTCGACGAGTAGGGATCGTGGTCTAGGGGGTAGTCTTCCATGGAGCCCGGTAAACCACCACGAACCGCTGCTTGTTCGCGCAGGCCCAGAGACCCCATCTCCGATGCGTAAAGAGATGAGGGAAGCGAAGCGTCGCTCGCAGGCGGAATGTTACTGTACATATGTGCACCAGAACCAGGTCTACTGCTGCTACTGCTTGACGCGACAAAGGATGAGCCGCGTCCCTCCGCTTGTCTTACCAACTGCTCCGGTGCAGTGTAGATCATGGACGCCTGGTGCTCCCCATCGGAAAATCGCACACTGGTCCCGCCGTAGTAAACGCTCGAGCTCCCTTGCGCCTCTTCATTCTGACTGCGCAGAATCCCAACTTGCTGCTCCTGGTGCTCTTGTTGGGAATTCGGAGTAGTTCCGCCACGGCTGGAAGAAGAAGGTCGAGCAGCAGGGTTACTTCCTTCGCTGGCTCCCGACCACGGGTAGTAGCTTGACGCCGCGGCTGCGTGCTGCATGGACGGCATGGAGCGGTCACTCACGTTCGATGCCTTCGGATCTTCAAACACAGAGCTAGGCCGGAAGTAAAGCGAGCCGCCATGTTGATCTTCCTGCTGCTGCCCACTATCCCGCCCAAAGTACACTGACGTCCCAGCCTGCCCTCCGATTTGCTCCTCGAATAAATCTTGATTGTCAACGCGAGAGGTGGAACCTCGAATCACTACGGAATTCTTGTTTATTCCAGCACTCGACGCACTACTAGCAGGAAAGTTCATCGACCCACCCGGCGGCGGCATTTCGTTCCCGCTTCCCGGGAGCATTTGTTGCTGTTGACTACCCCGCGAGAAAGGGAGCTGCTGCATACTGGAGTTCTCCGGTAGGATCACTTGCGAGCCGGAGCTGTAGGAGGATGGCTCTGGAGGTTGTGCAAGAACTTGTGACCCGCCTCCTGCCCTAGACGACCCAGACGATCTCGAGGCTCCTAGTTCCGAGCTGCGCGACTGCAGCCCGGTGCTGTTGTAGCTCGAGGGAAACTGCAGCAGGTTGATCGACGAGGAAGTCGAGGATCCAGCACCGCTGCGAGGCCCTTGCAGTGGTGCGTTTGGGTTCAGATTGGAACTCCGGAAGTAAAGCGACCCCGTACCGGAACTAGACGTCATGACACCAGCAGTTTCGGAAGACCCATAATACGATCGTGACGTCGGCGCCTGCTGCTGCGTCATCGACGACGTTCGCAGATGGACTGCGGAGCTCTGGCCGCTGCTCCTCTGCCCTGCAGTTCCCGCCGTCTCGCCCGATTGCAAAAAGACTTCCTGCGCCAAAGCAGAGGAGGTGACGTCGGAAGACGCAGGCGGCAGTTCCACGACGGATTGCCCGAACGGAAAAATGCCAGACGCACCCTGCGCACGGGTTTCTCGTACTGACGGCTGTCCGAACACGACACTCGGCTGGCCGAACGCGACCGAGGGTTGATGCTGTCCTGCTCCAAACGCGACCGAGTTGTTTTTTTGCCCGAACGCTGCTGCTGCAATGGACTGCTGCCCGCCTCCGCGAGTGGCGCCGGTTGAGGAGCCTGGCTGTTGTTCATCGAAGAAGTACGGCCCCCCAGATTGCCCGAACGGTACCGCCGCGGACACTTGCTGCTGTTGCGATCCGCCGCGATTATACACTACCGACGGCTGGCCAAAAGCGACAGAGGGAGGGGATTGTTGGGCGGTCGTCGTTGAGCCCGGACGAGAACCGGAAGAGGAAGTAGTTCTTGGTGCCGCTACAACCACTTCTGGTGATGGAACCACAGTCGGCTTGCCAAAAGCGACGCTCTGCTGCTGACTCGAGCGCGAGGGTCTGCCGCCGATGATCACGCCGGAAGTGGAGCCGGCTGTTGAATAGTAGGGGTCCTGCAACGAACTTCATCTTTCAAAAAAAAAACCCAATGCTGCTCGAGTGTTTCTAATTGATTTTTTTTCACACGCTAGTGGCTCGATGAGTGCTGGGCGGAACGGTACGGACCTAGTAGAGGCGACACCGTCACGACCGGAAGATAAAGCTGGCGTCACAAGTGGACAGAGTAAGAACATGAACACAGACATCAATACAAAGTAAGTACCCTGCGTAGCGTCAGGCGCAAGCGTCGGCTCTCCTCCTGGATTGAGCGAAGACGGAAGCGCCTCTAGCGCAAAGCAACCGCCCTTGGGAAAAAGCTCGCGCAGCGTGTGCGCCCGGTGCTCTGGGTCGTTGCCTGATCATGTCGAAAACGTCGTGGAGAACGAGAAGATGACGAATGCTATAGAAACAGAACATAATCAAAGTCATAGACAGCCAATTAATAAAGAAGACCACGTAGCGCCATGCCTTGTCCATAATTGGGACGATTTCATCACCTACTTACCTATTTTCTAGTACTTCGGGTTCAATACATCAAACTCAATTACAATCAAACTTACCAAGCCGGAACATGGTGGTTTCCTTGTCGTCGAACCTTCTTTCTAGGAACCAAGTGCGGCACTGCGAGTTGCTGAACGGTCCCCGAAACGCGCCCTTGACCATGAACGAAAACCGCGGCCAGGCAAAGACCGAGGCGAACCACCCGCTTGCGCCCTGGGGCCGAAACTTCGTTTCCAGGTACACCAAATTGTGCCGCTTCACGGCGATCGTCCCGCGGTTCGGGAGGTGTCCAATGTTCCACCCGTTCTCTTCGGCGCGCAGACTGCACTCCGCCAGTTCGCCCTCGGCGAGGATAGAGAGCAGGAAGTCGCACACTTCGAGACCTGCAAGATGGGAATTTCAGTGGGTTGAAGAAGAAGGATGGGCTCACGATCATGTCTACACGCCATCCTCGTGAACTCGGAAACAAAGACAGAGTCAGAAGTGATCTGAAGATGCTTATAAAAACTTCGGCTATGCCTATGATGTCGCTGGATATGTCCTACAACTATACTTTTACCGTCCGTTATCCTCAGCCGATTCTGGCCGCTCTCCCCGTAAAACCAGTCCCCCTCTATTCTGTACTCCGGCTTCCCAAGAGACAGCGCCGCTCCATCGTTGTTACTTCCGGGAGTTGCAGCAGTCTCCTCTCCCATAGGTGCGAGCTTCTCTCGAAGCCCCCCGTTTGCATCAATCTGCACCAGCTTGAAATCGCCCATAATTGCAAGCATCTGGCCCGGTTCCGGTGTCTTGTCAGCTGCGCCACCGGTCTGGTAATGATTGTGATTCATGATGATGAAATGGAGAGGACATGCAAATGCATATCGTTATGAGTTGTAGTTTCTTGCAAACCCACAAGGACAATATCAAGTGGAAGTACGCACCACTGCCGATTCATCAACAACAACATGATGTTCTCGGGCACAAATGAGTTGCAAGCACAGCCAACAACACAAGTACCTGTTCGTCGGGAGGTTGTTCGTGTTCTATCACAGTCGTGCTCTTTCTACTCCCAGGTTCTCCGACCATCTCCTGTTCCGGAGGTTTTGCCAACCGAAACACCTCGTCCCACTGGGGCCACACGTCCTGGAGGCAGTAATCGCCCGCGGACAAGTCCGCGACCCGAATCATGGACTCGGGTTTCAGAACTTCCTGCTGGTAGTACAACACCGCGCACTCGTTCATGGTAAAAGGCCCCTGCTCGGGCTCGGAAACGCGATCCTGGACACGAAAGAACCTGTGAAACGGATCATATTCTTCATGATGTCCCAGGAGTACAATGTTATCTGCACCCACGATCGCAGCCACATATTGGACGACCTCTGCGTGGTCATCGTGCACGAAAGAAGACTTCAGCTTCACTACAGCAAAACCGAGGAGATCGTGATCGATCCACGTGCTAGTACAACTTCTAATTGCTCCTACGATTTTGTCTTCACATGCACGTGGTTCAGGTCATACAACACAATCAATGGTCGTCCTGATGCCGAAAAATTTTTTTCAAAAAATAGTACCAGCTATCCAGATGCACTTGCGTCTTCAGTCGTCCGCTATCTGGGTTCCAGTAGTGCGTGGCGGGAAAGAAGGGACCGTGCGCCGCTGGAGCGATGGGGGTGCTGTGCGGTATCTTCCCACGCCGCAGCCAGTGCTCCATTTTTCCAAAGGGCGCGGGCCCGTAGTAGCACCCATCCGGGGCCAGGTAGTACCAGGATTCCAGGGTCGTCATGTTGAGGCAGATCTTCCCTCTTGGTAAGTATCACGATGAACTCATGGTCATGATGCAACGCGTGGGACGAAAAATACTTGTTACCAGGAAATGACGATGAGGCAGGTGCCTAAGTAGACCGTGGCGCTATGAAGAAAGTCGAATAGTTAGCAGTGTGCTTGCCTTTTACGACACACGAAAATGACGACAAGTAAAGAGCGTCGACCTGCTTCGCTCAGCATCTAAGTCGTACAACTCTGGGTCTGGTCTGCTGGGAGGTCGAACCAACTGCATGGAAATGCTCCTCTCGACCGCGTTTTTTCTGCTCTAGCACCGGCGTCCTCCTCTACTTCGAGGTCGACCAAGCGTCAACGCAGTCGTACAACCACGATCTGCCGCTACAACAAAGACGAGAAACTACAAAGCAACGATGACGCTAAGTTTCGAAGGAACAACACGAGGCGCTCGCTTCGTGCTAGAACATTTTGATTCCTGGCCCTCGCGAGGTCGGGTTTTTACTGAAGAATCAATCCTCGTCAGCTCGGTGTTCAAAACAAAAACCATGTCATATTGAAGGTGCGCAGCTGTCACCTCACCACTTCCTCCGGCTTCCAAGTCTTTCATCTTTCATCACATGAAAAAGTTCGCAAATCTTTTCAGCGCCCCATTGGATTTCACCTTCGTTCCCTGTTTCAGCGTTATTACGCTGGACGCCGGCGGAATGCCCTTCAAGCCGAAAGCGTTTTTGACCACCTGCCCGACCGAGTTCGCTGCGGAAGTAAGCATGTTAGAGGCGAACATTGACGGTCCTTGCAGTGCCAGTTCTCCGTGTCTCGGCACCGCATGCACCGTGTCCCACAAATCCTCTAGGTACCGCATAATTGTGTTGATATCGTTTCATATGCACTGCAAAAGTTAAAGTTGTACTTGTACGATCGCATATTATACCCTGCTACTGCTGAAGAGCAAGAGCTACGAGGAGCTGGCGGGTAGGTCTGCGCTACTAGCTGACTTCTAGTACTACGTATATTCTCTTGATGTAGTTTGAGTTTTCAGAGGAGATTCATGCCTCATTTCTTGCAGATGCAGTTGCAGCCCATCTGGACATTAGTACAACAACGAAACTACGAACTTTTCCCAAATTTCATATCCAACGTGACATACCCATTCTCATTATCCTCATACTTGACCGCCTTCGGCCTGGCGCGCGGTCCGGGCAAATAGGCGGGCTGGCCGTCCGGGAGCAAAACCGGCTTCGAGTTCCCGCCGAAAAAGCCGGTAGACAGCGTGTAGGCCGGTTCGAAGGACATGCCTCGCATGATCGCCTTCCCGGTGTCGGTGACGACATTCGTCTTATTTTTCCCTGCCGTGCTTCCCACCCCACCCTGCATGCTGTTGTTCAAGTAATTGCTGTCTTCGTTAACCCCGCCCTTCATTTGGGAAACGAAGTTTTCAAACAGAAACCGCTGGTAGGACTTCATCACGTCGGTCTCCGGTTTCTCTTGCTTCGACTGGATCGCGTACGCAAACTGCTGCAGCAACAGTTCCCGCAAGTTCCGGACTTCGTTCTGCAAACCGTTCCAGTACCCGTCGCGGGCACACTTCGGGATGGGGTAGGGGTCGTAACTGTACCCCCAAGACATCACCCTCCGCTCCATGTCGGTCAGTTGATTGACAATCTTGTCGGAGAAGTATTGCTTGCCCGCTTTCGACGGTAACGCGGTCGGGTCGCGCATCGAGATCAAGTGCCACTTCAAACCGACAATGGCCTTGCGAACCTGGTAGGGTAGTCGAGTTTATTTGGTGGTTATGGTTCCCTTTACGTAGTTGGGGGCACGAAACAGGTGCAGGAAGTAGAAAAAAACAATAGCAAGAGCTTCAACTTTTCCATTAATTTGCCACCAGGCGAACACACGACAAGGTCAAGGACTAGGAACCACAACCACATACAAATAACATACCAAATATAGCCGCCGGGGCGGAGGTAGTGAGGTCGTGGGCGTTTTCTTGCCGGTTATCGCCTTGGCCGCGGCTTTGCTTTTTCTGGGCTCGCGATACCGCCGCGAGTAACGTTAGGCCGCACGGTATGGCGGCCGCTTGATAAACATCGCAAATTTTGGCAAATTCCCGAAATTCCTTTCCGAAGGCCAGCCCCCATGCTATGGGGCCGATCCGGGTGCCACGGGGGGCGCCCAAAAAGCGAAGGGAAATCGGGCCCATAGCATGCGGATTGGCTTTGCGCGTCTGGGGCGCTTTTTCTTTTTCGCGTTTTTATTTTTCACGCCGGCGCCTTTTGCAAAGCTTCCCAGGCTCTGAAACCGGCGAAAAGGCGGCCGCCTTCGCGGCCGCCCAAAATGCTCCGAAATCGCGGCCGTGCCATGCTGTTTCGCTGTTCTGATTTTGGGCGCGTTTTTTGCGCGCCTCTTTTTGGGCGCCCCAAATCGCCAGAAACTAAGGCGGCGGGCGCCTCAGAAGGGCGCCCCTTTTGCCGGCTCCCCTGCGTCGTTTTATCGAGTGCGAATCGATAGCTTTCGACCGGGCTTGTTTGACGGCAACGCCCCGCCCGCTTGATAATTGCAAATTTTTTATGTGCAAAAACACTTCCGGCCGCTTGAAAACTGCCGGTCGTTTTTCAGGGTAGATGGCAAAAAAACTCCCCGGCTAGAACCGTTCGGTGACCTCTCTACATATTATGACAAACACGAGGACCCGCTGCTTCCTCTCTCCTCCTTGATGATGTACGTAAGTACTTACCTTCCACATGACCAGCGGATCGCAGCTGTCTGTGATGATGTCCTTGTGCCACGTTAGCAAATTCAACTTATCGTTGGGCTGCGTGATCGTTTTCCCCGCGCCGGGTGCGGGCCCCCGGGTCGGCATGGTGAACTTGAGCCGCTCCATCGTTTTCCGGGCCTGCCCCAAGTTAGTGTCCGCTTCTTGCAGGGGGCCTTCGCTTTTGGGCGTGGTGGCCGGTTTCGGCGGCTGGGCCGGCGGCCCGTCGTTTCCGGCCCCATCGTCCACGATGTCGTCCTGAAAAGCGCCTTGCGTGTTCGCGGGCGGGAAAATCCCGCGGTCGGAACCGGTGTCGCCCCCGGGGAGTGTATCGTAAAAGCCGAAGGGAGGACGCGGGTTTAGTCCGGTGGCAATGAACGAGGTGACCGAGTAGGGACGACGGTTGTTGGTGTGATGGTGGTCGTAGCACAGTGGGTCATGAAGATGATGATGCTCTGGAACTACCAGCATGGGTCCTAACATGGTTAGGGCGGAGATGACGAGTTGTTTCTTTTGGCTTGTTTCTGTTCTGACGCATCTTCTATCCAAAAAGAGAAACAACTCACTTTGACTTGCGCCGCAAGGAGAACAAATCAACCAAAGCTAGGCTGCGGGCTAAATGAGTGAAAAGCATGCAGCGAGGCCTTGCCGATGCCGCAGCTTTTTGTTGGCAACATCGTGCGTCGATGACCTCCAAAAATACACCACATAATTCTTCCACTTCGACATCGACTTCCTAGGGAGGTAACGAAAGACAAACAACTATTCCGACGAAGCACGATCTGAACGAGTCACGGTCGACCACCGCGACTGGCAACGATTCATCTGCTTCTTCGATCATGTACTCGCGAAAGTAGACACCATCACGATGATCCATCAAAAATATACGAATCACGAGCTTTCGCGACAACGAAAACGATAATGCCTCCCCGCCTCGCCCAGCAGGAAAAGTATATAAATTGTAATTGCTCACTATCGATTCTGTGACATATATGTGCCGTTGGTTTTCAGTAGCTGGCTGCGATGAGCCAGAACCTGCACTGCGCCCGCTGCGTGCACTTCTAATTTTTTCGATAACAAAATGAACTCGTAGTACTAGCTACAGGTCGGAGGTTGCGGGTACGCAATTTCCAAAGAAAAGTGGCGAACCAATACCAATTACACCCAGCTGCACATTCGTTCACATTGACTTTCTCAGTTGACGTTCTTCTTGAAAAACAACATCACCCCTCACTGTGCTCCTCCAGCTTCGACTTGAGCAGCGGTACATTCGCGCCTTGGATCCGGTCCAGTTCCATCTGTGTCTTGCCGTCTTGCAGCACAAAGGTATGAAATTCACAAATCTTGACCTGGGTCTGGGACTCGTCATGCTTGCGCTTGGTTGTCTCACGACAGGACTTCTGCTCTGCTATAACTGTATCGCAGAGAGTGTGTCAGCCCGATCTTGAAAAATTTCGTAAACTCAATGTGCTTGGAGAGATACTCGTAGGTACGTTACGAACATTACAACTTTCCAGACTCCCAGACACATAATTTGCGAAAATGCGTAGAAGGTCGGCACCGCTGAAATGCGCATCTTCACCGCGAGCTCTTCGTTGCTATCCAGGTCGATCTTCAAAATTTTGTACTTCTCACCCAGCTGTTCCACATCGGGGGCGACGCGCTGGCAGGGGCCGCACCACGCAGCGGTGAAGTAGGATACAATCACTGACTGGGCGGTATCCAGTGGTACCAATTTCTCGTAATAGTCCACGCGCAAGAAAAGTTGCAGACCTTCTTGCACCATGACACAGTTTTTCTGCTACTTCCCTCGCCTGCTCGTCAGCATTTTTACACTTGCAAATGACTTGATACAGGATGCCAGATCAATTTGGATTTCTATACTTCATTTGCCATTTCTCGTGCCGCGGTCATCGTCATGCATTAGCATTTACATTTTCTACTTCATCTTGTTCGTCATGTACATGCAGTACGTGAAATTTGCGTTTCTTAATTAGAATTCTCCTTCACCTGCTTCTCGTAGTCCGCCGTCCCATTTACCTTCAGTGTGGCAAAAGATCTTTTCCATCCGGCGGCAGATGAGCTGATAGATCTAGAAAGCAAATTCTTGCCCGAGGTCCAAAACCCGCACCCGAAGACGAAGTGTGGCGCTGCTGCCGTTGTAGACGCCACTCCTGAAGTAGAAGTTGTCGCCGGTTTCCGTTTGGCGGCTAATGGTAATGAGGTAGATGTGTGGGAGAACAAGTTGTTGCGAGAAGTCATGGCATTGACACTGGAATAGTTTCGAAGGACTGTAAAACTTTTCAGATCGGCAGGAAAACGAGCACCAGGCGACCCAAACTGGCGCGCCTTCCATGACGACCGCAGGCCCGACGGGCCGCGACAAGAGCGCACGGCGACGTTTTGACTTGCAGTTCGCAACGGCAACATTTTATTTTGCTCTCGTGCTTGTTTGCGCGCTACAAAATAGGGCTACTAGGAAGATCTTTTTGTTGCTATGACAGAAGTTGTGGAGTGTGATCGGTTGTTGGAGGAGTGCTTGCTCTCGCATTGACTCTACGTCTGCTGGTACTGCACCGACCTGCACTGCGAATCAATGGAGTCGAGCATTTCTTACCAGCCAAAATTCGGCTTGCTTGCAGTGGCTAGAAGAAGGATCGCACTGGAGCAGCAGAACGAGAAAAGTAGAACGCAGGGCGAGATCTTTATAATGCCAAACAAGTGCTCCAATTCAATTATTTATATTTTCACCAGATGGAAGTTTCTGCCTCATCAAAAAACAAATGCAATATAAAAGGATCATGGCCATCATCAAATTTGAAGCAAGAGCAACTCAGTCTCGTGCAGAGGAACAGCATCTTGTTCACAACAACTTCTTGATGTCTCGTTTCCTTCCCGCGGCGGCCTTGCGAAATGAAACCACCTTGCTTTGATTGATTTATCGAAACAGAAACGAAACCCAGACGTACTTTTGTACTGCCCCTTCTGGTGTCTCCTGTGTCACGAAATCTTTTCTGCCGTCGTGCTGCAATGTAATCGACGCCGGCTGTGATGTTGCATGCAGCTTCGCGACGCTCGCCTTCGCCAACGCCACCTCATTCGCTAAATTACTTGTTACATCAACAACACTTTCAATCCTGATAAGTGTTACTGAATAAAGCTGCAGTCTTCTCCAAATTTAGATCTACGTTAGTGCCTCCGATCTGCGTACTGTTGTAAAATTTCTTCGAAAAAACAAACCAGATGACGGGGCATGAAGAGAACAAACGCATCAAACGAGCTTGTTCCAGTTGATAGTGAAGCGGACGCTGTGGACACAAACACTCTTATCGGGTGCTCCCATCGTCGGTATCCTTCAGCGTTTTGTGCAGGGCGGTAAGCTATACATTGTAAATATGTGTCTGGGCCTCGATAGAACGGACTTTGTGATGCCGAATTGGTTCGCAGGTGGATGGAAGTCAGATTCAGATTCACGAATTTGGTCTCACTCTCATGCGTTGAAAAAGAAAGATGCCTGCCAACAAGTGCCCGCGCCTTATTTCCAAGCCCAGATCGATAATTTGCAATGCATATGATCTGGGCGATGTCGTTCCCCACATTCTGCATGTAGCCCATGTAGGTTTTGTAGGACGCGAAGTAGGCGTCCTTAGGGGTCTGAGGAAAGCCCGTCTCGTCCTCTTGCCCAATGCGCGCTTTGATGGTCATCGCTGCGGCGTTCATCTGTAGTGTTGGAAATCAATGTTGTAACTTGCTGCAATATGAAATCACATGCTCTGATGAACATGGTCTAGATCGAGTTGTACGCGTACTGCGTGATGAATATCGAGATTGATACAAAAAGAACTACTCAATCATGCACTTCTTACCATAGCCTGCAGCGCGGGAAGCGAGTTGGTCTGCGTGGTCTGTGCCAGGACCACGGTGGAGAACGGTGCGCACAGCAGAGCCAGAAGCAGCAGCATCGGCCGCGACTGCAGAAGCAGCTTCATTCTTTCCGTTCACGTTGACTGCAGAATAGCAGTAGACAACTCAGAGCAGGATGAATCTAGATGTACTGTGTATAACAAAGCAAGGTGGTGATGTAGTGCATCACCATCATGCTGTTTATCTTCCCTCTCAAATTAAACACAGTGACCCTCTGTTTGTGCCAAGAGCCTCCAAGCGAACTAACGCAGACTGCAGTGCAACGAAGTTACTCGTACGGAGGACGCACGTGCAACACGGCTAATTCGCTACTTGATGCAGCTCCTGCTCCAAAACGAACCTCCTTAATAGTATGAGTATCATCAGGAGCGCAGGCCTTTTTCCTGTTTTTTTTCGTTTGCATTTATTTCTCATGTTCATGGTTTGTCTCCATCGTCGTGGTCGTATGTTAGCGTTTTCCGAAGAAAAGAGCTCACTTTGAAGCCGAGGAAGCAAAAACAAATGGTTTAAGGGCATGAGTTGTTTGCCGGAAAAACAAAAACTACAGATGCATAGTACAATTTGCTGGTACAGTGGGTGTTGTATTGGTATTCGCCTCATTCAAATACAAGATTTTGACTCTCCTTCGTCACACCAAAATTTCCATTTTAGTTTAACAGGTTGCGGCTGGCACGACTTCTCCAGGTTGCACTGAGTTTAAGTTGGCGCCCTCCTTGTTTTGCGAATAAATTTTTTGTCTTTGTGCTTGATTAGTGTAATTATCCCTTCTCCTTCATTCGAACAAGTACTAAAAACCATAAGCATAACCATGATCAAAATAATCATCTACATCTTCTGATGAAACGGTATATAGTGTAGCTAGGTAGTCTAGTCGTCATTTGAAGAAAAAAAGCAGCAACATTTTTCCGTCAGGCTTCATCGTCTTTCGCTCCTGCATTGAAAACGCCTGGGCACCTTTAAGTTGATAGCGGAGACCACTTCATCTTCACTTGGCCACCTTGGGCAAGTTGTCAAACATGGAGAGCATCTTCTTCATCTCCGTCATGCGCGACAGCATCTCGTGCTGCTGCCTCTTCGCCGACACGAGCTGGTCCTCCATGTGCGCTTTTTCCTCCTCCAGGGCCTTCAAGTCCTTCAAATAGGTCGCCAGCTGCTCGTCGTCCTTCGCCGCCTCGAGCAGGTCGGTCACAGACGCCGAGGGCTCCGGCTCCTCCAGCAAGGTGGACTGCTTCTTCAGCTCTGCCAGCTGTTTCTGCATATTCCCCAGGGACGGTCCGCGGACTGTGGACGAGGAGCGCAGCGGCGCCGTCGTGGGGGAATCCTGCGATTTAATTTTCTTTTAACACTATTGATTCTCTTTTTCATGAGCGACATTGAGCATCAGCATTCCAAGAAGAACGCTATATTGCATCAAATGTTTGAGTGAAGATACCTCCTCCTTATCATCCTCGTCCTCGCTGTCTTCATCGTCTTCCGGTGGAAGATATCCTGTACAAAACTATCGCACTCGTATAAATGCAGGTCTTGCATTACAAATTTCTTTGTCAAGGCAAATCAGCATTACAAATTTTATTTCTCATGCTGAGAAAATTTGTGATGCATTTATACGAGTACGATACTTTTGCAGTTCATAGAAGATCCTCGGCGTTGATCTTTTCTCCCCGGGTATACACGGAAAAAAAAGTGTTCTTCACCGAGTCAGGTCGTGGTCTGAAGATCTTCGTAACTACAGGTGGACGAAGTAGAAAATACAAGTGGATGAACTGGTGCAGTCAGCCATGCCTCTGCGTGCCAGCACAAAAACACACTAAAAAAACCGTAGCCGTTGTCTGTTCGTGGTGTCCACACAGACCATGCTATTTCTATCTAGATCGATGGAGCAATTGGAATTGCCATCATCTGACACGTTGGCCACTTTTCTCCTCCAGCATACCCGTCTCCCGCCATGTTGTCCGCACCAGACAGCAACTCCTTCATCACTGCTATCTTCTCCATCAGGTGCTGTAGTTTTGCGCTATTGCATTACAAATTTTCCTGAGAATCTGAACATATCTTATACATACTCATATTACAAGCTAAACTTCTTCTATAATACGAAAAAACTAGAATGTCAACGTTGACAAGATTCGAAAATATGGATCAGGATCAGCATAGTTATACATAAAGTACTGTGCTAACTATTTGCAGCTGCATATGTTGCATAAACACTCCACAACGTGATGATGAACTGCTTAGCAGTTCAATAGTATTAAACCTTACCTTCATCTCCCCAATAGTCTCTTCCAATTCCGGGTTCTGCGCTTTCATGGCCGCAGACACCCCTGCCTGGGTTCGCGCGGACGGCTCAAACTTTTTTCCCGGAGAAGCGCCCACTACACTGCTCGGGATTCTCATCGAGGCCGGCATGGTTGCGTTCAACGACGCCGGGGCGCGGCCTGTCGGTCCCGCGGACGCAGGACGGGCGCTCATCAGGTCGGCTCGGGTCGTGTAAAATTTCTTGCCTGTTCCAGATGCGCTTGCTATCCAGGGAAAAAAGATGGCGGCCGCCACTTCAAGAGCCACTCTTCATGAGCAGAACTGCGGTCGCAGAGCGGGACTAGGTTCCTTTAATACGCTATTGGTTGCTATTCCTGTTGGCGATCAATCTGAAATAGTAAACCAAATTTCGTCTACCATGTGCCAGGAAAATTTCGGATGTAAAAACTGCACAAACTCCGACGACAAGCATGGTTCTAATATTCACGGTCAACATCTCTTTTTCCACTCCATATTTGCCGGCACGTTGCCGCCCGAAAACAGAGCCGCAGCAGCTTCAGCGCCGCTCCCGGCCCCTGCCTGTGCGCCGGTGACCTGGGCCAGCAACTGGTGCGCCTTGTCTTCCGGGTAGATCTTCTTCAGCATTTCCAAAGCGGTCTCCCGCACGGCATCCTGTTTCGCGCTGGAGGTCGTAGCGCGGTGATAAGCCGGCGTCGTCGGCGCGGTACGGGCCCCTGTCCCGCGGTGGACTGGCGTGACGCCTGCGTTATGGTGAAACAGGAACAAGATCATGAACAACCTTGAAGCAGAAGAAGATCGTCACTTTTGAGATGAAAGCCTCCAAGCGTCTGTCTCCCTCATACAGGCAGCAGACGCAGCGTCAGATGCAGCGAGAATTTTAAACTTTGTTTACGTCGTCGTGACATTAGTCTTTAACTTTATTTTTTGTGCCTGTTTTTCGTTTTACTTTTACGTTTACCTTCGTTTTGCTTCTTCTGCGTCAATAAGTCTCGCATCTGCGTTGCAGCCTGCTGAATAGCTTTGTTTGCCGTGTCCATCTCTCCAATCACCGCTTCTTGGGCATCGATCACCTGTATCGATTATGATAGAATTGCAGAAAAAAAATCGCATGCAAGATTCACGGCATATGTCATGCTGCAAACGCAAGCCAAAGAAGTAGATACAACTAGTTTCTGAAACTACCACCAAATTCATGTTCTTCTTCGTGTACTATACTTTCCGCTGCTGCTCGTACATATCATGGACCGCTTTCAGCATGGCCAAACTGTGCTCCAACCGCTTTGACAGCATGTCGATGGTGGCATCCTTTTCGTCACACAGCTGCTTCAAAAGGTCCACCTCATCCTGTTTGCTCCCCGCTGCGTGCTTCTTCTCGTACGCAATGGCCTCCTCGAGCAATTTTCGGTCCTCCTCATCCAGCGTAGCACCCAGGGCGGCCTCCTCTTCCTCATCGTTCTTGCCCATCTGCTCCAGGATCGCTGTTGGGAAATTGAAACTCTTCTTTATCGAGAAGATCGAGGTTCAGGTATAAGCTATCTTGTCATCATGCTCATAAAGACACAATTTTTCAACATTTTGTCTACTTTTAGCGCGAAATCGAAATCCAAATCGTTACCTGCATACTGCGAGTCCAACTTCGTCTGAAAGGATTCAATCTGTGCCTTAATTTCCGCTTCTTCTGCTGCCAAGGCCGCTTGCTTTCCCTTCGACTCTTCTGCCCCCTCGAAATCGTACTTGGACGGCGAAACCTTCTCCGGACTGGCCGTTCCCGGCACGACCTTTTTCAGCACGGACAAGCCAATCACCCAGGCTTTCAGCTCCTCCACCGTTTCAAGTCTATGCATTGCAAAAGTATCGCATTGGTGTTTCGTTTTCTTTATTGCATTCTCATAATTCATTGATTACATCTACATACAACATGTTGAGAAATCTATTTCATATATTGCCCCGCCATTCAACAGCATTCGAAACTGCATTTTCACCTGACTCTTGTGAAGACGCGACTCTTAGGTACAACTACACAGTCTGATGCTTTTGCGCTGCCTAGCACTGCAACTGCAGCAGATCCTCGATGAAGAGCAGATTGGAATCCGGGATGGGCGTGATGGCCCCCAGGTCCGCGATGGGCACCGACACCAGGTCGCCCACTTTCACGTCGTCATCGTTGCCCACCCACGCGTCGGAAAATTGCAAATGGTCGAGCTTCTCGCTGTCGACGCACACCACCCGCACCGAGGATTTGCTCCACTTCCCGTTCCCCAGGTACGTCTTGCTTACCATGGCCTTCGGCGCCGCAATCTTCGCGAGATAGGACTTCAGCTCTTCCCGATTTCCGCTGGAAAGATCCGCATCGTTTTCATCGTCCGCGGATAGAACGAAATCCTTCATCGAGGCGGAGCTTGCTTGTTGAGCCTTCTTACTGAAAGACGCCCCTCCGCCATAAACGTCGGAGCTGGAAAATGCCGAAGCCATCTTGCGATCTGTTCGATTGTGATGATCTACCGGAGGTAAGAAGAGCAGCTCTACCTAGAGACCGAGCGCCTAGTAGCGGGGCAGGCACACGAGTCTCTTACAACTCTTCTTCTTCCTACGCAAGGAGCTTGAAATCGTATAGTGCTTAGCTACGATGAACTAGAGTTGCACTCATGGTGAAGTTTTGATATTTCTTTTCGCACTTTGATTTTTTCATCTTTTGGACAGAAACGCATTGAATCAGAGCGAGAATAAGCACAGCCTGGAATTAACCACGTACTCAAAAAGCACCCACGGTGCCGCCAAGTAAGTCAATGAAGTACAAGCACATTGATATTAATGAGCCAGGAACGAACTCAGACTCGCGAACAGGAATCCTTGATTTGTTTGCAACGCAGATGAAGAACAAAGACAAACATAATACTTGCAATGTTAAAGCACGTACTGTGTGCGAATGTTCATAATCTCTCTCATTATGTCAATTTGAACATGAAGAACGCAGAAAAGCAATATGAAGTACTGAACCAAGGCCTGCACCTGCGTGCTGCGTAGGAACATGAACATCAAACTAAAGTAACAGGAATGCTGGCATTGCACAACACCCAATCGGAAAGAGCGCCCGAAACAGGCTTTTGCGTGCCTGTTCTTCGTGTTCATCGTCAGATACATCAGATACTTACTCGTCACTCTATGCGTATTGGAATATTTCGACCGTAATCAGTCACAGGCTCGTCTAAGTAAGTAGTTGAGCCACCACAACGACCGGCGAAGATAGTGATCCTAGTGATACTTATCTGTGCTTCCGCTCCCCCATGATACGGGGCTTCTAGCCTTGTGGAAACATCTTCTCGCCGCGAGAAGGACAAGAGGCGTCGGCGTATGAGCCAGCTGCATCGTATCGAGGGACGACGTTCGTGTCAGCTCCCGTCATCATCATCGTCGTCCACTACCAATAACACATCGTCATCCAGTGCAGCATCAGATTCAGACTGAGACATCATCATCCCGCAGCTGCCCACTTCCTCGTCCTCGTCTGATGAATGCACCTCGAGCTGATCCCGGTCCTCGTTCTCGTATATGTCCGAGTCCGAAATCTCGATCACTTCTATTTCGGGTCTGCTGGTGTAGTTCTCTCTTGCAATAGACGTAGCAGGGGAGGTAATTTGGACTTTATTGTCCTGTGGTCCCGCCGCCGGGGGCTGTAATGCTTTTTCGGCATCTCGTTCTTCCTCTTTCTGGACCATTTTTCCTGCAGCTGCTTCGTCCTCACTATCATCCTCTCCAGTCAGGTCAATCAACAAAGGAGGCTCCCTGTTGAGAACATTCCCGACAAAGGCAAATCCAGGAGCGTGGGGAGGGCGTGGTCGTGTGCCAGCAGGGCCTGACTGTTGTTGATTCGCGACTGCACTATGACCACTTATGATCCCTCGATTTTGGTTCTCATCACTGGCAACAAAACTTGCTGCAGGCTGTGGCCGTGGCACAACTAGGGCACCACTTGGTCCTGCAGCTGCCTGCTGATTCGCCGCGGCTATCACGTTTGCGAAAATGTTATCCACCTCGCTACCACTGTTTGGTGCTGAAGATCCGACGCCCGAAGAATTTATTATTATTTTGGACTTTGACGCCTGCTGCGACGAGGAAGACCCACCACGACCTGCACTTGTTGATACAAAGAAATCGTGGGCCGTAACTGAATTCGACTTCGGCTGAAGCAGCGTCTTCGGCGCACCTGTTGATGAAGCGGTAGATGCTGCGACATGATTTTTGATGTTGATGTTGTGCTGAAGAACCCCTGCAACTTGGCTCCCGTGGTCATCTTCCTTCTTCCGGATTTTTCTGCTCAGCGCGGCTTCCACCTTCCCAAAAGAGTCATCGTCGTCCGTTCCCCCAAGTACTAGTGCGTGGTCCGAGCCTCTTTCAGGATTCGAGCTCTCATCTTCGCTCCCCGCTAGAAGATCCGGAAACATGTTGGGACGCTTGTTGCCACGAAATGCTGGCGCGTTTTTGGTGAGAGCTGCGCTGCCCAAGCCCGTTGCGAAATTCCGCACATTTTTTCTTACTGCGGTGGATTTCTTTTCCCCATTTTCGCCGAAGGAAAACACTTGCAGCTGGTTCGCCTTTGGTTTCGCTGCTCCTTTCCTCATCGGCGGCCTTTCCTCCGTCTCCGCGAACTGAAAGTCCTGCTGCTTATCATCACCCACACCCATCCTACTTCCACCACCGTGATTCCTGTCGTTCTGCCCGGTTCTGCTACCGTGCTTCTGGACGATCTTTCTCGCCTCGCTCCGCACCGCGGTATGTTTTTTCAACGTGTGCATCCTGTCCATGGCGTAGCGCCTGGCCAGCCGCTCGTCCGCGATCGGGAAGTTATGGTAGATCGTGTTCTCGTCCGTGAGAAAGTGTGCGTGAAAAGCCAAAACCTGTGCCTCGAGGAGCACGCTGAGATCCTGGAGAAGCAGCTCCGTTTCTCGTTCCTGCTGTAGAACCACTTCGAGGCTTGCTTTTTCATGTTCGACGCCACTCAGGGCGGGGAACGAAGTCGGCTGCTCTTGCTTCGTTTTGTTCACAGCTGTTTTATTTCCCTTGCTTTTCTTCTGCCGGTCCTTGTGCTCCTTGTCGGCGTTCCACCAAGCGGCAGCAGCATCTGGGTCGTGCTCAGTCCGCGCCCAGGGCTGGTGGACGGATCGAGAGGGTTTCGTCTTGTCTTGCTTCTCCCTCGTCTTCGCGGCGGCCCCGGCGGCAGCCCTCGCTTTCGTTGCGGTCTTTCTCTGTCCCGCCTTCGCCTTTGGTTGTTTTTGCGCTCTTTCCAGATCGGCTGCTGCTGCGGCCCCCGCGGTGGCGTCTTTACTTATTTGCACGATTCGAACTCCGCTCCTACCATGTGCAGAAATACCTGCAGTAGTCGGAAAAACCAAAGTAGAACTTGTCGCGCCACCTACAACTCCTGTACTCGTCGTGGAACTGCTAGACAAGGAGACCCCTTGCTCGTTTGGCCGCCCATAATTATAGGCCTGCTCTCCTGTCGCGGCTGCATTTTCATTGTTCATATTATTCTTCATCGGTTCTTCACCTTCATGCGGCCGTGCCGGTAGCCACCTTTTCAAAAATCGGCCGTCGGGATCCTGGTCTTCGGACTGCTTAATCGGGTTGTAGCATCGGATCGTGTTGATGCCCGTCGTCCCGGCTTGCATCTGCACCTGCGGATAGTGAATCCCCGGCTCGTAGTCGGTGAACAGGCGTGCGAGGTGGATGGCCACCGGGCGCCAGTGCAGCCACAGGTGGAAGGTCGCGAAGCTGCACAGCATCGCGCGCATCCGAAAGTTCACCCACCCGGTCTCGGTCAGCGCCCGCATGCACCCGTCGACCATGGGGTAGCCGGTGGTGCCGGAGGCCGGGATATGATATGGGAAAATGAAATCACCTCAGTGTTCACCATCTTGTTGCCACGGCCCCCGATTGGATACTACAATTTGTGGTCATAGTACGCCCAGTACCGCCTAGTTCTATGCAAAGGGCAAGGATAGTATAGAAGCTAAGGGAAGTACTTACCACAAAAAATACCAGGTGAAAAAATCGGTGGCGAAGAAGATGAAGATGGCTTTCGCTTTTTTTCTCTTTTGATTTTTCGCAAAGGATAACAGTGGAGAAATTTCAGCTTGTCGACAAGCACGGAACGATCTTGCTCCACTTGACCATAATGTTGACCGCTTGAAGATGAAGTTTGGATCGGTGGTATCCGTACTATCGGAAGCTTTGTCTGGGAAATAAAAAGTCCATGCGCGCTATTTGTGCCTGTCGCACTAGTGTCACTCGTCCAGGAAGCTGATTCACCTTCTGCTGCAGGAGCTGCGTTTTTGCGGAAAAGTTCTTCACTCTCCCGCCGTACGACAGCCACTGGATTGTTCGCCCTGAACGCAGCGGCCTTCTGCCCGTCGATGCTGCCAAGAATGGCATCGAGAAGACGCGAAGATGAAGGTGGGTGCGACGATGATGGTCCTCTCGGCATCTTTTCCCCACAGTAGAAGTTGCCAACATGTTCTTGCTCGTCCAGATGCACGTCGTTGTTTGCGTCCGCACTAGCCATAGGGTGTGCTGACGAAGCCCAAAAAGTCTTCTTCCCCGCGACCCATCCCACGGCCCACTGCGAGATCGCCACGGCCTCAGCATCCGTGATTGCGTTTTCCTCGCGGATACCATTGTAGCCCGAGTGCAGGTTGCGAAACTCCAGTAACGGTTCGTCCTCCAGCTTCTGCCCAAAGTGACAGTGCCAACGCAATCTGGACGCGAAACTGTTCAGGTCGCGGCCGTTGACCGCGGAGGGGACTGATGCAGTAGCAGTGGTCGCGCTTGTTGTTTCACTTCTACCATAATCTTGACCTTGACCTTGAGGCCGCTTGTTTCTCGTTTTGTTGTTCCCGTTTTTCTTCTCTTCCGCTATTTTCCCACGCTTTTTCTCCGTGGCTTGAAAGACTTCCCGAAGACTGATCGTGCCAAAAGCCAGGTGTGGCGACAGTCGCGCACAGCCTTCCCACGCGGTAATGGGCGAACTAATGTTGCGGCTGTAGTTGGACGCCCGTTCCGCCAGGAAGCTTTCCAGCATCCAGATCGCGTTGCGACGGCCGCCCTTCTGCAGCGCGATGCAGTGGTCATCGACAAGGTCGAAAGCGGACGGAGGCGGAAACCAGGAGGAGGACGGTGTGGAATTTGATCCTCTCGTAGAAGTTGCAACATCTTTTGCAGGAGCACCTGAGGGGGCTACAGCCCGTCCTGTCAGCCCCGTGTTCTGCAGCAGGTCTTGCGAGACCTCCTCTCTGGCAGCAGCCGGATCGTCATCTTTAGGCCGCGTCTGCTCTTTCCTGGCACAAAAACTACCGAATTGCACATCCCCGCACGCTGCGTAAACTTCCTGAAACGTCGACGCCGCACGGTGGCTTTTGTCGCATACTTCTGTTGACGAGCGAACATTTTCATCCTCATGGGTGTTCTTCGGATGGGCATTGCATTTGTTCTCGGAGTTGTCAACACCTGTCTGCCCCTCGAGGGAGCACCCAAACCTGAATGCGGACAACCCCTGTTCTGGTACGCCGCCGGGACAGATGACCTTCCTAATGTCAAGCACCTTTTCGCGCATGAAAATTTCCCACTGTTTTGCCCAGCCGTCTCGGTTTTTCAACCTTCGCACCACCCCGGTTTGTCGCGGCTCTCTCCACCTGATGCCGTGTGCGTCCTATGCAAGAGGACAAGTCGTAATTCATCACTTTTATATGCCGCACACATAGCAAACGCAACACAAACTTATTTTCCGGCAAGAGGCTGCAGCTCCAGGCCGACGACGACATTTGTCTTCGTGGTGATCAGTAATAAGGGAGACGAACGCCCGATAAAGTGATCTGTTTATATCGTATGGCCCCCCTTTTTCGCCGACGCCGAAACTCGCAAAAGCCCCCCTTTTTTTTTGATATGCAAAGGAAATGCAACTGAAGAGGACCTGGCCCCTATGCATTGCCACGTCGTGCGGGTGATGAAATTCAGAACTCAAATTTACACCGGATAACTTGCAAAACCTCCGAACTTTCCGGTCGCGCTGGTAGGTCCAGTAGTTCCACGTTTCTTGGTGAGAGTAGAGCGTCTGCACAGAAAACCCGTTTTCCTGGAAGGAACTCCGCAACGCTTCCAGGGTCTCCACAACTTCGCCGACTTTGAAGAACAGCTGGAGCCCTAGCAACTGCTGCAAATCCTTCTGTAATTCCCTCACGCAGTCTTGCAGAAACAAGTAGTGCCGTCGTGAGAGATCCGGACACGTTTTCCACAGCGTGGGTTCCAGAATGTAGACGGGAAGCACAAAGTCATGATCTTGCTGGATTTGTGTTCTAGTACCGGGCACTCGGGACGGAGGGAGGTTTTTGTGTACGCTACTTGGTGCGAAGTCGACGTGATGATGGCCGTCCTCTGTTTTTCCTGCTGCTGACGTTGTCGACCTCGACGCCAAGGCCTCCCAGAGCGGGGCGTGGTCGTGGACACGGAGGTCCCGCTTGAACCACACGAGGGCGACGCGTTTCGGGTTTTTACCCGAAAAGTGTATTGCTTTGGTGCTGCTAGTACAACTGGTAGCCCCAGATGATGAGCTGCTCGACGAGGTGGACGCGCCGGAGTTTGCGCAGGCGGGCATCAACATTTGCTTAGCACTTTACTTACCTCCAAGTCCACCAAAAATCACGACTCTAGCACAAATCCGAATGGGAGCTCTAGTACTAGAGCGCAGCAAGAATGAAGAAAGCCAAGAAGTACGGGAACGGGGGATGTCCTAGTGGACGGGGTTCCCCGAGAGGGGAATCGGAATAAATCATGTACATTGCATGCGTACAATCTACAATCACGAGGTTTTGGTGAAAAAAAAAATCGGTATTTAGAATTAGATTTACATCCAAAAATAAGTAGAAGACAGTATAGGAAAGCAAGAGGCTGAGGTCCTGGAAGATTTCTTGCGACAGCATGAGCACTCTCAGTTTCTACCGTGTGGCGATGACGATGTTGGTGTTTCGGTCACCTTCACACCCCAAGCTGCAGGTAGGACGAAGTAGAAGTACTACAACTCTTCTTCTGCTCCGCCCTTGTTTCTTGAAAGGCAAAGGAGGACTCTGGTATACGTATAGTTTCCCCACCACCTTCAGCTGTGTTGGTTCGTTTCGGATCTTCTCTTGATGATGATGATCTCGTACTAGAAAAACCAGAGTACAATGGCGTAAAAATATGCTTATGCAGTCAAGCTGGTGCTTTATTGATTTTCAACACAAATTAATGTGTCGTTCGCCATTTCATTCTAAATTCGTTGCGTCTTCACAATCGACCACCAGCTAACAAGAATGCAGGAGCTGCTTCAGTCGTAGTTGTACCAACGCAAGTGGCATCGACAGCACTCGACGAACACTCCACTTCGACTTCAACAAGAACACGAAGAGAAACAGATGTGCGACTTTTTTACCTACTTATTTTGCGCGCCGGCGCTGATAGATTAGTGATGCACTTTTACTTTTGATTTTGATGCAGCTTGCTTCTTGTGCTCTAGGAGATATCGAGGAGTAGATTTTCTTTTCTTGGTCAGCAGTAGTTTTTATCCACATGATCCAAGTAGCTCCAGATGGTTTCCTCAGAACTAGAGCTGCTGTTTCCACCGCCGGAACTCGCCCTACTCCGCTTCTGTTCCCTCTCCTGCTCCATTCTTAATTGCTGTGGCGATTTCCGAAAATGGTCGTTCACCTGCATCGCTAGGATATCAACAGTAAAGTGCACCGTACAGATACACAACGCGCCCTTGCATGACAAAGCGAATAAAGCTCCTGTTCTTACTGTTACAAGTTTACACAGGATTCACAGAAAATTGCCTGCTTTTCGTTCGCCACAATACCATAAATACATGATGCATTTCTCCTGACTGTCTCTGTCACGCCTTGTAGTACCAGTACGGTGAAATAGAAGAAGTACTATCTCATAGACGACGAGAGAGGTGACCAAGCCGAAGTACCCCGCGGCGATGCCAAACTTCTGGGTATTCGGTATGTTGAAGAACCCCGGCGGCCGGTCCACGGGATCGAAAAAGCGCTGGTAGGTCGAGAAACAGCCCATCAGCAGCGTTATGTACAGCATGGGCGCGGTGGGCATCAAATAGATTAGCCCCGCGTTGCCGGCCAGGCCGCAAATCAGAAACCCGGGATGCAGTGCCCCCAGAATGCGGCCACCGTCCATCTGCCCCACGGGCATCAGGTTGAACAGATTGATCAGAAACCCCCAGTGGGCGAGGGCGAACGCGAGCTGGGACCCGGTCTGCAGCCCGTACAGAAAGGGCGCCACGGCCGCGAGGGAGCCGAGAACCGGGCCGGCGATCCCAATCAAAGCCTCGTGGGTGGCGTTCTTCGGTTGGTCCCGCATCTCCACGGCGGCGCCCATAAAGGGGAGAAACACCATGGGGCCGACGGGCACCTTCAGGTACCTGAATGACAATGATAATGAAGTGGATAAACATAACCGTAACCCTAGGTGAGCATGGCGGGCGATTTTTCATTTTCTCAAGTAGAGGTCGGCGAACTGAATGTAAGACACAGTCTGCGACTGAATCTGAAACATACAAATAGAAATACCTCATCATCAGAGCGTGGCCCATTTCGTGCACGAAGATGAGGGAAATCATGCCCAGCCCGTACTGCCACCCGAACACGTACGCGTAGGCGAAGCTGCTCAAGACAAGCGACAGCAGCGGGCCCATCTTCGACAACTTCAGGAGCGGTATGGCAACCTTCAGCCCCGGCAGCACCTTGACCGCGGCGTACCCGGCCGCGCCGACACCGAGGACCCGCTGCCAAAACCCGCCGCCGGTCGAGTCCTTGCGGTCAAATTGGTCACGGTTTGATCCGGAGCTTTTCCGCGCAAAGTGGCGCGCTTGTTCAAGATGCAGAAGTTGATGGTGTGCAGGGAGAAGGCCGCCCGCTTTGGTTTTCAACATGATCGAGGTAGTTCTGTCCCTCCTTATCAACTCGTCGTCATCGGGTGAAGCAGCCACGCAGGCTAGAAAGCCTCCAGGTGGGCTAATCCTTGTTTGTCGGTGTGGCGTGGCCAGTGCGGCATTCATTCCGGGTGGAACGTCCTTGTGGTGAGGCGGCCCCTCGTACTGTAATGGTGGTCGCGCAGCTTGTCCACCAGCGCGGGCCGCTGTGCTGTAGTTCGCGTTGTTACAACTGCCAGTCGATTGTTTCCCGTACAGCACCGAGCGCAAGGTCGCAGGAAACTCTTTGAAACTTGGATAACGAGAATCAACAAGGGATTCCGGCGGCGACTCGTCCACCCACTCCTGCTCCCGTCGCGGTCCTCGTCGTCCACCAATGTTGGGTACGTTACTTCCACTCCCGCTCGACGTCGACGAGGTAGAGCACGACGACGGCGCAGAGGATGAACTACAAAAGCACCTGCTCTGAAGAAACCTCCGCCCTTGGCTGGGGGCGCGTGCGTTAGCATCAAATGCACCAGAATTCCATCGCCTGGTTGTTGACGTACTAGTCGACGCACTGTAATGCTTGCGTAGTACCAGTCGACAGGGCAACTCGGCTGAACGGGGAAGAGACCAACGGGGCCTCCTCCTCGTCAGGTCGTGGGTTAGCTTTTGCATCAAACCAGAGTTCTTCACAGTCGCACTACGAACGGGCTGCGCGTGCGCGAGGAGGGTTTGCATTTTCTTGTACAATTTCGCTTTACTTCTAGTTGGCCGCAATTACGAGAGGAGAACGAGAAACCTGAGAGGTAAAACCATACGAGACAAGGAAACAAAATCCATCATCTCTCCAATAAATATTTTTTCGTGTCTCAACTAATTTTCGCTATCCTACCGGGAAAAAAAGCAGAGAGGGAGAACACGATGAGTCTCTGTATTCGAGTCTGAAGATCAACATATTCTGCGTATTCGATTCCTCGAAACAAGAAATGTATCACAATCCCAATCCGTATCTTCAGATAGAAAAAGTTATTCTCTCTCGGAATCTGCACGGAAACCATATCATTCCCATTGGCCTCTGGTATCCTCTTCCTCCATTGATCTAGGTACTGGCGGGGGTTTACGGCTCAGTATTCATTTCCAGGTTTAAGTTACTCACTTAAGTTCAGACTAGTAGATGCAACTGTCAAGGATAAGGAAGTTCTACATAAGTGGCTCAAAAAGCTTTGCCTTCTTTTCGCCGAAAGATGTGAAACACAGGCAAAACAAAAGCTCAAACAGATCCCGATTTCCCGGTGGTTGGAGGTCAAACTACAACTAGGCCTAGACGATACAGTCGAGCTCATCTATATTCATTTGGCAAAAATTCAGGTCTGCTCGAGCGCCTACTTTTTGATTTCATTTCATCCGGAGTGGTCAATACCTTTTTTCTAGTTTCTTTGTCGGCCTATTTGCCTACTATTTATACCGATTTATTACGAAAGTCAGTGCGAAACAAAAACGAAACGAAGTTCAAGAGCTCCTGCTCGACGTTGCGGTAACCACAAACACAAATGCAGTTCTGCAAAATCATTAAAGTTAAAACAAAATCTCTTAGTACAGTCCTCGAGTAAAAAACTCGTCGTCCTTCACGATTGTGATTGAATTCCTCCTCCACAAAAATTCTGGCAGCCCATCCATCCGGTCCAGGTTATCGTCCTCGTCCCAAAGTGGTCATGGAGTGTCAAGCTCATCTTCAACTTCTTCATCAGTCGCTATCCGTGCGCCTTCAGGAGCAGGGCGAGTGGTCCCTGCGTCAAGCAGCGAAGGTATCATGTTAATTGCTGTGTGAGTTGTAGGCTGGAGCACACTGCTGCTACTCGTTGAAATAGTTTCGGCGAGCCGTTCTAGACAGTTACTTGCTGTGGACAGTTGTAATCGCTGCTCTTGTCCAACAGTAGACGACATCTTCCCGGCGCTGGAAGCACTGGCGCAAGAAAAACTGCTGGTCGTAGACGTCTTCAGACGCTTCGCAGCTCGGTCTGCGACATGAGAAGGCGACAGAGAGATATGCTGGCCCTGCTCCTCAACAGCACTGTCGATGTGGTGCACTCCGCGCTTGTTGCTTGATCGCGCTTGATGTTCTGTCGCAACAGCAACAGAAACACAATTACCTTCGCCCACATCTTCCTCCAAGATGTGGACAAACCCATTTTGGATCCAGATTTGCTTCTGGGCTGCCATTTTGGTCAGCACACTCTCCAACTTCACGCTACTCATGCTCGTCTCGTCGCGCACCGTTTTTAACACCGTGTGCAGCGGCACAGCGGTGCTTTCCGCGTCACGCTCCTGCTGTGAAGCAGACAACAAGCGCAGCGATTGCGAGACGAGCCGCAAGTCATGCTCTGTCACGTTGGAAGCGGAAGACGTAATGTGGTCGCCGACAACTTGCTTTTGCTCGATGAAAGTGGACGAGGACGGCAAATTCGCAGACGCGCTGCTTGATGCGGGCTGAGAACAAGTAGCGCATTTCTTATTTGCCATCTTCGTGGTCGTGCTGGGATCTGGTTCTACTTCATCTCTTGCTCCTCCTGCGCTAGTACCAGCTCCGGTTTCCGCAGCACCGGCTGCACTAGTAGCAGCATGTTCATGAGAATCCTCGCCGAAGCGCACAGCAGCCCCCAGCGCGGTTCTTGCTGCTTCATCCACATAACCATCGGTTGTTCCAACATGGACGCCATCTGGTAGTTGTCCTCCCTGAGAGCAGGCGTGCGGGTCGACAACATTGCTCTGCGCATCTTTGGCGCTGCCTCTGCTCCGTAGCGCCGCGCATTCCGCTTCGAGAATTCTTACCCGGTGCGAGAAAAAACGTATCGACTGACGACACGTCTCCGTCTTCAAGGCTGCGCGGTGCGCCTCGTTGGCGGCGACAGCGCGTTCCGCAGCGTAGGCCGCGATCGCCTTCCTGAGCGCGTGGTTGGGTCGCAATTTTGTGGATATCAGTGCCTTGCCCGTTATCGGCGAAGTTCTGTTGCCAGTCTTGAACCACTCCGAGATGGCAGATCGGTCGTAGGTGTGGCCGTCCTTCGTGCACACCGGATCTTGCATGACATCGTGCAAAATCGGACAGCGGAAATCTGCCAACATCGGAAACAAAGCCTCGGGATCGACCGTCGACGCAGTCGTGCTTGCAGAAGGCGCTGCGAAAGCGGCCGCGTCCCGGGCAGTGGCGGCAACCACCTCAAGCCTGGTGTTTTCCGCGACCTGCCGATACGAAGTTTTGATGCGCCGGACGGTGTCCAACGTTCGCAGTCTGGCGATTTCCTTCTGTTGGTCCTCAATGCGCGTGTTCAGCGGGAGCGTGCGGAGCCGCCACTCAGATTCCACTCGCTGCGCGCTCAGCTGCCAATGAAGTTCCAGACTTTTCAGGCGCGCCACCTCCGTGTTCGCCGCCTTTCGCTCCTCTCGCAGCCTGCCGTTGTCCTGGTCTGCCATCTTCACGACGCGGGCGACCTCCTTCCGTAATTCGCTGTTTTCCGTTTGGAGTTTCTTCTCGCGGCCGCTGCGCTCAAGACAGCTCTGCAGGTTCTTTTCGTTTTCGTGTTTTAGCTTCTGCACCTGTGTGGTAAGCTCCAACTCGCTCCTCCGGAAATTGCTGTTCTCCTCTTGCAACGCCTTCACAGTTTGCGCATTCTCGCGTCGCATCTTGACGCCCTCGCTTTCCAAGAGTCTAAGGCGGAGCTGCAGCCTCTTGATTAATTCAGCTTGCCCGTCCTGTAGTTGCGTGTTCCTGTTCGACGGCGGGACGACCGCACTCTGCAGGTTCTTTTCGTTTTCGTCTTTTAGCTTCTGCACCCGTGTGGTAAGCTCCGACTCGCTGTTCCTGATTTTACTGTTCTCCGCTTGCAGCGCCTTCAAGTTGTGCGCATGTTCAAGGCGAGAGCTCTGCAGGTTTTCCTCCATTTCGTCTTTTAACTTCTGTACCTGCGTGGTAAGCTGGGACTCGCTGTTCCGGATTCTGGTGTTCCTCTCTTGTAACGCCTTCACTATGTGCGCTTTCTCACGTCGCATATTAATGCTCTCGCTTTCCAACTGTTCAAGGCGGAGCTGCAGCCTTTGGATTAATTCAGCTTGCCCGTCCTGTGTCGTATTCGACGGCGGGAAGACCGCGCGCGCGTCTTTCAGCTGTTTTTTCAGGTTCGTGTTTTCCTCTTGCAGCTTTCGCCTTTCGACATACACTGCTAACCCATCATCGTCCTGGGCCGGCTCCTGTACGATGGCTTTGCTGGTCGATGCCTGCGCGGTCGACTTCGTTTCCACCGAAGAAGTGCCGGACGGCTGGAAGCTAGTGCAGCCACTACCGCGCACCAGCACTGTGTCTAATTGCGCTGCGTGGTTGTTGTGCAGCTTTGCTACGTACTGGCAGTGGCAGTCCACTACTCGCTGCAAGTCTGCGATCGTCTGTTCGGACTGCGTGACCTTGTGCTGCAGCTGCAGCAGGCGATGTCCGCACAAGTGGGCCGCGTGCCCGGGACCAGCGACCCACTCGAGGCCGTAACGACGTCGAAAAAACGTGTCGATTTGGGCCCGTAGCACGAAATTCGGAGCAACTACAGTGGACGGGAACTGCGACCGGGTGAGAGGTGAGATAAGGGCTGCGCCAGCCGCAGCTTGTTGTTCGAAATACCGCTTCAGCTGACTGCGTGAGTAGGAGTAGCCGTCGGCTGCCCGCACGGGATCCCACATGATTTCTTGCGAAAGCGGACACTTAAATGCGGCAGGAATATCGCCGTGTTGTTGTGGCCCGCGCCCGGCGGCTGATTCTAGTATTTCCGCGAGCAGAGCAACAAAAATGCCCTTCTCCTCTTGCTGCGGCGTCTTTAGCGGCGCAGCTGCTAGAGCTCTCCTCAGTGCGGAGTGGCCGGCGACTTCTGGGGCCTGCATTCCTGCTCGGGATTCCGTGCCGGCGCTTCTGCTTGACGAGGAAAAGGACATTTTGCTACAGCTACTGCTACGTACCTATCAAAAAGTATAAGTAGGACTATTAGCAGCTCTTTGTTTGTTTTACCCACGTCGTGTCCACGATGAAGTAGAGGTGTCAACTTTATGTAGGAGATGGCTTCGGCGATGACGTTCTTTTTTGTACGCTCTTCTTCTCCCTTTTTGCACTCAACACATCATCAGTATGCACTCCCTGTCCCTCTATCCAATAACGATGCCAAGTCCTCAAAGGTTTTCCTTGCATTTGTATGGTTAAAAAATGCGAGGGGGGACACATCGACGACGACCAACAGCTAGAGATTTGCAAATTCGTCTGATCTGTGAGCAGTGTTCACAGTAGAAACCGCCGCAGGCAATTCTACGCTTGCGTCTAAAGTTCACGTCACAACTTAAGGAAAGCGTCTGTTTGCGGCGGGGGGAAGACGCTGAAACACCTTCACGGGGAAGAGTTCGCGACTCGTGAAGCCGTGTTTCAAAATGAAAATTAAATAGACGAACGACATTAGCATTAATACACAGTTAGCGACTTGCACTCCATTAAATCGATGGCGATCCCTCAACAAGATACTTCTAAGACTAACTCTAGCTCATGCTGTCAGGTAAACCATGTCAGCCTCGATAATAATCTTTCTCTGTTCTACCATCCTGACCAAGCAGGCAACAGTCGTTCGGTCGTCAATATCAGTCTCGCTGCGTACCTTCTTTTTCAGCTCACTAAGGGGCACGTCGTATCTTTTCAACTCCGTGAACAGTCTGAAGACCGTACGCTTGAAAGCCGTCAACGAAGCTTGATCCAATTCTTGTTCACGTTTTTCTTCTTCTGCCTTGCCCTCGTCTACTTCCCCGGATGATGATAATTCTGCTGCGTCGAAGGATCTGCTTCTTGCACTTGCACTGCTGGACAAAGAAATTGCGTCAGACTCACGCTTCCGCATGGGATCCAAAAACACCCGCTTCGCAGCTCTCCAGCACGAGGTTTCATGACCATCTTGCTCGTCGTCCATACTGATGTTCATCCTCCTGCGCTTGTTACTAATATTTCGAGACGCGGCGCCCGCGCCGGATAGCAACACAGGTCTTTTTTCAATTTTATCAACCGGCACCTCCTCGTCGTCGTCGTCGTCTACTTCAGCCACTACGAATCTGGTTCTCTCCGGATCCAAATGCACAAATCCGTTTTCGATCAGAATTTCCTTCTGCTGCGCAATATGGATTGCAAAAATGTCTGGGTCTGGAAGAATTCATGTTTGTCATGCTTGTCTGGCGTGACTCTTAAGTCTGTCATGCGCGTTACCCTAGAGCTCCGTCTTTCTGTGATGCAGAAGCGCAGTTTGTCATGCAGAATAGGCAACACCTAGGAGCTCAGAAACTTGTCATGCTGAGCCAGCATGTGTAGCCTCATCATGAGACGACACCCAGCATCACAAGTTTCCAGACCCAGACATTTTTACATTTGATACGCAAGTTCGCTGAGCGACTTCCCGAGCCGAGAATTGCTGATGGTGGTTTCCGCACGAATTCTGTCCTGCAAAAGATTCATGGGCACGACGTCGGTGTTGCGTTCCGCAAACACGCGAAACAGCGCAAGCCGCAAGTCGTACGCCGCCGTCGAGATTTGTGGCCCATCCGCTTCAGCATCTTTTTCTTGTTGAGTCGACAATTTTTCTTTCGAAAACACAGACGGGGCTACGGCGATGAGCGCGCTTCCTCGCGTGGCGTTTTTTATCTTTCTCCCACTGCTGCCCCTCATGCTCGAATCCTCGCGGAAAAGCCCGAGAATGACACGGGCGTCCTCTGCGTCCCGCAATTCCGCAGCCTCTGCCCCGACTGCCCGTCCCTGCAATGCCAAAAACCGGGCGGACTCCTTGTAAGAGTCTTTTGTTAGTGCAGCACGCTCCGCCTCCTCCTCGAGGGCCGCGCGCTCGCGCTGGATGTCCGCCGTAGCGGCTACCCGCTCCGCTAAATAGGCAGCGATGGCCTTCCGCAGGGCGTGATTGGTACGCAGCGTCGTGAATTTCAGAGTCTTGCCCGTGATCGGCGACGTTTTGTTGCCCGTCCGGAACCACTCTGCGATGGCGCTCCGCTCGTAGGTGTGGCCGTCGTTTGTACAAACTGGGTCCTCCATCAATTCGTGCATGATCGGACACTTGAAATCATCTAAGATTGGGAACAGATCGTCCGCTTTAATTTCGCCATGATTTTTAACTAAGCCGCCCCCGCCCAGGAGACTGGTCGCGCGGCCAGAAGTCGTTGCGCTTCTTCCTCCAGCAGGACCACCGGCAGACACAGCTGCAGCGCTGTTCTTCGCTACTTCAGCAGCGAGCCTAGCATTTTCTTCTTCCAACTGCTTGACGCGGTCGCCCTGCTTAGCGTTTTCCTCCTCCAACTGCTTAATGCGCTTGCCCTGCTTCGTGCCTTCTATCTCCAACTGCTTAATGCGGTTGCCCTGTTTCGTGCCTTCCGTCTCCAGCTGCTTAATGCGGTTGCCCTTATTAGCGCATTCCTTCTGCAACTGCTTGATTCGGTCGCCCTGCTTTGCGCGTTCCTTTTCCAACTGCTTAGTGCGCCCGGCCTGCTCCGTAGTCATGCGCTGGTTGTTAGCTTTCATCTGCTGGATGCAGGCCTCTTTCTCCTGCCGCAGTTTCGTGCTCATATCGAGCTTCTGCTGCATCGTTCGCGTCTTTGTCAGTTCCACAATACGCATATGCTCGGCATTCTCATACTCGCGCGTCTTTTCTGAGACAGATTTCACTAAGCGGTTCTTCTCCATCGTCACGCGCGCGATCTCCGTCCGCAGATTTGTGTTTTGCTTATCCTGTGTCAGACTTCTAATACCATCTTCGGCTGCAGCCGCAGCTTCTATTTGGTGTAGTGAGCATGTTGTAGATGTATGAAGACTCCACCGTAGAAAAACCACGCGCAAGACTACAAGACAAACTATTTCTGCAGCACCTGGTGCTGCAATTTAGGCATGACAATCTGACTCTGAGGTGGACGATGGCAAGGTTAATACGCAAAGGATAATCCTGCGCCAAAGTTCTGATGACTGCAACCTGCTTCTGCGCTTGGCTCGGTTCCTGGTCAGTACCTGCATCGTGAACTTGTTTACAGTTTGCCCTAGCTCCGCCATGAAGCTGATCACCACGACGGGGTTCTGATGTCTTTACGTCGGTGGCTGTCGCTTGATGTTTCTTGTGTAGCTGTGCAGGCGCTTCGCCAGCAGGTGCGGGTGCTCCCCCCGAGGCTTCTGCTACTTTTTTTCCGAACAAAGTCTGGGACGATACGAACGCGGTCTCCGTTACCCAACTGCGTTGCGGTCGTTGCCTGCGCAGCCTCGAGTTCTCTTCCGCGAGTTTGTCGATGCGGGCAGCCTGTTGCTCCACTTTATCAAATTCCGTGGCATTTTCCTCCACAAGCTTTGCGATACGAGCTGTCTGCTTTTTCACTTGGTTTTTTGCCTCAGCTTTCTCCTCCACAAGTTTTGCGTTCCTAGCGGTCTGCTGTTTCACTTGGTCCTCTGCCTCCGTCTTCTCCTCCGCGAGTTTTGCAATGCGTGCGTTTTGTTGTTCCGCTTGGCGGTTTGCCTCGTCCAGGCGCAAGTTGCGTAGGTGTATTTGTCGCCGGTATTCCTCGTGCAACTGCTTCACGTGTGCGCTGGCGCTTTCCTGGTGGCGCTTTAACTCTTCTTGCTGTCTTTGATGCTGCTGCTCCATCTTGTTCTTCAGTCTTGCTTTGTCCTCTTCCCATTGGCGAACCCGGGCTGCGTGATCCTGCTCCTGCCCGCCCTGAATGCAGTTGGCATGTTGACGAGGATGAGTCGGGTCATCATCATCAATCCGTGCGGGTTTGGCGGATGTAGCCCTCATCTCCATTATTGCGTCCTCCAAAACCGAAATACGCGCTCTTTAACTTGATTTTTATCTTGTTTGCAACACAACACGCTGGTGGTCGTGACGAGTTCAAAATCGAAGATAAAGATAATCAGATGAAAAGAGACGGACGACTCAAACTGTGTTGACAAACACACGTCAAGAAATAGATCGATGTCCGTGCGGGCCTCTACTCTTGAAGATCTCATAGAAGTTTTCACCGTAAAACTTTATTTCGCAGACACCTAGGGCTCAGACGCGATCATTTATCACTACTTTGGACGATCGAGCAACATGCTCATCTTCCTGGTGACGAACCGACAACTATTTCTACTTGTGAAAACGCATGATGTGGGTGGAAGCACAAGCGCGGGGCTCCAGTGGAGGGAGCGGTTCGTCACACTTACCAAAATCTTCAACACTTCAAGTCGAACAAGAAAATGCCGACGCCTCGTTGTGAGCACAAGCATTGGCTCTTTCGGATACAGACGCATGCTCCAAGGACAACTGTCATTTGATTTTTTTCAAATGATTGAGCAACAGGATTATACCTATAACAGGCACAGCACTTCATCAGAACTGCAATTTTTTTCCCTAATGTAGATGTGGTCCTGCGACACTTTCACTTGGCTCTGTCCGGTTCTGGTATCCTGCTCGCCTTTTTAATTATCTTTGCAGTCAACATTTCAGCAAATAAAGCGACATCGCCTAGTAGACACTGTAGGCTGCGACCGTGCTCTTCAGATAAACTGCGTCATCGGCGATGACAATTTTTCCCTCCGACTGCAGTTTTCGTAAGCTCATGGATATCTCGTACTTGCTCAAGGTCGTATCGTCGCGTAGCCGTTGCTCGAGCCAGTATCGGTGAATCTCCTTGCTGGAAGCACAATACGAAGCGAGGTCAGCGTATATCCCAAAAAGCACAAGACGGCATGCTTCCAACGCCGCGTCAGTCGAATGAGCTTTATTGTGGCCGTGCTCAGCATTCGTAGTAGGTGCTAACAACCTCTTTACCTCGTAGGGGAAGTCACCGAAGGAATCTACCGCGTTAACGAACCGCTTCGCAATCCCTTCCGGTACTGCTCCTGAAGAAGAAGAAGAAGAAGATGATGCAGGCAAGGTAATACTGTACGACGTGGACGTGCAGGAGGCAGAGGCAGATTCTTGTTTCCGCTTATTGCTTTTCCCTGTCGTCGGCGACTCCAACAGCATCAAAGCGACTTTGCACATCTTCATCGACGCGACCGCGCATTTCTCTTCAAACTTTCTCCGGTCCGCCACTTCCACGATGGCTGTAGCGCTTTCCCAGTCAAACCGTTTTTGCTCCTTCCAAAACCGACAGAACAGTCCGCTGTCCGCCAAAGCAGTGCGATCGTTCCAAAAGACTCGCAGCAGCGCGGGACTAATACTGCACTCGCGCTGCGCCGTTTGGTTCACAGCGGACAAATATGCAGACTCTCTTCCCAGCACACTTGTTCTTGTTTTCAACAGTCGCGAGATCAGAAGCAGGAAATCGCTCCACGACGCGTGATTGTCCGAATGTCTTCCGCCGGATGCGACGATGGCCTCCTGCCGGTCCAAAATGTATTGATAGCGTTCGCAATCCAACTTCGAGCCCAGAAGCGCTGTTCCTGTTTTTATCTCTACTTCCTCTTCGTCCTCTTCCACATCAACTAGCACGCGCTGACGTCGAGACTCCTCGGCCTCCACTTCAATCTTTCGCACTTTGAGCGAAAGCACAGACGTGGCTTCCTTGTAGGAGTCAAGAACTTTCTGCATGTCCTGCTCGGCTTTCCGCTTCGTCGATGCTCGCAGAGCCCGATAGTTGGCGATGGCTTTCCTCAAAGCATGATTTGGAACCAGAACCGTGCTTGGCAACAACTTGCCGGTAAGCGGCGACGTGTCGTGTCCTCCGTCGAGCCAGCGCGAGATAGCGGTGCGCTCGTACGTGTGTCCATCGCTTGTAAAAACTGGATCGGTCATCAGTTCGTGCAAAATTGGACATTCAAATTCCGCAGGGACCACCGCTTCGTCTTCTGCTTCTTTCTTTGCGGACAACATTTTTTTTGTCGTCCTGTACCCTAACAACCCCTTCGGGCGGTTCCGTAATATCAAATTACTTATTAATTATGCGGCTGTAATGCTAGATTCAACACATGACAAGCAGAGGGACCATCTTTCTAAGTATCATGCCCTCGCCCGTCAGCAAGAGTAGGTTTACCGTCGGGCCTACTTGCAAACCTCCAAGAATACTGCATATCGGTTTCGCGCATCTTGTTCTTTAGTGTTGGTCAGTCTTTGCTTCCTGTTTTTTAATGGTCTTTACTTTTGTTTAGCTCTAAACGAAAGACGATCACGAGAACGAAAGCGAAATTTGGTTCCAACTCACAATGAATTTGCGTCGGGAGCGGGACGAATTCGACCATAAAAGTTCCATGTTGAACAAAAAAATGCTGAACACGTCAACGCTTCCCTTCTTTTGAATCCTATTCGTAATCGCATTCGTAGTTGCCACTGCCAACACTGTTGGAATTACCATGGCGCACGGTAAAACCAATACCAAAGGCCGTCTTTATCGAAGGAGAAATACGGAATTCAAATTTCTGTTCCACTTCTTACTTCTACTTCTTTAGCATCAATTACACGACAGCAAAGCTAGAGCTTCCTTATCCTCCGCCGTTAGCGTGGTCGTTACTTAGGAGACAACTATCACTAGACACTAGTCTCTACTTTGACTTTGTAGTGCACACCGCTTTCTCTTTCCATCCGCTGAATTTTCTTTTCGAATTTTCGAGCGTAATTCGTCAAATATGTTTCCTGCTTCTCTACCGTTTTTTCAAACAGCGCCCCCATCTCCCCCAAAAGTCGCGCGACGGTATCGCGAATCATCCTCGTGTGCCGCAAATGCGCTTCCTGCATCAGAGATTTCGGCAATGCTGTAAGGCGGTGATTATTCGGGGAGCGGGAGAATGTCGGTGAAGAACCGGGTGATGATGAACCATCCTTCTTGATCACTGAGGTTTTTGCAACCCCCGTGCCCGTTTCCACCTTCATCGTTTTTAGTGACAGTAACCTTCTCGCCACAATTTCCACTTGCGTCGCCAAGTAAAATCACGGTGAAAACAAGAAAGATCTCTTCTCTGGTATCACTTGTCTCGTTACGTCGCAACTTTTAGTTCTGTGGGGTTGGGTGGTCGTGCTGATCAATGTTGCGCAGGAACAGAATAAAAAAGACGGATACGGCAGTTTTCTGTGTCGTGCGGTGCCATGATTTTCTATCGTGGTTCTAATTTCATCGTCGCATGCAAACTTTGCAAAAGCTAGTGAAGATGATTACGATCTAGCTCCTTTTCCAACTGTCATAGACAGTCCGCGTTCTCCAACGTTTCCTTGACCTCGTCAAAACAGGACTGCAACTCTTTCTTCAACTCTATCAACCCAATCCGCGGGTCCCCGACCCCTGCCAAGTCGAAAAACTTCCCGATCTTGATCCACGGATCCGTCGGGTCGGGGGCGGGTTTCGTTTTCAAAAACGCTTTGCTGTTCGCGCGACTTACAGACTTTTTCCGTGTCAAGTTCTTGTTTTTGTCCCCCTCATCATCGTCGAACAGAACGCTTTCCGCATTCCCCGTTCCAGAAGCGTCCTCCTCGCCGGAAAAGTCGATATCGTCAACATCTAGGCTTGAAAAATGCCGCTGCACGTCGTTGAACAACGCGGTCAGGCCCTCGGCGGAAAGCAATCCGTCAAAATCCACGTGCACGTCGTCAAATTCGTCGTCCAATGGATTGCAAATGTGTCTGGGTTTGGAAGAATACAAACTTGTGATGCGCATTTCAGAACACAGAAAAATCTCGCATGCATAGGTAGCAGAGGCTGCCCACTTTCTGACAGCAAAGTGGGGGATTTGTCATGCGAATTCAGCACTGCGGAAGCTTCTCGAAACGTGTGATGCTAGATCTTCCATGCCAGACCTTCTGTGTCATGCACTTCCATGCCAGACCTTCTGTGAAACAACATGACTCTTCCAGACCCGGACATTTTTGCATTTGATACGTCCTCCAGAGCCTCCGCCGCGCCCGGGTCGGCTTCGATCTTTTCATCCGCTCTGCCGCCCAGTTTCTCCCCCAGGGGATCGGACTGCACCACTTCCGCCAACAATTCCTTGTCGAAAACGATATTATCCTTGCTGGTGCGCAGAAGCGTCGGGGGGGAGGTTTCATCTTGATCTTGCTCTCCTGGAGGTGCAATCGTGGTATTGTTTGCGTCTTTTGAAGCTCCTAAACCGTCGCCCCCACCGCCTGCGTCCAACTTTAACTTGCACAGAACCTTCGTCAACAAGGCCGCCCGCTTTAATTTTTCCGCGGCAGCCAATTTCACGCCCTCGACGTTCTCCCGCGCATCCTTCTCGAGCTTTTGCAGCACCGAGACTAATTTCTTCTTTTTCTGCATTTTTTCCTGCAGTTTCGCAACCCGGATTTTTTTCCCTTCCTCCTCTCTCTCCTTCTGCTGCTGCTTTTCTATTCGCGCCAGCAAATCCTCTTCAAACGCGAGACCTGCCGCCGCGAACTGGGAGAGCACACACTTCCGGAATGCTTTCGTTAGATCCCGCGCCGCGCACGCAAACACCCCGTGCACCGCGGCGGTCTCTTCGCACGCCAGCATGCAGTGCGCACTGCAAAACAGGTTCGCGACCGTGTTTCGGAACTCCGGGGTCTGCCACGGCGGTTGGCTCGTGGTCTTCGTCGGTGGGTCGCTGGCTATATTTTTTCTTCCACTCGTTGGAGAAGATCCACCAATTCCGCGTCGGGCCGGGGAGCACGCGGAAATCGACAGGGAACAGGAACTTGTAGAGGTGTTCGAGTCCGTTTTACCTTTATTGTTATTCGTGCTTCTCGTCGCCCGCATAATTGCTGGATCTGCTTCCTGTAAGTAGGCCGACCTCTCGGCCCGGTGGAGAAACGCCTGCAGGAAGTCCGTGAGTACGATCGACTGCCGAACCGCGCCCTCTGCTATTCGCGTGTTTCGTAGTACACCTTCAACACAGCGGGGTCCCTGCTGGTCACTTCCTTTTACTCGTGACGGTGATCCTGCTCTGTCTCGCTCCTGTGTAGCAGTATCCTCTTCCACTTGCAGGTTGACCAGCTTTCGTGCGGCAGTATCCTATGGAAAGCTATCGCAGTCAAAAAAGACTAACACTACGTTCGTTGCAAATACAAACGACCCGAGACTACTCTACACTACTCTAAATTCCTTAGCTGCCTCGAGATAACAAATTTTCATTGTGCAAATTCTTATTTCTTGTATTCATCCGTACATAAATGGTAATGGCTGCGGTTCATCCACGATGTGCTAGTTCTACGATCTAGCTTCATCTGCAAGTACTTCTGGATAGATCGCGGCGACGAGCAAGAGCATTTCCGAAATTTTCAGCGCCAGCCCGGGATTATCAACCACGTGGTGAAAGTGGATGGCGGTCTCCAATATCGAAGCAGGTTGTAGTTGTGATGATTCCGGAACAAGTTGTCTCGTGTCTGTCCCGATCGTGCCTGTCGTGTCTCCAACATGGGTCCTCAACAAAACGAACGTCTTCTGCGGATAACTGTCGGTGTGTCGTGAAAGTTGTCGCCATACAGCGTCGTCCGACGAGCGTATCTTTTTCATTAGCGAGGTTGGGTTACTACATCTAGTACCTGGTGATGTAGTCGTCACACCTCCAAGTAGACCTCCTCTTTTCACTGTTTCTCTTCCGCGCCCGTCGTCGTCGTCCTGCAAAAGTTGCTGCGCTAGCAGCACGGTGAACATTTTCCCCAATTTTTCTTCGCAAATGCCCAACACCCCCTGGAGCCCGTCCGCGTCCTTCCGGGTCATGTAGTTTCCCGCAACTTTCGCCAGCTCCTCGCTATTATGCATTGCAAATACAGTATTGGCGCAGGCAGTAATAGTGGAAAATCGTACAAATTTGCTTAGGTAAGTGTGTCATGCAGACTCTGGCTCAAAAGCAATTTCTGTTTTTATTCGTGGTCCATACTTGACTGCAAAATCACTACGACTACGATGCAGCTTTTGCATTGCGTAGCAGTCGCCAGAGGCCGGAAGCCGGGTGACGTCCAGTAGCTGGGCGGACGCGCGACTGTCCGAGGCAGAAAGTTGCAACATTGCCTATAATCGCAAACGTGAGAAAGAGAAAGACACTGACAGAAATAAAGACGCAGCTCGGCTCAAAAAATCTATGAAACCCTCGAGCTCGACCGCCGTTGCTTTCGTCTTTTGTCTGGCTGCAGGAACAACCGCCTTGATGGCTATTACTCAACCACCTCGTCTTTGCTATTCTTCTCGTCGCTCGTCTTCCACCTGATGCGCTGTGCATCATCATGATCCGCTCGATGAAAATGTTCAACTACTCTTCTACACGCCTCTGCACAAGCATAGAAAACTTGCTACTTACATTTTTGGGTTATGATCAACGATACTGTCTCGACGAAGAGGCAGCAGGAGCAGGAACACTAGTGTTAGAAGTGTCGTCGTCGGAATGCCGGCTCCCCACTGACCGTCGTGGTGCGTGCCGTGTGGCACTCACAAAACCTGCACGTCCTCAAACTGCTACTAACTTTTTTTCGGATACAAGAACGGGGATGGGGAACAAGGGCTATTGCTATACTCTTGTTTTTGTACTTATTTGAATCGGAAGGGGAAAAAAGTAATGATGACACGTGGTCCACCATCGAAATAAAAATAATTGGGATCTTCTACCACAACATTTTCTTTGCGTGCTTAGTTGAGTTGAATGCAATATGGCACGGCTAGCTGCAAATGTAAAACGCTGTAGATGGATGAACAGATATAGGGAATCAATGGAAAACAGCACGATCACGAAAAAATCGAAAAAAAAGGAAAAACAAGCTTGTCGAGCTTTTATCAATGTCAGCATCGATCACACACACACACTCTACATCGGGGAAAAAACTACATGCACGAAGGCCGCAGCTTTCTTTCAAGAACAAATACAAAATGAAAATGCTTTATCTGAGCCATATCTACGTATCGGTATCCGTTATGCGAACATTTTCTCTTCCTGAATCGTCGGCGTTTCTCCTCGGCGTAGCGTCAACTGCATGTTCGTTCTTGGCAGCCACGCCGGCCCCTCCAATGCGATTTCATCGGCTCCTGGTTGTTTTGAAGATGAGCTACTAGAAGCGCCAGAAGATGCACCGGCTGCTTGTCCGACGGGCTTTGGCTTTGCCACCGTCTTTGACGAGGTAATCTCCAAACAGGTCGCCTTGCGGATGATACGCGAAGGAGTTCTTGTGCTGCTACTCGACGAGTTGGAGGTAGATGAAGACTCTACGCGAATGACCAGGTAGCCACAATTCCGACGATCCCAGGTCGTCATCCGCTGGCGCATGAGTTCCAGCATCGTTTCGCTCTCGCCCTCGACCTCCGACGTCGGAAATAGTTTACCAGCAAAGTGCGCAGACACGGCAGCGGAAAGCTTGGAAGTGGAAGATGTGTTTGATTTTTTATCGTTTGGTGTTCCTGCTACTTTCTCGTTCAAAATCGCTAGTTTCTCATACTGCTCCTGGAGTTGGTGGACGGCCTCGTAGGTCGTTCCGTTGGTGATGTTCGCTTGGCGCAGCATCGTGGCAATTTCGGTCAGACGCTCGACAAAGTCTAAAGGGGTGGTGTAGTTTTTATTTGATGCAGAGGATTCGTTTTCATGATCATGATGATGATCCACTATTTTTTGTTGACCTTGGTCTTCTACTTCTTCCGTTTTTGATGCTGAAGATGCTTCATCTTGAGTTTTATTCACAATGTTCTCGTCGTCCTTGTTACTACTCCCTGCAAACATCGCTTCCTGCGCGGCTAGCACGTCGCGCAAGGCCGCGTAAATCTTTTCCTCCAGCTCCGTTTGAAACAAACTGGAAGATGAAGTTGTAGATGTTGAGTTATTGTTATCGCTACTGCTGGGGGCGGCGGGGCGAGGAACATCCAGATGTTGAACTTCTTCTAGTACACGACTAGCATTTTGGTTCATTGCTGACGTGGTCGCGGAGCTGGAGTTGCTTCTATTGGAACTACTGACAGTCGTCCCCGTACTTGTAGGAGGGCCTGTTGTAGTTGCGGTTGCTACTTGTTGTTCCGCAGAACTATCAGATGGACCCGGGTCCTCGTGGATTTCTTTTTCGTCTCTTATTATTTCGGTTCCACTTTTTTGTTCCACCTCTGATGTAGAAGTAGTTGTTATTTCCGACGTCGTTTCTACTTCGGTTTGTTGTTGGTGGTGATGATGTTCTTCTACTTCTACTTCCAAAAAAGAGCTAGTGCTTTGCTTTTGGCCCCCGCAACAGAGCGAGTCGGAAGTTGTGGCGAGCAGATTTTTTGGCGATGAGGACGTCAAGTCTGCATTTCCATTTGATGAGCCTCCTGTTACAACACTTTGTTGAATCGGCGGAGGGTTCCTGACGGTGCGTCGATTATTTTTCGAAGATGAATCTGAAGAACTCCAGAGGAAGCTCTCTCCACCCTGCCCGCCGGTCTGCAGCGCCAGGTGGTTGCCTAATTCCTCCGCCAGCCCAGCGATCGTGTCCGTCAGAGAAGTTTTCAGATGCGTGTGCAGCCGCTGCTGGGCCGTCAGGTCGAGCTCGCGCAACACGGAGGAGGAAGCCGGGACTCTCTTCAGCGTCCACACGGCAGGGGCCGGTCGTGGTCGTGGTCCTTCTTGTTCATCATCGTCAGTGGTAGTTGCTGCAGAAGATGAGGACATCGACTCTTCTTCTTTCAATTGCATGAATAGCAACCACTGCTCCGGGTCCTCAACACAGACGAAGGACGTCCCCGTGGTGTCGGCGCTGACATCGTCGCAGCCGAGCGACTGCTTGGAGAACAAACCCGTGGCAAACGCGCCCAGTTGCATGTTCAGATTAGTGTACCGCCATAGGCCCTCGTTTTGGCAGTAGTTGAACAGGTTCAAGCCGTCCTCCATAAACTTTTTGCAGTACCCCGGCATATTTGGGTAGTAGGCCCCTCGGTAGTCTCCACCTCCTACGTGAGCTATCGCCTCGTCAAAAAGCAGAACGATCTTGCAACAGCTGATCCGCTCGTTCACGGCGCCGAAAGCCGAGTCGTGATGGTAGTGCACGTTCATGACGCTGTCCTCGCCGACGAAGTTATCAAAGTGAACATAAAAGCCCCCACCCCATACAAAAAAGGAAACTTCTGTAGCTGGATATTTTCTGTAGTACACAAAGCGGCGCATTTTTGCAGTAAGGGCTTGGAGGCATTTTCTAAGCCTGATTGGGTGTGCAAAAGAATAGAAGATAGGCATCTTCATGGCAGACAGCTTTGCACGAGAAGTGGGCAAAAACGTATTGCAGATTGGCTGCAGAACGCGCCAAATGGTTCGCACTTTTTACGCCATCTGCAAGACAGACCTGATATCGATATGCGGTTGAGGTCACAAATCAGCATCACAAGGAAGATTCCGGTAGTTTGAGGATGGGGAGGTGGCGGGATTTTTCATTACGATAGAAGTCCTGCTCGCCGAAGCAGAAGCCGGACTTGATGTTATCCCTGTGCGTCTGCGTGCACTGCGCCAACCCGGCATCAATCAGATCCCTCCAGCCATTGCAGTTGGAGTCTGGACTGCAGTTGGGGGCAAAGTTATGGAACAAAAAAGCTGTGTAGGTGTAAATCTGTAAGAACGCAAAGCATGCAACACAGTTAAGTACACTTGTCATGCTTGCCAATGCCAACCATGAGGTGCTATTTCGTATCATGTGTCTTCTAGTCTTCATGTGGTACTAGCTGCATATGTTCATGTCGTTGACCACAGGCTTTCATCTGTATAACATTCTGAACAGTTTTGTCATGCTGACATCCCAGCAAGACACCTACACGAACACAGCTTTTTTCTTGGATAGACGTTGCTGATGGCCTGCTGCGCGTTCTCGACCGACAGCTGCGGCCGGCAGTGGTCCGGATCGTCCTCCTTGGGATAGCAGGTATCAACAACAAAAAATCCAGCACGATCCCCATCCAATTTGCTCTTGCTGTCATCATTTAATAAAACATGCATCAATCAAGCCTGTGCATGCTTGATGTCTTCATGCTGCAACAGAGTGGATGAGCATCGGTCCTTTTGGTTTTTCATTTTCTGTGGATAGCAGGTGTTGTATTCATCCACCAGCCCCCACAGGGCGTGCCCCAGTTCGTGGGCGATGGTGCGGCCGACCAGGAAGTCGTTGCGGTACCCTGCCAGTTGATCCACGGCCCGGAACGCCACGTGCATCGCGCCCACGTGAACCGCGGCGGCGCCCGCCATCGTGATGTGATTCTCGTTAATTGCCTCCACGTTTGGAAGCACGATGACGCCCACGTGGATCTGCTGGCCGCATATCAAATGTAAAAGCGTCCCCACCCCATAGTCAAGTTGGGAACTTGGCAACACAAATCCAGAAGTTTTGGGAGGCATGCATGACAAGTTGCAGTCCGTAGTGTGGTGCAGGTTAGCAACGGAAATCGCATCACAAATCCATCTGCTCATCCTGTTTCCAGCATTACAAATACCAAAACACGACTTAAAATACCTCTCTTGGGTCTGCGCATGACAAATGTTCCTGTAGTCGCAAATCTGCATGACAACTCTGGGGTGGGGACGTTTTTACTAAGAATACCGCAGTGCTCCTTCCCGAACTCTTTCCAGTACTCGTAGTCGCAGTGGATGCGGTCGCAGCCGCAGGTATTTTATCCTGTGCAAAAGTATCGTATTCGAGTCTCGCATTACAAATCTTTTTATTAAGGCAAATCCGCACTACAAATTTTATTTCTCTTGCTGAAAAATTTGTAATGCATTTATACGAGTACGATACTTTTGCAATTCATATATTTTGAGCGACCTGTTCCTCGGAACACAGCCGGGGATCGCATTCCCCCGCCGCGGTGTTCGACCCGATGGGCTGCTTCGTCCAGCACAGATCCGCTTTGCTCCCGGGCTTCCGGAGGTCGGGACGTTTGCTGCTCGCCCACCACTCGTAGTCGACATACTTGCGGTTCGGGTCCGGCACGTCGGTCTCGGCCAGCGCATCCACGCGCCAGATGTTCAGGTACTCGTTGCCCGTACCCGCGTCGTACATGGGGAAGTGCGTCAGGTGCCCGTCCTTCGAGTTGATCTGCTGTTCGTGCCCGTTGTTGAAAATCCCCGTCGGTCCGTAAATCACCGTGTGTACGGCGTGGCGCCACGAGACCCAGTCGTCGTTCATGTGCCATTGGAACGGCACCAGGATCACGTTCAGCGCTTCGTGGCTGGGGCGGATGCCCGCAATCCGCCGGCACGTTGGTTTCCGGGGCGGCTCCGTGTCCCAGCCGAAACCCGGATTTTTCTTGCGCAAAAGTTGCTCGTGCGCCTCTGCAGCCTCCGGGGAGGGGTCGAGGTACTGAAAAATGTCTTCGGAATTGGGATTCGCGTAGTCGAAGAGTGGTCCAGGTGGGCCTTGGGACGGCGAGCCCTCCTCGCCGATCGTCTCGCTTCCGCCGCCGATCGCCCCGTCCGTTGCACCAGATCCCGACTCCGTGGACTCAGCGGCCACGGCGACGGGTCTGTCGACGCACCGCTTCTTCCTTGCGAGAAACGTCTGTCGCAGTGTGGAAAACGAACCGGCCTTATAATTGGTCCTCGTGGACCTCGTTTTTCTGCTGCGTTCTTTTGTCGATGTAGTAGCTTCCTTGGTTCTTTCATGTTCCGTCGTGGATGTTGAGGAGACCGCGGAGAGCACAGATGACAAAGTAGAGCTGCGCGTGGACGAGGAGGGCTCATCTTCTACTTCGCGACGTGGTCTGACAACGTTTTTACTGGCGGACGTAGAAGCCGTAGAACTAGTGCTCCTGTTGGTCGAGGTGCTTGATGCTGGCGCTGGCCCGGAATTCTCCAATAGCTGACGCCGCCGAAGATCTCGAGCAGGACCACCATCCTCTACGTCGTGGTCTACTTCTTGCTGCAGGTTATCTTCTTCATCTGCTAGTGGCTCCGCTGCTAGAGGAGGCAAATCAACCTTGTTTTGAGGAGCATTGTCGTCGTCGTGTACGTGTTCCTCAGCTGTTCCTCGCTTGATGATTTTCGCCTTGACGATCTTCTTCGTGGTTTTCCTGCGCACCACGGTGAAGGCGGACGCCAGCTGCGTGATGTTAAGGAGCTGCTCAAGCTGCACGGAGAGACAAAGAAAGTGAATGTTGACAGCACTTCTCGAGCAGGAAACTGGACCGAGACCGACGATCGTGCGTAGTAGACCCGCACTCGTGGTCCGTCTTCGTTGCCTCGCGTCGTTGTGAGCCCCGTCCATCTGACACACCGTCGTTCGTTTTAGAAACAACAACAAGACTGAAAGACTAACTTTTGAAGATGGTTCTTGCCATATGAATACAGGCTACTGAGCTCCTTGACGGCGAGTGGGGGGGCTCTTCTAGAGAAATTTGACGCTACACGACCGAATTCTATCTAAGAAGTGGCTCATATAACAGCGAATTCTTATACTTGCAAAATAATCAACATGACTCACAGATACAACCGGCACAAGGAACATTTGTCATTGTTTATTGTCTATGAGCAGGGGCGGGAAGTACAAGTAGCCTGTAGTTATGGGGTGCATCGCTAGGAAAATTGTACTGCGTCAATCTTTTGGACTACAGAAAACTTCTGATGAACCAAACAACGGAATAAAGATAAACATGATTGCATCGTTACTGTTATGCAAGCTGTCCGGAGAGGAAGCAAAAACCAACATACTTCTACGCAGCACAGGCGAGCACGAGCAAATGTTCTTTTCATCTTTTTTCAGTTGTACGTAGCACATCAAAGAAATGGACGAGATGAAGGTGCCGCAATTTATTTTTAATGTCTCTATGTAAGGTAGGCGTACTCAACAAAACGCCCATAGAAGAGCACGACACGACAATGCGTTCATCTTCTTGCACGAAAGCTTCATTTCAAAATTAACTTTTTTAATACTTGCAGAAGCAGTAGAACGACCAACAAGAGAAGCACGATTATTACACCGATAGACATGATGACGGACGATAAACCGAGTGCAAACGACGATAAGCAGACGAGGGAAAAGGAATTCTTGTCGTGTTCAAGCAGGCTAATAGACATTCGACGGTTATTGTTTTTTTTTTACTTTTTTCTTTTTTGTTGTTGTTCAAGAACAACGAAGAAAAACACTAAACAACCAATACTTACAGCAGCGTGGAAGAAAAAAATGCTCGATATAAAGCGAAACCGACCACGAGACAAAGAAAACGCGTGCGGACGACGGACAGGAAACAATCACAATACGAATAAGTACACATCCAGATCGATGTTGCCACCGACGAGTGTCAATACTACAGATATCTTCGAGAACAGCTCAGCTTCTAATGCGACGCCGGCCCGGCGGCCGCGAGATGATGAATGAGGAACAATACAATCCTTAACCGTTGTACGATTTCACACCATCTTCATCTTGCGGCGCCAATGCCACAAGAAATAGGAACTCAAAGTATTCGTGAATTGATATTGATGGCCAACATCAATTTTAATAGCGCTGCGGTTCTTGCAATCACAACAATGGCACGGTGCAAAACGGAATCTTGAGAGTCTGTACTTGATCTGAATCTTTCCCATTCCCACGATGCTCCTGCGCGGGGGCCGTTTTCATCCCTGCAGTTTCTGAGCTCGACGTCAACATTTCCGCCTCCTCCATCAGCTTCATCCTTACCGCCGTCGGGTCGAACACGACCCCCTGCCGTCCTCCACCTTGCTATGGATTGCAAAATGTCTGGGTCTGGAACAAGAGTGGAACTTGTAATGTTTGCGGATTCTGAAAATATCTGCGTTGCATGAGCAGCAAGAGGAGTCAGCTCTTGGCACGCGGAGAGGGCATTTCTCATGCGTAATTAGCATCAAGAGGCTCTCAAAAAATCAGTGATGCTAGCACCAGCATCACAGACCTCACGCGTCATGCAAAATGTGCATGACAAGCTCCGACTCTTCCAGACCCAGGCATTTTTGCATTTGATACTTGCCCGCCCTGCACCACCAGCACCTGCTTCAGAAAAGCCTGCCTGTACAGCGCTCGCTTATGAAAGCCTCAGGTTGGAAATCCTCAAAGTGAAAATAATTTGTAATGCAAAAAAAACGACTCCAGTTGAAGCACCATTTATAGTCGGCGCATGACAAATTTCCCGGGCTGCACTCAAAACGTGTCTGTCATGCTAGTGAGGCAAAGGGGTGCGTTTCTGTCATGCTACTCAGCACTCCAATCCTTAACCCGTAGAAGCACAATAGTCGGCTTCCATTGCGTTCGCTGCAACACAGTCTTTTTGGTGGCGCATTCCATGCATCACAAATTATTTCCACTTTGAGGATTTCCATTCTGAGGGTGTCATATCGCTGATCTTCCGCTTTTCGCCGCTCCACCTCTGCTGTCTTTCGCGCGGCTTCTATTAACTGCAAAAGTATCGTACTCGTATAAATGCATTACAAATTTTCTCAGCATGAGAAATAAAATTTGTAATGCTGATTTGCCTTGAAAAAGAAATTTGTAATGCAAGATCTGCATTTATACGAGTACGATACTTTTGCAGTTCATAGCTTCCAGCTCGGAGCAAAAATCAAGTAGCTGACTCCGGAGAAAGGAAGATTCTTTTTTTCTTGGTATTTCATCTACTTTATCGTGTAGTTGTCCCGCCTCTCTGGAGGTTGTCTTTGGGCTACTACTACTAGTGTCAGGTCTTGCTTCTGGCGGTGTTTTTTTTATCGAGAAAGGCTGTGGCTGGTCGTCGTTCGCTTTTTTTACTACAAATAGCTCCTTATTTCCTCCCATTTTTCCCTGGTTTGTTAGAGCTGGTGAACCACCAGGAGCTCGTGGATCATCAACAATGTCTCGACTAAGCACCGCTTCGACTTTATTTACAGGCAGCACTTTTAGCAGCGCAGATAACTCCTTTCGCAGCAACGTCCGGAAGTGCGGTAAGGGGGACAGACACCGGTTATGGATGTGTCAGAGTTGAAATCAACAAAGTTGAAATAATTTGTCATGCATAAAATGAATGCCAGTTGGAATCCAGTTTTCAAGTGGCGCATGACAAATTTCGGTGGTCCCTAGATCCAGTTTGTCATGCTGTTTAGGCAAAGAAGAGCGATTTTCTCATGCTACTTTAGCAGCTCGAGCTGTAACCCCGAACAGGCTTGCAATCGGCCTCACTTACCTGCTCTGCAACACACGTGCCTCGGGTCATGCATTTTATGCATTACAGACTATTTCAACTTTGACGATTTCAAACCTGACGCTTCCATACCGGTAAATCTCAGGGTAGTGGTCGAGGTGGCACATCGCAAACTTGATCAGCTGTTCCTCTAGAGGACGGGTAGTTCTTTCAAGGACGGAGGTTGCACAGGAGGTGGTAACAGCAGTCATGATTGCACCTTCTTCACAGAAGTGGTCCACCATGTCCTGCTGCTCTTGAGTACTAGAAGAAAGCTCAACGTCACCATTCGACAGCGTGCTAGCACCAAGAACAGCTCCGGCTCCTTCCGACGTCCCGGCACTTGTTTCCCCCGCTGCTGCACCAGCCCAAGAGGCTGCGCTCTTTGTATGCAGCTGAAGGAGACACTGGCACAGGTGTTCGACATCCCCTGTTTTTTCCAAGACCAGCTGGAATAGCTGCTTGAGGTCGTCGGCATTACCTTCGAGAAAACAGTTCTTCACGTGGAAGTTGATTTCGCTAGCGAGTAAGCCAGAAGCGGAAGTAGACCACGACCTGGGCGTAGTTGAAGATCCGGCCAAAGCTGATGATGTCCTTGTTATGCCTCCAGTAGTGGGACGAGGAGCACCACCTCCAGGAGCTCCTGACGCGATGCCATGATCCAATGAAAAACGTCACACGGCAAGAAGGTCTGGCTTCGGATCATCGCATCATTAGCGCGCGGCACACTTTTTTGATTTTCGTTTTTCTGAGACCTAGTAATACTAGTACATGACCTTGATAAGATACATATAGTTCATTTGAGTACTCTAGGTTTGTTTCAGCTATGAACTCTTAATCTTCGTCCAGCTTGTTAATGCAAATTCTTTTTCCAGATCCACATCCAGTTTTACTTGCTGTGCGGTAGAAGCGAATTTGCAAAGCATATGACGAAGCCCCTGTAGTTACTCCTGTTCCTTCTGCATCACCATCCGGTGAATCCAGCGTAGCGAAGTGGTTTTCTTGTACCAAACTAGCGACGACGTCCTGATCTGTCTCGCCGAGCCGGTCTCGAAGCTGCTGCCGAAGTCCGGATGTTGAGGCACTGCTGCCAGAAGCGCCTGCAAAACTACACCAAGTGGCGACGAGGGTGTAGATGTCTTGAGTTCCACCACGGTCGTGTGCAGGCAACGAATTCGAAGTACCATCCAGCAAAATAAAAGAAAAAGCTGCTTTCAAATTCTCTGCTGTTGTTTTCCTTGATCGCAATTTTGTCCTTCTCCAGAGATTCAGGACGAAGAAGCAACGCAAAGGGTCGGCCTGCGAATAAACCGCAAAGAGCTCCGCGTCGGATAGCAACGAGCGCAACCCGCCGGTCGTGCTGAAGCAAGAACTTGTTGTAGTTGCACTTTGTAACTGCTCGTCGTGGTGCGACTTTTTCACCAATGTCCAGAACGCTTTCTGGTCGCTACTGTAGAGCGAGCGAAGAACACTCTCCAGAAGAACGCTGGTGCTTGTAGATGAAGTAGTGATTTCTGTAGAAGTTGTTGCAGGTCCAGACCCTCCACCCATCAACGATTCGACAGTTTCATTCTGCTTCTCTTGCTCCCGCACGTCGAGCCACGCCGCGTGCACCACTGCTTGCGCCGCCCGGTGGCGATTCAGTTGAAACAGCACCCGGTGGTGTTGCCACAAGAAGCTCCGTACAAATCCCTGCTTGCTGTTGCTTATCTCCCGGCCGCTGCATCGTTGCAGCAAGTGGAAGACCCTGGTTGCGGTGACCTGCATGCAGTCCAGGTGAGAGAGCAGCAAGACCAGCGCTTCCGGCTCATTTTTCTCTACGGCGAGAAGAAAGTACATGATCCCATCGATCAGCAGCGCTCGCCGCCAGCCCAGAACATCCGGGAAACAGGTTTCTTGACTATGACCTTCAAGTTCATGATGATGGCCTGGTGTAGTGGGACGTGGTCGAGGAGATTCTGTTTTCCGATTCTCGAACAGCATCTCCTCGTCCGAGGAACTATTACTTCCGCCTGCCGCCGAAGACGTCTTATTCCTTGGAACTGCTCCTGCTGCAAACGCGGCGTTTTGGTTGTTTATCTGCCACGTCTTAGACGCGCTGCGGAGGGGAGATGAAGAACTGGGCCTCGAGTTCGACGCCGCTGTTGATCCTGGGTAGTTACACTTTTTTGTAGTTCTTGTCGACGCAAGAACTACGTCGACCCCAACTTCCGAAACTGATTTATTCATTTGCAACATCCGACAATGTTCGGTCGCCTTTTCCAGCTCTTTCATCAGGAACTCCTTCACAACCACCGTTCCCCCTTCCGGTATCTGCTTCAAAAAGTCGCGAAAATCTTGGAATCGCCCTGCGTTCGCGAGCTGGGCGTCGAAAAGACAAGCGAACCCACTGTCGGGCCAGATTGACAAGAACTTGCTGGTCGTTGTGCTTTTCGTCTCATCAGTTGATGTAGAAGTTTCGAAGGATATTATCGCGGGACTTGTTCTTTCCTCGTCGTGTGTTGTAGCAGCTCCTCGAGGTCCTCGATCGGTCGTCATGTTTGTTTCTGTTGTGGCGATTTGCAAGAGGAGGCGCAAGGCCTCGTCGGCAAGTGAGGAAGCGGGTGCGGGAGATGATGATGAAGGATTGACGGGGGCCTTAGAAACTGCAGGAGTTGTTCTGGTATTTCCTCGCGTTCCGTCGTGGTCCCGGTTTTTACTAGAGATCTTGGTAACGACACTGGAGCCAGAAGATGTGCCATTGCCAGCACAAGAAGAACTCTGCACAACATACGGCCCCTCCTCCGCTCCCAAACTCAGCCACAAGCAGTTCAATGCGGGTTTTGGAAACAGTCGCAGCACCGTCGCGGAAAGCAGATGCGTTGTCGTCAGCAACTGTTGCCGGAACTGTTGCAACGACGTCGTCGACCCCGCTGCTTTAATTTTCTCCGAACAAGTCTCGTTATCGTCGGCAGTTGGGGAAGACCACGACTCTGGTGCTTGTGGGTTGGAAGATTTGCCCTTGTTCATTCCACCCTCCGAAGTAGATGCTGAAAGAACTACTCCAGCAGGAACGCCGCGGCCTGTTCGTGCACCAGCTGCCGAAACGGTTGACAAGGGCCTAGCTTTCAAAAACTCCAGATCGTCGCCGGATGAGGCGGAAGTAGTTGCGGACACCGACAAAGCAGGAAGAGGAACACCAGCTTCAACCACTGCAGCGGAAGGACGAGTAGGAGTAGTTGTATCAAAATTGAAGGAATTCGAACTTGTGCTCTGCTGTTGTTCCGCTAAGAGTTTCCGGAACATCTGCGTGAAAAAGTGGAAAACCCGCAGATACGCGCCGTTCTGCTCTTCATCGCCGGCCGTCTGGCTTGCCTCATCCAACATCTGCGTGAGCACCTCGAGAAACCGACCCACCTGGATCTGCGAGCTGTGCAGAACCAAAAGCATGTGAGCCGCGTGGTGAAGCTGCTCTGGACTTGATGTCGCAGAGAAGGTTCTTGATGATCTTAAAGAACCCAAGGGAGGTCCTGCAGTGGTAGCAGGCCACGAGGTGGTCTTATCCAATGCGATTGTTTCCGCGACGAGAGGACCCCCTGTCTCTGGTGCCGCGACAGGTAATGCTAGTTGCTCGTGCTCATGACTGTCCTCGTTGCCCTCGTGTAGTACTGGATCCATCTGTGACGATTGAATCTTCTCTGAGGTAGATCCAAGAGAAATCACGCCAGATAATCCACCCGCTGTATTGGACGGGGTTTTCAGCAGCACATTGTCGCTAGTGCTGCTGCTTGCCGGCTTACTTCCAGGTAGAGTCCTAATCCTTGCAGGATCCCCAGCGGAAGACGAAGATGAAGTTGAAGACTCGGAGGCAAAAAACTCGTTCAACTTCTTTGGTCGCGCCTTCACAAGAGTGAGATAAGACGTCAAGCTGCTCGTGTTCGCTTTTGGTTTTGCTTTGCTTGTACTAGAACCACCACCAGCATCAGGATCCGGGCGTCGTGCTGGCACGATGAAATTATCGAGTTCATCCTCCACCTCCTGTACTGAGCTTCGCTTTCTCGGAGCCAGAAACGAGAGGTCGACATCCACAGCTTTTTTGGCTGAGTTATTCGAGGATGGTTCAACCTCTTCGGCGCGCGAGGCAGGACCGGCCCCCGGGCCGCGAGAGCGAGACGAGGTGGGCGATGCAGCTGCACTGCATGTTGCAGCACTTGTAGGTGGAAGGTTCTCAGCACAAAATTGCCTCAAATGCGGACGCAGAAGCGGCCTTGTTTGAGTCGTAGTTGTAGAGGCTGTCTTGTCCGAGAGAAGAGCCTCTTTTTCAATTCGCAGGAACGACGTCGGAGAGAGGAACAGAAACCTTGCAGCGCTTTCCCTCCTGGTCTGCGTGCTGGACCAGGTCCTCTCCTTCCTACTTTCATCCGCGTCCTGCAGTAATTGAGGACCATCAGCGTCTTGCTCATCTGCAAGCTCGTTCGCAAAAACAATTTTCGGCACAGCACCACTCCCTGGTTGCGAACCTATTCCGTTGCCTGACGAAACGCCAGTCTTGTTGCCTTTCTGGTCGCTCGGGCTGGTGCTCTGCACGCTGCGCGGACTGCTCGCCGAGGACATGCCGCTTTGCTGCTGCTCCCCCGCCGGGAAGAAGTGCAGCAAAGCAACCCCGAAATATTTTCCATCGCGGAGCAGACTGAAGTAGAGCGAGCCCGGGTTGTCGCCGGATGCTTCCAGTAGACCACCGATCTGATAGGGGCTGGGGAAACAATCATCTCTATTGCCTCCTCCAGGTGCTGGATGTAGTCCTCGTTGCAGCCCAAGAACAGGTAACTCAAACCGCGCTTCTTGCTCTACGGTCAAAATTCGCTCCCCCGCTATCTCACGGCTTACGCTACGGAAAAAACATAGCTCGCACGCAGTTGATGTAGTCGTGTCCACGACCAATGATGCTTCAGCTTCCGACCCTGGAGGTGGACTGGCACAACCTGTGGTCCTGTTGTAAAAATAGTTTGTCGTTACCAGAAGCGTCTCCGGTTGATGTAGCAGGAGATTGTTCTTGTTCATCTCCTGCTCTCTCGTCTGCGTGCCGCCCTGCCGATCATACTCTGTGCTCGCGATCTGGTCCTCGTTCGAGAAGGACCATGATCTTTTACAAGAACCATTCGAGAAAAACATCAGCGTCTGCGAGGCGGAATGGAAGATGTCCGGAGCAGGTTCCAGCGATGATGAATTCGAGGACACTACACCTGCTGCCGGCCGGTTATTTGTTGTAGCAGCTCCAGCGTTGCTTGTGTGACTAGCGCCCCCGCTACTTGAAGGTCGTGGAGGACCAATAACACGTGGTGGAAGCGAAGTTGTGCAGAGAGGAATGAAAGCCAACTTCTGAAAGGTGACGGGACTGAGCAACTTCACTCCGCACCCCCGAATGGCAAACGCAAGAAGGGTGCCACTCGCATCGATCTCAACCTGCGTGGTCACTGCGGCAGAGGAAGCAGATGAAGAACTTGAGATTGTTGATGCACTAGTACGCAAAAATGCCGCTGTACTAGTACCCCCCTTGGTTGTACTAGCAAACTCCACATCCTCGGCGCTACAAAGCAGGTTTTGCTGGGAAGAAAACCTCAACTTCCGAAAGTAAATCAACTCCCCCTTGCTCGTGCCGTAGAAAGCCACCTTTGGCGACAAGACGGCGGCAGCGGTCGGCACCCAGTTGCTGTCCTGAGGGTGTATTCGAAACAGGAGCTGCAGTTCTGCTCGGGTTGATGGAACGTTAATCTGTTGGGTCGCGCCGTGTCGACCCTGCTCGTCTCCGTGACGTTCCGGTTGACGACCATCACCACCATTAATATACTGTTGCGCCCCTTTATTGGCGGCGCGGTCGTGATGGTGCAAGAACCCCACCGAGGAAGAGGAGCCACCCGTTGTTCCAGAGGACCTCGAGCTGCCCCCTCCATTCATATTCTGTTGCGCCGCTGACAATTGATCGCGACGAGTTCTACCTGATCCAGGCTGGGAATGATAGACCACCCGCCCGCCACACACCGCATCAGTGCTGACGCTGCAGAAAAGGGGCCCCGGCTCGTTTTTATAGCCGATGTGCGTGCTGCAGCTGCTGGTGCTACTGCTGGCGGGGCCGTCCGCATTCATATTCAACAATATTTTTCCGCTACGACTACTGCTTCTTGCTGGATGAACCATATCCGAAGAGGACAAGAGATTCTTGCCCACGTGGTCGTGATGATGTCTCCTGACATTTATCGTCTGCACCGCCGAGCCATGCCAATTATAGTAGTACCCATAATTATTTCCGTGGCAGTACAACCTGCTGGTTGCCTTGTAGCTCATATCTTCTTTCCCTTGATCTGATGAGGATGACGTAGAGGAACAAGATGACGCAGGCGCGCGGCTGCGGCTGCCACTTCCTCCCGAGGTGCTTGTCGCTCCTTGTTGCGCATTCTCGTGGAGGTCCTGCGCCGCATGATTAGGAGCCTCGACGGGTAACAGCACGAGGCTTCCCTTCTCTGTCCCAACGAGTAGGTGGTCTTCCTGTCCTCGAAAGGATGAGTCTTCTGCTGTGGTACTTGTCCTGGTACGGGGATGGGTCTTCGAATAAAACGAAGGTGAAGTGGAACCACTAGCACAACTATTTTTTCCACTTGCACCGCTCCGCCTTTGAAGATGCCCAGAAGTGGTCGGTCTTGTGACGAGCGCTGCACACGTGGCAGACGTATGCCGGTCGTCGTGATGTTCAACATCGCAAGGAAAAGTGCCGAAAGGGACGCGAGACGGAAAATAATTCATCTTCACCTTTATATATTATTTTAGTTTTTCCGGAACGATAAACATAAAGAAGAAGATTGATTCAACATCGCACAGATGAAGTAGAAGGTCCTACTTCATTGAACTTCACCTTGATTCAGTAGAGAAAAGAAAATGAGTAGCTAGTCGTGCGCCGTGCTAAGAGGCCTACTTCCTTAGATTCATCCGTTCGAGTATTTAGTTCGTCGTGCGAGGATAGAATTAGAAATAGTTCTTGTAGTAGCATCGTCAATGCTCCATTAGTAGCTGCTGCCTGTCGGCGTCATGCTTCCACATCCGCAACGAGGCAATGTATAGGACAATAATCCTTTATTTCGGTTCAATGTGCTTATACGCGGGAACGACAGATGAGATCGATCTGGGAGATACGAGGACCACATCAACAAATAATTCTTTTGATGCACGGATCACGGATTACTTCGGCTTCCACGATGGCAAAGCAAACAAATCGCTTTATTCAAAATCAAACCAGCAATGCAAAGATGGAGATGAACATGAAAAGATAAAAACACCTCAAGCATTACGGCACCACAAAAAGCGAGTATATTCACAGCCCGAACCCCCGTTGCGGGCGCTGGCGCTTCCGCATGATGGAGTCGAGTAGGAAAATATGCTGATGATTGATCTCGAAGAACTCGTAATGCTTATCCTTATTTGTTCTCATCTCCTGCTGAATCGAATCGGAGCAGGGTCTCCGAGCGCAGTGGACAAGAGTTCACTGCCGTGGTTTTATTTCATCATGATCGTCCATACTCTTCAAAAACGGTTCTGCTTGTTTACTGTTCAGTGGCATTTGTTCAGCTTCATTCATTTCATCGATCTTCATCGCGGTACTGGTACAGTATATTTTGTCAATTACCTCCACAAGTTCTTGGCCGCGACGAGCATTGTGATTATACACCAGATTCATAGCCATTAAGGGTTCATAAACGGTGTCTTATTAAAGGCAATCGCAACGGAAACTGTCGTACAAAGGAACAATCTAAGCACGGGTAGGGGTATATTTCAAGGTGCATTTTACTTTTCTATATTTCATGTTGATGCAAAAATTGGCATTGTAGTTGTCAACAAATTCGATGGGTTTCTCCGGGTGGGGATATTCAGAAATATCTACTTCCTGCCAACATTTGGTACGTTTTTGGTACATGATTGGTTCCATCACAGCTCTAGGTCTAGCTGCGGGCCGTGATGAAAGGGCGACAATTAGAATTATGTTGAAGACAAGATGGCTGGGTGCAAATTATCTATTACAACAAGAATGTGCGAAGAGTTGTGTTGGCCTCGTCTTCCTAGCTGCAACTCGTAGTGCTAGTGGCTTAGAAGTTCATCATCGCAGTGGATGTGGACTTCCTTCCTGGCCAGAAAAATACGTTTCAGGGGGGCCTGTTGCGGTAGTCGTGAACGGGCAGGGCTGAAGATACAGAAAGACAAAGATGTACTTAGATGATAAGGGAACCTAGTATTTGTGTTCCAAGGAGGTGTGTCGGTGGTGTCGGGGGAAAGTTAGAAACAAGAAATAAATCAAGTAACTCTACTAGGAGAAGCAACCCGCATCCGCAGTTCGGCGTCCTCATGCCTGCTGATGAGCGAATTTTTTTCTCGGGAAAACAGCAACGTGCAAACCAATGGGGCGGACGGAGAATGCTTATGCTATATTATTTTGACGTTTGACGTTTAGGTTTTGCACGAGCTGCATCTTTATATGTGAAGTCTAAGTTACGTATAGTTACATTCGCGAAAATGGTGCATTAGCAGGCCCCAGCTTGGCAACATTTTTCGTCGTAGTAAGCTCCACCCGCAACCGCATCCATACCCAAGAGTAACGCTCTTCTCTTGCTATTACTTCATATTAAATGGCGAAAGGCAAAGACATCTACGTTTTGCAGCAGCTCTATCAATAGCAACATGTTGATAAAGCTTCGCGGAGTAAGCATAAGCGAGGCATCAAGGCACCACGCTGCTGCATCAACACAGGCGTCGAAACGAAACCTGTTGCAGCTTGGTACTTAAACTAGTCATGTCGCAACAAATCTTGTTCTATCGGAGCGAGAGCGAGGACCGGAGATTCTGCATTGCGATCACTACCATCAATCATCTTGCTTCAATGTCCAAAGAAAAACGTAGTAGTTCTTGCCACATATTTTTACCAAGAGCTATGTAGTATCTTCTCCTTCTGCAGGTGCGAAACTACCCGAACGCTGTCGATGATGGAGAGCGCTAGAAGGCTTTCCACAAATTCTTAACTTTCATAGGGCAACAAGTAGTATAATTAGTTCACGAGGGCCGCGGTGCCTATGTCTATGGGTTTCATCTGGTGGTATATTTTTTTTTCTTAATTTTTGACTTTGCTTTCCTGTATTCTTGAAAAAATAAAAAACTTCAAGAGCCCCCTCCAGGAGACAGAATGAAAGAGTCCTCGACAAAAAACGCACCTTACATATCCATTTTTTGCAATAGAATTATGTGGCTGCGTTCATCTTCTTGCTGCTGCTGCAATCTCTTTTCCAGAAGTTTTGCCCGATCTCTTTCGACGTCTCCTGATAGAAGTTCTCCGATGAATTTACAAATGCTACACAATGTTCCGTATGACGAAAAATGGGACAACGACCCGATGGTTTATCGATCTCCCGATAAAATGCGGCGTTGTAGAGCTTGCCGGACCGCCGCTGGGGAACTACACAGCAAGGTCACTAAAACAAAATTCTCACGAACATGGTGAGTGTGAGGATCATAAGATGACCAGAAAATGAAACAAACCACACGCGCCGTCGTCGTCCCATAATTTTCGCAAGCGATGAAACCTTCTGCTCTGACCTAGAAGTACATTCTCTTTTATAATTTTTGTCGTAAATACGGACTTAACCACAGGTGGTGGCTGGGCCCTCCCCAGCAAGCGTGGATCTTGAAACTTCTCAATGAGATAGAGATATAGCTAGTAACAAGCCACCACGTGAAAATATCGATGGTTTCGGGTTAGGGTTTTTTCTATCGACATAAAAAATGCAAATTTCGTAATTTGTGTTATAATCTTTTCTATCTTCGTGAAGAGCGTGAAACAACTTATGATCCATGTACGTCGTTCAGGGTCGTTCGTTGATAGAAGTACGTCGAATGAACATGAAGAGTTCTTGTAGTTTGCATTTAATTTTAATTGGTGAAGCCGCGTTGGAGGTCCTCCTCGTCTTCATCTTATCTCTTTAATTATGGTTGCAGTTGCAAAATAAGCTTGAGCAGCTCGTTGTAGAGCTACAAAACTGCTCAAAAGTTGTCGTCCCAGCCGGTGCCTGGGTCTCGGTACGGAATCTGGGGTGGCAAGTCGGCTTCCTGCGCTCGGAAGTTGCTCATGTCCGTGTTTCCCCGCACTTCCGGGATGTAGGGCGGGCGCGCGGTGTGGCTCTCGAGCGCGACAAAGTCAAACGCCCGGTACCACAGGTGCTCCTTCAAATTCTTCGTGCCCCCACTTCGCATTGGTAACCGCTCCGAGGGGCAGTGCTTCAGGAGCTGTTTCACGAGGTCCATCGCGTCGGGGTCGCGCTCGCGGTACGAAAAGTTCACGCCGTTCACACCACGGACGATTTTCTGGTATAGATTCGAAGTACGAGAGTCAAAGGAAGTTGTCAGGCAACCACTGAACAAACATCCATCAACAAAGTACCACAACAAACACGGACAAATGCAAATGCACGACACGAAACATCTAAAAATTGTAATCCATCTTCACGACGTAGCATCAAGTTTATTCCTGGTTCTCGATCTTGGTATTGATCTGGTTGACAACCGTGTAGCTTCTACAAGTACAACTAGTACGTCAACATGAGAAGAAAAAATCTTCCTTTCGGAGTTGTAGTCTGATTGTTATAAAAATATCAAAAAAAAATAAAATTATTCGTAAATACCTGGTATGTTTCCATGGGATCCTTTGCGTCGAACGGTGCGTGCCCGGAAAGCAGCTCGTGAATTAAAATTCCCATATGAAAGCCTCAGGTTGGAAATCCTCAAAGTGGAAATAATTTGTAATGCAAAAAAACGACTCCAGTTGAAGCGCCATTTGTAGTCGGCGCATGACAAATTTCCCGGGCACTTAAAGCATGTCTGTCATGGCATGACAGACAAGGCAAAGGGGTCGTGCCCCTCTCGTCTCATGCTAAACAGCACTCCAATTCGTCACCCCTAGCAGGACAATGGTCGGCCTCCCTTGCGTCCTCTGCTATACAGTCTTTTTCATATCGCATTCCATGCATCACAAATTATTTCCACTTTGAGGATTTCCATTCTGAGGCCTTCATATCCCAGTGTCCACCAGTCCACAGCCTTGTTCATGCCGGTCTGCTGAATCACTTTATCGCAAGAAAAAAGTGTTACAGTTACACACTGCGTTGCAAGACCGGCAACACAGACAACCTTTCTCATGTAGGAAATGCTTGGGAGCCTCGTTTCCTTCCTGTTTTCCCGTATGATCTTCGCATCACAAGTTTTCTGTGCCACACAGAGAAAATTTGTGATGCAGAAACTCCAACAAATGTGTAACTGTAACACTTTTTTCTCGTGATACACTTCCGGTGCGAAGTAATCCGGTGTTCCGCAGGTCGTGTAAGTTTTCCCAGAAGTTAGGATCTATGATCCAGTTTTTTTTTTTCATCTAAATTGCTGACTACATCAAAAAGTCGGACGATATTGAAGATGTTGATGTTGTAGATGCTACTGATACAACCAAAGACAAAGTTAGTACTAGTTCTAGTAGACATGCTAGTTGTATAATATCACGAAATTGTCGATGTCAACACTGTAAATGCAGCTATCCAAGACGACGAAATGTACCTTTGCCAGACCCATGTCGGTGAGTTTGCAGAAGCCCTTCACGTCGAGCAGTAAATTTTCCGGCTTCAGGTCTCGGAACACGATGTTGCGCTCGTGCAAGTGCTCGAAGGCAAGCACGACCGACGCGGAGTAAAAGCGGGCCTTGGAGACCGACCCGTGAAACCGTCTCTTGTGGTAGGTCGCGAACAGCTCGCCGCCCATTGCGGGTTCAAGCAGGAAAAAGAGGCGTATCGAGAATAAATTCGCCGTACTACACGACGTACAAATGATCTTCGCAAATTGAAATTATATGCATGACAAAGGTCTAGTATAATTTGTTCTGTTAACACTTGTTCAGCATTGCAAATTTATGCTTATTGAGCCGTCAAAATAATTTGTCATGCATTTCGTCCCTATGTACGGTAAATTTGTATTGCTTAAGGTGCTCCTTCGACTTGAATGTCTGGTACAGAGCGATGATGAACTTCGATTGGCTATGAAAAGGAAAAAACCCCCCTCCCCATATCAAAAAGGAAATCTGTGATGCTGGATTTGCGTACACAAATCAGATTTGTATTGCAGGAAGGCATTGCGGCCAGATCCCCAGGCTAGGTAGGGGCGTATGGGTTTAGTTGCTCAGCATTGCAAACGGCTGACCTTTAGGCCCAGCAGCATGACAAATCGCTTCCATAATGGGGCGGAAGCTCTGCCCGTGTCTTCTTGCAAGACAAATGTGATTTGTGACCTCAAATCAGCAGCGCAAATTTTCGGAAAGATACCTTTTCGATATGGGGAGGGGGGATTTTTCCTCTCAATATTGGCACAGCAGGAGAATCTATGCATCGAAATTTTGTCTGGGTCTGAATTTACTCGGAAGACGCGAGCTTTGAAGGAAAGGGAGGACAGCAAAATTTGCAGTGCATGAATCGGATTGGCGGGTTTTCTACTTGCTGTGTGCATTCATGCAGAACTTCCCGAATTACGAATACTAAATTCGAGAGGAACAAGGAACAAGCCCCCGCTCGGAGGAAAAATTTGTCATGCTCGCATGCTGGATCGAACAGAGGACCTCCACCTTGACTCTGGCATGCTAAACTCAGCAACAGATGAAACTATCCGCTCCGTCTTTCCAGACCCAGATCGTTGATCTTTGCATTTGATAGAATCTCCTTTTCCCGCATCACGCCTTTCTGCATCTTCATCTTCACGATGTACCCCTTGGACAAGGCCTTCAACGCATACACGTCCCCGGTTCGCTTGTGTTTTTCCAGCGTGACGGCACCGAAGCCCCCGCAACCGAGCAGCCCAAGCCGCTTCAGGTCGTTCAGGTCCACCTTCGGTCGCGTGCGGAGAATGGCGTTGTCAAAAGCTCTTACATCAGTTGTGATCGCTGTTGTTCTTGCATGGATTTTTTGTGATGCAAGGACAATGTTGAGAGCAAACCAAGAAAGCGGTTTGTGCGTATTGCATTTCAACTCCACGTTTCAATGCGGATGACCATGGGCGCGGCGTCGAAAACAGAACTTGCACAAGCTCCTTCGCATGATATGCGAAGGAGCTTGATCGCACGGGCACGACGCAGAAAGTGTGATGAAGATCATAGTAATTCTGCATGGCATCAAATTCAAATCCGAAAAATCATGCGACGGCGATATTGGTCTAAGAACGCTTGAGAACGCCATACCCAGCATGGCCGGGGTCTGCTTCGGGGCTGCTTTCTCGTCGATCTTCTTCCAAATATGCACGGAACAAAACCACGAGTATCGCGGTCGCGCACCGACGAGGTATAAAATGCTGCACCGCGATTATCATTGAAGCTTCCATTTCATACTGAACCAACTTACTTCGGACGATTCCCTGTGCTCGCAAGTAGATTGTCATCTACAAGTGCAAAAATCAAAAAGAAAAATTCGTGCGCGTCTGTCATCCACGCGAGCGATACTTTCAAACTTCACAGGATACTGCATTAATTCCTGCAACGGTCCGAGCAGGTGGTCGAAACGGGTGCGGGTCAATGCGAGACAAGAACAGGAAGCAGACGTGACCTTTTGTGTAGTTGCGTTTGTCATGATTAAGTAAGAAGCTACGGCTACCTCATAGATAAGTCATTCTACTTATAGTGCGGGAGCAGTACTAGATCTAGGTGTCGGTGCATATAGAATGACAAGGTGGACATTAAAATTAACAACACGCGCACGGTTGTGAACTCAACATTCTTGATACATTATACCACTGCTGTAGCTTCTCTTGTCGCACTTTTTAACAGCGCCCGTTCCCCGAACCAGTGCGCTTCACCGCCCGGCGACGCTGTGATCGAGGCGACTTTCTTTCCACCCTTCAGGAAGTCGATAGAACCTGGTGCATTTATCGAAAATTCATCCAGCGTTTCATGTTACTTATAATATACCGAATGCAGCTGTCATGCTTAATATCGCACGCACACGCGAAGGACGTCGAATGGGTGTCACGCAATCTTTTTTTTTCGTCTAAATGTTGAAAACCAAGTACCTTCTGTGAGGATGTAAAAAGCGTCGCCATGCTCCCCTTCCACGACAATTTTGTCCTTTTCTACGTATCTGACCTCCGTGAGAGCCTCCGCCAGCGAGACCTTTTCGTCGAGTGTGAGCACGTTAAACAGGTCCACGTTGTCGAACACCTTCATGTAGGTGGCCATCTTGCTGTCGTTCGCCTGCATCAGCGTGTGCTTGAAGTCCTGTATCGTGCGGAAAAATCCCCCCTCCCCATATCAAACAGGTATGTTTTGTTGCTGATTTGTGGCCACAAATCAGATTTGTCTTGCAAGAAGACAAGCGCAGGGGCTTCCATGCCCTTTTCGGAGGGATTTGTCATGCTGTTGGGTCTAGAGGGCAGCCGTTTACAACAATGCTAAACAACTAGACCCAAACGCCCCTACCTAGGCTGAAGATCTGGCTGCGATGCAGTATTGCAAGACAGCGCGCATTTGTGTACGGAAATCCAGCATCAGAAACCTCGTCTCGATATGGGGAGGGGGGATTTTTCCTTTTGATATCCTGCCGCTCAATCACCCACACGCTCGCTTCCTCGGACACGCAGGTCACCGTCGCGGCCCGCGGCGCGTGGTACAGCAGGGCCAGTTCGCCAAACGACATCCCCGGCGTGGCCTGCCCGACGATGCCCGACCGGTCGATCTCGTTCCCCGCCCTGCCTGGCCGTTCCGCGATGGAGAACTCAAACGTCCCCTTATGAGAGTGCACAACCGGTGCTCCCCCTCGTTCTCATTTCTCGTGCAAAACACCAACTCCACACTTGTTTCCCTCCTCTCATTATTATGCATCACAAGTTCTGGTAGGAGCCCAAATAGCACTACACTCCAGTGCAGCAAATTTGTCACGCAAAACTACCGTACCGGCACTATTGCTGATGCTTGTATTGCCGTTCATGCTATACATATGAGGGGGAGGGGGAGTTGTGCACCCTCATACCCCTCGGCCACGATGTAGAATTTCTCCGCAAAGAGCTCGCCCTGCTTGATCAGCGTTTCGCCCTTGGCGATCCCGGACTTTTTGTACGCGCACTGCGTCTATCAAATGCAAAAGTGTCTGGGTCTGGAAGATTCTGAGATTTGTCATGCATATTTTGCATGACCCAGGATGTCTGTAATGCACGACCTAGCATCACAGATCTTTAGAGGGCTTCCTGATGCCTACTCCGCATGACAAATGCCGCCCTCCCCGCCTAGCACAAACGAGACCTCTCTTGCTGGTCATGCAATAAAGATTTTTTTAGAGTGTAAAGTTAGCATCACAAGTTCCAACCTTCCAGACCCAGGCATTTTTACATTTGATAGCGTCAGCGCGTCCATTTGCTCGCCGTTGATCTGCATCACGGCCCGCAGATTCGAGTTCGCCCGCAGTCCCTCTTTGATCTGCTCCTTCTCCGCGTCCGTTTTTGGCAGCAGCGGTTCCCGTGGCTTCGAGCTGCCGCTTCCGTCTTCCTCGCCGCTCCCCTCACCGGAGGGCGGTGCAACGACGGCTTTTCGCTTCGCGAAGTGGAGTTTCGAAGACAGGTTGAACTGCCGAAACTTGTCGCGCGTGAGGCAAAAAGTCGTAACATCGCCCTTCGTGCGCACCGTGGCCGCCCGCGCGGCGCCCTTTAGGAGGGACTGCTCCCCAAAGTAGTCGCCTTCGCGGAGCGTTGCGACTGACTTGTCGGGCGGCGGACCCGCGACTGGCTCGACCTTTCGTTTTGAATTTGATACTTATGCGTGTTTATTGATGTAGTCCTTGGGGTCGTCGATGGTGCCGCGGGAGACCAATTGAAGAACAACACAAAGAACTTTGAAACAGTGGAGAAGATGATGATCCCTATACCTATTATCGCCACCACGATTATAAATTGCCATTGCCAGAAGTTTTTTAAATCTTTTCATCCAGCAAAAGTGACAGAGTTACTAGTCCGACCTCCTCGGGCAGCACACGTCCCCGGTACCCACTCTCGGCTACCCTGATCGTGTAGGGAAATTCTCGACTGGCGTCAAACTTGTCCACGGTGGCCAAGCTGCCTTTGTTGATCTTTCGCCCGCCAAAGTGCAGGTCTTTCAGACACTTTACCTTGTCGCCCACGTTCAGGTAATTTTGGGGGTGCACCAGAACTTCCACCTCACCCTTCTGAATCACGTAGAACGCGTCGCCCTTGTCTCCTTGCCGGAAGATAATGTGATCTGTTTTGATATACGTGAACAGGTGTCGAATCAAAAACAAAGAAAACATGCATAAACCATGACAATGTATTGGATTTTATTTATTTTGACATCTTACACTGGAGTGGTGTCAACACGCATGACAACTTTACCTGCAGGAAAATTCTTGAGCTGCATCGCTTCCGCCAGCACCGGCATGTCCTCCTTGGGAAACCTGCTAAAGAGCGGCACGCCCTTGAGCGTCGATGCGCCGTATACATTGCAAATGTGTCTGGTACGTGGTGGTGGTCTCCTGCAACATTGCAAGACATGTGATCATGTTGCTGGTGGGGTACAACTAGCTATTAGCAAGACAATGAAACCTGTGACAACACATGCTGCGCAACAGTTCTGCTCGTTTGTGATACGAAAATGAAAATGCGACTTCTCATCCAGGGTAGGCAGCAGATGGAAGTAGATGGAGCAAAACTTGGTACATGGCTCCGTACCGCCTGTGCTCGATCTTGACAACTTTGTTCCACAGGACCCAGATGACATATTTGCACTTGATACGCTGCTCGACGACACAAAAGTTCTGCGAATGAGGGCATCTGCGGGAAGTAAATCGCGAGCGGTACGTTCCTATGCATTGCAAAAGTGTCTGGGTCTGGAAGGATGCAACGTGTAATGCTAATTCTGGATCGTGCAAAAATCTGTGTTGCATGAATGCCAAAAGCTGTTCACTTTTGACCAAGTTGAGAGAAAGTTTCTCATGCAGGATAGGCATGGTAGGGATCTCGCAGAATCTGTCATGCTAGGTCCTGCATTCCAGACGACGTGGATCATGGAAAATCTGCATGACAAGTCTCGGAATCTTTATCTTCCAGACCCAGACATTTTTGCAGTTGATAGTTCGTTGTCGGCAGCCGCTGCGGCTGTTGACGCGGACGACAAACTATGAATTGCAAAAGTATCGTACTCGTATCGCAGTCATGCATTACAAATCCTTTTCTTAAGGTCAATCCGCATTACAACTTTTATTTCTCACGCTGAGGAAATTTGTAATGCATTTATACGAGTACGATACTTTTGCACAGGATACGAACAGGCCACATCGGAGGATGAGGTATGGCCTCCGCAGCTGGAACTATTAGCTCAACTGGAACTGTTCTTGGTGATGCCAAATGCGGATGTTCTGCTTGTTCCGCACGACCAACATGAACTACATGGAGGTTTCTAGCATAATGAAATCTGCGGCACTCCAAACGATCCCATTGAAATGCATACCCCCATACCAACTGTGTCATCCAAAGCTGCAGCCCATAGACTAGTCTGTGCTTTTGCCGTCTAGGCACGACAAGTTTGAATTTCAATTTAGAAGGGTCGACATTGTTCCAGTTCAGACCACTGTTCCACCTGAACAGGCCATATGAGGTGGAAGTCGGTTCTGATGTTGTTCTTTTTCTCAGGTCGATATCAAAAATTATAGAAGAGCTACAAGACTTAAACATCAGTCAAAAAAGGTTGTGGTCAACAGAATGAGCATCTTCAGAAGGAGTTGTAGGACGACATCACTAGTGCTAGTGGTGCTAGTGCATGGTACACATACCAGCTTCCTAAACTGAATACGAGAGAGCTGAACATCAACGGCGTGAGCACACAAAAATGTCGCACCTGATCTTGGGGAGGTAGGTTGTGATTGGTCGGCCATCTTGATTTTGGGTTCGCTTCGCTTTTCAAAAAGTCGGCGGAGTTGGTTCATAGATCATGAACCAAGTGGACTGTTCTACACAGCACGGCAGCAGGAGGTTCTTGCGATATTAATACCCGCGGGGCTGGTCCTCCTTTGATGTTGTAGTACTTAAAGCTGCACGTCGAGGAGCAGAAGCAGTCGCAATCGAGCAGCAACAGACGGTCGTGGTGAATAGTCTGCTCAGGAGCAGATGCAGATCATCTAATTCCAGAACGCGAGCCGATCTTCTGCTGCCGACTTCTGGGCGAAGATATGCAGGCCGAGCGACGTGGTGGCAGGTGGAGCTGCTGAGACTAGAACTTTTTGAACTGTCCGGGGGTTCTTGTTCCGAATCTTCTTCTTCGTGGTGGAGCTGTATCTTCTCGATGGTGCTTTCGTCCACGCCCTGCTTGCCTCGTCTTTATTCGTCCTACCGACAGGGCTCTTTGGTTTCTCTTTTTTACCCCGCCGCTTTGGTGACCAGATCAGGTCGTTTCGGAGGTCCTCGCCGGAGTAGTACTCACGGAAGTTGTATCTCTACTACTATCTCTAGCCGCGACCACGGCTGTAACTAAAAATCATACAAGTTCTCGCGCGTCGAGCACGGGTAAAAAAGCTCTTCGCGGCAGAGAACGTCGGCTAAAAAAGGACAAAAGAGGTTTCATTAATTTTTCCAGCTTCATGATTCACCGAAGGTTCTTTTGATTTTGTTCCACCCCGCCCTCGTGGTCCCCTTGGATGTTAATTAATTATAATTTCAGAAAAAGATGTTGATATTTCGATTTGACCACACGACAACTTGTCGTGGTGTGTTTCTTTTTGATGTGCGCTTCTGTAGTGAACCTCTCATCAAACTCAAAAAAATTTTTTGTAAAGAGCAAAGCCGACTAAAATGATTTATGTCAGTATTTTTATAGTACACGCTCCTCGCCTACGTATCGCTTACTTCTACACTCGACCGACGACCCCACACCAGCTCGCTCAAGCTGCTAGTGCTAGCGAGGGCTAAGCAAGATAGGACCGAACATCGTCTTATGCTTTAACCTATTAGGTTAAAGCATAAGACGATGTTCGTTACACATTCTCTTTCTTTCGTGAAAAGAATTCGCACCTGAACCTCTCAGTTTAAGTGCCTCGTTTTTGCGTTTCCGAGAGTGAAGTGGTAAAGTAACTTTTAGTGCGCCTCGTGCAGCTGGCCGCGTGGTCTGACACAATTGTATGGCAGAGCGATGACCCGCTGCGCACCATTGCATGACAGATGTCAACAGCTACTGTGCTTCTTTTGCAGGTGTTATTCTTGAAACAAAAAGCTATCAGACCAAAAACCAGCGGGAGACGAAAGATCGCTGAAATGCAGATGATGGCTCCTCGGTCGGAGGGAAGTAGTATCGGTTTAAACAGTGTTTTGACCCGAAAGAAACTACTGGACAAAGATGAAGGTAAGAACTGCTAGACAAACATGGTCAACATGAACTACATGCGTCTTTTAATAACAGGTAGAATTTGAGTCTTATGTAAATTTCAGACTAACAATCTACCTCGGACACCTTGGACATGTAGGCTGGTTGGAAGACACGACGACGTCGACATCCTTACCATTATGAAAGCCTCAGAATGGAAATCCTCAGCGTGGAAATAATTTGTGATGCATGAAATGCGACGCAAAAAAGACTGTACTCCAGAGGACGCAATGACGGCCGCCTATTGTCCTTCTACGCGTTAAGAATTGGAGTGCTGATAAGCACCAAAGGAGGGCACCCATTTGCGTTAACCAGCATGACAGACCTGCTTTGAATGCAAGAGAGATTTGTCGTGGTGCGCCGCCTAGAAGTGGCGCTTCAACTGGAATGCTTTTCTGCATATACAAACTATATACTATTTCCACTTTGAGGATTTCCAGCCTGAAGCTTTCATAACAATCAGCCCTGCTGTACTAACTAGGCAGGCACGACACGAGGTTGACTTTCTTAATATATAATTATCTCGTTCTTGTGAGGCGCGTCACTACATCACTCATCACATTCCTATCTATGTTGAAGTTTTGGCAAGAAACACACTTCAATGAATTCAAATTGATTCCCATCTCCATGGATGCCATGTGCATGAATATTCAAGATGAACGATAAAACGAAACGACTGCAGCTCCTCGGCCGCAACAAACCGTAGAAAAAAAACGACACATCTCGCAGACGACGAGGAACAGCAACAGAAAAGCAAACGCACGCAAAAGGAACAACTACATCAAGGCGCACCGCAATCGATCATAAAAATTGACATTTCGAATCATCAACTTGAAAATATATCGTTTTCCTTTGTTGAGCTGAGCGCCAAGAATAGGCTGCATTCGCTGGTTTTGCTTACAACAGAAAAAAAAACGAGGAGAACACGGACACGCTGTCAACATTAAGCTGGAGCACGGAATACTTGACAAACTGGCAGTTGCATAGCACGCGACCTATCTCCTTATATTAATTGTAAATGTAATCGCTTAAAGTAAAAGTATGAGCATCTTCATTTTAAGATAGTGCTTCTAAGGTGATCCAAGATCTGAATGCTCTTGATCAGCGCCGAAGATCTTTGCGCACTCCGCTCGTGATTCGCCGCAGGAACAGGCTTTGTTTTGAGAGGAAGAGAAAACTCACCCAAGGCGAATTGGAGACATTTACTTTTGATTCTTTTCAGACTTGTCAACTTACAGCTTGCAACAAGTTAGTGGCTTGAGCCACGAATACCATCACACGCACACGCACACGAGGCTGGGTGAAAAGAGGGCTCATTGATGTGCTTTGGTGAAGAGAAGCAAAACGATTGAAGACGAAAGCAAAGCTCTCTTTTTATTTGCACTCGTGATGAAACGTAAAACCTTAAACAAACGAATCCGATTTGTGCTGTTTGCAACCCACAAAAACTTTGTCCGAGTTATTCCGTTTCCTCTCGTCGTGCGGCGAGTCTCTCACTTCATTTCAAATCTCTCCGGCACTGAAACGAACATCCAACGAGGATACTCACAGTGCCGGGGGGGGAGAAAAGAAAGAAGTGTGGAGAGATTTGCTCTCCTCCGTCCGGGTACTCGTCGGGGCCCCCTGGTACACGCCTCTCCAGTAGGGTGACTCTTCTCACGTGACGGCTCCACCCTGACTTCGCTGTGGTTACGGTAGGTATCCACGACATTTGGCTCATCTAACATTCCAGCTGCGAAACCCGCTGCACAAACGCAAAAAATTCCCGTATTCCTCTTCTTCGAAGATGGGTTTGCTGTCCGCAAAAGAAGCAACCGTCAATCGCAACTGATCGGCGAAAGGAATCGGCTTTGCGCTAGAGGTAACTCCGTACCGTTCTCCGTTTCGAAGTAACCAGGTCGGAGTCTTCTTTCTAACACCGTTCCGCAAGAAACAAAATCGCGTCGTTCAGAAACAAATTCAAAATTTTCGAAACACTCAACTTGCTCGCGTGAAAATCGGCAAAAACAAGAGGAAACAAAAAGAGTTCGCTTTGAATGTTGCTTACTGCTGGCGGCATGGTCAACTTCCGAGTCCCCAGAACTCGCGTCGAGATTACTGCTGATAGGACTGGACAAAACTGGTTGTTGACTTACTCATCGCCCATGTCGGGAAGAAAACGGCTAGTAGTACTCGCGGTCGTTTTCCTGATTTCTAAACGTGCTGGCTCATTTTATGCGAAACGAGACCTGTAGAATCTGCGCCGCCCGTTTCAAGAAAAATTCGGTCGCAGAAGCAGAGGTAGAGAAAAGGTTGCACACGTTCACAGCTCGGCTTTTTGTGAAGACTGGTCCTTGTTCCAGGAGGTTGCTCCGTTTCCGCAGCGTCGGGTAGGTGACCATAGGCCCGCCTCCTAGTTCTCGTTCCAGCTTCGGCTGTTGTTTTTGTCGAAGAAGCAGTTTTCAGATCATCGTCTCCGTCTGCTTGAGGGGCTTCTCCCAAGTGTATTTTCTGTCGAAGACGTACATCTGCGCGATTGGCACGTTGAAACGCCCGGAAAGCAGGGACAGGAATTCCTGCATCTTGTATCCCGTGGCCGTTTTTGTCAGCACATCACTAGGATTGGCCCGATCGGTAATTGACCCGATTTGCCATTCCGAGCGGAAAAAGGCGTCTTTTACCTTCGCTAACGGTTTGAACACGTCCGCATCCGCGTTGGAAGTCACTGACTTCGACAAAATCCTGGTGATTGCGCTTTTGCTGTCAGAGAGGATGAAGGAGCGAGCAGAGATCCGCCAAGCGAAATATTTCCTCAGCACCATCTCCAGGATGGGGAAACACTCAGCGATCGCCTCCACCTCAGCCGCGTATGACGAGCCCTTCGCTGTAGAGAAGAAAATCGCATCTGATCCCAGATAACTACAGCGGATGGACACCTTCTCTAGTCCATCGCACTCGCGCAGCGTCGGCACCCTCTTCACCGCTTTTTGCTTCTTGAGATAATTTTCAAAATCATCAGCGGAGAGAGACGCGAGGAGATGCCCGAGAACCGGCCGCATGCGGATCGCAGCTGCTGTTGTTTTGTCGTCTTCATTGGTAGGAATGACGACGGCAGCATACCGCTTGCGTTTTCTCCTCTCGGTTTCGGACTTCTGCATCATGGCAAACGCCTGCTCGAGCGAGTCAGCGCGCGCGATGCCCTCGGTCAGCCCTGCAGCAAATTCTCGTCGTTCTTGCAGCTCTTCGTTGGAAAACACCCACTCCGGTCGAGCGTCGAACTCATCAGCAGCGCGTGCTTCCTGCTCTTTCGCCAAAGCTGCAGCTTCCTTCGCGGTCGGGTGTTGCAAAGAAGCGCCTGGCATCATCGCCAGCGCTTCTTTTTCGTATGACAAATCGAACACTATTCCGCTGGTCTCGTCTTTCAGCCTCTGGATAATGCCGCTGGTTCCCGTTATCCACTCGTAGGCTTTCAACTCGTCCGCCCCGAGCGCCATCGACCTGGTGGGAAACTTGCACTCGACGTGCCTTCGGGCGATGAAAAGCAAACTTCCCCTTGCGCCCTTGAGCTTCGTCACAAACTCCGGCGAGAGTTGCTCTGTCGGCGTGGCACTGAAGTTGATCTCGGCCAACTCGTCGATCTTGTGCTGCGTGTCGGTTTTTACTTTCTGACTTTCGGCGTCGTGTTTCACGTGAGTGCCCGTGTAAATCAGTCCCGCTTCAGCATCATTCCACGTTTCCAATTCGAAACGCTTGCGGAGGTGTTCCGCCAGTCGCTTCCATTCGGATTCCTCCCGCCCCTCCGAACAAAAGGTCGCCAACGTGCAGACACACTTTGTTCCGGCCGCGAACAAAAACACAGGGACTGTCCGGACTCATCTTGTACCCGATGCTCTCCAAAAGCTGGCTTATCGTCCGGCACCAGAGCAACGCCGCCTCCCACAGCCCATACAGGCTGATCCTCATTACGAAGATGGTTTCCTTTCCTATTCCGAATTCGCTGCGGAGAGTTTGTTTTCAAAACTTCTTCGGAATGGAGGTTCTGGGGAAACTGGAGGCGCGGTCTGTTTTCCTCGCGAAGTTTCAAATTCCGCAAGAATGCCCGTGGTACGTCGCCACTTTTCAAAACCCGCTTGCCACGCACGTATCGCAGCGAATTGATCATGAGGCTCAGATCATATTCGCCGATCGTGGGGCTTTCTGCGCTTGCTGACACGGAGGATTTGTGTCCCCCGGGTACCAGCCGGATTGCAGTTTTGAAGTGAAACGGTGTAACTAGTTTCAAATCAACAATCGCGCGGCTCGGCAGTACGCGTTCGTCAGCACACAGCATCCCAGGCTTGTTTGTAGGTAGCAGTCAGGTCCTGTTTGAAGAGTCCCGCCCACTCCTTCACGTGCGCCTTCACCAATACCGCTGGCACTCCGAGTCCGGTAGGACTTTCGATAAAGGTGGGATCGCAATCCGCGAATTTGAGCGCAGCAATAATCTTTCGGATGACTTCCGAATGCCGGGATGCTCGTTTGTCAAGCATGCTTATCAGCCCGAGAGACTCGTAAGACTCGAGAGGTAGCAGTCGCCACATTACTACTCTCAAGATCTTTCCTCGTCCGAGTTTCTCCCACTTCTCCTTGCTGTCGACAAAATCAACCTTCTCGCTGTTCCAGACGATCAGATGCTCGCTCTGCGCTTCCGGGTGCTGCAGTCCAGTACGGAAGACAGGATCCACGAATTCATCGTAGACCTCAAGCGCAGCAGGTGTTAGCCGCACGCCTTCGCACTTCGGGAAAAGCGTATGCTCGATCATCTGCTGGATCACTTGCGCATCCTTCAGCACTCCCGCTGGTGTCTGCTGCAAGACCTTGCTGATGGTTCTCCGATTCTTTCTCGACGGGAATTTCAGAAACTCGCGCAGTTCTTCGAACTCCTTGGGAATTTCTTCTGGTTCACTGTCGGTGGGAAGAGTAGGCTCGGCGCTGAAGAGGTTACTCCAAGTTGTGTTGCGGATGAAGTCTCCTCGTTTCTCGTTAGCAGCATGCACCATCTCGGTGAGTTCTTGGCTTGCGCCAACAAAAAGACCATCCTCTTCTTCCGCCGGTCCCTCATCTTCCTTAACATCATCAGCAGGATTGAGATTCAAACTCCCCTCGGCGTCCTGGAGCTGATCCATCTCTTCTCCTTCGTCCTCAATCTGCTCGCGCATGATGTCCAGTTTTCGGCTTTTCGAACGGTCCCCACCCGGGGGGATGGATGAAGGAACCCAGAAAGGTTCACCGCCTTCATGCGTAGACGCCTGCGTCGGAACTCGTAGCTCCGCTTCGTACTCTTCTCTTTCGGTTTCGTACTTACGCTGTGCATCCTACATCTTACCTCCAACTTGGAAATCTTCACGCTGCAGAGGAGAAATTCGATCAAGAATCGGATCAAGGTACTGGCCGTAGTGGATTATTGGAGTGATCATATTTGGGCTCACGGTGCTAAAACCCTTCTTGCCTTTCACGGTAAAAACAACGCCCCCAGCTCCTTTACTGACCTCCTTATCGACGACTGTAACCGCCGCGCCCTCTTTCATTTTCGGTTGATACATGTTTGCTCGCCTGCCGATGTCGAAGCTTTCATCGTTGTCGATTCTAGCCCGTGCTGCACATCCGGCTAAAATCTTCTCAACCGCATTGATGAAAGCGGGACCAGACAACAAAGCCAGCGCTCCCGACCAAATGCGGATACGTGCCTCGCTAAGGCGCTGGATGTTGTAAAAGCCCTGATCTCCGCCGAAGCCGCGAACAGCCACGTCATCAGGATGGCAGATCATTTCCGGACTACTTTCCTCGATCCCCCAGAGCTCCATGCTCGCTGTCCTTCCTTGCTTTCCCGCACTGGGCAAATTTGCCAAGCACTCATGAATCTCGTTCAAGAGAATCTCCAGCGGGAGGTGCATGAAAGCAGGAATGCGGCGCAGCCTTTTGCGCAACATCTTGATCGTCAGGAAGCGACGCTCAAGCATGTACACAGGTGCTCCGGTCGGCAGGATGGTGACAACCCGCCCGGACTTCTGCAAGCAAGTCCACTCCTCCAGGGACAAGTTTTCCAGGCCGGAATCAGCATAGATCTTCCGCCGTACTAACTTCTTGTCGAGGAGCCAGCACATTGCTCGCGTCACGTCATCCTTGGATGGTGATCCTCGTCCGGCCATGAGTCTAGCACCTAGTCCTTGATGCAGCTGCAGCATAATTCCGTCGCAGACCTCCTGCTTGTCTGCGTCGCTCAGGTTCTGGCCTTGCATCATGCGGGACAGTTTCCATTTAGTCCCGCATACAAACGACCCCGAGCGTTTGTCCGGAAGAGACATGATGCCGATTACTGTATAAATCACATCACTTTCAGTCATGAAGGTAGTGTCTACCAAACTGATGCCTCCTTCTGCTGCAGCAACACACATGTCATAGCCATCATGACTCTTGTTTCGTGCTTTTAGACCGTAACGCAACTGCGCGCGGCTGTCTCGTCTCATCAGCAGGACCAGTTCCTTGAGCTTGTCCTCTGGAATGTTCTTAAGACGGTGCCGGCTCTGTTCCAGACAGGCCTTCTCGCTGGCTATTTTCCCACTCAAACACAGCACTTCCTGCAGAGCTCGCACTTTGCGTCGGTCCTCTTCGCTGATGTCCGCAAGGCAGGAGATGGTCGCATCCACTCTCGTCTGTTCCTCGTCGGTGTACCTCATGGCCTCACCGTTCGGAGACAACTTGCACTTCTGAACGTATAGCTCTCGCACTGCGCTCGAGTGGTATGCCTCGTTGCCGTGTCCAGCCAAGCGCAACCGCTCGCCGACAGAAACCGCTAGACCAAAACCCGTCCCGTCAATCAGCGCCAGCTTCTTTTTCGGTTCTAGCCGCATTGCTTTGGCGATCCGCTTCACAAATTCCTCAGGAATCGCATCGATGAGTTCTTGGTGAAATCCGGTTCGAATTCTTTTCGACTGCGTATCGATCCGCAGGTCCGGACTCTCCTCCAGCATCGCTTGGATTTCTTCCTCCTCATCCACGCGGATCCTCTTTCCCGCGTGTCTCATCGGTGCCGGCAGGTCGTTGGTGTGCCTACACGTGTAGACTTTCACCCTATCCAGTCGCTCCGGTATTTGGAGTCTGTCCTTGATCAAAACCTCACCTGGTTTATTCCTCTGGTGCGCTCCGGACTTCATAACTCCTCTCCCGATGGATCCGTAGTTAATTTCCCCTACAACCGGTTTAACTACGGGACGCGATTCATTCGACAAAGCGCCGCGGAGTCGAAAACTTCGCTCCTTTTGCTGTATTGTTTCCTGGTTGGCTGCATCATCTGCCAGATGGAAATAATAATCGACGCTGATGCACCTGTCCTTCCCGTTGGGAATAACAGGTCGACTGTCCAGCAGCTCCTGCTTGCTCCAGTCGTTTCGTAAATCAGCAACTACTCGCGTTTGTCTTCTCACGTCGATGACTCGCCTCAAGCGTACTCGGTTGCGGAGAAACTCGGGCGTCGCCGGCACACGGTCAAGACCGAAGTCTATAACTCGGCACACTCCGTACCCGCCGTTGTCGCCAGTTCGCCGCAAAGATTCTTCGCTCACGGTCCACAAATCGGCTTGCTCCGATTCGTCCGGGTTCAAGAAGTGATCTACTAGGCTGCTCGTCTTCTTCTTCTTTGCTGCCCCCGCTGCAGCACTGCTGCTGGAACCTCCATCGCGGAGAGCCAGCCCCGGCGGGCGACTGCCTAAGTTCCCGCTATTTTTTGAACCGCCCAAGCCCTAGCCTGGGCGAGCAAGCCCGCCCCGGGCAATAGGCCGAGGCGGGCCGCCTTTGCTGGGGACACAGGCGGGGCGCGGGCGACTTGCAGAACGCAGACGCTTGAGCCCATCGCCGGCGACCCGCCTGAAAGGCGCAGTGACGAAGCAATTGCGCCGCCGGCCCTTTCAACCGTTCTTGACCACGTCCCGAAATTTTCTAAGTTTGCGCCTAAATTTCAGAGCAACGGCCGACATAGGCAAAATCGCACGCAAATTGCAAAGCTGGGCAAATTAGACAAAAAATAGACAGCAGCCGAAGCTGCCAAGGCCGCTTTTTGGACAGAAATTAGACAGGAAAATAAAAAGAAAAATAGACAGGAAAATAGACAGAAAAATAGACAGGAAAATAGACAGGAAAATAGACAAAAAGTTAGACAAAAACTGAGACAGGAAATTAGACACGAACTTAGACAAAAACTGAAACAGGAAACACACGCCCCCGCAAGAGCGCCGACTGTAGGAAAAATAGCGGGAAAATAAAAAGCCTGGCGCCGGGGGCGGCTCTCAGTGACCTCCACCAACTTGCGTTGGCGCTGCTTGTTCTTTTTCTATTTCTTCCACGAGCACGCTCCCGCGGCATTCTTTCGGCCAGCACCAGCATCCCAGAACCTTACCGGGCAGAAGAAGGCGGGCTTCTGCCACCATCCCGGATTCGTGCAGCCAGGTTCTGCACTTTTCGCAGACTTCGCGTCGGTTGCCGTCGATTCCGATTCGGTATGGATTCCCGAATTTTGATCCGCGTCCGATGTAGAAGTGCAAGGGATTCTTCTCTTCCCACCTCTTCACGCTGCGCCGGTCGACCCAGGAGCGCTGGCGATTGTTGAGATTAATCACTGTTGTTCGCGCCTCAGGGCAAACAGCCTCGGGCTCCGGCTCTTGCTGCATGGCAGCACGCCGCTCTTTCTCGCGTTCGAGCTGCACAATTGCCATCACGGTTTCCACATCTAGCGGCTCTTCTACCTCTCGGACCTGCGTGGCAGCTTCATTTTCTTCCAGTACATTTGCTGCTTCTCGTTTCACTTCTCCTTCGTTCGCGAGCCGCTCGCGCTGCTTGATGGTGAGTGGGTCAAAATCATACTTGTTTTCTCGCGTATCGGTTTTCTTCTTCTTGATTTCTTTCGCAAACACTGGCCGGCACCACAATTCTTGTGGTGCTCTCTTCTGGATTTCCCGCAAAATGAAAATGCGGCAGTCCCGTGCATCAAAATCACAGACGCCCTTGTAGATCTGAAGTTCTTCGGAAAAATCACAGATAGCGCTTCCGTCGTGTCCTTGGATCACGTCGGGCTGTCCAGGACGGCAGAGCTGCGAAAGAAAGCACTTCTTCTGGGTTTCTAAACCAATCAAATTCGGACCATGATCCGTAACGGTATCTTTCTCGAACCCGATGCAGTACAGCTCCCCCGTTTTCGTGGTAAACTTGTAGGGAAGCGCCACCCTCTTCAGGATCTTCTTTTTCGACCCCCCAACTCCTTGTGCCTTTTGTTGCTGACAGTCCTCCTCGGGCACCAGCAGATTGCTCTCCTTGGCCTTTTCGGAGTTGGTTTCTGCTGTCTGCTCGGTAATGTACATCTTCCTGTTGTAACCGTTATCGATCTGGCCCATCCGTGTTGCGGTCGTGAACAAAGCTTCCTCGTTATGTTTCGTCGTAACTTGAAAAGCCGCCGCGCCGGTCGAGGAATTCTTCACCGGGTCGGCCATGGGAAAGCTGTCGCGCGTGTGTAGTTCTGGCACTTCTCGGAATTCGAGTTTGATAGAAGGACTATTCAAAATTTCCGTTGCCGCCGTGATAGTTTCAAAACTGGTCGGCTCAACGGAGTTGCAGGCGTAGGAAGCTCGATTCAAAACATGACTGACGAAATTGCTTACACAAAATTGGTTCTTCTCGGTCGTCTCCCCTGACGTCGAAGAGAAATTTTCATTTTCAGATTTTCGATTAGTCGACGAGTTTTCCTGCGGGTTCCGGGCCCCTAGGCTTGGAAACTCCCGTCCACGCACGGGAAGCAGATCTCGTTGCCATCGTCATGCCCGCGGGAGAAGATCTCGGCGTTGCACAAGCAGGCTTCCTTTTCCCGGTTCTCATCGTGCTCATTCAGGATGAAGGACCGCTCCTGATCATTCTTGTTCACCACGCTGAGCAACAGAGTGCCCGCGTCCTCCCCACACTGCGCCAACATTTCGAGGATCAAGCTGACCTTTTCCCCAAAGCTCTGTTTCTTGAAATCCTCGCTGTCCACCAGCACCGACAACTTGTCTGTCGGCTTCTGCTTGCACTGGTCGCGCATGTGGTCCGGAGAAAAACAAATCGAGCAGACGCTGGCTTCGTAGACGCAGTCCTCGGTCTTATGCTTGGTTGACAAGCACTTCCTGCACCGGATCTGCTTCTTCCCGAAGTTGGTTCGTTTGCGGGTAAACGTCTTACCACCCTTGTTGGTGTTGCCTTTTCCACTGCCCCAGCTCCCTTTTCCCCTTTTCGGGACTGGCCACTTTCCGGTCTGCTTGGCGGGATCCCACTTGTAACTGGATCCTCCACCTCCGACCTTGGCAGCGAAAGCTTCTTCATCAGCATCAGATCCGTCTTTTTCGGAGTCCTTGTCGCTGTCTTCGGCTGTAGGCAGAACGCGCTCACCCAGCCCGATCCCCTTTTCGGTGTCATCCCCGGCGAGGTAGTGGAGAACGTCGGCTTCCTCCTTGTGCTCGAGGTATTCCAGCAGTCGCTCCAGGTACGGCACGAAAGGAGTCCGGTATTCGGGATCAAACATGAGCTCCGCCGTGATCTTCTTCGGCCAGTTCTTACCCGTCTTCATCTGGAACTGCTGCCAGGTGTGCTTCCTCGCGGCGACGGTTCTTCCGATGAGACTCACACCAACGTCATCCGCCGCCTGGAAGTACCGTTGCAAACACTCCCGGGCGGATTCGTCCTTTTTCATGGTGAAGCTGTAGAAGCGCGCGCTTTCCTCTTTTCCTTTGATGAAGCCCGACTTGTACTTTGAGTACATCACCTCGATCAAATTCCGGAACGTCAAGGCTTCCCGCTTGCTTCTGTTCAGCTTCCACCGTCGCAAATTCGCCTTCATCCCTTCCTTCATGCACCGGGCAAACTTCGATGCCTTTTTCGCATCTTCATCGAGTTTGTACACCAACTCCTCGATGAACTGGGACTCGTACTCGAATGGAAACAGTCGGCGCGTCCCGTCCGACTCCTTGGCCAGCTTCTTCAAGTGCGATTCCATCGCCCGGAACCATGAGAAGAGGCTCGAGTGGCTCTCGATGGTTGGCGGCGGGAAGTCCGGCATCCGGTCCTTCATCAACAGCACATAGTGCGCCGGCGCGGATTCACCGGCCGCGATGTTGATGTTGTGCTCGATGGCGTAGTCGCTCTCGAGCACCATCCTGGTGAAGCGGAATTTGTCATTTTCCATAACTCCCTTGAACTCGTCATCGGGATCTCCACCAAAAGGACTTCCACCGGAGGGACCACCGGATCCACCTCCGCCACCGCCCGGATTTCCACCATAGCTGCTCTGTCCGTCATCGCCACCCTCGGATCCGCCATTGGACCCGCCATACCCGTTTCCACCGTTACCGTTACCCCCATTACCGTTTCCACCGTTACCGCCATTTCCACCGCTAGATCCTCCATTGGATCCTCCACCGTGGTTTCCACCGCGGTTTCCGGTAAGTTTCTGGCTGTCCTCTTCGTTCGGGTCGTCACGGAAACGAGAAAAAGGGTTGGCGTCGGACAGCTGCTTTCCACCGAGCTTTTGCAAGTTGTTGGAAGTTAGTTGTCCGCCGAGTGCGATTCGATTTGCTCCGGTGACGAAATTCGGAATTCCCGTCTTTTCCTTCAAAGTTTTCTTCCTCGGAGGGAGATTCAACTTGGTGCCCGCGAAGCTGTTGCTCTTGATGTTTCCATCATTATCCCGCTTTTCGTTCAGAAATCCGCCGCGGCACATCCGCGGCGTCAGCTTTTGCGCGGCTTTCTTCGTGGAGCTGATTTCGTATCCTTCCGGAGCCTTGTTGTTGAATCCTTTGTCAGCACCCAGGGCTTTGTTGGTCATTTCGTCGATCAGGATTTTTGGCAGGGAGTCTCCGCGCCAGGGCTGTTCTTCTTCCTTGATCCGCTGCTGTTCGCTGACGCGCGCGATGTGCATGCTCGCCCATGACCTCGACTGTTTTCTCTAAAGATTCTTCCATCTTCTTCGTTATTTCGAGCCGCAGCTTTTTCTCGATGTTCTCGCTAATCTGTTTCACATCAACAGCATTAGCATTGGCGGAAGAAGAAGCACTCTGCGTCAATGGCCGCGCCTCTTCGAGGATGTTCGTCCTATTTACTTCCTCGCTCCGCAGTTCCTCCATCTGCCGGCGGAATTCCTCGCTGTCACTGGACATTTCCGCCTTAGTCTCATCCTGACTATTTTTCAGCTCCCCGACCAGTCCGGTGAACTTCCGTTCCATCGCGACAAATTCCTCGCGCACGGACTGCTGCTGCTGCCTGGTTAAGCTGATTGGCAAAATTTGCACCCATCGTCGCCATGTCGTTTTCGATCTTCTTAAACGACTCGGCGATTTGCTCGCCATCCCGTCGCAAGGCACTGGTGCTGTTCGCCAAGTGCTTCTGCTGGGATTCCTGCATCTGCTGCAAAAACTGCATCATTTGTTCATGCTGTTTTGCCTGTTGTTGCGACTGATGGCTCAGCTCTGTTCCAGCTTTGACGATGCGACTGATCGCTCCCTCTTGCTGTTGCTGCTGCTGGTTCAAGTGGATAGCAGCTCCTGCAACCTGATCAATCTTCTCACCCTGCAAATTGTCGGCTTCGTGCAGCTCGTGGACCGCACCGGCGACCGAGGACGTTGGCTCGGTTGCGCAGCATCCTTCCTTCCGGTGTTCATGATCAACTCGCGGTCCGTCACTCCATTTTTCGAGGAGTTTTGCTGATTGTTCTTTCCCCCATTGTTATTGGCGAGATTGTTGCTCTTTCCTCTGCGATTTCCCTTTCCGTTCTGCGCGCCCCAATTCCCGTTCTGCACGCTGGGATCGTACGCGTAGTCCGTCCGCGGCCGCTTAGAAGTGACTACCTTCCACCCGTCGGCGTCGCTCTTGCCACTGCTGGACGTCGCCATGCTGTATTGTTCCGGCGGTCCCGGTGGCGACGGCGGAACGTTCTGGACTTTCACAATCGCGAAAGAGGAAGAGGCCGTTTTTCCGGATCCTGCGGCTCCAGCGGAGGGCTCCGGTTCCTCTGCGGTTCCCGGACTCCCCTGGAACACGGGTTCGATTTCCGACGTCATCATGACTTCATCCAGACCCGGCGGACTGCTTCCGCCCATAGACTCGCCAGAAGACGAGATCGCCACTTCCCCGGATCACCGTCGAAGCTCGCTTGGGCTCCTTGGCTAACTCGAAGGCGAAGACCGCTCCGAGTGATAAAGAGTAGCAAGCCTGCTACTCCGCTACCTACCACTGTTTTTAAGGTGATCCAAGATCTGGATGCTCTTGATCAGCGCCGAAGATCTTTGCGCACTCCGCTCGTGATTCGCCGCAGGAACAGGTTTTGTTTTGAGAGGAAGAGAAAACTCACCCAAGGTGAATTGGAGACATTTGCTTTTGATTCTTTTCAGACTTGTCAACTTACAGCTTGCAGCAAGTTAGTGGCTTGAGCCACGAATACCATCACACGCACACGCGCACGAGGCTGGGTGAAAAGAGGGCTCATTGATGTGTTTTGGTGAAGAGAAGCAAAACGATTGAAGATGAAAGCAAAGCTCTCTTTTTATTTGCACTCGTGATGAAACGGAAAACCTTAAGCAAACGAATCCGATTTGTGCTGTTTGCAACCCACAAAAACTTTGCCCGAGTTATTCCGTTTCCTCTCGTCGTGCGGCGAGTCTCTCACTTCATTTCAAATCTCTCCGGCACTGAAGCGAACATCTAAAGAGGATATTCACAATAGGCACTGCTCATTAGATGTGATTGTCGTCTTCGTTTCGACGTCTTCATTTCATTGTGGTTTCGATTTCATCAACGTCCGAGTAACGAAGACCGGGAGTTGTTCACTTTCAGCATCGTCCTCTCCAAGTGTTCCGGCTGCGCTTTCGCGAGCACGAGAGATACTTTTAGCGTCATGCTCATGCGCTTTTGTAAACTACAAGCGGTCGCCTGCACCTGCTCGTCCCTCGAAATTGTTCATTTGAAGATGTTCTCCTTTTACGTCGAGGTTGCACTACTTCCTTGCACATACACATTCATCCTGAATTTTCATAAATGAACTTTCTATCCACTGTCCTCGTCACAGTCTACTACACGACGACCTCCGCGCAGTACGTGACATCCTCTGCCTCGTCCCCAGGACGAGCACCACGATCAGAAACCACCAAAACTTCCTATGCAATGCAAAAGGAAAAGCATCGTACTACTATAAATTGCATTACAAATTAGCCCAGCGTTACAAAATGAATCAGCATGCTGATTTGCCTTGAGAAAGAGATTTGTAATGGTGCATGAATGCAATTACTACGAGTACGATACTTTTGCACGGGCTACTTCCCGCTCCTCGGCGATGTCGCGCAGCAACCGCAGGGGCGCGCTCGTATCCTGTGCAAAAGTATCGCACTCCTACTCGTATAAGTGCAAGTCTTGCATTACAAATCTTGTTCCCAAGGCAAATCAGCATCACAGATTATATTTCTCATGCTGAGTAAATTTGTAATGCATTTATACGAGTACGATACTTTTGCACTTCATAGCTCGACACCGTGCCCAACTTCGGCGCGTCCTTCCGCAGAACCAAAATCTTATCAAATGTAAAAATGTCTGGGTCTGGAAATTTGTGATGCTGAGTGGCGTAGCATGAGGAGGCCACAAGTGCTGGCTCAGCATGACAAATTTCTGAGCTCGTAGGCGTTGCCTATTCTGCATGACAAACTGCGTCTCCGCATGACAGAGAAAAAGATCTCTTGGGCAATGTGCATGACAGATTTAAGAGTCATGCCAGACAAGCATGACAAACATGCATTCTTCCAGACCCAGACACTTTTACATTTGATAAATCTGCGTGTACAGCAAATTTGCCGGCAGGTCGCGCAGCAAGGACACCGTGAACTCCTGCACTTTTTGCCGCAATTTCGGGTACACGGGATTGCAGACGACGAAGCACTCGAAAGCGGACAGAGCGTCCACGATAGAAACCGGAAGTCGATTCCGAATCGACCGCTCCACGCCCAAGGCCGCTAGGTAGAGCAGCCCGCTGTTCTTGATAAAATCAACTCTTTTAGATTTGGAGGAAGGTACAAATGATGTTGTTCTACTGCTAGAAGTAGTTCTAGTAGTTGTGCCACTGCTAGTACTAGCAGCCGAAGTAGACGTACTAGAGTAGTTTTGGTTATAATTTTCTCTGTCCTCTTTCAGTTTCATCGTCGGCCCCCAAGCGGCCGGATTCAACAGTAGCCAGGCGTGGGCGATTATCGCAAGAAAAAACTGCTTCACTGTGAACTTGTGATGCAGAAAATGGATCGCATAAGTGTGTATCATGCCCCACATGCAAGACAATGGATTTTTAGCTGTGTTTTCCCTTAGGAACCCCGCATGACAGATTTTTAGTGTCACGCGTAACAAACTTGTGATGCAGATTTTGCAAAATCACCACAGTGAAACAGTTTTTTCGTGCGATAGCGATGGAAAAACACGCGCGGGGATCCACGGTCTTCTCAAACCGGAGTCGCGCGGCCAACGACTCCGTCCAGTTCTGGACCAGAATGTTCGTGTGGTTGTGGGTGTGGGCACTTCTGCGCGCGATGGTTTTGTAGACAAAACAGAGCTGGGAAAAATCCAGGCGTATGCAGCAGTGCAAAAATCCAGGCGTAAAGTTTACTGTATTTTCGAATTCGTTTGCAAAAATAATGCGTACTAGCTGAACCAGCATCACAATCAACATGACTAATCCGATTAGACCGAGGACACTTTATTTCTTTGCATTTTTCATAAAGCGGTTCATTTTTCCCGGGTACTCCATGTTCTCCACTGCGTTTTTGCCTCGTTTGCGCCGGAGCAGCACCGTCTGCGGTCGCTTCATGTACTCGAACCGCGTAATGTCAGCTTCCTCCGAAAGGTCGAGCCGATCGTATGAGAGTGCACAACTTGAGCCTCCACCCTCATTTGTGGTGCCTGAACTCGCCGTCAAAAAGCGGCCTTAGCCTGCAGGTTTTGAAATTCAGAAACTGACGCGAGATTGTACTGCCGTTCGGGCTGCGAAATAAACCGGTCGTCCTGCAAACAGTGCCAAGAAGGAGCAAGCACTGGGTGTGGGTCCGGCTTTTGGCATGAAAAATGAAGATGAGTAGGAGTCAGTTGTGCACTCTCATAGGTCGCCGAGCAGTTGCACGACCGCACCCTGGATTTGCGTGATTTTGTCCAGGTGTTCCGACGTTTGCCGCCAATGCATTGAAAAAGTAACGCACTTGTACAAAAAGTAAGACTGCATTGCAAATCCCTTTCACTTTCTTAAACCTAAACGTCAATTCGCCTATACATCAAACTCCGGCTCTCATGCTTTAGAAAATAATTTGTGTTTATTGTCATACGATTTCTACAATTAGTACAGTACAACTTTTGCACAGGATAACCCAGTTTTTCGAGCAAATCTGCGGTGATCAGTAAGTGGGCCGCCGTCCGGACCGACGTGATGTGCGCGGCGTTCGTCGCCAGCGATTCCAGCGCTTTCTGCAGCACCGCCCGGGCGAGCGGGAGGTCGAGGTACGTTTTGCTCAGCGCCAGCCGCTTCGCCCGCCGGGTTGCGCGCCGTTCCTTCAGCGTCCTGGCGCCGTCGCGCAGGAGTTTTTCCGGGATCGAGTCCGGAATGTGCCACGTCGCCATGCTGTGCCGGTACCGCCGGACCATGGTGAAGTCCTCCGTGGTCGTACCTCTGCTGTTGGTGCTGTTGCTGTCGGCACGAGCATTATCGTCTTTACGAGCATGATTTGCATTATCGTCTTCGATAGTTCTTCTCTTTCCCTCCGGCTTTATTTTCGTCGTGCCACTGCATGCTGCATAGGACTCGTTGAGGTCAGCATGCCTTGGTGCAGCTGCTGCGTCATCTATTTCAGGTTTTTCAACATAATTCTCGGCTTCTGTATCTCCCTCCGTTTGCTCCTCCTGCTGCGGGGATTTATTTTTTACAACTTCTACGCTCAACAAATCTACTTCTGGCCTCGCGACACTGCGACCATCATCGGCGTCAAAATGTGTTGCAGTTCCATTCTTTTTGCTTTTCCGCCCGCGTGGCTGAGTAGGAGCTCCTCCGCGGCCGCTATTGTTGTAACTCCTTCCCTGCTGCGATGAAGACGCCGCGTTCATCCTGTGCTCTGGCAACTCGTACCATGTGAACCTGGAACCTTTTACCTGCTTTCGGCTCTTGTCCTTGATTTTGAATTCAAAGTCATCCGCATCGGCCGCGGTCGCGAGCGGCGCATCGGCAATACTGGCCTTATCAAAAAGGATCTGTGCGTTGTCATCTAGTACTGCACCATCCTGGTCGTAGTTCCAGGGATTGTAGAGCGACGCCGCGGACTTTTCCGCGGCCTCCACCCACTGCTCGCCTTCAACATTTGGTGCATCTGTTGGGTGAAAATTTGTCGTGGAACAGAACGCGGCTGACGCGACCGTCACTCTGTCATTGTTCTCCTCGGTCTTCAATATGGTGCCGTCTAGTACTTCTGGAGCGGACGTCAAGTTTGAGTCTGAAGACATACTGGATGAAAAAGTACAAGATCCCGGGGGCGCTCTAGCAGTGCAAGCTGGTGTAGAAGCTGTAAAAACCTGTTTCACACTGTCAACTCCCTCTTTTGATGTTGTCGCGAGCTGCTTTAGCTTTTCTTCACCGGCACTTGTTGCACTTCCCAACGGCGTGGTCGCCATCGCAACGCCACTACTCAGCAGTTGCCTCTCATCCACATCGTAAACGTACTCCACGACTGCCTTCAGCACGTGCGCCCAATCCTGGGCCACCAAGCCCTCCCGGTCCCGCCACGTCTGCAGCATCAGGTCGTTCCACGCGTGACAGGCAGGCTTCGTGTGCCACGTTTCCGTCCCGCGGATCCCCGATCGGTCCCGGTCCTCCAGGAAATACCACAGTTTCTTCACGACCGGGCGGGGCCTGTACCCGAAAGCCGGGCAGGAGGTCGTTTTCAGGTCCAACAACGCCGAAGTTGTACTACTGTGGCCTCCATTCGCGGCGTCCTGCCGGTTCGCCTCTTTCACCTGGTACTTGTGCATGAACTGCTTCCGCACCTGCCACGGCAACCGTCTCTGCACAATCAAGGATTCCGGTTCGTCGGTGTTCATGTTATCGTCGTCCTCAGCCTCATGTACCAAGTGCTCGGGAACTTCTTCGTCGTACCCGCCGAGAATGGCTTCGGTAGTCAAATGGGATCCAGTGCCCGCCATCGGGTGCTCTTCGTACTGGTCAATTTCGTCCGGACTGATCGCATCGGCGCGGGTAAACGATAATGAAACGCCCTCGTCCTCGACCTCCTGATGTTTTTCTCTCTCCTCGACGTCGCAGGTCATGCTCCTCTTCCTGTCCGAGCGTGTTCTTTCCGCCACTTGTTGGGACGACGAGGGCGACGACGTCCCTTCTGCTGCTCTCGAACTCGAACTATGAAGCGGAGTAGAACTACTGTACCCTCGTACTACAACCTGGTGGCGGAGAAACAAGTCTGATGAAGATGAGAGGACAAGAGGATCATTATGATCCGCATGCGACCACGGTGGACGGGGACAGGACGCCGAACTTGTTCTTCCCCGCGGCGCGGCTAAAAAACGTGCTGCTGCTGCCACAGTACTTCTACAACAAGTAGAACTCGTTGAAGACGAGGCAGGGACGAGCGTGGAGGTGCTGCTGCGCTTGATATTTCTATCGGTAACTACACAGCCTTCTGGAAAATGTTGTCCGTGTCCTGTCTTGTGCAAAGAAACCACACGACTGAGCTTCGTCTTCATCAGGGGACCCGCGTCCACGGAGCCGGCCTTAACGCCGGGCGCCGACCGCGCGCCTCCAACAAGCTGCACGCTGGTATTATTCACCTTCAACATCTTCTTCTTCATGCAGCAGGGACGTCGTCGTGTGGAGAAAGTTGCATACTCATCTTCATCTTTCGGCCTCGTCTAGAAGTAGTACTTGGGATGTCCGTCGCCTCTAGCGCGAAACGCGACTTCCAGCACGAACTTGGTGTGCTGACAGAAAAAGCGCCACTAGAGACCGACGACCTCCACGAAACACGAAGAACGACACCAGTGATCATGAAAACGCGAACCACAACCTCTTTGAAGACCTTCTGCGTTCTACTTGATGAGGACGATCTGGCGAGATCTTCTTACTAGAAATACACGAGAGGCGAACATTAACGGATAGGGCAAGAAGCATGTCTCCCAGTTGAGACCGGGAGACGGGCGTCAGTCTTTCTGTTGAGCGCCGCTCCGCCAATGAATCGCTAGTCCTGGTGGTACTTACTTCTTTCCTATGGCAGCAACAAGACACAGACTTCTCGCTGCTAGCGCGGTCTTCACGTCGATTCATTATACCACACGGTTTTTCGATGCGGCACGTCGTCAGCTGCAAGCTGAAAGCGCACCACTTCGCGCATCCTGATGGTGCCCTCTGGCGGATGCAAAACGCTTTCGAAAGTGAAATCTAGACGATGACTTATGAAAAGCGGAAGCATTTCTGATCATCATCATGATATTTGTAGCAATGTGTAAAAATCATACATTAGACTTGGAACAAGAACCACACCGATGAACCTCTGCACATCATGTTGCGGCCTTTTCTCTAGATGCTCTAGCTTTTCCTCTCGTCCAAATCCGTAATGGTAATGCTAATAGTAAACAACTACAAACATGACATTCAATGTGTACCGGATGAGCATGCTCGTCTTCCTGCCGGAGAGGTCCAGTCTCAGTGACAAGAAAAAAAAAAGTTCTTTTCAAAGAAAAAAAAAGAATTAGAGCTAAGAATACAACACTGTGATCAGACGTAAAAAAATGAGGCGTCGAAAACGACGTACCACGTACGACAAAGAAACCTCTACCGCAACCAAGGCACGGCGTAACTACAACTTCAAATTATCGTTTTCTAATCACGAGCGAGTAAAACAGCTATAAAACATAAAGAGGTAAAACTTTAGTACGTAAGACCACGTTGTATCAGTTTGCAAGTTTTGCAAACCCACGAAGAAAGCTTGTTGGGGGGTTCGTCCCGTCACTTCTACGACTGAGAATTGAGCGACTGAGAATTACTTTCCCGTCTGTTTTTTTTTTTCACTTTCACTAATAGTTTTAGAATTAGCATAATTTGAATAAGTAACATAAGAACGCTGGAAAGCAAAAGCTGCAGTCAACTGCTCAATTGTTTGCTGAACTCTTCAGTTACAGTTAATACAGTCAAATTGTAGTTCAGACATTGACATTATATAGTTCTCGATTGAGGTACGGCATCCTTGTGGATTTCTTGTCCCACTTAGTCTTAGTAGAACCAATAAAACGAAATGCTTTTGCTTTAATACGTTTGATCTTTCCTCGTCGTCCTAGGTAATCAATAAAACTGCTCTGCTGGCCCTCCGCCCTGGCTGCAGCGTAAAAAACGCTCTCTGCATTTCTGTAGTACGATGAATTGGCCTCATTTCTTCTTCGCCTTCGACTTGGTGGCCGTGCTCGTTTCCGGAAACATCTATGACAGTGCACACCTCGCCCTCCCCCTCCTAATCTCGTTGTAGGACATCAAAAACAGCAATGCAAGCGTCGGGAACGAGAACTTCTACAACCCAGGTTTGGCATGACAAGTTTCTTTGCAGCGCAAGGTTTGGATAGATTTCTAAGTTTTTGGGTGGCTGCAACACGACAATGTGGTCATGCAAAAAGTCAAAGTGCAACCGAGTTGTCGAAGTGAGGCACAGTGTGGATTTGATTAAAAATTAATTTTGCATTCCAAGTATTTGGACGGGTGACGCCGAGTTGTGCACTCCCGTAACAACACCGATCCTGGGAATAAGACCGCTGCCATAAACGCAAACGTATGAAAGCGCCAAGCTAGACCCATGAACTCGGCACAGTTTAAATGATAACGATTCCTAGCGCATAGGATGCAACCAACATCAAAGTGCTGCCCGCCTTGCAGAGGCAGAGGAGAAGGCAAGTGAGGGCGATTGAAGTACTGCCAATCGTCCAAGTTTTAAAACATAGAAGAAAGATCCACCTATGGACGCATAGCAACCAAAAATTTCAACTGTCTTGATTTCAATGACCTGACGCTTCGCTTCCATAAAACGCTATCGGCGCGTTGTACTGCTTCGGAAACATGGGATGGTCCGGCTGGTCGTCATAATTGAAACGCAGCAGGTTCACCAGAATCGCGTACACCGGGATGTTCAGCATCCGGCACCAGAACACGCGATTTTCCGGATTTTTGTCCCACAAAGACGAAAACGCAAGCACGGCCAGGGACAACGCGCACGCTTCGTAGGCGCAGACGAACCGGCCCATCAGGACGTGAAATTTCTTCGAGGGAGCCAAAGCGGAGTGTCCGCGCGCATACGCCTCCGGGTCGTAGAGAAGCTGCGTGCTCACGACGAAAGAAATCAGGGAGCAGATAGTGATGCTTGCCTTCGTGGCGTAGCGCTGCAGGAGATGAGAGGTCAATGAAAGGGACGACATCTTTTTAGTTCTTATTTCACCTGCGTACTGCTGGACTTAAAAAAATATGGTGGCTCTGAGGCGATATGCGAGAGGCGCAGAGTAGGCAAAGGGGTTGCAACAATGTTACAACAGCTTTGTTCTATCAATATTGATTCCTGTGTTTCAATATTCTTGTTTTTCGAGTTGGTTGGAGGCTGGCATGTCTCCAACCTTGTCAGGATCGTGATCATCTTGCTTCTGATCCACGTCTGCGGTAACTCGATCTTGATCTCTAACTTTGTTGCTCGTGTTGCTTACTTGGAACATTTTCGTTTTCTTTGATTTTTCTTTTTGCTTTTACGTGCGCCTGGCAGACCGTGACCGATGAGAGGGTGCTCAATTGCGGTGGTGAATCTTTAAGTGTCATCACCGGCATAATGTTCGATCCCGTCCAAATGAAGATCTTTCTCCGAGCGACCAATCGATCTCCGGATGCTGATCGATCTCCATATATTTCGATCCTACAGCGGAAGAAAAAGTTTCCTCGTCAATAATTATATAAAGGTCAACACCTAATATAGGCGTCACAGCGTGCTGCGAAATAACATCGGGATCTGGCCGTGCCGGTTGTGTGATAACAATGGGCAGAATTCGTTGCCTCGGAAGATCACGTGGTCGTCCCGTCGGATGATGAAACTTATTCTCCTGCTTTTGGTAGGTTCTCTGCGTGTGCATTACGTAACAAGACAAGACCAAGAGGAATGCCAATATTTGCGATCGAAAATTCATATCACCAGTTGCATCTTCCGGGGGATAGAGATAGACTTTGATTTATCATGAAACAAAACACGAAACGCTGTCGAAAAATCAATTGAAATTCAAATAAACGAGTGCCATATAAACAAAAACAGCTTTGTACAATAGTTGAGGAAAGGCAACTAATTTTATGGTCTTTACCAGGCAGAAGTCTCTTTGGAGGTTGTATCCCTTCTCATTTTGTTGTTTTACTTCTTCTTTCGCCAGGCGTAGTTATTTTGGATGCTAAATCAAGAAATCCAATGTGAGACTGAGCTATTCCTATTGGCTGAAACAATGAATAATTATACAGTGCTGGTGTACCTGCGGCATTCATCCAACAGAAAATAGGTGCTCGCTAAACAAATAAAGCTAACCTATTCTGATAGAAGTTAGAGTCATCGTACATGATCTTCATCTGCATACTAATTTTCTGCGAATTATAGTAAACCCAATTATCCTCGCATCATGACACAAGTATTTGTTTTTCTTTCGATGGTCGGGGGGCCGAAGACGAATCTCTCCACAGCAGCGCGAGGATTATGTTTATGCACGTGTCCTTCACGATCGCTCTACTAGAGTGGTCCTGGACAAAGACGCGACACTCTTTTTACATCCAACTCCATTCCGCGAGCAGTTCCTCGTCGTCGGAGAACAGGTCCTCGCTGTCCAGAGTGCACCACCCGTCGTCCAGAAGAAAATAGTCGTCTACCTCCTGCTCGTCGTCTTGTTCTACTTCTGCGGAGGGTCTTGATGACGAGGATCCTTCGACCTCCTGCCTGCTCTTCTGCTCCAGAAGTTCAGCTCCGGCAGCTGCATGTAGTCCATTTAGTGCATCACCAAGATCTTCGGTTGTCTTTTTAGTTCCTCTTGCAGCAGGAGCAGCTCCATCTTCCTCCTGAACCATCAACCCCTCGTCGTCCGCGTCGTGGTCTGCCGGCGCAGCAGTTAGAGCTTTAACACGCGTTAGCATGAGACGTGGTGAGTCTCTAGTGAATTTTGCATGACAAATAGCAGAGGAGACTGCCGGGACATTGTCCCTCTCGCCCTTCTGGGAAGAGCGCTCTGCACACCGCAGAAGGAACTTGCAGGTTATGCGGCGCGCGGGCAGCTGGACATGGCCTGGGCGTCGTTCTTTGGCCATGTCTTTTCGTCTTCCTGTGCTTGCAAAAGAGCAAGCACTGCAGCACCCGCGGCAAAGACGCCAAAAACAAGAGCCGCGAAGCACATACAGTTTAGGCAAGATGAAGGCGCGAAGGCAAGGGTGAAATGACCAGACCGGGAGCTTTGACGCGTCTATCCGGCAGGCGCGTGAACTCTCCCGGCCTTTTCGGCAGAATATAGCTGGGCTGAGGGCAACAGAGGGCGCCTGTCTTTTCCCCTCGGCCCCACTTCCCAGGGCCTATTTGCGGACTTTCTTGAGCACTTTTCTGCGCTAAACTTTGCTTATCACGGTCGAAAAGTGGCGCTCGGTGACTTTTGGGGTGAATTTTGAAAAGGGCGCCGGTGAGTTTTGTCCTCCGGCTCCTGTTCAAAATTCGCTAGCGCGCGAGAAACTCCGGGTTTTGGGGCTTCAAAGAAGTGTCGCAAAAACAACAAGCCGCAAAATTCACCAAGAGAATTCTTGACCTAGGAGCCACGTCGAAAGAGACTTGCTCCGGAGGCAAAAACACACCTGGGGAGCTGTAAGCCGAGCACAGCAGGCGAAGCAAGCTAGTGCCCGCGACCGAGTCGCGACTTCCCTTCCACGCGAGGCTACTCCCAGATATCCAATTATTTTAAGCCACGATCACAGCTCATGAGAGCGCACGCGTTGAACTAGTGCCCCTGTGTTCAGGCGTCGCCCTCCCTTTCGACCATTCCGGAGAGGAACTTCTGAGGCAGACGCGCAGATGAACAAGAGCCCCACAACCCACCCTCTTTGGTTACATATGCACTACACAGTCCGGGCGGCGGGCCCCATCAAGACCTACCACTACTTCTTTCGGTGCTGCAAGTGCCACCTGGCGCCGAGCAGCCCTTCACGCTGCGTGAGCTGCTTGGGCTCGTGTCCAGCCCTTTACGCAGCGCACTTCTCTTTTGAAGTAAATGCAAGTCATGCAATACAAATTCACTGGAAATTCATCCCTCTGTATGCTAACGACCGTCCAAGGCATCAACCCCTCGTCGTCCGCGTCGTGGTCTGCCGGCGCAGCAGGAGATGCAACTCGACTAGTTCTTGTAGTACGACCGCTGTTTTCTTCTTCATCGCCGGGTGCGCGTCCTTCACCTTCCGCAGTAGTATCAGCAGCTATCTCTTCCGGAAGGTTCATCTTCGCGCACGCAGCGGCATTGACAACAGGGTAGTCATGATTCTCGTCCGTCGCAGCAGTTGCCGCTACTCCCGCCTTCGAGCAGAATGCTCGACTTATTGTTGAACTAGTACGCCTACAATCTTCACAGCGATCCCGTTCTTGATCATGCTCGGGCGCTACATGATCTTGGTCCACCTGGTCGGCTTTATCTTCACACATGCTGGTCTTGTCGGTCTCCGCGGCTCCACCTCCTACTTTCTGCTTCTCCTGCTGGACACCCACGGACTGTGCGCTTGTTTGTGTCGCTGCAACTTCGCTCGAGGCATTATCACTATCTCCCTTCACTCCCGGACCGAACGGTTTCCACCGCGGACAGAACAGCTTCCAACAGATCGGCGTGTTCTCTTCGAACAACGGCTCCCCACTGGCACTGAGCAGCTTCGGCTTCGCCTCGCGCGACTCCGATTTCCAGGAGCAGCCCGGGCACGGACGGAGGTGTTTGAACCGGCACTGTTCATTTTCCCCTTCGTCGAACGAGGTCATGGATCCTGGTTTGTTTGAGATGAGAATATTGCAGAAAAATCGAAATAATATTTATATGTTGGCAGCGTTGCTCTGCATTCGTATCACTTATGTATGATGCAGTAGTTGCAGTCAACTCAACGTCGATCTCGATATGTCAGAAGTATAAATGAAACTGAGAAACAAGATCCACTTAGTTAGTACCGTCGTTGTCGTCCTCTCCTTGTTCCTCATCCTTCACATCCCCGTTCTGTTGCTGCTTCACATCAACATCTTCCACATTTTCTTGTTTGACAAGAGCTGCGCCGCACAGCGGTTGCGTGAGCCAGACCGGCTGCTTGCTGCAGTCCACGCCAGGCATTCTCTTGGGCTTGATTGGTGACGATACGGCCTGTGACGTATTTTTACCTAGTAAAGAAGAACTACCTTGCAACGGGAGTACCAGATGCCATGTCACAGATTTCGATGCGGAGGAGCATGGTTGCTTTATCAAAACTGTTGCAAGCAGGCACTCGGACTCGCGTATCTTCGAGCTTTTCAAAAAATCGGTATCAGGACCGCGTCCACTAATGAAACTAAACAAAGAATTTCAACATCGCACATGAATTTCTGTTTCTATTTCTTGTTCTGGTGGCCAAAGAGATCCTCGTCTTCCAGTTAATAGAGAATGCTGATTTTTACCGCCGCTGTCGATCGACGATGTTGGTTTTTAGGCATCAAAGACAAGACGAAATCGAGCAAAAAGCGCATTTTCTTTCCAATTCCATGTCCGAAGAGGAAAGAAATCAACACATATACAAACATATACAGAAAACGAAGCGATCGACGACATGGCTCCTCAGGGGACGAACGACGACAAGCGAATCCTTGATCTAAAACGATATTACTACTAGTAGACTAAATAACTGGAGTTGTTCGACTACGACTTATTCCTTGTTTTATAATAATTAGGACCGTCCTGAAGAACCGAGGCTTTCGGGAATAAATCAAGAAAAACTTGCACAGCACCCGCAGAGCTACGTACTCGACTACTTACTAGAAGTAGCTGCTTTGTCAACATGTACCACTACTACATAGATGAGCCAGATGAAACTGCCTACGAAATAAAACAAGCGCTGAAAGTGGCACTACTATGAGCGCTGCACTTTCTCAGCCGTGGGGAAGATATCATGATGTACCGTGGGGAATTTGTTATTTTCCAATGGTGTGCCACTTGTTCGCTCTGGGTGATGCTGCGCGTTCAATCATGATCAGGCGAAAGAATTCACCTGTGAAAAATCACCGACCCGTGGTCTTCGAGCGTCTCTATCTTTACTAGGCCGCAGATCATCATGCTGCAGCTCTACCTCAGTACGCGTAGGATTGCTCCACATAACTCCGCAACTCCCCCAGTCGTTGCTCGTACGTCTCAGTACGCGTAGGTATGGCAGTGGGAAATACTTTTTTCCGAAAAACTTTTTTTTTTTGCTACATATGGGTCACCCACCGCGGTTAGGAGATAGCTTGTTGGCGGCGGAAATCAATTGCGTAGCAACAACGCCCGCCACGGTGTTCTGAGCTCGGTAGCCTGAAGGCAGAAAGATGGCCGCATTGGTGGCGCACTGCGTCACGGCTTTGGGTCCGTCATGGCCGGCGTAGATGTCGAGCAGCCAGCCCCTGCAAAGCTGCCGGCTTAATGACAGCAATACGCGGCCACCCCAAAGCCAGAGCGAGGTGCTGCGGGCTGGAGCCAACAATAGGCCCACGCCCCAACAGGCGAAACAGGCGCCCGCGCGTAGCCTTTGAGTATATTCAAAGCCATGCGCGGCATTGCCGGTGAAATTGATGCCGCGGCCGCGGCGCTCTTCCGGCCTTGGATCTCCGGGGGCATTTCTTCGCGCCGGCTGTTTTGCACGGAGGCCAGCAGAGTTCCCTCCTGGGCTGCAAAGCGATATCCTCTTGGGGTGCCCCCGAGGGGTCCCCCAAACCCCCCCTCCTTTGGGGCCTCTTCAGAGAGCTACTCCCCCTTGATATCTCCACGAAAGGGGGTCCCCCAAACCCCCCCCCTCAAGGGGGGGGGGGGCCGACCCCGCTTTTCGTTTGCGCAAGTTTGCAGATTTTCATAAGATAGTTCTTGAACAGCCACAGCGCGAATCCGGGCAAGGCGGAGACTTGCACTGCCTGGCCGGGAATAAATTCAAGGGCGCCGAAGGTGTCAGCCTATCCTGTATTTGCCGCGGGGGGCGCTTCCAAAGCTAGGGCGGGCCATGCCTCGAGGCCGTCCGCGTTTCAAACTGTCGCTTCTAGGCGAACCAGTCAGAATGTCGCTGACTTACCCTGAAACCCCTGCCCATACACCAAAGCCGCGGCAGAGGCCTCGCGTGTCACGTACCTTGAGGCCACACCGCCAAGGACTGAATCCATGGCCGCGGCTGCTCCTGAGGCCACCTCTCTCCTGCCTTCCGGGTAGCTAGCTAAGTTCTAGGCGGCATCTCTACGCCTATGCAGATCTGTTCTGCGCGTGCCGGCTTGTGTACGTATGAAGTGCCGTAAAATCATATGTAGCGAAAAAAAAAAGTTTTTTTGAAAAAAGGATTTCCCATTGCCATAGTAGGATTGCTCCACATAACTCCGCAACTCCCCCAGTCGTTGCTCGTACGTCTGCGCAATGTGCAAGGCTAAATGGTCGCAGACGTCTGCTTATGCATCGCAAAAGCAGGTCTGGGGCTGCAAGGAAGTCGTGGTGCGCAAATCTCGTGAATGTTGATGAACGCACTAGTACCATATCCATAGTCATCTTCAAGCATGACGAGAAAGTTATTTCATGATAATGCGACTTCGTCTTTGCATCACACGCAGAAGGACCTATTTTTTTTCATGTTGGAGCACATCGATCATGGCGCATCATTGAGAGTGAAGCTTAAGATAAGGTGTGGGTGTCTGTGAGACGAAGTGGTAAGACTGACAATTCCTGCAATCTTTCAGACCCAGACATGTTTACGCTCGCTACCGCCAGACCACTGTTATCCATGGCGGAGATTCCGAACGTATCCGGTGCAAAAGCATCGTACTGCAACTTGGAACTGCAGAACAGCAATACAAAATCAAAGCTACTGTCAGACTCAGACGCCTTCATCCTGCTCCAGCATTTCAAAAAAATTTATGATCCGCTTTTCTCACTGACGTAGAAATTCTCGTGATGCAAACAAGAGGAAGTCGTACGATATCATATTACTTTTGCAGTGCATAGAAGGGGATCAGCTGCAAGTCCGGGCGGTTGCGCATAAAATCACTCTGGTCCTCCTCTGAAACTCGCCTGCAGGTAGACGAGTCGTTCTTGTTCGCGACGAGGCAGATACAGCAGGGTATTTGGCCCTCGACGGCCTTGTCGATGGAGGGAAGGAACTGATCAGGAATGCATTGCAAGCACGTCTGGCTCTGCCTTTCGGAAGAAGCTCATGCATCCAGCGGGACATACAAAAATCCTTGCTGCGTGAGCAGGAGCGAAAGAAACCCTCAATACACCCTGCTCACGAAATCTGTGATGCAAATGCTGAGACTTTTTGTAAGCAAGAAATTGTGGGGCTGCAAACTGCTCTGCAAGGCAAACATCTTTCTAAGTACTTCATCTGCACTGCTCCACCAGACGCAGACCCAGACACATTTACCTTTGATATGAAGTTCCCTCAAACTATCCGGATCGGAGACGTCGTACGTTATCCACTGCAAATATCGATCTGGGTCTGGAAATTTGTTGATTCTTGGATGAGTGAAACACTTTCAAGTGCGCCTAAGCATGGGAAAACGCTTCCTCACATGTAGCTCGCATACGGGATGGAATTACAAAAAGAACGACAAACTTCTAGAAGAACAACTGCGATTTATTTGCATGGCAAAGAAAGCTTCGCGTTTGATTTCGGTTAGATTTTGATTTTTTTCCGGAAGAAATCAACCGGGTGCTCGCTTCTTTAGGCGAGCGAGTGACTGTTGTACGTGCTAATTGAGTTCCTGAGAGTAAGTGGCAGGCAAGCTGTGTTTCAACAATTTGCCACCAGAACTTGACTAAAAAACACCCGTTTTGATGTCGAACAGCCAAGACTGGGGAGTTGCCTCGGAAAAATTGCACCGGGATGCTCTTAGTCCTTGGCTTCAGGCGGGACTTGCACTACCTCCTCATCCGTGCTAGTCCTACCAACCTCCGCGCAGCCACGAGGTCCAAAACAAGCCGCCTCTGCTTGCCCTTCCTCGTGTCCAACAGGCTCCTCAAAGCTGGCAGGTCCTAAGAGAGCCTCCTCTGCTCTCCCTTCCTGTCAACACCGCCGCAGCCGAGGCTTTAGCGATGGCACGCAAACGCCACCGGGAAACACTGGAAAACACGAAGTTACACCCAGCATCGCCCAGTTGCCTTGCCCCTAAACCCTTTACCCTACCCTGAAACCCTTGCCCCCCCCCGACCGAGATTTTTAATAAAAAAAAAACCCAAAAGCTATTGACCCTTTTTCCCTGCTCTCCCCCCCCAAATGATTTCCCTTAGCCGGCTCCAGAGCACAGAGCGGTTAGGGCAGAGATTGTTGTGATTCTGTAGGAGGAAAAGCGCTAATCTAATCTACTTGCGTCTGTCGAATATCTTTATCTTAGATGCTGACGAAGTGCATCTCTCAGCGATAAAGAAAAACTATAGCTTTTCTATCTCTCAAGCGAAAACTATAGCTATTTCCGGAAGAAATCAAATACAAGGCAGGCATCTCAACTCGCACTTTCCAGACGACCCAGACACATATGCAATGCGTATACATCAGGACAAAGCAACTTGTGCCCTTGCAGACCGAGTCCACCGTTTGCGAGTGTGCGACAGTGTTCGTTTGTGTATCCGTTGCGCCAGCGATGTTTCTGTGAAATCCAGTGGTAGAACTAGAAGTAATTTCGCAAAGCAGAAGTACTAGGTACATGCCTTCAGCTTCTTGTCAGGACGTAGATCAGCGTCGAGATACTTATTTCCTTCCAATTGCATGCGCCATGTATCATCTTGAGTCCTCTGTCATGCAAATCCTCGATGTGGTTGACATTAGCAGCACTACAGACGAAAATACCCGCCACACTCCTGCAGGTGCAGTTCGACCTGAATATTCCGGTCCGGAAACGGAACGACCTTCACCGTGTTCCTTATCCTGATGAAAAAAGTATACTCACCCAAAAGTTAAAATCCTCAAGATGAAAACAAATACAAAACTGATGTGCGTGACAAAAATATAAAACATTTACTTTTACATTTTGTGCATGCAGACTCTGATTCGCATCATGGCAAGAATCATTGAGTGCAGGAGGTGGGTACATTTTTACAAAGGATAGTCTCTCGCCCCAGAGTGACGTTGTACGATCTCGGAAAGCTCCCGTCGCCGAGCACTTCTCGGAAGGCGGTTTTCCCGACTTTTGACTTGCCCAGAATCGCCACTTTGCCACGAAGGACCAGAGGCGGACCGAATTGCGCGGCCATCTTCTTGAGGGTTTATTTTCTGTCAGAGTTGTCAGTAGAGTGAGGACATGTTGAAAAATTCCATCATGTGCCTTGCTTTTTAAAGTGTAAACTTCACTTCTTTCAAAGGAGCGCTCTTTCTCTCGTATGTTATGTATGTTGAGGCTCCTGAGGAGCTTGAAATCGGATAGAATATTTGCATTTCATTCTCCACAATAAATCAGCACCACGCAACCAGTTGACAATGATAGCGGCCGCAGTACAGCTTTCGCATGCGCTTTTTCTTTTTGTTTCTCCTTACATTATCCCTCGCACAAACGACATCAACACAGTACTTACTCACTCTCGCTCTGCTTCGGACCATTAATATCATAGATAGTACAAGTTCAAGCACTCTGCTCTGGAGCAGATTGCGGTCGATCTAAAAGAAAAACTAAAACACCAAATAGCGCGTAGCCCAATAAAGAACTGTAGGTCGGGGACCCAGGCGACCTCGCCTGTTGCGGTTTGCAGCTTTCGCTGCAGAGATGATCCGTTGTTCTTCCGTATTCTTTGTTTCTTTCCAAATCCAACACGGGTAGTTGTGTGCCAGTTCAGTAGTTTACAGTTTAAGAAAAAAGCTCAAGCGATCATTTTCCAAAAGGGTGCATTTGCTAGATGATACTTCATGCCGCCCGGGTGCGTTTCCAGCTCTAACGATTCGCGAAGCGGCACGGTGATGAGAAGGGCTACACGACGCCTGCGTTGCTCCTCCTCGCCGCATCCACTGAGTACACCAGCCGGAACTGGCTGCTGAATCGGCGGTGCATACCGTCATTTTCAACGCACCAGAAGCAATTTGTTGCAAGAATCATAATCAAACGGTTAAAAGATTAAAGGTTCATCTCTTCACCACACTGAGAAGTGGGTTGGGTTTCGTCCTTCGATTTTGCTAATAAATGGTTAAGAAGTTGATGAAGTTTAATGGTTCATTTTCTTTCTGTTTCTGTTTCATTTAAATTCATCCTACAAACAGTAGATAATAAATAGAAATAGGAATAAGCAGCCAGAAGACGTCGAGTTTTCTTTTCCACAACATATCAATATCAAATGATAAGCTGCGAAACAAGAAAAGCTGCACGACCAAGCATGCCTATCTTCACGAGTACTTGAACGGGTGCACGTATGCATTGCAAATATGTCTGGGTCTCGGAAGATGCAGACCTGTGATGCTGGTCCTGGTGCGCATTCCAGTTCACATCAAAATGAATCTCCCATGCCTGGCGGGCACATCAAAAGACAAAAGTTATAGACTTTTTGCCGCCTAAAGAGGATACTTCTAAGTATATGCGGGTTAGGCGTTGACCACCAGTACTTAAGAACCTTCTCAGGGCCCATGGTGCTAGGGTTTTCATGCCAGGCCTTGTGTTGCGCGCAAAAACTGCATGGAAATGGCAAACGTCTGCACTCATCCAGACCCAGAGATATTTGCAATCCATAGCACCACGTTGTTCACAATGTCGTACTTCACTGACGGGTTTGTGATGGCTAGCCTGGGTTCCCTATCAGAGTGCACTATTCCCCTTGGTTCCCCTCATTTGCGATGCAAAAGGCAAAGTCCACCAGGCCTTGCATTGTTCTCCTAGTTGATTTTGAATTAAATAAAAAAATTTGCCAGCAGTGTTTGCATGACAAGCTTTTGCGGCATAGCCCAGACACGACAGTGGCACTGCAGTTATGTCATGTCACACAAAGCCTTTATGGAAACTGCTGGTGTTCTTAGTCTTAATTGCATTGCTATTCATGCCCTGCAATGATTAAAGGGGAGAAGGGGAAAGTTGTGCACTCTCATATTTCCGGTAATAGCTGTCGTGCCGGAAGAGCTTGTCTTCGGACGAGTAATTATTGTTTTTTCTCTGCTATGCATCGCAAAAGTATCGCAGTCGCAATAGTACGAAAAGTTGCATTGTGCATCATACGAATTTTCTCAAAATGATATCCGCCATTTCTAATGCTGCTTTCGGTTTATTGTTATTGTTCCCATATGAAGTGGAAGATTTGTCATGCAGTAAGAAGTATTGCAATTGCAATTGACAACATTCCGAGTGCGATACTTTCTCTTTCGCGCAGGATAACAGCACTGAGAAATCGTAGTTCGGTATCCTGTTGTAGATGTAGTGGCGATTCTCAATCGAGAATGATGTCGTGTCGCCGTGCCGTATGCAGATTCAGTAAAGAGGTTCTTCATTTTCATCAAGCATCATCCTGGGCATGGAACATCTTCAGACCTAATTTCCCGGATCGATTCATCTTGCTTTTCATATTTATTCATTAATCAACATCGAATGACAGTGTGGCTATCGTAGTAGGTGCTTACTTACCTTTGTTTTGACTTGTAGATCTGCTGGCTAATGAGGTCTTGTCCCGCTGCAGTCGTGTGCACCGATTGCGAATACGTGTTGGCCGTCTTGCACTTCGAAAACGCTGCGGACTGTAAAAAATTCAAGCATCACGAAAGAGATTTACGATTTTCTTCCCTAGGTGTGGTTTGCTGTGGATTTGTGCTTTAGCTTTTGTTGAGAGCATGAATGAATAACAATCAGAATAAACTGTGTCAGACACTAGTAGCATCATCTCATTCTCAACTTCCTCGTCTTTTCGTCCTGATACAATTCATTCTAGCGCATTGTATTTGTAGCTGTTGTCGTTGTGCTCCTATACCTACGAAAAAAATCCATAGGTACCTCATTCTGCACTTGCCTCCAGTCGGGATACCTCACTCTAGGTTGTATGGACAGAAAAGTTGCGGTTGGTGTTGGTCACAATCAAAACTAATTACTGCAGCTTTTGCATCAGAACTTTTTCCAGCGCAAAAATTTTTTCTCGTATTGATTGCAGGAGAAACACAAAGGAATGAATCTTCGCGTTCTTCATCCTATAGGACTATACTGCTCTGTTGATGCATTTACTCTATGCATGGCAGACATTCACATTTTTCTAGTGCGAAAATGCCAACGAGTGACCGTGACAAACTTTAAACTTTTTTTGTTGGATACGTTGTGTTCGCGCACTACTTCTCGCCGATGAAGCATCGGACCTTGTTGATATGGACGCCTCAACTGGAGCATCAATCTCATCCATGTGGAACAAACTGTGATGCAAACAGCGGATAAAAATCTGTCTGGCTTGTACTTGTTCCAGGGGGTAGGTGTTCCGCATGACAAATGTAACAATGCAGCAGCTCATCATCTTCTTCTTCATCATCAAGCCGCATTACAATTATCCGCACAAGTACAAGCTTTGTCATGCAAATCGGGACCGAGCAGGCTCGGCTTTTTTTACCGTTTATGCCGCTAGTAGACAGGTCTGGACGTTTTGAATTGGTTGTAACAACTTCGGCTCACACAATGTTTAGCCCTACCTTGTTCCAGTTGTGCGACTGTTCTAGCTGAGTAGCAGGGCATAAATGAGTACATCACCTTTTCCAAGTACTCGCTCTTTGACCGCGTCCGCGTTGCATTCACTTTGTCGTCCTGATAGAAAAGCGGTATGAATCAATCTTTTTATTCGATCTCCCACAACCACATCATGATGCAAATATGAATACACGATCCACTATCTCATGCGCCGAATGCGAAGCAAAAGCAGGTAAGCAAGACTTTAATCCTGCACATCAACAACAACATGCACAGTTAGAGAATTTTGCCATTTCGCGGCGAGTTCGTTTTAGATGTCGACCTCGTGGCTCAACAAGCGGAACTAGATGCAATACAAAGTGAAAGTTCAAGAATTGCGGTATAATGAAGAATCAGACCCCTGCAGTAGCCGGGGCTGCGAAGAAATAAGCAGAGTTGTAATGCGAATACCACGTCAGTTAAATTTCTCCTGTTCGGCCTGGGTGAGCCGTCAGGCCTGAGTTCGTGCCTTCTGCGCTGAAAATCCCCGAAGTTCTGGTGGTTCTCCAACTGCGCCAGATGGAGCTCCAGCCTGCGGCACTCCTTGTCGGCGACTTTTGGATGCTCGTCCAGTATCGAATGCAAATATCGATCTGGCTCTGGAAATTTCTGATGAAATTGTCGTGTGGGTGGAAAAAAGCAGCCGCAGCCCTCTCTCGAACTCGTAGAGAGTCACGCATGGAAAATGTTTTGAACGGCTAAGCATGTCGTACGCGAACACGACTAAGTAAACGGCATGACGAGCAATTATAGCATTTTATCATGACAAATCAAACAGGCGGGGCTTGAATCGCCATAGATCATAGGCAAGATGGGTTTTTCTCTCCTCCTGTTAGTGTTAGCCCAGCCTGACAGACCTTGCTTTCTATCTACTTCCAGGCGCAAACATATTTGCGATGCATATCCAGAGCGGTGAGGCAGTGCTTCACCGGCTCACGCGGGTCCCTTTTGAAGAATGAGTTGTTGATGTGTCTTAGTTGTTCATCATGTCCTTTGAAGATGCCACAGAGAGACAACGTGCGAGCATCCGCCTGCAACATGAGAAAGTCTGGCTCTAGTACAACTTCTACCCCTGCCCAACAAGAAGGTCGTGGTCAAGAACACGCATCAGCGAAAATAAACTCTGTACTTACCTTGGAAAGGCCCGTCTCCTCTGAAACCATTTGTTCGTCGTTCGATTGCCCTTATGAATTGCAAATATGTAGTCTGGTGGTGGCTCGAGGAACGGCGACGAGCAAATTTATTGTGTTCGATTTCACGCATTCAAAGATCTGGCAAGCATGAGCATGACCGGATAAAATTTGCAGGACAAAGTGTTATCTTGTTCCCATCCCCGACATCACGATACATTTTGCATCTTCGTTGATAGCTCTTGTCTACAAAGTGGTCGTTGTTCCGCAGCTGCCGGAGGTAAATCTCGTCGGACTCGCCGTTGTTGACTATGTTCCAGTTGTGCCCACCCAGTCGCGCCGCGATCGCCTTGTCGTTGGCCGTTCCCACACATCGCTGCTCGTCGTAGTGATTCAAACTACCCTCCAGCGTCCGCTCCCGCAGCGCGTCGTTTTTCGCGGACGCCATCTTTCGATACTTGAATTAGAATTGATTTTCTTGTTAAATGCACTTCTTCCTCAAATAATTATGGTGGTTGCATCGGGTGCTCGTGGTTCAGGTGTTGGCTCAGAAGGCTAGTGGTACCTCTCCAGTACTTCCATGCACCCAGTACTTGATCTTCAACACTAGCTGCTCGTCTTCAAGCCTAATAAATATTATCCCGCTACTTTTGCAGCTTTTCTGCCTGTCACGACTGTCTTCAACATTTTTTGAGTGACACTATTTTTTTGAGCGACCACGAACTGCTCTGGTCTTGTTTGCGATTCATTGCACCGGTAATTTACTATAATCCAATGGAGGAAATTATAGAGAGCGAGTAGAGAGAACCAAGAACGAACGACCAGCGTGACGCGAGGACAAGCAAAAGCGGCTGCTCAGATGGTGCTCCGACGATCGCGTCCTCCAGTGTCAACGACCTTAGCGGAGCTCCGACTCCGATGGCGTCGGTCACTCTACTTCTACTTCTCTCCCTGCCATGTGCGTATTCGCTCGAGAAATCGTGATGCTCACTCCGCTAAAAATGCGCTAATCGTAAGCACTTACTCGACGAGAACCTCTACTCGCTCTTTTTTTGCAACGCTCGTACGTGCTAAAAACACGAACACTTCCACAAAACCATCGATCTAATTTGCAAAAGAAACCCTTCTTCCTTGCCACGGACGGCTGCTTCAATCATGTTTGATTGCTTTCTGCTCGTTTTTATTACTTATTGATTCTTTTCATTTGTTTCAGGATAACCAAGCCGAAGCCGCGTTGTAGAATACAAATACGTTCTGACAACTCCAGTTCCCTCTCATATGTTTATGTCCTTCGTATGCTTAGATTCCTATGCGTTGCATGTCCGGAAGTACACAAAGAGCAGGCCGCACCTCTTCTCCGGTTCGTTTACTAGAGAAGCACGTTGACCTCCACATGGCTCAACGCTACAGTGTCGCTTTTCACGAGCAAGTTGCACCCCCACTCGATCTTCAATTTAGAAAGTTCAGCAGCAGCTTTATCTTCTCATCCGCCTGGGCCAGTTGCGTCAAACTTTGTTTGTGCGGCAAGAGCTGCTGCTTCACATGCTGTTTGTAATCCGGGATCTCGCGAATCATGTAGTCTCCACCGTCCGCGCCGTTATGCATCACAAAAGTACAATCGCACTATCATGACCATATTGAGGTTGAGAAATTGCATCACATATTTTTTTAGCAACAAACTGGAATTCATGCTGCTGCAGCAGCAGGAGCAGCTTTATCACGTAATGAAAAAGAAACTCTGGTAGTTGTACCAACATGCAGTGTATCGATAAATGCAATCTACACGAGTACTAGAAGTCCGATACAACTTTTGTACAACAGGATAAGCGTCGGCGTTCGACAGTTTGGAGTTATCCACAGAAAAAAACCCATCCACATCCATTTTTTGCATGACAAACGCAGGATTTTATGTATGTTTTGCATGACAAATTGGATGTGGATGGGTGTTTTTTCCTGGATAGGAGTACGTGCCTTCGTACACCGTTTGTCCGAAGGTTGGGTCCTCGGCCGCGCCCGGGCCGTATCCTGTGCAAAAGTGTCTGGGTCTGGAAGATTCTGCGACTTGTCATGCACGTTTTGCATGGGCCATGATGTCTGTGATACATGCCCTAGCATCACAGACTTTTTGAGGGCTCTGTGATGGCTATTCCGCATGGCAAATGCCCTCTCCGCGTAGCCAAAATTGCATCCCCTTTGCTGCTTATGCAATACAGATTCTTTTGGAATCCAAATGCAGCATCACAAGTTCGGATTCTTCCAGACCCAGACATTTTTACATTTGATAGGCCGCCCGCCAGGCTGATGTCGGGGATGCCGGGTATGCTGACCGCGGGCGTGAGGAGCTGCTGCGCGGACACGACCGAGGAGCTACTCAAGCTGGCGACGCCGAGGAGTTGCGCGAGCTTCACGCACGCAACTTTCCCGTCCACCCCCTGCTGGAAGAGCAGCTGAGTCAGGGCCACCGCAGCGATTTTACGTTCCGGCGGGGTCTGCATCAAGTCCAGCGCCGCCATCCACACGTTCGTCATGATCTGCTGAAACAACCCAGGTTGCATGCGTTCGAGGATGTCGCGGAGGCTCGCCGCGCCACGCTTCCACTGTTTTTTCGTTTATTTTCATGTGAAAAAGACCTTCGAAGATCTTCATTTTTATCCGGGTCGTGACTGAGTAGAAGTCCTGCTAGCGTGGTCGCTTGTTGTGCATGTGTTTGCATAATATGACGTATACTTTGAATCGCATCTATGGGTCTACGTCAATCTCTATTACTTCTATTTGCTCAAAAAAATCATAAACTTGTCTCCATGATGTTGATACCACGAAAATACTGGCCGCCAGCACGAAGTGCTTCTTCATCCGGACGTCGCTTTTCCTTGACATCAGTGCGGTTAGTGCAACCTTGAAAATGACGTCCACTGTGGAGGAATACATTTCGAAGGGGAGGTACGCGAACACCGCACCGAGCAGGTCGAAGGCCATGCCCTCCGTTTTTCGGTTGTTCAAGGTTCCTTCGAACCTCTTCAGAATCTCCCCCATGTTCTGCTGCAACAGCGCGCGGAAGTGCTCGTGCCGCGAGAGGTAGCTTTTCAGAAACCGAACCAAGGCGGGGATGTTCGGGTGCTTCGTCCAAAACTCGAGATGCATCAAAGTTTGGAACAGCTGGGAGTACACGGGTTTCACCTGGAGTAGGTGGGGTTGTAAAAATAACATCGGGATAGTGGGTCATAATTATTTTGGTGTTGACGGTGATGTTCATCCTGGCACATGGAAACCCTGTTCCTGTTCCCAACGCCACCAAAGCTTCAACCGTGCGGCGGTCTAGGTCTTCATCAAGCGAAAAAAATAATTCAAAAAAAGTTGTAGTTAAAAACCGTATCGGGCAAAACATCAGAAACAGAATCCCACATCGTATAATTTGGTTTTGCTTTTTACCTCCTTCGTCGAGTCCAGTAGCAATCCGAGCACCTGGAAGACGTACGGTAGGAAATCTTTCATCACCTCCCCCTGAAGGATGAACCCGCACACCTTCAGCATCTGCCCCTCGACCTCGTCTAGCTTGCCCGTCGGTTGTGTATGCACCGCAACTACAACCATGTCTTTGTGTGTCCCCCGGGTCTGGAAAATAATGAAAATGATCCTCATAATCAATCAATGCAAGGTTTAGGTTTGTCATGGTTTTTATGCTCCGCGCGTATAACAACAATTCTACTGAAGCGGTCTGTCACGTACAGTACCCAAAGGCCCCATCATGATGCCTCTGTCAAGCCCAAACGCACTTATAATGGAGATGCGAAACAGACAAACCCTGCCACAAGAAACTCAAAAATTTGTCATGCTTGTCCGTCAATTGCGGCGTGCGCGCGCTGCTCGTGGTCGTGGTCAACCAGCAGCACAATTTTCCAGATATTGACCCAGACTACATGATGATAGTTGCGATGCATAATGTGCGACCTTGATGATGACCGCCACGCCCTCGAAGAGAAAGTGGGCGAACGACGGGTGTTTCGGATTTGCCGCAATTTGTTCCAGGAGCTGCGTCGACTTCTGCAGCATGGGCACCGCGATATCGCCGGCCGAGTGTTTGAGGAACAGAAAAATGCGGACGATGCACCGCATCAAATACTCGTTCTGTTCGATTCCCCTTTTCTCCGTCAAGATGTTCACCATGGGCTCGAGCGCGGTTCTGAGCAAGGCGGACAGCTGCTGGGGCTGGAACTTCAGGTTCCCAACAATAGTTTGCGGTGTTTGCGTTTGGTTCGCCCCACCACTGCTCACGTTGCTGTTTGCCGTGCCCATTTCCCTCACCATGATGATCTTCTCGATCGCGTGCGCGGCGCATCACGGTGCACAACTGTCCCTCACGACGGAGCCCCCTCATTTGTCATGCTTAACAGACTTCTGCGCTACCTAGCCCGGGCAGCAGGTTCGGGTTTAATTATAGGGAGACCTCCCTTTGGTTTTCATGCAAAATGTCCAACACGCGACCCTTTTCTTCTTGGCAGGGCGTGCATGGCAAGTTCATCCCAAGGACACCCAAACGGTCTCCCTACAGTGGTCCGTGCGCATGCGCTTTATCATTAGCATTTTCTATTATGCTGCTCAACATCATGCCCGGCGTCGTCAAATGAGGGGGACATCAAGGGGGGCCAGTTGTGCAATTTCGTACGGCGTAGGTGTGAACCACGGCGGACTTGTGCGACACGTGGCGGACTATATCCGGTAACACGGAGAGAAGCGACTCTGTGGAAAGCAACGATCGGAACTGGGTCACGTACTTCAAGCAGGCCGCGCGGAGCGGCGGGAAGTCGGACTCCGTGTCGACATTGGACTGCAGAATCGTCTTCACCTCCTGGTCAAAATACTGCTGGAAAGGAACCTGGGAGTGTGCGCGAAGGTAGTCAGTCGTGATGTAAATAAAGTCGTGGTGGGTGGTCCGTGTGGCGTTTTTACTTTTACTACATGTACTACACGAACTACACACTCACATTTTGACATTGCTTTGATGCACAATTATTAGGAGGAAAGAAGGCAACAAGATAAAATAGCGTGGCGAAGCACAAAATTTATTTCTTCGTATTTTGACCAATAGGTGAATACATACCTGTGCGTTGACCAGGGTGCAGCCTTGCTGCTTCGTCCCGCCCTTGATCGCCATTGCCATGACGACGTAGATGCAGGACTCCTTCGACAGACACCGCTCGGCGTTGGAGCCCGTTGCCGTCTGCGCACCGTTGTTCAACAGCTGGCGCACGTGCGTCATCAGGATGTTGGTCACGTTGGACTCCTGGAACCGCATCAGCGCTTTCACCAGCTCTATTGCCGTTTTCCGCCTCGTGTCCTGGTCCGCTTCCTCGATGTCGCGTTGGATGAAGCTGAGTAGGTAATTGAAATTTATGAAGATTCAGCACTCCACTTTTGTTGTAATTATGACGGCTGTCGATCAATGTCTTCGCTACAGCTACTCATTATATTTTCTTTGCTCGTGCGACCCGTTCGCATCTTCGTGGCGGTGGAACAATCATCGATCTGATGCACCAAGCAAAAAATGAGGAAAGCAGGATGATGAAATCTTCCATGACTTGGAAAGACCCCCCCTCTCGCGTCGGAAACTCCCCTAGTTGGGGAACGAGAACCCACATGCTAGAATTTCGAGCGTTTCAAACATATTGAATCCAAAACGTCGCGCGGTGTTGCGAACCACAAAAATCAGGCACGGCCTACGCACGACATTGCAAGCACCTTGCAGGCAGTGTGGCAGAGCGTTCCTGTCGACGATGTGACGCGGGCAGTAACGTGCTGCAGTCAGAAGGCTCGCAATCGCAATAAGTTTCCCGGAGTGCGATAGTTTTTATTCGGGTTCGCTGTTAATTCAGCGAGGCCTCGCTCCGGAAGAACGAGAAGTCGAGTAATTTCCTTTTTGAAATTCTGGAGTGAGATTTTTCCAGGAGTGAATATTCACTGAGTTTTCACTTGGTTTCTCGTTCCAGAACGAGAAATCGAGTGAAAATTCAGTGAGTTTTCACTTTTTGAAGGGATCACGATTTTTCCGGAATTGAAAAATCTTCTTAGCGAATTCTGACTCCGGGAAAACTTCGCTCCCGGAGAACGAGGCCCAGTTCCGGAACTCAAAATCGAGTGAAAATTCAGTGAATTTTCACTTTTTGAAAATTTTCACTTTGAGATCACGAATTCTCCGGTCACGAATTCTCCGAGAGTAACAATTAAGCTCCGGGAAATTCGTGATCCCTTCAAAAAGTGAAAATTCACTGAATTTTCACTCGATTTCTCGTTGTGAAACGAGAAACCGCGGGAAAATTCAGCGCGTATTCACTTTCGGAAAAATTTCACTCCCGGAGCGAGGTTTTCCGGCAGTGCAAATTCGCTGAATTGATTCTCACTCCACATAAATTCGCGATCCCAAAGCGAGAGCTTTCAATAAGTGATAAGTCAGTGAATTTTCACTCGATTTCTCGCGCGGAACGAGGTCTCGAATTCTCAATTTTTGAAAAATGCCGGAGCTCGCTCCCCGTTCCTTCACTGCGTCCTGACATAAATGGAAACTCCAAGAATTCTTGCTGTGTTTCTCCTTCCGGAGCGAGAGACTCAGTGAGAATTCAAAGAGTCTCACTATTCGAAAAAATCCGGGATCTGCGTGCCTCGTTCCCGAACTAGGAGAGTTTCCGATGTCATTTTCTTTTAGAGGTTCCAAGTCATGAAATCTTCAAATTTTAATTTATCAAACAAGTACTCAAGCGGACTGTCTTCGAAGAGCTCCACATCGATCTGCCGCAATTTTATGTTCGGCAGCACTATCAAATGTAAAAATGTCTGGGTCTGGAAGATTTAGATTACAACTTGTCATGCTAAATCTGCAGCATGCAAAAATCTGTGTTACAGCATTACCAAAAGTCGCCCAATTTTGACCAAGTCGGGAGGTAGTTTCTCATGCAGGATAGGCATTAGAAAGTTCTCGCAGAATCTGTCATGCTAGCTCCGGCATTCCAGACCTCATGGGTCATGGAAAAGCAGCATGACAAATCGCGCATTCTTCCAGACCCAGACATTTTTACATGATAAGCACGATCCTTTCGCAAATTTGCTGCAGAGCGTTCAAGTCGTTGAAGGGGGACGTCTATGCATTGCAAAAGTATCGCACGATCACTCGCGGCAATTGCAATACTGCAAGACAAATCTGAAATCTCTCTCCCAAACTAAAAAACTACCAGCATGAAAAATAGGATAATTTGTCACACTGAGCATGCAAAAACATGATACAGACTAAGTACCAATAAAGACATCATACTTTTGCAATGCATAACGCCTCGCCCCAGTTCTGGCCGGCGGCGGAGGAGAGGAACTTTATGCCGCTCGCCACCACGTTGTCGTTCATCTTATCAAATGCAAATGCGACTGGGTCTGGAAAACAAAGCAGACACTCCATATCATGCTGTTTTATTTGCATCTGGACGCAGGCCTAAAATGCCTGCAGAAAGAGAGCATGACGCCGGACAGAGCTTTTATTCTTGTTCCATGCCTAGTTTGCAAGATGGAGACAAACACAAAAGCAAGCGTCTTCTTCTGACTACGAAACACGAAATCTTGTTCTTTGCTGTCCAAAAAGAACTAGAATCCGGACCACAAGTTCAAGTGTGCTCCTGCTCCACCAGACCCACAGACCACTATTTGCAATGCATACATGTCGCTCTGGTCCAACTCTAAGAGCAACTGCCACACTGCCGCGGTTATGGATTGTAAAAATGTCTGGGTCTGGAAGGATCCGAACTTGTCATGCAGATCTTACATGGCCCGTGACGTCTGTGATGTATTCCCTGGCATCTCAGATTTCCTGAGTGCTTCTTGATGCCTATTCCGCATGACAAATGGCCTCCCCGCGTAGCAGAAACTGGGCTCCTTTTGCTGGTCATGCAATACAGATTTTTCTAGAATCCAAAATTAGCATGACAAACTTGCACTCTTCCAGACCCAGACATTTTTACATTTGATAGCGGTCGCGGGCTTCACGAACTGTTTCACCTCTTCCTGGTACTTGGTCACGTACAGCCCTATCAAATGCAAAAATGTCAGGGTCTGGAAGAATGCACGACTTGTCATGCATATTTCTCATGACCCATGATGCCTGTAATGCATGACCTAGCATCGCAGACTTCTGGAGGGCTTCCTGATGCACATTCCGCATGAGAAATGCCCTATCCGTGTAGCACAAATTGTTGCTGGTCATGCAATACAATTTTTTTTGGAGTCCAAAAACAGCATGACAAGTTCCAACTCTTCCAGACCCAGACATTTTTGCAATCCATAAGCCCCATGTTGTCGCAAATCTGCGCCCGGAGCTTGTTACACCGTTCCAGGTCCGTTTGCAGGAGGAAGGGCGGGAAGTTGGACGTTTTCAGGAAGTAGAAGAAGCCCTCGTACCAGATGCTCATGTTGTCCTCGTACTGCTCCGGTAGATCGACCACGTTCAGCGAGAAAAAAATCGCGCAGCTCGCCACCAAGGACCGCAGCTCCATCTCTTGGTGCCCCGGTGGCGGTTTGTTCGACGCGGACGAACCGCCGCTCTGCATACTTCCACCGCCCAGAGAAGAAGCGCCAGCTGCTATCCTGAGTAAAAACGTACCCAGCTGCTGCACACCCAGCGTTGTCATGCAAATGATCTGCATGCCCAATAGAATGAGGTTTTGCATGTTGCACAACCGCATGAGCAGCACTTGTTCTTTCTCCCGCTGTCTCCTGGTACTTTGTCATGCATCATGCTCTAATCATGATAGGAAGCTGGATTTTTTGAGATGAGGGGGCTTCACTGCTAGTCAAACACCACTACACTTGGAGATGAGACCCAAAGAACTTGTCATGCGCAACGAACAGCCAAAACTTCTGCCTGGTTTGTGTTCTTGCAAGAGTCCCATCTTGACTCTGGGTTGGCGCTGGGAACGTTTTTCCACAAGATAGAGCTCGTCGTGGCCGCCGTCCCAGCGGCCGCGGCTTGCTGCTGCGTCAGCACGGAATTCAAGTTCGCGCAGCTCTCCTTAAACGCCTCCAAGTGCACGTCCGCGAAGTTGTCCACACAGTACTTCTATGCATTGCAAATGTGTCTGGGTCTGCGAGAAAGCCTGATTGGTCCTGCATATTCTGCATGACCCCTGATGCCTGTAGTGCACGGCATAGCATCACAGATTTTTAGAGGGCTTCCTGATGCTTATTCTGCATGAAAAATGCCATCTCCGTGTAGAACAAACTGCACTCCTCTTGCTGGTCATGCAATACAGATTTTTTACGAATCCGAAGACAGCATCACAAGTTACAACCTTCCAGACCCAGACAATTTTGCATTTGATAACTTCACCGCCCGCATTAACTCGTTCGTCCGGAACTGCTCTTCAAACACTCGAAACACCGGCTCCAGGGCCTCGAGAATCACCGCCTTCTGGGTCGGGCACTCCTTCAGCGACTGTTTCATGTCGGGGAGCAAGTTGTCCCACTCAAACGGGAAGTCGCACTCCGCGATCAGCTCCATGGCTGCGCACAGCTGTTTCTGCACCGCTTTCGGCGCGGACATCAGCAGCTTCACCAGATTTTGCTTGATCATCACCCGCTGCTGTTCGGGCACCCCGTTTTGGTACAACGGCCACTTCCGCTTCACGTAGTTCTTGAAAAAGATCCCGCCCGCCTGCGACACGGCGGACTCGGAGGCTATCAAGTGCAAATATGTCTGGGTCTGGAAAAATGGCAGGTTTGTCATGCATATTTTGAATCACCCACGACGTCTGTGATGCATGCCCTAGCATCACAGATTCTGAGACGGCTTTGCGATGCTTCTACCGCATGAGAAATGCCCTCTCAGCGTAGAACATCAAACTGGAGTCTTCTTGCTGGTCTTGCAATACAAATTTTTTTAGGATCCAGAGACAGCATCACAGGTTTAGAACCTTCCAGACCCAGAGCCAGACATATTTGCAATCCATAGAGGCGGTGGGGTTCAAATTCGCGGACAGCTTGTGGAGGACCTGGAGGAGGATGATCCCGAACCGGTCCTTATCAAATGTAAAAATGTCTGGGTCTGGAAGAATTCTAGATTTGTCATGCATATTTTCCATGACCCATGACGTCTGTGATGCACGCCGTAGCATCACAGGCTTTTAGAAACCCTCCTGATGCCTATTCCGCATGAGAAATACCCTCTCCGCGTAACACAAACTGGACTCCTGTTGCTGGTCATGCAATACAGATTTTTTCGGAATTCAAAAACAGCATTACAAGTTCCGACCTTCCAGACCCAGACATTTTTACATTTGATAGTCCTGCTGTTCCAAGTGTGTCAGCTCGTTCTGCGCCTGTTTGATGTCGTGCACGTTCGTCCCGACCGTCCGGTGCAGCAGGGAGGCGAGCGCCTGCTCCTCTGCGTCGAGGGTGTTCATTTTGATGCTTCTGGTCGTGGTTTTGCAGCTGCAGCTCCCGATGAAAACCACTGTATTTATTCTATGTTGTTACTTTTCCTTGATGGCTTCGGTCGCTACTTCGGAGAGGTCGTCGTACTGGTGATCGTAGTCGCGCGCGACAGGCAAAAGCTCTTCATTGTGTGCTTCTTGCTTCGTGTGAAAGGATTGAGGTCGATAGGTCGGTGTTGTGTCACAAAATCTAAATCTATATCTATTGTCGCTGGAGAAGATGAAGAACAATTCACAACTTACTAAGAAAGTAGCCATAAAGGAGTTTTGAATTTTGTCGCTGTTAGAAGATTTTAAAGTCGTTCTTGGTGCAAGAAAATAGAATCTTGACAAAAATAAAGCCAAGACCAAGCGCAGAAATGAGATCATCGAAATGGTAGTGAGCAGGTAGAAAAATGCAGCCAAAATCATGAATCATTATCGGTTCTTAACGCTCGCGTTCTTGCGGCCAATTTTGAATTGAACAACGGTCGAGGTCGTGAATCACGATTGTGAAGAGAAGACAACGATTTTTGAGTGTTTCCGTACGATCGATGAAAACTAGTTCAAAAAGCTTGATCTTGTGTTCTACTATGCAGCAGGTACTCCTACAAGGAAAAAGCTCCTGGCTTTTGCTCATCACAAAGGGAAGAACCAGCATGAGCCTTGCCGCGGAGAAGGAGAACAACAAAAGTTAAACTCTATTTTCAGTACCTATTGCTTGAGAACCAAATTGCGCTGGAGTGCTTGTTACTCTCAGACTCAGAGGAAATTCGACATCGACATCGAGGACTGCCTATGTAATAATTGCTGCTCGCCGTCTACGTTGTTGCTGTCACTTCTTTTCAATTTCAGTTTTCAACCAGCAGACATCAAAATCTTGTTTTCTGTTCTCTATGGCATATTCATGTTGTTGTTCGCGTTCTTCTTCTTTTCCTTTTGATTGAACTACGTTTTAAACAGAAACGATCTACAACGTGCAAAAGCGGATCCGATCCTTTTCGCCTGCTGTAACGTCATCAGTCAAAGTTGCGAGTGTCGTGCACTTACGCGGAAAAGGAATAAAGATGTTCGGAATGTAATTTACCTGTTAAAATTCCCTGAGTACCAGCGACCTTCTCCATCTGTTGCTCCACCAAGAGCATCTACTTACATTCTTCCCGCTTCTCCTCTCAGAACCCCGGTGAAGTTCCCCGCCCTTCGCCGCTTCCTGTTGTGCTGCCGAGCTTTTGGTGCAGGACAAGCTGCAAGTTTCCGCGGGGCCAGTGCTCCTGCTGCCTGTACTAGTAAGCAGTCCCAAAGGCTGTAATACAGGAACGGCAACACGACCGCAGCCACGGCATTTCTACAGTCTGCTGCTCACACGACCGACTCGCACGGGATTTTCGCCGTCACCACCAGAAACCCGTTTTTTTCTTTCAGCTTGATGCTTTTTGGGTCCACTTGCACGCCCCACGAAAACTCCTTCTTGTTGTGAGACTTCCACGACGTCGTCCCAGGTCTAGTATTGCTTCTAAGAGGCGATAAAGCTACTGGTTGTGCACCGCCTGCATCTACTGAGCTTGTTGATGTCCTTGTGCCTGTGGTCCCGCCAGCTGCACTCACAGGAGCGACAGAAGATGCTTCTTGTTCCGAGGTTGTGGTTGCGCAGCTGCTAGTAGTTCCGCTTTTTGCAGTTCCGCCTGGCGTGGTACTGCTCCACGACTTCTGCACTTGCAAATTTCTCGCGTTTGCGTCGATGGCGATGCTGCACGCCGCGACGGCTTTCCTGATCAAAAATGCGATGCGATCGGCCCCGCGGTGTAGCACACCTAGAGTACAAGTACAGATTTGCTCTATCAGATTCATGATCATCCCGAAGGTAGCAGGAGAAAGCTCGTCACGATATGGTGCGTCATCGAAATCTCTACGCGAGCCTCCTCTGTGGTACCATCAACGGAGTACCGTATTGCGATACCTAGAGGTTGTTGTAATGTCGATCAGTAATCGCTTCGAGCTAGAGGCCATGATGAGCCACGGGCGTGATTCATTTCTATCGCGTAATTCGCAACCATTACTAGTGCCTGCTGCGCTACTTCAGTCGCAGTCCTTAACGATAGTCACTCGGTGTCAGCCTCCGACAGCCAAAAAACACCACTATAGCACTCGCCGCAGACATAAAAGAAAAAGTATTTATACCGTCGCTCAAGCTCGCCCACCCGCTGACTTGAGCGCAGCATATTGGGCAAGCCGGCAGCACATATTTCCCGAGCGCTTCCACGCAGTCCTTACACAAGGGGCCGTGGTTGCAATTTTCCTTCCCCACAGAAAAGTTGTTGCACTGCGCGAAATAGTCCGCTTGCCGGCGCCTGTCAAAACACCTGCGGCAGGTTTGGGTGGAAACCGTGAGGACACCCTGGAGGAAAGAGGACGCGGAACTGGAGCTGGATGCCGCATGCTGCTGCGCCGCTTCTATAGCCCTAGACGAACTCATTGCTTCGTGCTCAAGGCTGCTCGAGGACGGATTTGTGCTAATATACAGCGAAGGTGGTGTACGGGCTGGAGCCATTTACTCTGTTTCTGGTATCTAAATCTACAGGATCTACAGGCACAAATCTTATACTGCTGACAAATAATATTTTTTCTAATTCTGACCTGAAAGTAAAAGGGCTTGAAGACAACGGCGAATCGTTCTTGTCGTCCTGTGCTGATGATAATGATGTTACCGCCCAGTAGAGGGCTTCAAGTGTCCAGGCCGCGATCTAAACTATTCCTCCACAGCGTCTTCTTCTTCTTCAGGACACCGACGTCCTGCTGTCTCCGCCAAGTCTACTGCGGCCGCGCTTTTTCAGCATGCAGAGTAGTAGTAAACGAAAAGGAAAAACATGCATTCAATGGACAACTGAAACTCGAAACTATGGTGCGACTCATCCTAGGGCTAGGATCATGATCATGATGTCTTCAATGACGTGTATTTATTATAGTACTTATTATATTCATGTTGCAACTGCCATTACTAGAGACAAAGAGTGTGTTGCCAAGATGCGCACAAAATCATTCGGAGAAAGACTGATACTAAGAGCGCAACTTTCACCCCTACACCACCAGACAACGTCGACTACAAAAGACTGGTCGATGATGTGGGACAAGAAAATACACTGCGCAACGCCTGTGCAGCTCTTGATGCTGGAAATATATCTCGAACGCGACCAGATATGAAGGTACCTGCTCTAGTACTGTCAGTGTCAGGCTGCAAATCCATTTCAATACTCATAGATCCTGTTGTTTTTCAGTACAATTCTAGCAACTTCATCTGGCTACTGGAATGTGGTCCTTGTCGAACTCATGCTTGTCTTTGATGCCAAGCATCCATAAAGCAATCGAAACGACTCTGAGTCGAAGGGTAAGTAGCAAGAACTTGTTCGCATTTCATCCGAGGTGAGCACCACGACCACGCCAGCGATGGTACAGATAAGAAGTCCCTCGCGGTGTCCTCCTGTAAGAAACTGATATGTTAAGCCGATGCAGCCACATGGGCTGGTGCAAAGTTCAAGAACAACGTATACTTAGCTTAAAAAAGTCGTGACAGAAGAAGTAGAGCAAGGGTGCGCATGTCGATCAAGTTTGAATTAATCAGTCTGAGTCTGCACACACGACAAGTACTAGAAGAACGCAAAGGATGAATGAGGCACGGGCTGCCTTGGTTTATTTTCGTCCGCTAGTATTAACTACACTGGTTTTTACATATCCGTTACAAAAATTACAGTGAATTACACGACGTGTAGTGGCGCCCGGCACAGGCACTAACTCTTCGCAAGAAACAAACCAGCCCGGCTACCATGCCACCGCGAAGCTTCTTTCCCTGTCTTTCGGGTCCTGCGCGTCGTGGATTTTCTGTGCCTCTTATGAAAGTGCACAACTCCCGCCCCAACCCCTCATTTGTATATATTGCATGAACAGCAATACAAGCGTCAGCAAGAATACAGGTTTTGCATGACAAATTTTGACCACTGGCGTGTAGTGCTATTTGGGCTACCAGAACTTGTCATGCAAACAGTGCCAAGAGCCCAGGCGTAAACTAGGCACTTTGCATGACAAATGAGGGGGAGGGGGAGTTGTGCACTCTCATACCTCTTTGATTTCTTCCATAAAACCGTAGACCTCCTGGGTGTTGTTGTAAATTCCTTCCTATCAAATGTAAAAATGTCTGGGTCTGGAAGAGTCATGCTGTTTTTGCATGACACAGAAGGTCTGGCATGGAAGCTCTAGCATCACAGGTTTCGAGAAGCTTCCGCAATGCCGAATCCGCATGACAAGTCCCCTGCTATTTTGCTGACAGAAAGTGGGCAGCTTTTGCTACGTATGCATGAGAGACTTTTCTGTGTTCTGGAATACGCATTACAAGTTGCATTCTTCCAGACCCAGACATTTTTACATTTGATACTTCCTCCGCGGTCTGCCTCGCTTTGCTCGTCTCTTCGAACGTTTTCTGTGCCGCCATGACGGCCGCCTCCGCGGCTAGCATGGTGTTTTTCGACTCTTGTTTCTCCGTCAGTTTTCGCAAGTACTCCAGCTCGACGTCGATTTGCTGCAGCTTCCGCTGCCTCCGCTCCAGCTGTTTGTGTTCCTTGTTCATCCTCTGTCGGTAGTCCTCCTCGATGGCGCGCTTTTCCTCGTAAATAATGGAACTCTCATTGTAGAACCGGTGCTATGCATTGCAAAAGTGTATCGCATTCGCACTCGTATAAATGCATTTTCTCAGCATGAGAAATTTGTATATTATGCGGATTTACATTTAAAAAAAAAAATGTAAAAATTATGCATGATTGCAATACCAATACGAGTACGATACTTTTGCACAGGATAGGTGCTTCGCGTCAATCTCGGCGGTCTGCTTAATTTCCTCGTACTCCACTTTCGACTGCGCAACCTTTCCAACAGACTCCGCTAACTGGGTTCGCAGGTTTTCCCGCGTTTCGTTACAATTCTTCGACGCCTCAAAAGCACTTTCTCGCGCAACCACCGCGGAATCGTAGACTTGTTGCGACTCGCGAAACTCGGCCAAAGCCGTGAAAAACCCAACTCGGGCCTGTTCCGCCTCGTCTTGCAAGGTCAGGACGTCTTTGCCGACCTTCCTCCAGTTGTCCACTGCCTTGTCGTATTTTTCCTGCTTCTCCTCCCGGATCTTCTTCTTCAATTCCTGCTCGACCTCATTCAGTGCAAAAATATATCGCGCACTCGTAGTAATTTTTGCATCAACCTTGCATGATTACAAATCCCATTCCTAAAGTGGTAAGTCCCCATTTTACAAATTCGATTTTTTATCATGCAATTAGAATTACTACGAAGCATACGATAAACTTGTTTTGCAAAAGTGCGTAGATTTCCTCGGCGTTTTTCTCAGCTTTGAGCTTCTCGGCTAACTCGGTTTCTGTAATCAGCGTCGCGTTTGCCGTCCGCGAAGACTATCAAACAAAAAACACCATCACAATCACATCTAGGAGGTTTTGCATCAGAAATTCCTCTCGCATGACAAATTTTTGTTGCATTGCAAAAACACATCAAAGGGAAATCACCAATAAGTCTTGACTGTGATGCATCTTTGCGCATGACAAAAAATTTTGTATTGCAAAAATGTGCAAGAGTGATTGTGATGGTGTTTTTTTCTTGAATAAAGACTCCTCCGCTTTTACTGCCTCTCTTTCCTGTTCCGCGATCTCGCTCGCTATTTTCCTTATTTCCTTGTCCGTCGTCGTGATGTTCCGCCGCAAAAATTTCGCCTGCTGGTCGAGCGACCGGAGGTGCGGCTCGTTCTGGGCGAAGTAGTTGAGAACGGAGTCCGGTAGACTGAGCACCGAGGTGTCCACTTCGTCCGGTTGCTTCGCCGTATGCATTTTTGCAAACAAGTATGTCTCGGTTCTTTGGAAGAGTCGTCCGAGTTTGCACTAAGTGATGGTAGAGAAGGCCGACAGCACAAAAGTCTGTACTGTTGCATGGGTAGCGACAGCGCATGCAGGCCACACTTCTTCTTCTGGTGATTCGAAGATGACATTTCTCATGCAGGGTAAGCATCTTCTACTTCGTGGTGGAGCCTTCTCTAAACTTGTCAAGCTACAGCTCGCGTTCCAAAATGAAATAGTTGGGGTCATGCGATCGCGCAAACCTTCAGTTCATCCTCCAGATGAAGACCCAGACTACATCATGTTTGCATCTCTGATATGTCTATTGAGAGGAAAAATCCCCCCTCCCCATATTGAAAACGCATTCGTCCGAAAATTTGTGACGCAGATTTGAGGTCACAAATCCTGTCTGTATTGCAAGAAGGCAAAGCCAGAGAGTCCGCCGCATTATGCCGGAGGTTTGTGATGCTGTTGGGCTTACAGAGCCGACATCTGTCATGCTGGTCCCCTACGTCAAAACCTCTCGACCCAGGCTTGGCATATGCCTGCAATCCTCTCCAGCAAGACAGACCTGATTTGTGTACGCAAATCCAGCATCAGAAACCTCGTTTCGATATGGGGACGGGGGATTTTTCCCTTTGATAATGTCTTTGCCGTCGCCAGCAGGTTCTTGTCGGTTTCGATCCCGCAACTCTCCGCCACCTTATTACAATGAAAAATGCCCCCACTCCCGAACGTGAAAGCATTTGTATTGCAAACCTTTCCAAATGAAACATTCGCCCTCTTGCATGTATCAGCATCACAGATTGGCGATCGTGAATAGCAAAAATTTGTATTGCAAAAGATCCCAGCAAGAGCGGTGCTTGTCATGCAAGCGATGCGAAACTCGACTAGAATCTGCATCAGAAAGATTCATACTCCTTTCATGCATGACAAAAAGTTTTCATTTGGAAACTTCGCATCACAAATTTTTGCAATTTCAGGGGTGGGGGGCACTTTTCACTGTGATACACCTGCTGCTTCCTCTCCCACTCTTTTTTGTCGCCCAATTTCGAAAAAGCGACTCGCAGCTCCTCGCCGACTTTCTCCTCCGCGGCCTTCAGCTCTGTCGCAACGAAATCCTGCTCCTTCTTCTGCGATTGGTGCAGTACTCCCCGCAGCTTCGAGATTTCTTCTTGCGCAGACCGCTCCCGGTCGATGAATTCCTTCTCGTCGTTTTGCCGGTCAGTGACGAGTTTGGATACGCGTAAAAACTCCGCCTCCGCCGCGGTTTGATTGCTTCGTCCCTCGATTACGAGGGCCTCTTCCGCGGTCAAAACTTTCTGCAACTCGGCGAGCACGGTACCCTCCGTGTGCTTCAATTTTTCCTCGGCTTCTTTTACAAACACCTCCGCCGCGGCGACGTCGGACAGGCATTTTTTCAGAAAGACTGTGATGTTCACTTTTTGCTGTTTCAGCTGCTCTATCCTGTGCAAAAGTAATTATATCGTAGTCGTACTACAAATTGCATTCATGCGTGACAAGTGCTAGTCTCAAGGGAAGCCAGCATTTTTCCTAACAAAGTGAAGTTTTTTTCGGTCTTAGGTTTATACTCATTTGTACTGCAATTTATTTTACTGAATACGATACAACTTTTGCAAGATTGCATATGCTCCAGAACCTCCTCGTTCCCGGAGAGATCCTTCACCTCTTCGTATTGCTTTCCCAGCTCGCGGTCCTCTTTCTGCGCCTTTTTCTCCTGCTCCATCAATCGCACCACCTCCTTCATGTGGCTCGCGTCATCGGTGGATAGACCGATTTGCCCCACAAAGTAACTCAGCGCATCCACGGCCGTGGACAAGTAGTTCCCGATAACGGACAAAAACGTGTTTTCCTGCTCCTTCCCGAACCAATCATTAATCGCGGTCTTCACTTCCGCCGACATCGTCGCGTTCAGAGTCGTAATCTCGCGATTGTAAAACTCCAACTTCGATTTCAACCCGTCTAGCTGCGTCTCTAGCCTTCTCTTCGTTTGTTTTCTTTGCCGCAACAAATCCTCCGTCTTCCGCTCATTCTCTTTCGCCGTGTTCATCATCTCGACGGCGGCGGACTGCTCGCTTTGCAAATCTGTGACGTTCTGTTTCGCCTTTTCCAAGTTCGTTCGGTTCTGCTCTACCCAAAGTTCGCCAGTTTGAACGTCTTTCTTCGCCTCGTCGCGTGTAAGCTCAAACTGCTCCAGCGTGGTGTTGGCCACCTGCCAGCGTTGCCTTTTCTCGCTCTGCATTTCCACCGCCTTTGCCACCGCGGTCCCCGCGTCTTGGCGCTCCTTGATAATCCCGCTGTGCTTCTCTTCCGTGCCCTTGACCGTGTCCTCGTCTCTCTTGATCTGGTTCTTCAACTCTTGCCGTTCTCTTTCCCGCTGCGCCAATACATCCTTTGCCGCCCGGAGTTCCGCCGTGGAAAGCTGCTCATCGGAGACTTCGTCGGTGGAAAGATCGTCGTCGTCTTCTGCATCGTCGCTCGTCTCTACAGCTGCCCTAAATTCATCATCTCCGCGAGTAGTACTTGTTGTACTAGCTGACTCATCTACTTGTTCTGCCTGCGGCACCACGACGTCGACCATGTAGCACTTTGGCTCTGGGGCGGGCGGACAAAAGTTGCAGCTCTTGGGACAATTCTTCTTCATGTACTTTTCCCGTGACTCACAGTATCCATTCTTCGACCAGTAATCGCAATGCTCGTGCGTGTCCTTGCATTCCGGCGCGGGCTCCGCCGGGTCGCACTTCTGTTCCTGACGATGAACGACCTCGGGCTTGTTTTGCTCTACTTGCTCCTTCTGCTGACCTTCTTGGCCGCCGTCTACGCCAGAAACCCCTCCAACTTTTTCCTTCTTTTTCTTCTTTTTCGTCGGCCTGTTGTCCAGTAAACACTGCACCGAGTCTTTCGGTATGTCCTTGCATTTCTCGAAACTGCTAGCCTCCACGTCGCTGACCTTCTGGTTTGTGCTCGACAGGCTGGCCTGTAACTCTTGCTTCTTCCTTATGAGAATGCAAAACTCGTCACCCTCGTTCTGCAAAAACACCAACTCGTCGAGACCGTCGCTGTCCCTCCTGGTCCTATCACTATTATGCATGACAAGTTCTGGTGGTAGCCCAATAAATAGGATGACACTGCAGTGTAAATTTGTCATGCAAAACCGGCATTCTTGCTGATTCTTGTACTATGTTGTATTGCCGTTCATGCTATACTACATATGAGGGGGAGGGAGAGTTGTGCACCTCTTTCATATTGCCCTCCTGCTCTCCCTTCGCCCTTTTCGCGCCCTCAATCTGGCTCAGCACCCGCATCCAGTTCGCCACACTGGCGGGCACATTCCTATGGCGTTCTCAACTGTTACATTCTCAGCTGTTACATGAAAGTAGTAATGCAAGAACGGCAAAAGTGAAAGGGAAAGCGTTGCGCCTTTTGCATTACAGGTTTAGTGCAGATTATAATGCTATCTAGCGCGTCGAGAAGTTGTCATGCGGAGAAGGCTTGATCGCGGTAAGAGTGATAGTGTTTTTGCATGACAAATCATGTAACAGCTGAGAATGTAACATGTGAGAACGCCATAATTCCTTTCCGCCTGCGCCCTCGTCGCTTCCTGCACGTTGTATTTGTGGTTGGTGTATCAAGTGCAAAAGTGTCTGGGTCTGGAAGAGTGCATGTTTGTCATGCTTGTCTGGCATGACCCTTAAATCTGTCATGCACGTTACCCAAGAGCTCCATTTTTCATCTGTGATGCAGAAACGCAGTCTGTCATGCAGAATAGGCAACACCTAGAAGCTCAGAAACTTGTCATGCTGCGTCAGCATTTGTGGCCTCATCATGAGACGCCACCCAGCATCACAAGTTTCCAGACCCAGACATTTTTACATTTGATATGGTGTCCGCAAAAATCTGCTCCTGCCGCTGCAACTCCAGTCGGGCGACCTCCAATTCCCGCTCGGCGGTGTTCTTCGTTTCGTTCACGGGTACGATCTATGCATTGCGAACATGTCTGGGTCTGGAACAAGGGTCATCCTCTGAATTTGTCACTTTTGGGACCCATGAGATGGCATTTCTCACCCAGGATACGCATAATTGGGTGGCCTTCTCAATAAAACTTGTGATGCTACAGCTCGCAACATTCCAGACCTTCTGTGCCATGCGAAACCTGCAAGAACATGGGAGATGTTACAACCTTCCTGACCCGGACATCTTTGCATTTGATACGAACGTGTTTTTGTTCTGCTCTTCTCCGGTAGCCAGCGAGCTGTTCCTCTTTTCTGATTCCGTCCGATTACTCTGCTCAAACCTCGTCGCGGTGTCTAGGGCCTATGCAATGCAAAAATGTCTGGGTCTGGAAACTTGTGATGCTGGGTGGCATATCATGAGGAGGCCACAAGTGCTGGCTCAGCATGACAAGTTTCTGAGCTTCTCGGTGTTGCCTATTCTGCATGACAAACTGCGTTTCTGCATGGCAGAAAAGTAGCGCTCTTGGGTAACGTGCATGACAGATTTGAGAGTCATGCCAGACAAGCATGACAAACATGCACTCTTCCAGACCCAGACATTTTTACATTTGATAGGGCCTCTTTGGTGGTGATTTCGTTTTTCTCCTTGTCCAATAAGACCCGCACTCGATTCTCGCAGTCATCCGACGTTATGAATTGCAAACGTCGCGTACTACTAGTAGTATGTAAATGGTATCACAAATTTAGGAACAATAGTATGGAGTTTCAATTTGTAATGCTGTTTCAGGTTAAGGCTTTGTCATTCAGATTCATGACTGCAAAAATTTATACGAGGAGTACCGTGATACTTTTGCAATGCATAGCCGTGGTAATCAGGCTATTGTTGGTTCGCTGCTGGTCGGTCTCGTTTTGGCTGATCCGGCTCGCCGCATGTGCCACCTGATCTCTCGCGTCCGTCAACACTCGGAGGGCCTCGGTCAGGATGTTGTGCGTACGCAGCGCCTCGTAGTACGTTTCGCTGTTTTAGTTGTTGATAATTTTGTCATCATCATCATCATGCTAAGCAGTTGTTAAAAAATATCCAAAAATGCTCGTCATAAAAATTTCAAGAACAAAAAACTAAAAGCGATCAGAACTACTTGTGCTCCCGAAAGCTTTCGTTGTATACGCCGTGCTGTCTTTCCTGTTCTATTTCCGCCCCTTGCCGCGTCGTGTTCCGGACCACGTCCGCGAACAGCTGCATTTTGGAATGCGAGATCTGCAATTTCTGTTGGTAGTCGTCTTCCCGCGCCATCATCTCTGCGTGTTGGGTCTGCTGGTTTTTCATGTGCTCCTCGAGGGTCTTCCGTAAATCCGCATGCTCCATGCACTGCAAACGTTGTACTATCCGTTAAATCGTTTTAGTACTAATCGTGACCACTCGACGTCTCACATACAAAATTCCTCATGCATCATGGTCATCAAGTAATTCTATTTCTACTTCTGTTTGCATTTGCAAAAAGACGCAATAAACCTGCGTCGAAATAAATCTTTACATATCTATTCAGCGTGTCAAAAACATACGAAAATTTTGGTCAACTTGCGAAGTAGATGTTGTCTTCCTGCAAGATACAAAAACCAACGTGCACATGACGTAAGATGTACTAACACAATCGGAGGACGGTGCCTTCATCATATACGGATCCTATGAACTGCAAAAGTATCGCACTCGTATAAATGCATTACAAATTCGAAATTCAAATTTCCTCAGCATGAGAAATAAAGTTTGTAATCCAGATTTGCCTTGGAAACAAGATTTGTAATGCAAGACTTGCATTTGTACGAGTACGATACTTTTGCACAGGATAGGGATATCTTTCGCCAGTCCCTTGTTGTACTTGACCTGCGCTTTGTAGAGCCCCATCTCCGGCGGTGTAAAGCACCGAAAGATGACCTGCTTTCGGCAGTCCACGCATCCCCCGTCCTCCCCGGTTCGTTCCTCCTCGTATGCGCAGTAAAGTTACAACCCAGCACTTCCACCACGTTGCACAACAATTGGAACGCTTCACCACATGCACATTCCGTACAATTGGAACTTGCATTAACTTAGATTTACAACTGCTGTTGACATCATTGCATGACAAACATTTTCTTGTTCTCCCGACTAGAGTGACATGTCTTTATTGATCTTTAAGTTCAATCTTAACGTCATGACATGATCACGTGCTCTTGTGCGGGGGTATAAAATAGTTTTTTTTAGTTGCATACCTCGCACTCCAAGTCTATCATGTCCGTCTGACAGCACTTTTCGAAGGTCCAGTAATCCGTGAAGCACCAGGGTGCCCCACGGCCGCCCTTGTGCTGGAAGTTGCTACAGCAGTATTCGCAGGTTTCCAGGAGCAGCAAAGATTTCCGCTTCCAGCACTCGGGGTTTTTGAACGGGACGCAGGGCCTCCGCCCCGGCAGCATGGCTTTGCGGTCAAAAGGGTCAGATTTCGTGTTGTACAACATCTGGTAAATGTCGATTCTCCCCCCGTAGTACGCCGCTTGTGGCTATCAATTGCAAATACAGGTCTGAATCTCAAAGCCTGTTACGTATACTAAATCGACGCAAACGATCATACGAAACATTGATTCGTGGTACTTGCAGCCGAGAATGGCAAGTTCTTTTTACGAAGCCTTCTGAAGCGACGTGCTTAGTAGGCAACTAAACATCAGAGCAAATGAAGCTTTTGCGTGAACACGACAGATGAGGCTGCGCTGATGCTGCTCATCGATCAACACACAGTCAATGTCAAAGTTTGCCATCTACAACTTCTTCCAGACCCAAACTACACATGATTTGCTCTGCATAGGGGCTGGACGCCGCCCGCCTCGTTCCCGATCCACTTGATGGCGTAATCGCGCAGCAACAGAGACTTAAACGGCCACCCCTCCATGTTCATGCACTGTCGGAACTCTTTCGATTCACCCAAGTCGCGCAGAATCACCATGTACCTGACGGAGGTTTGTTTCGATGAGTATCTGCACTTCCAAGAACTCGAAGATCTTCGAAATGTTTCATCTGTGAATAAACAAATTTTTGTTGTTCGCCCCGATCTTACTTACTTTGTCGAAGACACGTAAGCACGATGAAAGAACAGATAAAGGAGTTTCTTTTCCAGAACGACGAGAAGATAAACAGATTGTCGTGGTGTCATAACTGTATGGCTGTACTTACCCGAAAAACAGCTCGAGTTTCCGCATTTGCTCCCCCCCTTCCAACTTATCCGCCTCAAACAGGACCGCATATCGAGGAAAAAAAGTGTGTAAGTGAACTATCGCTCTCTGTTAGTTCCATACGTATGCAAAACAGGAGTGTCATGCTGAACATGCACTATATACAACAGTGGTGTACGTTTACGTAGGTCAGTTTTGTCCGTTTCCGTACTATTTTGACTGATACTACTTGCGCGTTACATTTGATGCTGTCGTGCTATATGTAGATCTGCCATGCTGTTTCCACAGGAACTGGTTCTCCATAAAACCTTCTAACACAGTTGCTTTCCCGGATACCGCCTGACTGCAGAGCAGGAGGAGTCCCATGTGCCCGGCCATGCAGGTGCCCGTAATTCTCGCTCGGGCGGCCGGCATCCACAGGTCGCCCGCCGTGTTTTCGATGAGCCCTCGGGTCATGCCGAGTTGCGGCCAGGCCTTCCAGAACACCGTGGGCTGCTCCTTGGGGCAGTTGAAGCCCTCCGGCATGTTCTGGAAGTACTGGTATTCCTTCGACTCCGGGTTCCGGATGTTCGCCGTGAAAGCATTGTCGCAGGCAAAAGCTGTTTCACCGTCACCAGTTGTGATGCGGAGGATGCAGTACAGCAACGGCTAGCTTGCTTTGGCTAGAACAAATGTAGTAGTCTTTACTAGTGTTTATCTTTAGCTCTGTTTAATAGTGTTTTGTTCGTTCCGTTAGGCAGCAGCACGCTAGACAGATTTTCTTTCTTGCCGCGTCGAACTTCTACAAGCTCGTCAACATGCTAGTTCCCCGAAACAGATCGCCACATCGGTGAAGCAGTTTTTTCGTCCGATAAGCATCCAGGTCGGAGTACAGCATAGAAAAGTCGTTGATTACGTGGTTCCAGTAATTGTCCCGGAAGTCGCACTGGCACCAGCTCCAGTCGGGGGGAAGGCAGCCTTGCTGGCTGACGGCGACGAAAAGGGTAACCAGGATGGGGAGCAGTTTTCGTCGCAGAAACTGCCACACGCGCTGGTAGAGGAAAGACGTTCCACTTGATTTTGTGAGAAGGTCCTGCTTCATCGGCTGGTCTGACGTACTGCTACTGATTCTCCTGGTCGTGGCGTTTATTACTACTTCAACATCGTCAACAACGACGCCTTCGTGTTGTGCTCTTTTTTGCACTTTTTCGCTACCCTCCAATCCGTTCCTGTTCATTGCCTGACCACGACGTGGTCTTTCACTGATCATCTCCCTCGACGCACTCCTGCGTTCGCCAGCTGAAGTTTTTCTGAGCGCCGGCTGCTCCGTTTTGCCGTCTACGCTCGTACTAGTAGTAGTTGCTCGCAAGACGGTAGAAATTTCGTTCGCGCTCATTGTCAGCGTTTGTTGTTGCCACAACTGCTGGCCTACTTCCTTTCGTGAACGAATGATTTTCACAGACGACTGTAGTGAGTAACTTCTTCTGTTGTTCGTGGTGCTCCTGCTGCTGCTGCTGCTGCTCGTCGCTCGTGTTCGCTGCTTTTCAGCTCCAGCAATTTTGTCTTTCTCCTGCCCCCGTCGGTACCCGCCAGGCAAGGACTCTGGCCGTGGCCTGTTTGAAGATACTACTATGATGCTGGTACGGGTCGTGTCCGGTGCAGGTCCGGCACCTCCGGGCGTGGCAAACTTCTGCTTGTGCGTGTTCATCCTCCAACTACAGGTAGCTTCCACGATCTCGTGCCGCCACCGTCCCACCTTCTGTCTCCATTTCGAAAAAAAGCAGCTTCTTGTCCTCGTCCTCGTCGACGTCCTCTGCGCTGCAAGACTATGATTTGTCCATGATCCGGTCACGATGCACGACGCGTCAGAAAGCAGAAGACGAGGTGGCGCGGAAGTAGCACGACCAGAGTAGGCACAATTAGTAGACGAAGACGTCGATGACGGATCTATCGGAGCAGATTCTACTACTTGTCACCAAAACTTCTGATGTCCCCATCGAAAGAAGAAGAAACCACTCAGCAGACGAGCAATAGAAACAAGCTCAAAGACTCGATCTGAGTAAGTAGAAGTAGAACGCACAAAACCGCAAAAAAAAAGATAAAGATAAACTTTAAAACGAAAAAACGAAGTAGCAAACGCGAATGATAAAAACGACCCCGAGAACTTTCTACACCATTTCATTCACGCGATCGCTTCAATTTCTTGTTCCATTTTGATTTTGGGGATCATGTTAAGCAAAAATAAATTCCGAACCGTGCAGAAGACGAACAGGAACCAAAAGTTTTTAGCAGGAACCACAACTCCATATTATAAAATCTCTCGCCTGCTTCATCATTTCATCCCTCAACAAACTTGGTGTACATGTGCTTCTCTTTGTGCTGACCCAAAACAGATAGAATGCAATGCAAATGCGACAACATTTCGAACAAAGAGCTAGCGAGAAAAACGGAGAAAAAGAAAGAATTGAACGTCATGTTGATGGAGAGTGTGACCGTCCATGACAATTCCGGCGAATCAGGTACAGATTTGACATTTACTAGCCGACATTAAGAGAAGATATTTTTGCCATCATGATCGTTCTCTTGGTATTCTACTTGGGGATCGAAAATTATGAAGCACCGTCTCGCTTGTGTGTGCGGCTACTGAAACTGATTAAGATTATGTGCAAAAAGAAAAAAAAACGCGGCATACTCATTGCTCAAGAATTACTCGTCCGCTCGCGATGAGCAAAGACGGTCGCCCTCAGGGCGCCGTCAAGTCGTGCAGCCGGTCTTTAGTACTACACACAAACAGAAACAAACCAAGAAATCCCGTAGCCAACAAAAATAGAAGAAAAAAAATCGTGCAAATTTTGGGAAAAAATACAGGAGACATCATAACCAATTTATCATGCAGCAGGTATGATTATCTATCATCACACGATGAAACAACATGTATGCCTGTAAGTAAGATCGAAAAAGTAAAAGTACTCAAAAGAGGATCTCAGTCAACCTTCAGCTTCACACGGCCTATCACGTCGATCTTCTTTCCATTTTCTTATGCGAAGACGTTGTTGAGTTATCCATCTTGCCACCTGATCTCTCTTCTTTACCTCGACCACCAAAGCTCGCTCGCGTCTTCACGTTTTTATTTTTACCGCTGCGCCCGGGGGCGCTGTGGTTGGAATCCGCACTGCCCGGCTCTTCCCCGCTCAGTGACGAATGGCTGGCGGTCATCGACGAATAATAGCTCTGGTGCTGTAGTGCGGGGCCAGCACTAGCCGGCGCAGGGTGCAAAACCCCGTCCGGCGGGGCCGCGGGTTTGTGATGAAGCTGATGAAACTTCTTCAGCTTCTTGCCAAGACCTCCTAACGAAGCGGGCGGAGGTGCTGGCGCTCCTTTATTGTTGACGATATTATTGTCCTGCTGTTTAATATTTGTTCCTAATAGTTCAACACCTCCTGCTCCCCCTCCGCGCTCCTTGTCTTTCTTCTGCTCCTCTCGTTCCTTTTTTTCTTGCAGTCGCTGGCCCCTTATTTTCAGAAAGTTCTTCAGCTTTTTCCGCACGTCCGGCGTCTGGTCGAGCTTTCCCATCACCGAGGCCTGCCGTTTGATCGACAGCTGCTCGTACCCACCGGGCCTGCTCTTGACGATGTTAGCCTTATTAGAACTACTACCATGCTGCTCTACTTGATTAATACCGCCGGGAGCAGCACCGAATTCTTTATTCATCTGTAGATCCTTAAACAAACCTGCACCTCCTCCTGCTAGCGTTCCACGGGCGGAATGGTAGCCGGAAGCGGACGCGGTAGCAGCAGTTCCAGGACCAGCAGTTCCAGGGGCCCCCGCTCCTTTGCTGCGCCGCAGTTCAACTACAGTTGTGCCGCGCAACATGCTGTTCCTGTGAACTAGATTAAGATTATCCCCAGCAGCAATGCCAGCAGTCGCCCCGCCGATGAAATTGTTGTTATTGTAGTCCGCCACCGTGGTCCGCCTCTGGTCTCGTTCCCGCCACTGCGTCTTCCGTTGCCGCCGCCGCTGGTACTCCTCATCGGAAAGCACCTCGCCGAACGACGCCCTGTACAAATCGTCGCCCGCCCGCGCCGGCTGCCCGACCAGCACGCCGGACTCAAACCGACCCCTTCGGACGGTGCCCCGGGACACGCCCTTCCCCCGCCGGCTCCGGTCATACAGCTTGTCGTCGTGCATGAAGTACCCCAACGTGCCCCAGAACAGGCACAAGAAAATGAAGGACCCGAGGCTGTACAGGCCGCCGAGCAGCGCCACGAAGCCCGAGGCGAACCCGAGCAGGGCGAGAAAGACCAGGAGAATGACCAGGAAGGCCGCGACCAGCAACCCGTAGCGAAGGTAGTTGTGGCACGGCCAGCAGCAGGTCACCAGAAGGTTCCACGCTTCTTCGTGCTCCTGCCCCGTCCAGTACTCCAGAAACACCCGTATCAGATTTTCAACCCTTACATTCTCAAGAACTGCAAGTAGATGATGTGGTCTTCATGATTTGTCATTGTCATGCAATAAAACTAGTACAATCATGAGCACCGACGCGAGCGTGACACGATCGCGCTACTTCGCATGACAAATTCGCATCAAAGAGCCAAACAGCAACGCGGACATCTGTGCGAAATTTGTTGTAATGCAAGGCGCGTAAGGAGGTTCCCGTGTCCCCTTTCACTTTTATTGGTAATATTCTTGCAAGTCATATATAGCTATTGAGAATGTACCGCTTGAGACTCCCATAACCCGCTGGCCCCGGTTGTGGCGCTGGTCGTACAGGTACTCCTTTCCCATGGAATACAGTTTGAGGTCTTTGTAACGCCACGCGTTGTCCAGCTTGTTATGGAAGACAAATTTACCGCAAACTACATCTAGGTACAAAAACGAGCATCACAATCACATCATCATCAAATTTAAATCTCTACTACTTCAGGAGCAACCTACAGCAGGAGGCTTGAGCTGCTGAATGAGGTTGGAATCGTCTTCATGCTGAGAACGAAGAGGACGAACAGCTTTATTGCTGGTGCCAGCATGCATCTTTATGTACTTTGTAGGTCGTGTAATACGGTAATTTCTTTTTTCCTGTGGATATTTGTTTTCTCCGCAGTACTGAAATTGCGTCTCGTCGAGCCCGAACCAGGACTTGAGCACCATGCCCGGGTTGGTGTTCAAGTACGAGTAGGAATCCGCGCGCTCCACGGCGTCATATTCCGTCGGATTCAGCTCCGCGCTGTGCCCGAAAACCGAGTCGAGGTTGCGCAACAAGAAGTGCTCCAACAGGGCGAAGAGGATCAAGTTGACCAAAACGCAGGCGAGGCCAAGCAGCCCGTGGTTGATCAGGTCCTTGGACTGAAAGATAAGCTCGTGCTCCTCGTTTTCCGACAACGAGGCGCGGTTGTTCCAGTAGCTCGCGAGCATGCCGTACATGAACACGATGAACAAAAACTGCCAGGTGGCGTTGCTGTCCACGCGGTAGGTCGCAATGGGCAGCGGTTTGGAACACTTCAAGAAGCAGTACCGCTGCCACATGTAGTACCAAAAGGCGTACACCACCAGCCACTGGTAGATCGAATAGCTGTGGTTCTGCATGAAGATCTATCAAATGCAAAAATGTCTGCTGGGTCTGGAAACTTGTAATGCTGTGTTGGGAATAGTGAATGCTCTGTAATGCACAGCCAAGCATGAGAAATATCTGCACTTCTTTGTGTTGCGTTTTTCGCATTGGAAACGGCATTTTTGCATGACATGCAAAAGGGTCTCTTCTTGGAGACGCATCACAAACTTTTTTCTCATGCCAGACAAGCACGACAAATCTCGCAATCTTCCAGAACCAGACATTTTTGCATTTGGTAAGATCAGCTGGATGGAGACGCAGAACGTGGTCACCAGCGAGTTCGCGTACTCCCCCGGAATGGTCACCTCCGTCGGCTCGAGCCACATCTCCGCGTCCCGCACCGTGGTGCTCGCACTGCCGAACGCGCGCCAGAGCCAGCGCTGCAGCCAGTGCAAGCCGTCGTACAAGAAGAAGGGCACCACGAAGACGAAAATGATGAGCTGCGCGAACTGCGTGTCGTACAGCACCCGGGCCAGCTCGTCCTCCCGCCCGGCCTCCCACACCCGGGTGTAGGCGAACCCGGAGTCCTGTTCGCGCTTCCAAGACAAGTCCGTCTCGATGAAGACGCCCGTATGGATGTGTCAGAGTTGAAATCGACAAAGTTGAAATAATTTGTCATGCATAAAATGTATAGCGCGAAATACGTGTGTTGCAGAGCAGGCAGGTGAGGCCGATTGTAAGCCTGTTTGGGGTTACAGCTCGAGCTGCTAAAGTAGCATGAAAAAATCACTCATCTTTGCCTAAATAGCATGACAGCCTGGATTTAGGCACTACCGAAATTTGTCATGCGCCACTTGGAAATTGGGTTCCAACTGGCATCCATTTTATGCATGACAAATTATTTCAACTTTATCGATTTCAACTCTGACACATCCATAGCCCGGGGGCGTGACGTAGAAGTAGTACGCCAAAAACGCCGGCAGAATGAACATCGAATTGAAAAGCATCTCCGCGGAATATCCTGAGTAAAAACGTACCCACGCCAGAGTTGTAATGCAAATCTGCATGCTGAAAATGTTTCTCATGCGGAGCTCCATGAGAAGCTTTTTCTAGTCGTGTTTTGCAATTTGTCATGCTCCAATCAGCATGGTATGATAGATCTCTGATGCTGCTGAGCTAGCTCAAACAGCACTACACTACGAATCCAAATTTGTCATGCAAAACAGCCAAAACTTGTGGATTTGTCTAGCCGATTCCCCATCTTGACTCTGGTGTGGGTACGTTTTTACTCAGGATACGGAAATCCGCTCGTCCTCGTTCTGGAACATCATCTGCCTGCTGAAAATGTTGATCAAGCACAAGCCCAACACCATGCCGACGCCCCCCATGGAACCGAGCAGCGTGGACGCGTACAGTCCGACATCTATCGTCGGCTCCTCGCCGTGCACCTTCAAGTAGGCCGTGATGTATGAACTGCAAAAGTACTATCTCACTCGACTCGTATAAATGCATTACAAATCAAAATTTCTCAGCTTCAGCAAGAGAAATGAAATAAAAATTTGTAATGGGGATTTGCCGCTTTTTTGATTGATTGATGTATGTAGCTACGCCCCGCCCTAACGTATCGCTCTACCAGCCGGAAGAAAAAGATTTGCAATGCATGATTGCAATACGAGTACGATACTTTTGCACAGGATATGATGTACTCGCTGTAGATGTCGGTCAACACGAAGTAGACAATCCACGTGCCCACCATGAGCCCCACCCAGAACGTGGACTTCACAACCCGCTCCTTCGTGCTGCACCCGCAGTAGTTCCAATTGAGCCCGATCGGCAGGTCGTACACCAGGCTGCCCTTGATCTCGCTCTTCCCGTCCTTCCTATCAAAGGGAAAATTTGTCTGGGTCTGGGAGATTTTTGCGAAATTTGTCACGCTAGTGTGCTGGCATGACTCTGAACTCTGTGATGTTGCGTCACCGCAAAGAGCTCCTCTTGCCTGTCATTTTCATTTCATTTCTTATGCGGAGTACGCAACTCAGAGCATGTCATGCAAAAACGCAGTTTCTTTTTCTTATGCGGAGTACGCAACTCAGAGCCACAGAAAAGCTTGTCATGCTTGGCAGCGCATTAATACTACAGTGTGCTCACTTACTATTCGTATTCCCTTCCTTGCATCACAACTTTCCAGACCCCCACCCAGACTACATATTTGCATCTGATACTTCCACTGCAGGTTCAATCTTTCCCCCTCCTTGTCGTTGGTGCCCTATCGTATTTAAAAACATGCCCACCCCATAGTTGTAATGCAAATCTGCATGCTGAGAATGTTTCTCATGCGCAGCCCCATGAGAAGCATTTTCTGTTCGCGCTTTCAAATTTGTCATGCTCCAATCAGCATGCTATACTGGATCTGTGACGCTGCTGAACAACCTCAAACACCACTACGCTACGAGACCAAATTTGTCATGCAAAACAGCCAAGATCTGTGGATTTGTCTAGCCGATTCCCCATCTTGACTATGGGGTGGGGACGTTTTTACATATGGTATGCCCGCCTTTTTCATCAGTAAGGACTTGTTCAGTTTCAGTCGGTGCAGCGCCCCCTTCCCCTTATGGCGTTCTCAACTGTTACATTCTCAACTGTTACATGAACTTGTGATGCAAGAACTGGAAAAGTGCAAGGGCGAAGGTTGCACTTGTAGCATTACAAATTCCGCACAGATCTAAGTGCGGTTTAGGCCTTCGCAAATTTGTCATGCGGAGCAGCTTGATCGTGAGGATGATGATGGTGCTTTTGCATGACAAATTCATGGAACAGTTGAGAATGTAACAATTGAGAATCCCATACCCCTTCTCGCTCAAGTCGAACATCTCGGACAGATTCTGCAGGTCGCGCACCGTCTTCACCACGACATACACCTCGCCGGACGCTTCCAGGTTCTCCACCATCTGCCGCGCCTCCCGCATCTCCTCGTCAAAAATCGGGTCCTGCCGCTCGACATCGTCGGCGTACAACAGCAGCCGCCGTTGCTCCTCCATCACGTGCTCGCGCAGCTGCTGCACCCGCGGGTCCTCAGTTTCATTTTTCCCCGCGGCAGTAGCAGTCGTCCCAAGGAGCCGGGCGGAGTTGTTTCTGTCTACTTCCGAAGATATTCCCGCGCCACTGATCTTCTCGCCCAAGGCCGTGATTCTGATAGCGGGGAGACCGGAAGACCGGTCTGACAGTTTTGTTTTGTCCTCATTGTTCTCCGGTGATGTCGTAGCAGGAGGACCATGTTGTAGCGCTGGTGGACCTTGTTGGTTAGATGAAGTGCGATCGCTCTGTGCTGGATCAACACGAGGACCCCCAACATTAACGTCCTGTTGCACGCCGGTGGCAGCGGCCACAACTGCGGCTGAAGCGCGACTGCGTGCGGCTGCGCCCGAGGCCACCGCTGCCCTCAAACTGGCCCGAGCATTCAGATTTTTTACAGAAGAAGACGCGCGAGGTGCTGAAGTAGATGCTGCAGCGCCGCCAGTGAGGGAATTATTGATGCCAGGAACAACTGTGGTGCGCTGGTGCTGCTGGGCCGCAGCTGCAGGAGATGATCCTGCTAGTCCACCTTCCGCTCCTCGCGGCCCCGGTAGTTGCAGCCCCCGCGGTACTTCCTCCGCACTCATGATCTGCAAACTGGTACTATCAGCTGCAGATTCGTCTTCGTCGGTCAGCATGGGGGAGCTGGACCCCGTGTCCCGTCCCATATCCCGGCCCGCCATGTGCTCGCCCTCCGGAAGATGATGGGGGACGAACTTCGCCGGCGTTTCGCCTTCCGACTCGGAGAAAACACGGCCGCTTCGTTGCGGCCGGAGGTTGTTGTGATTTTCTTGTCGGTGAAAAGCGGCAGACAGTGCGGCATCGCGGTCACTGTCGGACACGTCAACGACGCGCGCAACAACTTCAGTTCCGCCCGCTCTAGAGGACGAGCTGGCAGGACCACCAGCAGGAGCTCCATCACCGCGTAGAACAAGGTTCTTTCCAACATGATCTGGCGTCCCAACTACTGCACCCGACCGCATCTTTTGTTGTGCAGAAGATGTAGTTCTTGTGGCAACTAGTACCTCCCGCGCGGCTCCATTCTCATTACCATCTTCATCTGCGTTTGAAGTACTCGCTCTTGCCCCCAACATCGTCTTCTTCGCCGCAAAACCGCGGGCGGTCGTTCTCCTAGTCGCCGCCGCCGCGGCTTGCTCCTTCTCCAAGTCGCTGTCGCTCTGGAAGTCGGCGAGCATGGAGTCCGCGACTTTGTCGTCCCACCGCTGCAGGATCTCCGCGCGCCGCGCCGCCCCCTCGGGGTCAATGTCCTCGAAAAACTTGGCGTCGATCCGGGCGGTCTTGGTCCCGTAGACCCGGTCCAGACTGTAGTTCCCGTACTCGCAGTCGTTGATCACCGTGTGCCGCTCCAGGATGTTGCGGAGCAGGTCCGGGTTTGGTACGTTCCACACGTCGTAGGCGATGCTGACGTAGCAGATCTGCACCGGCATGTCGGCGCGGATCTGGTCCGCCTCCTCGTCCGACTGCAGTTCCCCCTCGTACAGCCGGATCCGCTGTTGCAGCCGCTCCCGCACGTAGTCCAGGTCCTCGTCCTGGTGCACAAACTTCAAAATTTCCAGCTCCAGCCACGCCTGGATCTCGCTCGGGTCGACCGCGTCCGGCGGAAACCCGCGCAGCTTCATCACGTAGTTGGGCATGCACGCGTTCTCCTTCTGGAAGTTCGCGGCCCAGTACCGCTGGACCGTTTCCAGCCCGAGGGTGTACACCATCGTCCAGACGGTCAGGAGGCAGCACACGTCGAAGCAGTTCACGGCGTACTCGGACTGCAGCGTGTGCATGCGCAGCCCGAGCGTGGCGGATTTGAATATGGAGGAGTCTCAAACGCTTTTATATTTTCAACTGCCAGTACATGAATTTGTATGTAGAAATGCAAGAACAGCAACAGTGAAGGGGCGACCTTCTACTTGTTCAATAATGTTGCTTGCAAGAACTCTTGCACCACCAATTTGGCACAACGACAGATGCTGTTCTTTAATAGCCCTTTGAGCATTTGTCATGCAATTTAGCTTGATCGTCTGGTAGCTTAGGCTTACGGAATAAATTTTGCATGACAAATATTAATATTTCGTGTAACAGTTGAGAATCGTATAAAAACTGATTTGAGAACGCCATATGGAAATCCGCGCACGACTTCCGCTATGAACTGCAAAAGTATCGTACTAGTAGTAATTGCAATACAAATTAGCTCAGCATTACAAATGGAATTTGTCATGCTGTTTCGCCTTGGGGTGAAGATTTGTAATGCACGACTGCGATTGCTACGAGTACGATACTTTTGCACAGGATATCCGCATCTCCGACATGAGCACCACCGCGTGGTGGTTGTTCAGCCACGCGTAGACGAGGAGGAAGGAGACCTATGAATGTGCACAACTCCCCGTCCCCCTCATTTGTATAGCATGAACGGCAATACAAGCATCAGCAAGAATGCCGGTTTTGCATGACAAATTTGCCAACGAGTGTAGTGCTATTTGGGCTAGTACCAGAACTTGTCATGCAAACAGTGCCACGAGGCAGATGGTGGATCGAAATCGATATGGATTGGGCATTTTGCATGACAAATGATGGGGAGGGGGAGTTGTGCGGTGTCATAAGACCAGCGCGTAGACGAACAGCCCGATGAGGGAGTTGAAGTAGAGTGCGAACCCCGGGCCCGCGATGTTCTCCGAGTGGATCCGGGTCTTGAAAAAGCTGTAGTACGTGTTCGGGTTCTCCACCGGGCGCGGGATCAGCCGCCCGCGGTGCTGCAGCCCGGCGGCCTTGTGGTACTCGTAGTTCTCGTCCCCGGGCACCTTGCAGCAGCCGTAGAAGAGCAGTCCCACGAGGAAACAGAGGAGGATCATCACGAAGCTAATGACGACGCCGCTCGCATACGCATTGTACATGCAGTAGTTCAGGCCCGCGAGCAGCGTGTAGCCCTCCTGGCACTGCAGGCACGTCCGGGGGGCGACCAGCAACTCTTCCCACGTCGTCGTGGTCCCGTCGTTGGTGTCGTCGGTCCGCCCCAGGTTGGAAATCGCCTCCGAAATCACGTTCTCGGTGAAAAAGGCGCCCAGAATTTTGCCGCTCGTCGTGTGCTGCATGCTGATGTGCCCGGCCGTGGCGTCGGTCGGGGTCCCGGCGGTGATGTTGCCCGCATACTTTTCGATCAGGGCCATGTCCATCGGACACTCCAGGCACCCCCGGTCCTGGGGACAGGCCTCGCACTGCATCGTGATGTTGTTCCCGTACACCCGGGTCGGATTCCGGGCGCCCACGTGGCCCTGGTTGGTGCCGAAGGAGACCACCCCGCACTCCTCCTTGGCGACGCAGGAGAGCAGGCAGGAGAAGTAGTGGTCGATCTGCACGAAGGGGCACTCGGGGGGGCAGAACCCGGCCGCCGAGGCGCGGTTGATGGGGCTGGCGGCGTCGCAGTCCACCTGAAACAGCGTGCGGCAGGGCACGGGGTTCTTCCCCGAAACGTACCGCCCATCTACCACCTGGACGTACACGCTCTGCCCCAGGGCCTGCTTGTCGCGCCAGTCCTCGGGCTTCAGTTGTGGATCCCCAAACACCATGAAGTCCGTGGGCAGCCACCGCCGCCGGCTGCGGCCTTCTTCCTCAGCATCCGCGAAACTGTTGTAGTAGTGTCCTTGTCCCATGTGGTAGCGGTGGGCGAGCACGCCTTGCTCCGCGGCCTCGACGTCGGGAGAAGACGAGGAGGACCGACTACTTCCGGGGGCTCCAGAAAATTCAGCGGAACTCTGCAGAAGCTGCGGCATCTTGTTCATCTCTCTTGCTTTCAGTCGCTCTAGTGATAAACCTTGTTCACGACCGTCTGTAGTTTCATTGTTTGGAATTTTCTTATTTCCCAGTAGAGTTTCACCAGCTTTGTTCCCGTACGGTACTGCGAATGGCACCGTCACGTTGGTCGCTCCTTCGCCGGCCGGAATAATCTCGGATATTTCTACCGATTGACTGCTGTGCATGTAGTCCAACAACGACCCGTCCTCCGCGTAGTCGTACTGCGCTTGGGAGTTCATCTCCGTCGCTATCAAAGGGAAAAATCCCCCCTCCCCATATCGAAACGAAGTTTCTGACGCTGGATCTGCGTACACAAATCAGGTCTGTCTTGCTGGAGAGGACTGCAGGCATATGCCAAGCCTGGGTCGCGAGGTTTTGACGTAGGGGACTAGCATGACAGATATCGGCTCTGTAAGCCCAACAGCATCACAAACCGCCGGCATAATGCGGCGGACTCTCGGGCTTTGCCTTCCCGCAAGACAGACAGGATTTGTGACCTCAAATCTGCATCACAAATTTTCAGACGAGTGCGTTTTTAATATGGGGAGGGGGGATTTTTCCTCTTAATAATCGCCCGTGCCCGGTCCTTTTCCTGCAGGTCTTCCAGGGTCTTGGGGGGATTCTTGTCCACTGCGGTGGTCTCTATTACAGGGAAAAGTGCCCCCCACCCCTAAATTGCAAAAATTTGTGATGCGAAGTTTCCAAATGAAAACTTTTTGTCATGCATGAAAGGAGTATGAATCTTTCTGATGCAGAAAGTAGGCGTGTATCACATCGCTTGCATGACAAGTGCCGCTCTTGCTGGGGTCTTTTGCAATGCAAATTTTTGCTATTCACGATTGAAAACCTGTGATGCAGATAGATGCAAGAGGGCGAATGTTTCATTTGGAAAGGTTTGCAATACAAATGCTCCCAAGTTCGGGGGTGGGGGCATTTTTCATTGTAATAGTCTCCGACACGTGCACTAACACCGACGGCGCGTTCGGAATCACTTCTGCCAGGGACTAGAGCTTTAACACCCGTTAGCATGAGAAGTGGTGAATTTGTAGTGAATTTTGCATGCCAAATTGCAGTTGAGCCCGCCGGGACATTGTCCCTCTTGGCCCTGTTCTGGGAAGTAGAAGGCCCTGCACCGCGCAGCAGCCGCGGGCATTTGTGCAGTGGGCAGCCAGAGGACATGGCCCGGGCGCCGTTCTTTGGGCAGGTTTTTGCGCCTCCGGGTTCTCGCAGAAGAGCACTGCAGCAGCCGCGGCAAAGACGCCAGAAATAAAGGCTGCGAAGCGCATACAACTAAGCAAGAAGGCAGGCAAGGACGAAAGGACCCGGCCGAGAGCTTTGACGCATTTTCCCGGCAGGCGCGTGAAATCTTGCGGCATTTTCAGCAGAATACAGGCGGGCTTAGGGCAGCAGAGGACTACGCTTTTTCCCCCTTTGCGTTCCTTCTCATGGCCTATCTGTGCACTTTTTTGAGCACTTTTCTGCGCTAAAGTTTGCTTATCACGGTCGAAAATGGGCGCCCGGTGAATTTTGGGGTGAATTTTGAAAAGGGCGCCGGTGAATTTTGGCCTCCGGCTCCTTTTCAAAATTCGCTAGCGCGTGAGAAACTCCGGGTTTGGGGGCTTCAAAAAAGTGTCGCAAAAACAAAAAGCCTCAAAATTCACCAAGAGAATTCTTGACCTGAGAGCCACCTCGAAAAAGACTTGCTCCGGGGGCAAAAACACGCCTGGGGAGTTGTAAGCCGAGCACACCAGGCCAAGCAAGCTAGTGCCCGTAGCCGAGTCGTGCCTTCCTTTCCACCCGAGGCTACTCCCAGATATCCAATTCCAAGCCACAACCACAACTCGTGAGAGCGCACGTGTTGAACTAGTGCCCCTGTGTTCAGGCGTCGCCCTCCCTCCCGACCATTCCGGAGAGGAACTTCTGAGGCAGACGCGCAGATGAACAAGAGCCCCACGACCCACACTCTTTGGTTACATATGCACTACACAGTCCGGCGGGCCCCAGCAAGACCTACCACTACTTCTTTCGGTGCTGCAAGTGCCACCTGGCACCGAGCAGCCCTTCACGCTGCGTGAGCTGCTTGGGCTCGTGCCCAGCCCTTTACGCAGCGCACTTCTCTTTTGAAGTGAATGCAAGTCATGCAATACAAATTCACTGCAAATTCACCCTTCTGTATGCTAACGACCGTCCAAGGCATAAGCCACTAACACCGACGGCGCGTTCGGATTCACCGAGGCTCCTGCCTGTTGCTGTTGTAGTGTAGACAACTGGCTGTCTGTTCCGATCAGATGAGCCCTGGAGCTGAAAATCAGCTGCGTAGAGTTTCTTGCTTCGCTAGAAGTTGTACTCTGTTCGGGGCCACTAAGCTCGCCATACTCACCTGGCGGCGCGGGCGGAACAAGTCCTCGCGCATCATAGGCCGCGCCACCCCGACCTGCTCGTCCTGTGGTTTCTTTTTTTCCAGAAGTAGAGGAGACAGAATTTGAAGATGTCCACGACCTTTCTTGCCAGTTCAATCTTCGCTTGTCCGCCTCTTCCATCAGTAGCGCGAAGTCGTGCAGAAAAACAGTGGAATTCACTGGCTTCACTCTCATCAAATTCAATATTTGGCTGCTCTTACTGTTCTTGCTAGAAGCACCAGACAAAAAGGATGACACTTGGTCGACGAAACCATCCCTGCTGGAATAAGGTATCGTTCCCGCGGACGGAAATGGTTGGTCCGTCCGCCCTGAGCGCTGGTCGTGCAGCCCCAACTGCAAAAAAGCCTCCTGCCTGTGGTCTGCACCATCGGCAGCTGCACCACCGCCAGGGGGAGTCGCAGAAGCATCTGCCGGAGGAATTTTTCTGGTCGTTGTAGTATCAACTTCAGTATCTTCACCACCTCCTCCGACCACCGGAGCCGAATTTAGCACCCCGGATTCCTCCTCGGCAGTTTTCCTCAATAGGGCTAGTGTGTTGAACGACTGCGGTTGTTTGTTCCCGGAACTTGCGGAGTCTGGGCTCCCGCTCGGTTTGGCGGAGCCATTTGATGCGTCCACTTCTGCGAGACCACCTGGCGCGAGTCGTTCATCTCCTTCGCCAGCTGTGCTCCGCGTCTCCTCGCTCACTCCAGAATTATGCAGTTGTCGTTCGAGCGGGGCCGGTTGTAGACCTCGAGGTGGCTCGAGATGTTGTGGACGTTGTCCCGGCGCGATCGCGAGCGTCTGTGGCCGAAGATCAGGAAGAGCAACATCATCCTCGTCTTCCACCCTCCAGCGCGGGGCTTGATTATAATCCTCATGAGTAAAAATATCAACGTCCCCCACAGTCATGGGAGCCGACGAGGCACCGCCGCCTTCTTGTTGTTCTTCTGATGTGGACAGGGTAATCGTGCCCATACCTAAGCCGTTGTTCAATACCAGCGTCTGGATTCTCGCTGCCAGCTCTTCGTCCGATAAAGAGTTCAACGACGTTGTTCCTCCAACACCTGGCGCTTGTTGCTCTACCCCTGCTTGGTTCGCCTGGTCTAGCGTCACAGCCCCCCCGGCCACCAGCAAACTATCGTCGTGAGATGTGAGCAAGCCATTTCTACTAGTACCCAGAACACCAACTGAGGTTGCGGAAGATGATGTTGATGTTCCTCCGTCGGGGTGCACCAGGGCCCCGTTGTGCTTACCGCCGCGGAATTCGTGGCTACTGAAATTCACAGCCGCTGTGCGTTCCGGCTGGCGGAGCCAAACCAACTTGTCGACCGCGGCGCTACGCACCTCGAACCGCCCGGGTTTGCTGTAGATCGGCGCGACCACGTGGCACTCCCGCGCCTCCTTGGTCACCTCGAGACCTCCGTGCAGCATTTCTTCGCCCTGGTTCCGTTGGAAATCTCTCATTGCGAGACCATCACTCGTCCCATCCGTGTTTGTCGACGCGGCACCACTGGTGCTCTCCTTTTGTTCAACATCCTCACCGCCTCCACAACAGGCACTGCTCGTCGCATCCTCCGCTCTAATCCCCACAGGGTCCACAAAATCCGGCACGGAGGGGGTCACAGACTGACTTGATGCAAGCGGGGACCGCCAAGGTCCACGACCACCTTCATGGGGTCCTCGGTCGGACAGCTTTTTCAGCTTGGAGCTGAAACCAGCGTGAAGATCATCTCCTGCGCTTGTTGCTGTTCTTGCGGTAGTACCCCTCGAGTTTTCTAGTCTCTGTAACCGCAAAGCACCGGCGCGCTGCTGGTGGTTCTCGCGGTGTACCCTTTGTTCTAGTAGAACCGCTGGCGCAGCTCTTTTTTCATCGCGTGCTGTTCTTCTTCCCCTGCTGTCGTGTTTTAGTACTTCCACTCCCTTATGCAGAAAGGACGAGGACTTCGACTTTTCATCTGCAGAGGCAGTACTAGATTCCCGTTCAACATCTGGTGCACTGGCCGGACGGCCGCTGCTGAACTTTTTGTTCCTCTTCTCGGTCTTGCTGTCTCCAACGACTTCTTCATATGCTTTCTCTGAAGAATCGTCGAGCTTATCCAGCTCTTCGTCTTCCAATTCAGCAAACGTCTTCCGAGTAGGTCGGGACAAAAATAACGCGTCCACGTTCTTCGTGTAGTAGTAATCTTCTGCGAGTGTCAGAAAAAATACCAGCCGAACCGCGAGTGATCCAACACGTGGCAGCCGTGAGGAAGCTTTTGCCATCATTTTCGTGACGAGAGAAGCTGAATAATACTTTAGACAGCCTAATTACCGTGGTTGGGAAATACAAAATTCAAAATCGGGTACGGGTAAGGGATGTTTTAAGCAAAACGGTAAAACTGTGAGCAGGATTTTCGCGTATCGCAACAGCTGTGTCTTTCACAAACCAAAACTTCCTTCAAATTAATCACACGAAAAACAACAAATCCTCGTCCTGAATATGCACTGGACACATAGACTCATCAGACCTGCGTTGTTTGGTTGTAAAAGTCACTGGAATCTTAGGAAGGCGCTGATAAAGCAATACGTAATACCTACAAGGAGTTCATCATCTGGACGAGGACGACATCCAAACGAATGCAGATCCAGAAAAAACGTAAGCACGATGTGAATCAGGACGACGATGACGAGCGAACGAGCAAAAACTTTTTTTCTGACCTTCAGACCACGATGCGGGTGAGATATTGGAGAACGATGACAAGGAAACTGAACCGCGACAAGGCTTACCAATACCATGCACGTGAGGCACCACGATGTAATTAAAACAAAACATCATCAACAAAAAAAAACTATAGATTTAGATACATCAATAATTTGATTTGCACGGCAAGGACGACAACTCTGCTCGGAGTTGTGTGGCAGCAGGCACAGATATCTTCCAGTGGAGTACTCACTCTATCACTCTAGTTGTTGCACAAAGAGCAAATCAGCCGACATTTGAGAAACGAGAAACAGGTTTGGACATTTCACATGTCAGACTTCAGATCTGGAATCTCAAATCTGGAATCTCAGATCTGGGATCTCAGATCTGGAATCTCAAATCTGGAATCTCAGATCTAAAGTCTAGAGTCTCAGATCTGGGATCTCAGATCTGGGATCTCAGATCTGGGATCTCAAATCTGGAATCTCAAATCTGGATTCTCAACTCTGGATTCTCAACTCTGGAGTCTCAAATCTGGAATCTCAGATCTGGGATCTCAGATCTGGGATCTCAGATCTGGAATCTCAGATCTGGAATCTCAAATCTGGAATCTCAGACCTGGAATCTCACATCTGGAATCTCAAATCTCAAATCGAAATCTGGAGTCTCGAGTCTCGAGATATTTCAGATTTGAGGTCTCAGATTTGAGACATTCAGATTTGGGATATTCAGACTCGAGAGATTCAGACTTGAGAGATTCAGGCTTAAGATGTTCAGACTCGAGGTAGTCAGATCCGGGATATTCAGATTTGGAAATTTGTTGAGACGCCAGCTCAGAGATTTCAGATCTGGCGCCTCACGTCTCACTCTCAGACTTCAGCCAGATTTGGGATTGGGGTTGCAGGCGTCAAGCCTCGCGGCTTCTTTCGGGCTCCAAAGATTTCACACCTCGGCACCGCGAGCCTACCCTCAAACCAACCGCCGGGCGAAGCGGATTGGCTGTGGGCCTCCCAAACCGCCGCGGCGGGTTCTGGGCCTTCGGACCTTCTTTCGCTCGCCTCGGGCTTTCGCGTCCGGCCTTCGGGCCTTCTTTCGGGTTAGTTTTCGAGCGCCTGCGGAACTTCTTTCCGGCTTTCCGGGCTGATGCGTTTGGTTGGGCCTAAACTTTCAGCCATCGCGCCCTCAATCTTTCGCGCCCCAATCTTGCGGCCCCGAGACCCCAGGGTCCCGGGCGCGCAAGTTAACGCCAGAAGAGCCCGAAAGCGGAAACCAAGCCCGAAAACGAAAGCCAAGCAGAGCAAGCCTGCCAAGCGACCTGGCCGCGAGAGCCAGCCCCGAAACCGGGACTCAAGTCCGAAAACGGAAACAAGGCCCGAGACCAACAGCCAAGCTAGTCCGGGGGCGACAGGAAACCAGGCAAGGAAGCGAGAGCCAGGCGGGCACGGAAGCGAAATCGAAAGCCAGGCCCGAAAGCGCCAGCCGCGCCCGAAAGCGAAGGCCAAGCCCGAAAGCGAAGGGATGGGAGGCCAAGCCCGAAGGCGGAAGCCAAGCCCGACAGCGAAACCAGGGACCAAACCAAGCAAGCCCCCCCGTCCGAACACGGAGGCCAAGTCTGTCAGAAAGCGAAGCAAGGCCAAGCCCCCCCGAATGCGGAAGGAAGCCAACAAGCCCGAAAGCGGAAGTCAAGCCCGAAAACGAAAGCCGGGCCCGCAAGCGAAGGCAGAGCCCGCACACGAAAGCCAAGCCCGGAAGCGGAGGCGAATCCCGAAAACGAAAGTCAGGGAGGCCCGAAAGCGAAGGCCCCGGCAAGTGAAGCCCGAAGGCGAAAGCCAGGCCCGGAAGTATAGGTCGGGCCCGAGAACGAAACCAAGCCCGGGGGCGAAGCGAACAAAGCCAAGGCCTAAAGCGAAAGCGGAACAAAGCCACGCCTGAAAGCGAAGGAGGGCCATAGCCAAGCGAGCCCGAAAGCAAGGAAGCTAGCGGAAACCCGGCCCGAAAGCAAAAGCTAGGAAAGCCCGGAGGCAAAAAGCCAAGCCCCCCGAAAACGAAAGCCAAACCCGAAAGCAAAATAAAAGCGAGGCCCCCCCCCGAAAGCGAAAACCAGGCCCGAGAGCAGTGGGGGCGCCTTTTCCGCGGGGCTTCGCTTCGCCGGCGCGCGTGGCGTTCGATTGCGCGGGCGCGCGGGTGTGTGGCTGGCAGCGGCCGGCGTGGCATTCCGGAATGCGTGCGCCTCGCCGTCGCTTCCGGCCCGGTCGGCCCCTGCCAAAGCGGCCTGGCGGCCGCTCGGCAGTGTTCGCCCCCAAGGCCTTTGCCACCGCGGGGTCGCGAGGCCGGTCGGTGTACGCCGTGGCGGCGGGTCAGCATCTCCCCGTAATGCGCGCGCAACTGCGGACGCCCCCCTTTCGCCACCGTCCTGGCCCTTCTGCCATTGATTACCCCTCCGCCCTTTGCCTGGATATGTGGCGGCAGCCGTCGAGGCTCCGCTCGCCCGGGCGCGCCCCCGGCGATCTATGTGGCGCTTTTCTTTGGCTAGTGCGGAACCTGCCTCCACGGCCCCCGAGCCTGCCGGGCGGGCAGGGGCTTCGGCGGCCGGACTTTCGGAAGCGCCCGCCGTCTTGGCTTCCACGCTTCCGTCGCTCCGGTCTTTTTCGCATCATGGGGCGTTCGCCGAGGGGGCGCGCGAGCGTGCATCTGCTGGCCATTGCCGTGATGCTACGGGCGCCCTCCCCACTGTCCTGCACCTTCTGCCGCTGCCCCCCCGCTCTTTGTCTGGATGCGTGGGCGACGCGGAGGCCGCTGGCGTGGCGTGGCGGGGTGCGTCTTCTACGGTCTCTATGGTGTTTTTGGCCGGCTCGACCCTCGTGTCTGTGGCCTTCTCAGCCTGCCGGACTGGCACCAGAACGGCTTGACTATCGTTATTGATAGTTCTATTTCCCTCGCGCGTTTCTCTGTTTCTCGTTTCTCAAAGATCGGTGGCGACAGGACTTGCGCTACTTGTATCTATAAATACTTCAACGAAGTAGAGTGACGATCTTCATTTCTAGCATGTACTTCTACTTCTAAGTGGCATGCGAGCAGCTTTCCCGAACAAAGCTACATCACAACACGACATTTAGTACGACGCATCAACATCCTGAAGAAGTTGTGATCATCCTCATAGTGCTTCATCTGCACGTGCAGCAGTAGCTAGCGCGCTCAGGTCAGAAAAATAAATCAAGCGGAGTGTCCAAAGAACGAAGTTCGTTAAGAACGAAGTTCTTTTTTCAGGGTGACACTACATAGGTAGTACATGATTTTCTTCGCGTACACTGCAGCGTACATCTTTATTTGAGCCGATTGTCATTCTTGGGGAGATCTTCGATGAAAGAATTGCAGCACATACACCCAAGCCTCGACAAGATTGTTCATCATCTCGATCTCCGAGGGCTGTCTTCTGTCGCCATTTTCCGTCGGAAAAGCAAAAGCTGTAGAAGATCACATAGAAGTACACTACACAACTGATCCACGACGTAATATCGTGGCAACGAATGTGATCGCTTGTTCCTCAACTTTTACTCGTCCTACCTCGGTGGCCTGACGGCCCCAGTTCGAATAGTGACAGGTTGCCCCACCTGGTCCAAATCTTCCGTTGCCAGCTGGTTAATCTTCGACGCGGCCTGCGCAATCTTTTCCTTCAGCCCGGCTGTGGTCACGCTGTCCCTACTGTTCATGATCCTATTTGCAGCAGCAGCTCCACTTGTTCCACCTCCGATGGATGATGATGTTCTACTCCGGCTATGATCTAGAGTGGACGAAATGTCGGCGCACACCTTCTGAATCTCGGCGTCAATCGCAGACTCCTCTTGCTGCAGACGGTGCGCGTCTTGCTGGTTGGAGGTGCCGTTTGTCTGCGAAGCTGTCAAGGGTGTACTTGATCCTGCAGATGTCAGCACTCCCGCATGCTGTTGTTCCCGGTGCTGCTTCTGCTGTACTTGCAAATACCAGTCAACCAAGACGCCAGCAGACACTGCGCCAGCTGTTGAGGAAGCAGAATTAGTAGATGCAGTAGATGTACTAGCTCCACCAACTACCGGACCACTATTATTTGATGTGATTCCTGTCGTCATCATCTCCTGCTGCACCTTCGCACCCACTGCCCCGATGATCTTTTGTTCGAACCGGTGAATCAAATCCGACAAAAACGCCGCCTGCTGTTCGTCCCCGTGGACGGGGGGGATCCCCAGAAGCTTCGCGTTGGTTAGGCTCTCTTGTAGACTCTCGGTGGACATTAGTTTGATTTTATTTTTGAACAGATCGCCGTTGTTCATATCAAATGCAAAAATGTCTGGGTCTGGAAGATTCCGGGATTTGGGATGCATATTTTGTATGATCCATGATGCATCTAATGCATGATCTAGCATCACAGATTTTTAGAGGTCTTTCTGATGCCCATTCTGCATGAGAAATGCCCTCTCCGCGTAACACAAACTGGACTCCTGTTGCTGGTCACGCAATACAGATTTTTTTGGAATCCAAAGACAGCATGACAAGTTGCAATCTTCCCGACCCAGACATTTTTACATTTCATAGTTCAGATAACTCTGCATTTCGCTGATCTTCGCTTGGTGCTGCTCTTGCATTTTTTGCTGCTGCTGCTGCTTGGTGGACGATGTTGATGTTGAACTATGGTCGTGCACCAGCTGCTGCGCGCTTGAGGAGGTCCTCGCGTGAAGATGTTGTGCGCTTCTGCCGCGGGTTATGGTTATAGTGCCGGTGGGGTTACGACCATTAGTACCCGTATAATCATATGGAGTTGTATCACCCCCGGCCGCGAAGGGATTGCTCCTCGAGTTGTAGGGAAACGAACTAGAGCTCGCCGATGCGGTTGGCGTGTGGTCCATCACCATCGGCTGATGCGCGCCTTGTGGAACGAAGCCCGTTGGACCAGCCGTTGCTGAAGAGGAACCACTAGAACTATTTCCGCTCCGAACAAGTCCCTTGTTGCCACTGCTCGCAAGCGTCTCCACTCCGAACTGGGGTATTATGTCCGAAAACAGCCCCCGCGCTGCCGAGGTAGGAGGTTGGTGTGCACCGGCTAGTTCCCCCGGCTGGTGCTGGGACGACGACGACGATGCCCCGCTGGCAGTCATGAAGACGTTGGTGCGATCTGCTGGCTCGATAATGGAAGATGCCGCCCCGAAACTGAACTGCGGGCGCGAAGATGAAGGAGCTGCGGATTGATAGGTAGTTTTGAGTGGAACAAAATGTTGCAATTTTAATGCTTGCGATATGAAATCATTCATCCTCCCCTAGTAGCAAGAGAAAAATTGATGCCATGCCCAGGCATGGAAAGAAAGAAAGAAGGAAAGAAAGTAGCAAGAGAATGAAAAAGAGGCGCGACCATGATGTGAAGTGATGCACTACTATCGCACGCTATTATAGAAGAAGTCACCCTCCTACCTCTCTCAAAGCCACCGCCCCTGCCGCCCGTGATAAGCTCATCTCGGTCGAATCGTACGCGCAATGGGCTCTTCGGAACGCTCAGATCGGCGGTTGAAGGATACAATGCCTCCGAGGATTCCGCAGGTGCAGGCATGGTTATTTGTACTTATTTGAATTTGTATTCAAAAAGATCAACACAAGGGTGAGTTATAACTCGGTCAACATCATCTCAACATTACCCAGAACTAGAAAAAGAAAACAACTCGTACTTACACAAGTTGTCGAAGATGAAGCAAGGTTTACAGCCCTACTTGGGTTTGGCTTTGATGTTCTGGCAAACAAAACTGCTGTACTTGCGGATAGACAACTCGAAATCGACATATCATGATCACGACCTCGGCAATGCTGACACCTTAGTTTGATTCCCTCGTCAAATTTTACAACTCTCGCATGACTATCACAAACACAAACGGATAATCTTCATGTTTGAGTTTAACCACGAACTTGAAACGAATTGGAATAAAGCTAAAGTCTGGCACTGTGACTGCCACTGGCTGGTCAACAAATAAAACCTGACTGAAAGTCAGAGAAGGAAAACAGAACATCGATCGGCTGCTGCTGTTTCAGTTTCGCATAGTGTAGCGCTACCGCATCAACACACAAAAAGCACTTTCATGTTGCGAGATAATGTAATGTTCTTTCACTGTAGCGATTCTAGAAAGGCACACACAGAAGTTCATCTTCGCAATGAATTCGTTTTTCAACAGCCTAGACACTTGCACAGAAAGATATTCATCCGGGATACAGAGAGACATCACCGTGCGTAAATAAATGGCTAAAGCTGAGTAGTGGTCTGGAAACAGATTTTTTCCCATTCCCTAATTGGAACCTCCATATCAGGTCGTTTTCATCTTCATGCGACGAGAGGAGCTCCTGTAGAGCCAGTTCTACTTCTTCAAGAATAAAGACCTTCAAACAAATTTTCCAACTATGACTTCTTCTCATCGCGGAGACTGGATTGCAGCTCCCGTCGGGCCCATCGACTTCATGGCAGCTCCAGCCGGGCCCATGGATTTCATAGCCGACGGTGCCATCGAGCTCATCGCGCCCCCGCCACCTCCAGATGGCCCCATGGATTTCATAGCCGACGGTGCCATCGAGCTCATCGCGCCCCCGCCACCTCCAGATGGCCCCATGGATTTCATAGCCGACGGTGCCATCGAGCTCATCGCGCCCCCGCCACCTCCAGATGGCCCCATGGATTTCATAGCCGACGGTGCCATCGAGCTCATCGCATTCCCGCCTTGCTTCGAGGGTGCCATACTCGACATTGCCGCCGCGTTTGATTTCATTGCCGACGGCGCCATCGAGCTCATCGCATTCCCACCCTGTTTTGATGGTGCCATGGAAGACATGGCTTCTCCGCGTGCCGCGGACGGTGCCATCGAGCTCATTGCCACAGCGTTGGACTTCATAGCGGACGGTGCCATCGAGCTCATCGCAGCGGCGTTGGATTTCATAGCAGATGGTGCCATAGAACTCATTGCAGCAGCGTTGGACTTCATAGCAGATGGTGCCATGGAGCTCATTGCCGCCGCGTTGGACTTCATAGCAGATGGTGCCATAGAACTCATTGCCGCGGCGTTGGACTTCATAGCAGATGGTGCCATGCTGCTCATCGCAGCGGCGTTCGATTTCATCGCACTGGGCGCCATGCTGCTCATCGCCGCACCCCCACCGCCACCCGCATGAGACTTCATCGCACTGGGCGCCATGCTGCTCATCGCCGCACCCCCGCCCGCGTGGGATTTCATCGCCGCCGGCCCCATCGACTTCATAGCGCCACCACCTCCGCCGGCGTGGGACTTCATGGCGCTCGGCGCCATAGAACTCATTGCCGCGCCCCCACCCGCGTGCGACTTCATCGCCGCGCCACCATGCGACTTCATCGCGGCGCCACCATGCGACTTCATGGCCGCTCCACCGTGTGACTTCATCGCCGCACCCCCGCCCGCGTGGGACTTCATGGCCATGCTCTTGTTCGCGCCCCCACTCTTCTTCCCCTTGTGGTCGTCCTCGGAGCCGCCGATCCGAACGCCGCGCCTGGCCACGTCGCCCACCTGCGCCGACGGATCGAAGTCGCTGGGGCCGCTGCCCTTCTTGGGCGCGACCGACCCGGACATGGGTAGGTCGTCGCCGAGCAGGCCCGCGAAGATGTCGTCGTGCAGCTCGTCTTGCGTGTACTTCTTGCCCTGCGCCACCTGCTGCTGCTCCACCACCGATTTCTTCTGGAACAGCGGCGACCGCCCCGACTGCTTCGCCTTCTTCTCCGCCTCCGACAATTCCCGCCCCTTGTACTGGATCGCCTTCTCCTCCCAGGCCAGCCGCTTGATCTCCTCCGCCCGGGCTTCCGCCTCCTTCTTCCGCTGCTCCCGCGCTTCCGCCACCCACTCCGGGAACTCCTCTCCGTAGACCTGCGCGCGGTAAATCGCCAGTTCCTCCGGATCCGTGATGAGCGGGATGGCATACTCCTTCGCCTTCTTGATATCGTCCACCACACCCTTCGCGTAGGCCCCGAGGCCGAGACTGGCGGTCTCGTCCTGGTCCTCCTCGTCCTTCGGTTTCGGCGGCGGATCCGGCGGCGCCGGTAGTCCCATGGCCGCGTTGTAGGACCGGCCCAGGTCTTTGTTGGTGATCTGCTTGTTCAACGCGAGCTGGGCTTTGCCCATCTTATCCAGTTTGTACGCGAGCAGGCCGTGCAGCCCGTCGGTCACATCCTGGTCATCCTTCTGTTCCGTAACGTAGACATACAGTTCCTGGGCCTGCTTCCACACGTCCTCCGGCCCGGGCACATCCAATTGGTCCGTTTGCCTCTTCGAGGTGGCACGCGAGCCGAGCTGGAACGGAGATGTTGCCCCTTGACCTTGTCCTCCTTCACCTGGCGCCGCACCACCTTCCGCACTGACAAAACCGGCTGCGGCCGGCATGCGACGCATGCCAGGTTGGAAGGGTGTTCTGCCAGCAGCAGGAGGTCCTCCGACTCCGTGGTCTTCGTCCCACTGATTGAGGATCCGCTCCTTCTGCTTGGCCCAAACCCACTGGACGTAGTGCTCCCACGTGGTTGGCCGGAGCGGTTCGGTGAACCGCACGGCGTTGTCGCGCGGGAACAGGTACCGCGGGTGGCGCACCCGGGAATCCCACGGCGACTTGATCTCGCCCGAGATCGACTCCGCCGACGCGTCGCTGTCCGAATCCGGCTCGGACAGAACCGTCGGGTCGTCGTACCCGTTGTACTCATCATCCGGCGGCTCGAACTCCACCGTCATCAGCGTTTCGAAGTCTGTCGGCAACTCCGCGGACCACCCCGGTTTCCGGTTGAATCTCCGGTCTAGTGGCGCGGCCTTCCTCCCGACGTTCGTGTAGTTCTGCCCGATGAACCACAGCTTTTCCGCGTTCTTCTTCACGACCTTTTCAAAATCGGTCTCGACCTTCTGTCGCGCCTCGCGCTCCCGCTTCCGGTGCTCCATCACCAGTCGCGCGTCCGGGTGGTCCGCGTCCGGAAACAGATTGGGGTCTAAGCCCCGTCTCGCAATTTCCCTTATCGATCGCGCAGCGGACTCCAGCTCCTTTTGCCTCTCCTCGACCAAATGCTGTTGTCTCTCCTCCTTCGCCAGTTGCCGGATCCGCGCGCGCTTCTCGTAGTCGTTGTACAAAACGTTGAGGTTGCCGCCGACTCGCAGCATCTGCGCCTTCCGCCAAAATTTTACGTTTTTGTCCTTCATCAAGTTGCGCATGAAATCCCCCTTCTCGGATTTATCGTGCACATCCATCCCGTCGAAAAACTCGTCCAATTGCTCCAAATCCGAGATGAGCTTGAAAACCGGGTGCTGTCTCGGCGCGTCCTTCCCGGAAAGTCTCAACTTCCTGGATTTCCCGTCCATCTCCTCCGGCAGACTGGGACCAGTATTCGGGTGTTTCGGCCTCTTGTACTGCTTCTTCGGCTTCGAAAACGGATCCGGGCGACGAGAAGCGGAGAGGTTATTTTCTTTGTCAACATCCTCGTCGTCCTCCTGTTCCTTTTTCTTCTTTTCCCTGTTTTCTGCATCGCTCGCGCCGGACTTCTCCGAAGCCGCCTCGAACGTCGTGTCGCCCATGCCCTGTCCGTAGCTGGTCTTGGGTTGTCCGCCCGAAGATCCTGGCTTCACAGATTGAGACACCGCCTCCCCCTCCGGACCCATCATGCTCGCCTTCGCAGACCCGAAGGGAGCGGCGGATTGCTGCGCCCGGCTTTGCTGGCCGAGCATGGTGACCGAGCTCTGCTGTGCGCTCTGCAGGGCGTGCTGTGCGGCAGAAAGAACGTTGCCAAACGCGGAGGCCGGCGGAGCGTTGAACATGGCACCGGACGGTGGGGGTCCTTTTCCCTTCCCCTTCCCAGCCGCCATCTTGCCCTTCCCCTTCCCCTTCCCGACAGCCCCGGGCGGCGGTCCGCCTTTTCCGCCTGAACCGACCTTGGCCTTCGGCCGCACTACAACTTTCTTTGGCGGCATTTCGTCGGGAGGTACTACTGGAGGACACGGGTAAGTAAGCAAATGATACCGACTCTTCCGGTCACTCAGATCGGTTCTGATCTTCTTCTGCGGCTTTATTTTTCCCGGATGAGAAATGAAATCACACACGCCGCTCTTCTTTAGCGTAACTAATATTACAATAAAAACGAGGACTTGGGATTCACAAACCACCACCGGAAGAAGGAAGATTCAAATGATAGGAGGGATACTCCTCTTAGTGTACAGAATGAGGATTGCTTATTTTTTTGGGGGTAGCGTTAGCGCAGTTGTCGCTAATTTTCTGACCCAGATGGGTCCCTGGTTGAAAGAATGTTTCGTAAACTTTATGTTCAACCTATGCTGGAATGTCGTATCTTTATCGTCGAACTGTATTCTACACATATTTAACTCTGGTTTCACGAAGTAAGTTCACGACCATCTGAGCACGCACGGAACCGAGCCGGCAAAGAAAGATAGTCTCTCAACCGACGAAAGGCTTTCAGTTCTTAGTACGTTCACAAACTCACAATCAACCAAATCGCACGAGAAACCGAAAATAGCTAAAGCACAGCAGACCGAGCAGACGTATAACGCTTGTGAAGACGAGGCACAACACCGATTCATATTCATATTTTGGTCCGCAACGACGTACCGAGACCGAGACAAGGCGTTATTTTGTTTTTGCACGAAGTCCAACACACGAGAACGGTGCTACGACGATCATCTAAACAAACACGCGCACTTTGGTCTACTAATTGAGGAACACTTCAAGAAGTAAGGACATGCACTACGTCTGTGCAGGTAGCGCTGTCATCCTTGATGTAGACGAGTACGGACGGGTAATTATCTTTCTTTTTCTTATCTTTCGCTCAAAGATACTACCTCAATGTGAAACAACATCAAAAACGCTCAGCTTTGCTGAGAAAGAAACCGTAGTTGTGCCAGAAACAGCACGCTAAGATCTGCGCTCCTCGTCCTCGGATTCGGAAAAAAGAAGGAAAACAAAACTCATTTAAGGTCTTAGTCCGATCGCTCCTTGCATCAAAGTCGTATTCCAAAAACGCATTCGAAATTACTGCGATCTTCGACAAAATAAGCGAATAACCTTAATCACGCATCTCAGCAGGCATCCGACAAAGAGTGCCTGCTACGCCCTGCTCCTCAGCACGGGATAATCTGGTAGCTCATGGCCTTCATTTCGTGGTTTTCGCGGCCATGGACGAGCTTCTTCTTCACGCAACCCTCCTTACCTGATGAAAAATTTATAAATGATTGATGAACATTTTTTTTTCTAAAGATTTAGATTGTTCTTGTACAATCGTCATCATCAGATTGATAGACACAGTTTGACTCGCACCATAATATGATGCCCTCTCATGGAATTCCAAAACACAAGCTAGTCGTAGTCAGTCCCAGGAGATGATCAAGTTAAAACGTCAAATGTCGAATCATACTGCAGTCGCAGGTTCCGATTTCCTCCGAGTAGGTCGCGTACTCTGAACTATCAAATGCAAATATGTCTGGGTCTGGATGAGTGTGAAGATGCTATTTGTGCATGACGCAGAAGGTCTGGAATGCAAGTCCTAGCAACACAGGTTTTGAGCACGTTAGGCGATGCCTACATCTTCCGCATGACAAATTCTCTCTTTGGGTGACAAGAAATGAGCAACTTTTGCGGTCCATGCATGACAGATTTTTTTCTGGTCTCCAATGCGCATCAGAAGTTTACATGTTTCCAGACCCAGACATATTTGCAATGCATATGAGCATCGCGTCATCAAGTGCGCGGACACCTTTACCTCGCAACCGCACACTTCCACCTCCGAGAACTTGGAATCCGTACTGGAAACGCAGGTGTTCACGGCGTTGTTCAGACCGTCGCCCTCGCCCACCACATTGCCGTCCACCGAGACCTTGGTGGTGACACTGTACTTCCGCTTGTTGTTCTTGAAGGTGCTCTTTTTCAAAAACGCTGACGCAAGCACGGGCAGAGCAAAAAGCTGCAAAAAACGACGCATTTTTCTTTTTGTTAAGCCAAATGGGAATTTGGTTCTTTTGGTAATTATCGCTCGCTCGTCGCTCTGGCTCTTGCTGCTCGCCTCGCCTACCACATCAAACACGCAGCGCGAAAATTTTGTATGTTTTAGTTTTTCCTCAAGTCAATACATCATACATGAAAGAACTGTACGCGAATGCCGCTTTTGCCTGCGTGCGGTTAGCGATCTGGAAGAAAAACTGTAGATCTACCAAGCGCAAACTCTGAATCCGAATGCTCCATCCTCGCCTTCGTGGCAACGAGATCTTAACTGTTAGAACGGAATCGCGCTTGGGATGAAAACGAATCACAGATCGATCCACGAAAAAATAGAACCACACGACCGGAGCTCCTGCTGCGATTTAAAGTAAAAAAGGCGCTACACTTTGTGCCATTTTTTTCGGAGTTCTGATCAATTTGCAGCGAACCTTTCTTTCGCTAGATTTTCTGATGTCACCGTGCAAAAAAAGTCAGGGTTCATTTTGTCAAAGCGATTGTTGCATGCTGGTCGTTTAGGACCAGCACTCTTTGTTCCCTGCCGCTTTTTGTCTGTGAACCAACCACAGTCAAAAAGCGGCACTAAATTCATCAATTGGAAGTCGGCGTTCTTTGAGGGAGAACTGCATGAGCTCCCGAGTTTTAGATAAGTGTAGCCCATGCGCACGGTCAAAAATCATTTATATAGCATGCACTCTAAATTTTCTAAAGACCGAAGTACGGGGAGGTAGTGCAGTATGCAGTATCGAGATCATCCACTCTGTGTATGTAGAAGTTGATGCAGCCGCACCCGCTCCATAGTCTGCGACGGCTGAGGCGTCCCGGCGTCTCGGAAGCCCAAGCTCCTGGAAACGAAGCTAAGCCGGAATATTGAAATACGCTGTAGCTGCCTAGGGATACGTGTGTAGTGACGAGGAAGGTTTTGTCTTTCTTACACTGAGACTAACCTGGGAGTGGTCCTCCAGGTGAAAGTGTGTTTCCTATAACAAAGTCGAAGCCCGCCGAAAAAAAATTCTTTTCGACTTCATATCTTTTGTTTGAAATTTCCATCTAAACGAATGTTTATCTTTATTCAGCACCTCTTTGTGATGCTAGTCCTTCTGCTGAGAAAAAATTCTCAGCCTGAGACTCACAAATTAAAAATACATTGCGTGTTTTCCGGTTTTCACTATATCTGAATTGTGATCCTTATTAAATTTAGATTTACTAGTTTGTTAATGAGTTGCAGTCTGCTCTAACAATCTGCCTTTCTATTTGCTTGAGTTTAAGAAGTCGCTCTTCCTTCCTTCTGGGCGAGGTTCAAAAAATGTCTTCTTTGGCCCGCTGCGTCTGCACCTAAGTCGTTTTGAATCTGCACTCGAATTGAATTCTAAATTGCAAAACTCTGGAAAAATCGAAATCAATTAAATTTCGCTGGCTACAACTGCGAGAGAGAGGTAAAATGAGCAATCGGATCGCTCCTTCGTTTCTTTCGATGCCCGGGCACGGCACCAAAGATTCTTTCAAGCACCTATCATTTGCTCAATTTCCCTTCTCCCTGCTTTTTCTCACTGTGAATAGTGGGGACCTGGTGCAACTCCCCTCCCACACCCAGCAATAACAGTGAATGAATACAAAGCTACGACCTGATTGAGATAAAAATAAAGAGTTACGATCTGCCTTTGAGATAAGAAGATGGTTGCGACATTTGGATTGAGTTGTTGTGATCGTAAAATCTATTGCCTGTGACCGAGACCATATTTCGATGACCAGCGATACGAATAGAAGAAGTCGGAGCAAAATCAACTCCCTTCTTCGCCCCCGCCTCTGTTCTACATCTAAATCGTGTTCGACGTCACTTTAAATTTTTGTAGTGATCTTCCGGAATAAATCTCCGCTCCCGCACCTTCCGAATCACGTCCTTGGCCTTCCTCAAATCCTGCAACACCAGCGCCCGCTCGGGTTCATGAAACGCGTCCCACTCACTGGGCATCTCGTCGACCATCGGCTTGAAGTATTCCAACAGGGGCACCTTGCAGTTCACCCAAGCCGATTGGAGTAGGGAAATGTCCTTCCCCGTAGAAACGTCCTCTTCGGCACCGAACGGCAGCCAGGCCTCGTGCGTCTCACGCAGGAACACTTCCAGCGGCCGCCACTCCCCGTCGTTGCACTGGTAGGTACCTAAATTTTTGTTGTTCTTCCGGCAACTCGACTATACTTTTGTTTGTTGTGACAACAATGCATCGTGTGGGTTTGTACAACACTTCATCTAAAAAATCTGAAGCCAGGCAGTTCTGCATGCAGGTTTTTCTAAATCTTTCAAGAACTCTGCTCCACCTGCTCGAAGATTGGGTACTACTTTGTCGCTCCGTGCAAGTAGATGAAAAATCGTGGCCAACACATACACAACTTCCTACGTAAAAACTACCTTCAAACGCCTCTTTGGACTTGCAGTAGTGGAACGACGGAAACCCGTTCTGGCGGTCCATCCACCCATGGAAAGCCGGGAACAAGTGATGCGTACAGCGGTGTCGCGCGTGCTCCCCGACCTGGTCGCACTTCGAGCCGCACAGGGGGCACCGGGCACTGCAGCCCTTAATCAGCCCCCACGCGGTCTTGGACTGTTCCTGCAGTCCTTTCTGGAGCTGGTCGTCGATCCAACTGTTGGTTGTGGATTTGTCCTTGTCTTCTTCTGGCGGCACCTCCGGACACACCTGCCCGATAGATATATTTAGATCCTCCAGATTCACCACCTTGCTACCCATGTTCAGCCGCGTGTCTTGTTTCTCTTCCAGATTCTCCTGCAACTGCAACAGGTGCTGACGGAACGCGGAACAGAAGATCTGCGCGTCTCGCACCGGGAATTCCGCCGTCTCCGGGATAGTATACATTTTTGCAAAAGTATTTGTGTATCGCACTGGTAAAAGTTGAAGTTCTTGCATGACAGATTCTTCCGGAGCAAAAACTTGCTTTGGGTGGTACGTCGAACAAACAGAAACTACACAATCTCCAAGGATTATTTAATGCAGAAATACTGCCCTTGGTTGAACACGCGCGATATAATTACTTTTGCACGGGAGATAGATTCGGTCAACTACCACCTTATACGCTTTCAGCAAGTTGTCCTGCTTCCAATTTCGCGCCTCGCCGAGAAATTCTGCGTTGCCGGGGTCGTTGGCTTCTCTTTTCAAATCTTCGGGTGTGGGTTGTTGCTGCGTTGCGGTCTGCTTCACGAAGCCTTTGAGGTCCTTCAACGTGATTTTTCCCGTTTTATTCGAGGAAGTCGAACTGGTCGCTGCTCCAGTCCCAACGATTATCCCGTCGGCATTTGCTGCGGGTAACTCCTCCATCGGCGTCGACATGGACTGATCCGCGGCGACGTTCTCGGTTCCCTCTTTCTCTTCCCTTTCGCCATTGCTATCCAGCAGACTTTGCTGCGAGGATAATTCTTTGGGCTCTAGTTTGATTTCCCCCTCATCTAGTTCTTGTACAATTCCTGCATTTATTTCTACTGCACTGCCGGACGATTTTGTGGCGGCAAAATTGGGTGCCTCGATGCCGCCGGGGGTGAGACGTTTTACCGCAGTGGACCACTGGTCGCAGATAGAGAGGACAAGTTTGTACACCGTGCGGACGCGCTCGCGGAGAGAGGCAACCTGGGTTTTTTTATTTCATCATTGTCACGCGCGACTGAGTAGGTTTAATAAAAGCGTGAGTGTGTCATGGTAAAAAATTCCAGTGTGCTTGACCATCTCCCTCACATTCGGATAGAGTCTACTTCATCAATCTTCTTCAGCTTCTAGCTCACAAATTGTTGTTGATCTAGTAAAACAGCAAGAGCAAGATGCCATGGTGAAGTAGATTCAATGCTATGATAAACCTTCGTATCCACGACGTACGCTTTCCTCCTGGCGAACATGATCAGAAACAGCTTTTCCACGTACGCGTTCACGTCCAAAACGTATTCCAGCACTTCCTGGTAATTCCTCGCCCCGAAAGATTGCTGGTACGCCCGCTCGTAGGCCTTCGCCGGGTCCGGCATATCGGCCAACACGGACTCCCGGATCTCCGCCGAGAGGTTCAGGATTTCCTGCTGGATGTAGGTTTTGATGTATCAAAGTGAAAAAAGCCCCCACCCCATATCGGAAACGGAAGATGCGCGAATTTGTGGTGCTGTATTTGAGTACACAAATCGACTTGTATTGCTAGAAGGCCAAGAGACGAAGCTGCAGCATAAATTGCAGGCAATCTGTCATGCTGTTTCCCACTTCCAGTTGCCTCCTGTCATCCTGGAGCTGCAAGGCTTTCCCACGCTAGACAGCACTACAGTCCGCATCTTTTGGCTTTGCCTTCTAGCATCACAAAGCTGATTTGTAACCACAAATCTGCATCACAGATTTCCGTTTTGATATGGGGAGGGGGCATTTTTCATTGTAATATGATGTTCTGGTGGTACCGGGTGGCGAAGTTCTTCGCCACCTCCACGTCGTTGCTGTTGGCCTTATGCATTGCAAAAGCATCGCACTAGTATAAATCGCAATACAAATTTCTCCAGAAGGAAAAATGGAATTTGTAGTGCTGATCTCGCTGAGAGACAAGATTCGTCATGCATGATTGCAATTAGTACGAGTACGATACTTTTGCAATGCATAGGCCTTGATAATCAGCAAAAAGTGGTCCTCGATCTGCTGTTTGTGCTCTCGCAACACGTCCATTTCCTTGGCGTTTTGCTGCTCCTCCTCCTTCAACCGTTTCTCGTACGCCGCAACACGAACGAGCACGGACAGCTCGTGGATAAACCTGTTATTTGTATTTCATACGTGACGGGTGTCAGATTCATGTTTCTGCACTTCGACGCACAGGCAAAAATCAGAAACTCCTCTGCCTTTGTAGTTCCTGGCGGGCATGATCAAGAACCACAGTGAGTAGTTGTGCGCAACAACGGTTAAAAAAAAGCTCTCTGAGAGCAAAGATTGATCTTCGAGTACTGTGGCCTCTTCAGCGAGATCAAAAATGGGCTGAGGTGCTCCTTTTCTGTGACCCGGGTCACAATGTCCATCAACTGCCGAAACCAATCGATTATCATGGATTCGTATCCAACAGAAAAGCATTGCGGGTGTAAGTAGGTGACTCTGTGATGCGCAACATGCAAGATATGATTGCGTCTGCCATGCTGGTCGTGCGTCGTAGGGTCCATTCAAGCGCGTTTGCACGTCCTTCTATCTGCGAATGACAGTTATTTTTTCCTGTCATGCCAGACAGATTTGTTATACCGAAACAGTTGATACACCTACAATCTTTTTTTCTTGAATAATTCGTCCATCATTTGTTGGTTGTCCACGTTTTGCGCCCGACTCGTGCTGTCAAAGGACATATCCTGCAAGCTATCCGCCGGATTCCCACTGGCCCCTAAGGGCGTCGACGCGGTGAAAGGGTCCATTTCGTCTGCGTACACAATGCACTCAAAGAGGGCGCGCTTGACCACCGCCCGGATTTTCGGTATGATTTGTTCCGTAAGAAACTTTGGGGTGTCCAGCGCCATTTGCAGGTTTTTCAGGTTGTATTCTGTTCGTAGAATTTATTTCAGGACACAATTATCTTTTTTATCTCATCCTTCACCTTCGCCTTGTTCCGAACTTCGCATCACAAAATTCAAACTCAGTTGTGCGATAGTGAGTTTTCATGTAGCGTCGACAGATGAAAAACAGACTTTTTTTGTCGTGCGTACAAGAAAGAGAAAGTGTGTTCAGCACGTCCACGTTCATGTTCAAGTATTCTCCATATAAAATTCTCGTACCTGTTTTGTCCCCACTCGCTTTCTCCCCCTTGATTATCCTTTGAATCTTCGCCCGCCACCCGTCGTGAAAGTATTTCTTTTCCCAATCCGCATCTGATTCGTCCAGTAGCGTTTGCTTCTTCCACAAATACTGCGGTCCCTGCTCCTGCAGCAGTGCAAACGGGCCGCTATCCTGTGCAAAAGCATCGCATTCGTATAAATGCATTACAAATTTTCTCAGCACGAGAAATAAAATAAAAAATTGTAATGCGGATTTACCTCAAGAAAAAGATTGGTAATCGATGATTGCAATACGAGTACGATACTTTTGCACAGGATAGCCGCCCTCGTGCATCAATTTTGACACCACATTGTTGAACTGGATGATTAGTTCATATTGTATCGCGTTCTCGGACTTCGCAATCGAGGCCAGTCGTGACTGGAATTCCGATTCGTAACTGTTCCACTCCTGGGAGAACAAGTCCCGTGCCTTCGACTCGGAGAGCGATGCTTGGTGCGAGCTATCCGCCAGGTACTGGTTCAGGACGGAGGTGATATCACGTGCAAAAATGGTATCGTAGCCTTGCGTTGCTTGCCGGCTAAAGAAGCTCACCTGCAATCTTGCATGACAAACCTTCGCTCCCACCTGATAATACGCATAACAAATTGATTGAACTTTTTTTCTTTACTCTTCTTGGAAGAATAGGTATTTCTTGTCGTGCAAACATTTCTTCGCCACAGTGAAGACCCGTAGAAGACGTAGTTCAACTACGATCTAAATTTCTGCAACCGGCATACGTAAAGTGCGTCCACATTTTGTGCATCGCCTGCTCGTCGGTTTTCTTTTTCAGGGATATGGCGTTCTCAACTGTTACACTCTCAACTGTTACATGGATTTGTCATGCATCATCTACACCCTCAAGCTGCTCTGCATGACAAATTCTGGAAGGGCCAAACAAGCTGACAATCTGTGCCAAATCTGTCATGCAAGACGCGCAATTTCCCCCCTTTCACTTTTCCCATTCTTGCATCACAAATCCATGTAACAGTTGAGAATGTAACGTTTGAGAATACCATAAAGGAGAGCTTCCACGTGTAGAGGTAATTCTCGAACACCCAGTCCATGGCATCGAAAGGAAAAATCCCCCCTCCCCATATCGAAAACGAAATTTGTGATGCTGTATTTGAGGCCACAAATCGACTTGTCATGCTAGAAGGCCAAGAGCCGCAGTCGTGGCCTCGTTAGCAGGCAATTTGTCATGCTTAACAGACTGCGCAACTAAAGCCCGGGGGGGTGCGGGGTCCGAGGGGTGCACTGAGCACTGCCCGGAACACCCGAACATGCCCCGCGACTGGCACAGGACCAGCAACACAACTATTATCGTCGATCTCAGTTTGTCGATCACAACGTAGCTGCGAAGCCGTCCATTCGCCTGGCGCCCCAAGCCCAACCCCACCTCTGAGGAAAGGCCACAACCCGAGAGGATCCGCTGCTGAGCTTAGGGCACGACGAGCTGGGAGCGCCTGATTCTGGAAAGGTAGATACTTGAAGCTAATCGCCACTGCAAAGCTGGAACTGGCTGGTGGACGCCGGATTGCGGGGAACTGACGGATTACTACTCAGCAGGACGCCAACAAATGAGACGGGGTCGTGGAAGTCCAGCAGCACGCGAGACCCGCGGGTGTGTTGGGCGTAGCTGGAGGAAAACCACGGATGAGATCCCGACTGCGTGAAGTTGGGGCATGAGGAGCAGCAGCGGGACACTAATGAAACAGGACTAGACAGCTGGGCAGGACTGCTTCTCGCAGAACGAGGGAGACGGTGATCGGGAATCCTGATAGACGGAAGAGCTGATGGCTATGCAGAGAAGAACCGCCGCAATTTGTCATGCTGTTTCCCACTCTCAGATGCCTCCTATCATGCTGAAGATGTAAGGCTTCCCCACGCCACCCAGCACTACAGTCCTCATCTTTTCCCGTGTAGCATGACAAAGCTGATTTGTGACAACAAATCTGCATCACAGATTTCCGTTTTGATATGGGGGGGGATTTTTCCTTTTGATACATGGGCGTGCCCAGCTTTTTCCGTGCTTCCTCCTTCATGGTTTCGTGGAACCGGGGGTCCAGGTTCGCCTTCTGGTTGAATAAAACCATCGACTTCTGCACGAAGTCGTCCCGGAGGGAGGTTAAAGCGCGGTGGAATTCCAGGTCGATCATGTCGGTTGAGAGAGATTCGTCGGACTTGATCGTGTCTTGCAGCCGCTTGATGAAGCCGTTGGTCGTGGTCTGACACTGGGCCCGGAACCCGTCGTTGTCTTCCTCCATAATCAACTGCGTCGTCTGCTTCGCCAGTTCGTACAGATCCTTCCTCGCCTCGATCTCCTGGATCGTCTTGTAATGCAACAAGTTGTGCCCAAACCGGACCAAGGTGTCCCACACGTGGCAGGTGTGGCTGTACCACTGCTCGAGGTTCTCCCACACATTCTCCATATCCGGCGACTCAAACATCTCGAAAATGGAGGACCGCAGCGCAAGGACTTCCTGGGAGAAGAGTTCCGGCGTCCACTGTGTGGCGTTCTCAAATGTTACACTCTCAACTGTTACAGGATTTGTCATGCAAAATGAGCATCAACATCCACACAATGAAGCTGCCTCGCATGACAAATATTGGAAGGGCTAAACAGCATGGGAATCTGTGCTGCCGAATTTGTAATGCAAGAGTTGCAAGATGCGGCCTTTCCTTGTTGCCATTCTTGCATCACAAATTCATGTAACAGTTGAGAATGTAACAATTGAGAACGCCATACACTGGACCTCCACGTTGTGTTTCCGCACCGTGACGTAGGCGGAGGGCAGGAGGTACATCTATCCTGTGCAAAAGCATCGTGCTCGTACTAATTGCAGTTATGCATGACGAATTTCCTCTCCAGGGTAAAACAGCATGACAAATTCAATTTTTCATGCTGAGAAAATTTGGAATGCAATTTGTATTAGTACGATGCTTTTGCAATGCACAACACCGCCGTGTCGTCGATTTTGATCAAGTCGTCCAGCGCGATGCCCAACTTCCCGGCGGACTCATGCAGGTGGTTTTTCATCGTGGCCAGCATCTGCCGGTGCACCTCCACGGACCGGTCCTGCTGGTCGCGCAACACAAACCCGATCTTCGGCCGGTTCTTGTTGATCTTCAGGTGCCGCATCGCAAAGAGACAGATCTCGATCAGGTCCTGCAATTGCCGGGAGAGCTCCCCCTTGTGGTTGATCAGGACGACATGCGAGCAGTTGAGACACATCAGCGTCATTTGCCCGTCAAAGATGTCCCCGCGGGAAGAATCGGAGACCCCGAGCAAACCCTCGGAATCCAACACGAGTATTGCGTACTCCTGGTTTTTAGACGCCGAGCTACTTCCTGCTGCATTCGATTTGTTGGTGAAAAAGACGCTCGCGTACAGCCCACACGTGCATCTCCCGGCGGAAACGGCGAACTCAGACCCGAACAGGAAGTTCATGAGCGTGGATTTTGCGGAACTCTGCGCGCCGATGACGGAGATGACGCGGAGTTTCCTTTTGCTCGTCGGCGACAGAAGTTCCTCTTGGTCCAAATCCCGCAACACGTTCGCCAAAAACGCCTGGCTAGAGATGGCCAGCGGGTTGCCGGCGAGCAGCTGCATGGGGGCGCCGCGACGGGTGACCAGGTCGCCGTAGGCGAGTCGCGCCTTCTCCAGTTGCGTCCTGTTATTGTTGTTGTTGAGCAGGACTGTTTATTTTTCAGGTCTAGTAGTTCGACTTTCTGATCATGCATGGAGCGCCTCACAACAAGAAGTACTATCGCACAAGAATGCCTAGTAGTACACTGCATCATGACAACGAAGATCATGAATTATCTGTAAGCAAATCTTGAAGTACCCGCACATACAGAACGCGGGGCAAAGGGGCAAGCGCGGCGCGCAACAGAGGCAACATGCGCAGAACTCGCATGCTGGGTGTGGTAGTTGCTTGGGCATCTTCCACCCGGTGGGCGTTGGTGGGCGAAGTAGAAAGAGCTACAAAATAGAAGTCGGCGCACCTTTTGTAATGCGGCAAAAGCACGATCGGTGTGGGGCGCGTGTAAACATGCCGCGCACGCGGAAAACATATCAACCAAATGCAGTCCAAGTAGAACTGTCATCATTCATGTGCGTGGGATATGAATACTTAAATCCAATTTATATATACCATATTGCCGGCTGCTTTTTCGCATTCCCGGGATATCCCAAGTCGATTGCGCATTGGTAGAACATCTGTATCTCATTCCAGAACGATTCCATACCCGTAAAATCCTCGGACCCCGCTTCTAGCCTCGCCGCAAACGTTTTTATCCTGTCTATTACAGTGAAAAGTGCCCCCCACACCCAAAGTTGCAAAAATTTGTGATGCGAAGTTTCCAAATGAAAACTTTTTGTCATGCATGAAAGGAGTATGAATCTCTCTGATGCAGAGTCTAGTCGTGTTTCGCATCGCTTGCATGACAAGCACCGCTCTTGCTGGGATCTTTTGCAATAAAAATTTTTGCTATTCGCGATCGGGAATCTGTGATGCTGATACATGCAAGAGGGCGAATGTATCATTTGGAAAGGTTTGCAATACAAATTCTTTCAAGTTCGGGGGTGGGGGCATTTTTCATTGTAATACTGTCCACTTGTGCTTTTGACACGATGGCTTTCGCCAGTTTCGTGTTATGAACTGCAAAAGTATCGTACTCGTATTGCAGTCATGCATTAGAAATCTTCTTTTTAAGGTAAATCCACATTTTATTTCTCATGCTGGGGAAATTTGTAATGCATTTTTATACGAGTACGATAGTTTTGCGGTTCATACGTGTTCTTCACCAACAATCTGCCAATTTTCTGGTCGTCTTTGGCTAGGAGCAGCTTTTCCAGAAAGAACAACGTGAGGTGGTCCAACCCCTTCAGGAAGTACTTCTCTCGGTTTTTCTGCAGCGTGCTGCTTTTGTCCGCGAGTTTCTGCGCAAGTTCGATGTGCTCTTGCATCTCGCTGGACTTCTGCCAGGACAGGTTCCGCTCCTGTTCTTCTGCCAGTTTCAGCTTTTCCAGGATCTCCTGCATGCCAAATTGCGGCTTTATCTTCGCGACGGAGTTCTGCATCTCCTGTCGCAGCTGCAGCTCGAAAATTTGCTGGCTCTCCTCGAACTTCGCCTGCAGATCTAAGTGCGACGTATCATATGCAAAAGTGTCTGGGTCTGGAAAGTTGCAACTTGTCATGCTAAATCTGAATCATGCAAAAAATGTGTGCTGCATAATTTTGATTACCAACAGCCGTCCCTTTTATACCAAGTCGAGAGGGAATTTCTCAGGCAGGATAGGCATGATAGACATCTCACAAAATTTGTCATGCTAGGTGCTGCACTCCAGACCTCATGGGCCATAGAAAACCTGCATGACAAATCTGGCATCCTTCCAGACCCAGACATTTTTACATTTGATACGACGGGATGTCCGGCCACTTCTTTTCCACAAACGCCGCGGTGTGCATATGGATCGTAAAAATGTCTGGGTCTGGAAGAATTCATGTTTGTCATGCTTGTCTGGCATGACTCTTAAACCTGTCATGCACGTTACCCAAGAGCTCCGTTTTTCTGTGACGCAGAAGCGCAGTTTGTCATGCAGAATAGGCAACACCTAGGAGCTCAGAAACTTGTCATGCTGAGCCAGCATTTGTAGCCTCATCATGAGACGCCACCCAGCATCACAAGTTTCCAGACCCAAACATTTTTACATTTGATAGTGCAGAGCCTGCGCCAACTCCTGACGGAACTGCTTCACGACGGCGTTCGCCTTCGCTTGCGATCGGAAGTTACTCATGTTCTCCAGCAGGATCACCGTTGCTGGGCCGGCCTGTGCAGCAGCCGCACTTGTGCCATTTTTTCCGCCTCCTGCTTTAGTTCCGTTCGGATTTGAGGAAGAGCTGGAGCCGCCGCCTTGCTGCAGTAATTTCGGATTCTTTTTCAGCACTTTCTGCAGAAGCGGATTCTGCGTTGCCGGGTCAAAATCCCGCCAAACGACCACGCTGGCCTTCGGCAGACTGGATATCAACAGCGGCGCCAAAACCTCCCCCGTCTCCGGGTCAAAGTCGTTCGCGTCCACGTGCAAGCAGAGTAACGCCTTGTCCACCAACGTGTCGACGACGGCGGAAAAGTCCGGGCTGTCTACCACCCCCCTTGACGCCTGTGCGACGCTTCCGCGGAACTCCTGCAATTTTTGCTTTCGCAGCTCCGCGGCCTGTTTCCTTTCCGCCTCCGTCTGCTCGGTTGCAGAAGTTGCTGGTGCACCAGCAGTTTCGGTGCTGACATCGTTCACAAAGCTACTCACGTCGTACACCAATCGCGCGTCCTGGTGCGAGTGCACGTCCGCAATCCAGAGGTCCAGTCCTGGGACCAGACTGCTGCACGCCGCCAGGTCGATGCTACCTCGGTGCACAAGGGACCCTTTGGTCAAGTCATCGGACGCGACCAGCATGCCGGAGTGGGCGTTGGTTTGCGAAATCAAGGACGCATTGGTCAGTTCTGCCTGCTGTAACAACTGCGTCTTCCCGACCGCAGTGCCGTGCCAAACCAGTAACTTTGGTTTCGCGGTTTTGTTCTGCTCCTTCGTTTTCACTACTTTCGCCGTTTGCAGGTAAAGCATGGAGTCCCAGTTTACCAAGGTCGCGTTAAACAGCGGTCGCTTCGGCGGGAGAGCTGGACCGTCCGCCGAAACGGGCTCGATCGCTAGTTGCTGCTGCTCCACGATTTTTGTCTTCGTCGAAAGGCTGGTCAGCTGGGTTAAGGTGGTTTTCTGGTGCGCGGCAACCGGCCAGCAGAGCGGCACGATGCTGTTGCCCTGGCAAAGCAGCGCGATCAAATGCCCCAGCTCGTCCGGTGGAGAGCCGAGGAGGAGACCGATCACGATGTCCTTCGGGGTGATGTCTTGGCAAAACCTTGTGTATTTTCTTGTAGTAGTGTTGGGTACGATAGTGATCTGATGGGATACGGCGATTGGAAAATGCATGACCAAGGTGAAAGTGCATGATCCCCTGCTTACCGCTGATTTCGATTTTCTGGTTGTAGTAAGTCTAACATGATCATGTGAAAAACATATACTCCGGCAGTGCCCCTTCCTCTGCTGCCTGCGCGAACAGATCCACAAGATGCGAGAGGGAATGCTTGCGCAGCAGGCTGTCGCACACGAACTGCCGCAGGTCGCTTTCGGGTGCGAACAGCGCGACTTTGCTCCCGTCCGCGCGGCTGCCGTTTGCGCGTCGTCGGTAGGCCTCGAGTTGCCGTATACCCTCGACATCCAGCTCGGAAAGGGAGATTAGGGAGGGGGTGCTGTGAAATGAAATGTAGATTCGTTTGTGCATTTGATGTCGATCATGTCATACAACTTATGATCATGCCTATCAACTGAGGCGCATCTGAAATATTGTGTTTCCGTACTAGTTTACTCTGCTCGTCCTGCAGTGCAACTTCTATTGCAAACGACCGACCCGCAAGATTTTTGGTTATTTATCAGCGCACAACATGTGGGCATCACTAGCAGTTTCCGTACCCCTTCGTCGGCAGAGCCTCCGGGTCGAGCGAGAACAACTCGGAAAATTGCGCCACGGTCTCGAGCTGTTGCCGGAAATCCGCATCTTGCTTCCGCTGCATGTCCTTGAGCTTACTAACGTGAGCGGCCTGCGCCTTCTGGATCTCCGGGCTGCCCGCATTCCGCCTCTTCCCCCCACCAAAAAGCCCAAAGCAAACCATCCTCCTGCTTTTGGGTTGTTTCGTCCCTACTCGAAATCCAGCGTGGCCGTGGCACCGAGTTGTACTACGGGACGAACTAAGGTTCCTGTAGTTCGGGCGATGTCAAGTAGAACAACCAGCGGGCCGGGGTAGCTCACTTCACCTAGGAGTGCGGCTATGGGGGCAGAGTGAATTTTGTTTCATCAACAAAAACTACTACGTCATGGTGAGTGACATTTTGCTCCTCTTCGGTGCTGGCGGCACCAACGAAGATCTACTACCTTAAGCTTTATCATTTCTTGTCCCACATTTTCGTTCTACATGCGCATTCCCCATCATCACGACTATCGCTAGTGCCATACTTCCAGTTACATTTTTGCGTGGTGGAGAAAAATTTCTCACATGTTGTTCGTTCCACATTTGATATTGAATCTCGTCCAATAGTACGGAAGTTGCACAAGAACTTCGCCGTGCTTCGCATCAAGCTGTATTTTGAAACGAAGCTCCTGCACCTCAACACGTGGCGGACGAAACACAGGGACACCAGACAAGAACGCACCAGGAATTCATCACTTTACAAAGAAAAATGGAGAGCTTCTACACCATGATTTTTGCGTTTTCAACTCCGTCGTCGAGCGGTAGGAAAGATTACCAGGCAACTCAGGGAAAACTACGATCAGTTGAGGATACTAGCACAACCACGAGGTCGTCATGCCGCAGGCGAACGTTCTTACGACATTAGAACGAACAGAGTAAAAACTTTCATCAGCGCCCATTTTTGCCGACAACTACAGAAGCTGCGCCACCAGCTGCACGGGAGGCAGCGGGGCTTTGAAGAAAAGTTTGGGTCATTTCTTCTCGCCTGTTGTACGTTGCAGTTCCTCTTCCTTTGCTTGATGATGATATCGACTCGACTTTATTGTACTACAACGAAGCTGCACAAGAACCTCGTCCGTTGTTCCACCAAGTAGATTGAACGGAATCTTTTCATCAAGAAATTGTGCGTCGTACACGACAATTTATTGCTTTATGTTTGATGCTGAATCATTCTTTCCGCTTCACGGTTTCTGTTCCGCTTCCGCCCGCTCCGCCAGGAGCAGGTTGACACACGTTGAGCATATAGTTAGATCATATACCCCTCGACTAAGTAACAAGAAGCAGCTCGTCCCTAATCTAAATCTGCCATGTTAACCACGGTCGTCCCGGATGATGCTGATCCCGCACTCGTGCCGCCCGCTTTTGCTGCGTCGATCACACAGTTTTTGAAGGTTTGCTCGCTTCCAAAGTGCACGAAATCTGGCAAGGAAAACTCGATTTCCTTGGCCCGCTGCTCGCTCGGAACGTCGGGCATTTTCACCAACCGTTCGCCTCTGAACATCTTCAGCTATCCAGGAAAAAACTACACCCATTCGATTCCCAACATCCATCTTTTGCATGACAAGCACAGAAGTTTATGCATGTTTTGCATGACAAATTGGATGGGGATGGGTTTTTTTTTCTGGATATCAACCCGAGCTTTTCCATGGCTTCCTTCATTCTGTTGCGGTATCCCAGCTTCACTTTCGCGTCAAAATGCACCTGGTACTTAAAGGTCTCGCAGGTGACGACGCAGCCGGGTTTCAGTGATTTGGTGAAGGAAAATGTTGTTCCTTTCGTCGTTTTCTCCACCAGGCCCGAGGCTTCCAGGAGCGGCAAAACCGCCATGTTGCCGAAAAATACACGGTCGAAAGCCTGGTTTATTTATGCAGGGTGAAGATCATGGAAGTTTTCTACTTCGAGAAAAAAATGAGCTGGCGCTGCCCATCTATGCGCCGCATGACATTTTTGCTGCACACTAAAGAACGAATGTGATGATGAACCGAAGACTATCATCATGGTGCGGAATGAGCAAGAGGAAAAATTCTGAAGATGACAGAGCTATTCATGATACTTAAGTAAGTACCGCTTCAAATTTCGTCTTCCGCAGGGATTCCTCCAAGTTTCCCGTGAGCAACACAAGCTTCACACCCTCCATGGCGGGCAACCGTTTCTTCTTTTTCCAAGAATTCTCCTCGTCCTCCAGTTTCTTCAGCGCGTTCCCATCCTCGTCCACCTCTTCAATCACGCAGTTCTGGTTCCGCAGCGCGTCGACCGGGGTGGCGTAGGGGAAAATGTTTTCCTCCGGTTTTTCGGGCGGCAAATTGAACTCCTGGTAGTCTTGCATCTCCCGGATCCACGCCTCCAAATTAAACTCCGCCACGTCCATATCCACGAAAAAAATGTGTAAGTCACTGTAAGTCGTGCAGCATCAATGAACGAATTCGTTTTATTGCCTTTATACAAAAATAACATCAACATGCGAATCTAGTACGTGAAAAGACGTATCATGTTGAAACTACGCCATGACGCACTTCCAGCAGCATGACAAGTGTGTGTCTTCCATCGTCCGCAACACAGACGTACACTTACACAGTTTTTTTCTTGCATAGTCGACCGCAGTGTTGCGGTGCTGCTCCTGCGCTTTTTTAAACAGCCGGCTCTTGTCGTTCCCGTTGTGGGTGTATCCAGTGCAAAAATATCTTAGTAGTGGTGATTGCAAGTAATAATGCATATCCAACTTCTTATAAATACGCCAAATAGCATTACCATTTCTCATGCTGAGAAAATCTGTGAATGCAATTTCTACTACGATACGTTTGCAGAGGATAGGGTGTCCACACCGAATGTGAAGTACGGGGAGTTGATGATGTCAGCCATCCAATACAAAAGTACTTATTGTTCGTCATTGCAATCGTACATGAAAAATGTCCTTCGCCTTCCCACTCCTAAACTAACACTAAATCGGAATTACAAACTGCATAAAGTGGGCGCATTCTGGGCAAGTTTGTGATGCAATTAAGCGCCGCTAGTACGATAATACTTTTGCGATGCATATCGGCCCAGAACCTGTGATATGGATTCTCAATTGCAATCAGGTGAAACCAAACGTGAGCATGGCATCAATAACAATACGAACTGGTAAACACTACATGAAAACAAGAACGCTCCTTCTACTTCTACCTCTACGAGAAATTTACTGATATAGGAGCACCGTCGAGCTAAATAAACTACCCGCGCACGAGCACGCTGGTTCCTTTTTCGCGTGACTTGCCGTCGATGTAGCTGGCCAGTGAGCGGTTGGGCACGGTGTAGGACCCAAGCCGGGACTCGAAGGCGACGCCGGTGTGACAGAAATCCCGGTAGTGGTATGAACTGCAAAAGTATCGCACTCGTATAAATAAATGCATTGAGCATGAGAAATAAAATCTGTAATGCTGATTTACGTTGGGAAAAAGATTTGTAATGCATGATTGCAATACGAGTAGCGATACTTTTGCACTGCATAAGTGGTACCAGTGGACAATACTTGCAACAGGTTTTATGTTCAACTGATAATCGTGGTCCATCAGGTTCTTCCGGTGCTCGTACCGCGCGCGGTAGTACCCTTAGAGTTGTATATTAGGAAGGAATGGCTTCGTATTTTTCCGTGAAAGAGGAGCAGGAGCAAGACAGAAATCGATACCAGCCGCAAATCGATTATGAACTACACAAACGCAAACCAAAGTAAGTGTGCGTATAATATTAATGAGTACCAGAATAAAATCACGATGGATATGATTACCGATCATAGCTTAATTACCACGCATCCTGTCGTCCCGCAGCTGTTCGACATCAAAGGGAACGTCCGCTTTCCAGCCCCGAATCACGTTCTCTAACTCGTCTCGCTTCTTTATCCACAGCAAATCGAAATTTCCCGCACACTTAGGAATGTGGTTTCTGCATGACAAACCGTTCCGCATCCGCTCATTTTGTTCAGCATGACAAGTGGCATAATCTACTCAATTTGGCGAAATTTGTGATGCATTTTGTCCGTGCAAGTGTATGAGAAATTTGTATTGCATATCCTTGAAGCGCAAGCAACTGAAATCGAAAACGTCCGCCAGGAAGTCGTCTTTCGCCGTTTCAGAAGCGACGGCGAGCAACCGCTTCACCTGCTCGGAGAGGTACCTGAAAGGGGATGTCGCGCCAAGATGAAAAAAGTCGAGTTCCGAATTTTTATTCAACACATGCTAATTTTCTGATCTTGTAGGACAACCAAGACAACCAAGACAGACAACCTCTGTCATGCCGGAAATAATTGATGTTGCGAGCCTCATGTTATACATCATTATTTCGGTTTACTTCCCTTCAGTAAAAGTGGTAATATGACCCCTACATTGCAAGTTTTCTCTGTTATGCAGAGAAAGTTGCTGACCAAGTAGTCACGATATCAAATGTGCAAGCTGTATACTTGCTGTCCCTGTCGCGCACGAGGGCGTTTCCGTACAGTGTGAGAAACAGCTCCGCCCGGTCGCGGGGCGTCAGCTCCGTATTGGAAAGGATTTGCAGAAAGAGTAAGTGCCGTGCCGTCACCTCCACCTGGTTGTCGTGCAGAAAAAACCGCAATTTTTTGTCTTTCACGCCTAGCCTGTGCCACTTCGCCACCGTTTTCATCACGAACCGCAGGTCCGCGCCCCCGGAAATCAACACGTTGTAATACTCCGACTCCTATGCCTTGCAGACGTTAAAATGACGGTCGTTGTCGTACTGGCCGTAGCATATTAGCATGATTGAGATTGCATCAACTTGTACATGCATATACTACAAATGAATCTCGAGGATGACGCCGCGTGGGTCATGCTGACGCGAAAGGTTGTATAATGCAGTTACTCCTAGTGTGAGTGTGACACTTTGACTTTTGAGGACATCAAGGCATAACTCCGCCCCGAATTTGTCTTCCGCATCAGCCTCGTCGCTTGTGCCCATCAGCATCTCCTCCAGTGTCTTTTCCTTCTTTTTCTTGCCACTACTCGGCTTAGAAGAAGAGGACGACGCAGCGGCAGAGTCTCCTGTCAACCTCGTCTTCCCACCACAGGAACTGTGGTCCTCGTCTGCGCTTGTTTTCGGTCGGGGCACGGCTTCGGGGAAGTCGCCGACTAGGTCCGCCGCAGGGCTGAGGCCCCAGAAATGGATGAAACCAATGCCATCCACGCCGTCGGAGGCGTAGTCCTGGGGCTTCTCGAAGTTTTTGCTCACGGCAATTTGATAGCCGGACGCCATTTTGTTTCAAGCGTTCGCGTTGTTATTTCTTTATTGGTTCGACAAGGTGGAACAAGAACAAGGCATGGTACGGAATAGGTGCAGTTCCATCGTGTTTCATGTTTTTGCTTTAAAAGGAATTGAAAAAGTAACAACAGAAGATCTTAAAGGCAACTCATTTAGAGTAACGCACTCCATAAAATGGTAGACATTTGACACACATAAAGAGGAGGCTGTTGGTCTCCGGTCCTCGGTCCTCAGTCCGTCGCGAGGTAATATATGAGGAGATAAGAAGGGAGAAGCGCCAGGCACATAAGAAGGAGGCTGTTGGTCTCCGGTCCTCGGTCCTCACTCCATCGCGAGGGAGTAGATGAGGAGAGAAGAAGGGAGAGGCACCAGACACATAAGAAGGAGGCTGCTGGTCTCCGGTCCTCGGTCCTCACTCCATTACGAGGTAGGACGTGAGGAGATAAGAAGGTAGAAACACCAGACACATAAGAAGGAGTCAGGCAGACAGCCCCGGGCGGTTTCTGTTTCTAGTTATTTCCTAAAAGTTGGCTAATTGGGGAGCTCGATGGGTGTCTTGTTGGCAGCCGGGGGGCCGCGTTTGGCCGCCCCCGGGGCAATGGCGTGGCGCCGGTTTTTGTGTGTGTTTTGTGGGTACCGGGAACGCCCCGGACGGTGTGGCGCGTCGACAATCGGAGGCCCGCCGCATCCTCTCTGTGGATCCTCACCGGCCCCGAGGTGCAGGCTTCGCATTTGGGGCCGTTGCCGTTTTGTCATTCCCCTCGGGAGGGCGCCAGGGTTCCCGGATTTCGGTCTGTGTGTGGTGCCCTCTGCCGCGCGGGGCCCGCGCCCTGACTCCGGGGTCGGGGCGACAGGGGATCGCGCCATTGGTCTGTGTTCTCCATCTTTTCCCGGGGCGGCCGTCCGGTATTCTCCCCCGGGAAGAATCGGCGGGGCCTCGGGAAAAAGGCCCGCTTTTGCTTGCTAAAACACCTCCCGGAAAATTCTAATTTGAAATTCTAAAACGCCGCTAATCTGTTTCGGGCCCAATTCTGGACCCGAAAAATGCCCTGGCTAATTGTTACCTAATTTGTTGCTAATTGATTGCTAATTGGCTGGCTAATTTGCATCGGGTGGGAATTTCGTGTGTGATTTCGCCTATACCTCGGGCATAGGCAAAATCGCACTTGTTTTTTGCGTTGTTCTGCAAATTAGACAGGGCCTGGGGCCTTGGGGTTCTGCAAATTAGACGCAAGTTAGCCCACCAATTAGAACAGGGGGGCAAAGAAATTAGATTGCAAATTAGCAGGGTTTTTTTTGGGGGTCCGCCGGGTCCCGGAGGGCGTTCCGGGAGTTGTTTTAGCCACCAATTGTCCAGCTTTTCTGCCTTTGCCGATTCGCAAATTAGCCGGCTTCGTTGTCTCCTGCTTCGGGTTTCTGTTCTGTGTCCTCCTCGCCCGGGTTCGGCGCAGGCGATGTCCTCCCCATTCCGTTTTTTTGAGTGCTTGGGGGTGGCCAGGTTAGTTGGGCGATGATGCTCGAGGTTGGGGCTCATGTTTTTGTGGTGCCGATCCCATGTCCCGGTCGTCGGGACAGCGTGCGCCAATTTCGCCTCTTGGGCGCAGGCAGACCCACGTCCGGAAGGTGTCCTTGGTTGTGTTTCTTTTGCCGGGCGCGTGTATTGCCATCAACATGCTTCGCCCATCGCTCGGACTTTGGGCGCCTGTCGTTTCAGGTGGGCTCGCCGAGGATCGACCCTTCGCGTTTTTTAGTACTCAAATTAGCCAAGAACCAGAATCCAATTAGAAGAAAAGGGCGCCCGGGCCTGTCTGCCTGAAAGGAGGCTGCTGGTCCCCGGTCCTCGGTCCTCAGTTCCTCGCGAGGTAATACGTGCCGAGACAAGGAGGCAGAAGCACCAGACACATGCGCAGGAGGATGCTGCCCTTCGGTCCTCGGGCCTCGGTTCATCTCGAGGCTAGCAATATAGGGCGGGGCAAGATAGAAGGTAGAGGCACCAGGCACATACCACCTTGCTGGGCGTTTCGCAGTGCGGGGGGAAATATGAGGGCAGGCATTTGCTTGTCGTTTCGCGGAAGATGATGCTCGTTGCTCTCGAGCATGCGCATCATCTCCCGCAGGCCGCAGGCAGATATCTACAGCTGCCGGATCTTACATGGTTCCGTGAAGCCGAAGCAGGCGGCGGAATGGGAATCTTCCGGCTCACCGGAAGAGCCTTCCGGTTCCGATTCCGGTTTTGCCGTCCGAAGTGCTTCTCTTTCATCTTCTAAAGCCGCGAAGCTGCGACTTTGTGTGTGATTTCGCCTACCCGGCAGCTTTAGCGGATTTTTAGAAGCCTCGAAGCTGCCGCGTGGGCGAAAGAATTAGAAGAATTGCAGAGGCGGAATTAGAAAGCAGAACTAAAGGCATTGCTAAAGGATTTCTTAGAGGCCTTCTCAGAGGCCATAGCAGAAATGGACCACCAGGAGGCAGCTACTTGTAGCGCAGCACTGCGCAGCCGCCCTCGGGTTGTTGAAGCGACCACCTCAGCACCGCCCGCATTTGCAAAAGCTGAGGCGGCCACTTCGACCATTGGGGCGGCACGTGCTCCGCTGCATGTTCTCCGCTGCGCGCGGGCACCAGCGCGCGCCGCGAGCTTTTTTTCAGTTTGCGGGCGCGCGTCGCGCGCTTGAAGCGCTTTCTTTTGTTGCATCCGTATGCCAATCCACGCGCGCGCCGCGCGCGCCCAAGCAATATCTGTCGTTCTGCTTCATTCTGTTCCAGCTACACCGCAGAAACCGCGCAGAGACCCAGCTGAGAAAACGCAGCAAGCAAAGCAAATTTTTTCTCGCCGGGGCGGGGAAGTTGTGGCCTGAGATTTTTGAAGCCCGAAAAGGAAACACTGGTCGGGCCCGGATGGGCCCGGCCATCTGTGGATACCTACGGCCCGCCAGACGACCGACCGCGCCTACGTATCGAGAAGGAGGCCAATTAATCGCGCGGCCTCTAAAACAAAAAAATAAAAATGAAAACAAAGTAGGGCACAAAAGTAGGCCAAAAAAGTAGGGCGAAAAAGTAAGACAAAAAACAACAGCAAAAAATAAGAACAAAAAATGAGAACAAAAAGTAAGACACAAACGCAAGCCCAAAACGCAAGAGCGTGAAAGCGCCCCCGAATTAGAGCGCGGCAAAGGTCTCGCACACAAGGGCGACGCCCCGACGGCTTTCGCCCAATTCCGGAAATGCCATGGGTGGGCGGCCGCAACACAACAGAGGACAGCGAAGAGGAAAAGGGGGCGCAGCCAGAAGCGAAAGCCTGCGCCGGAAATGGCCAAGGCCGACCGTAAATTTTTTAGGCTTTGAGTGGGGCCGTCTCCGCAAGGCGCGGCCCAGCAAAAAAAACAAAGCACATGGGCCGGCGCGATTCTGATTAGTGCGATCAGCTTCATGCCCGTAATGGATCAAGATGGTCCCGCCACTTTGAAATGGGCCACCCAAGTCCCGACCCGCGTGCCCTTCCTGATCTTTCAAACCAGGTCGCGGCCGACAAGCAACTGAAAGGCGAGCCGCGGAAAAAAAAAACGAAGGCCGCGCGGGTCGTTTTCATTTGATTGGGGCGGATACCTGCTGGGCGGTGCAGAAATGTATGCTGAAGGCTGACAAACCGGCTGGATTTTGTTCATTTCGCCCGTAACTAATCGGACAGCCCGAAGCCAACCGGTCGGGGGTGGAAGCCGAAGGGGCCGGCGCAGATACTGCCTCGGACCCTTCTCCCAGCGACAACGACGGACAGCAGCCCCCGGAGCCCCGGCCCGTCGCCTCGAAGTTTCGGCGATGACGAAGGCGGCGCAGGCGGCTAGTGATTTCGGTGGGCGGCCACCAATCTGCCAGGTGGCGCGTTTCGTGTTGAAATGCAGGGGGGCGCAAAGAACAACAGCGCGCGCGCGTGGTTCACAGCCTGGCAGATCGCAAGCGAGGCCGGGCGCGCGCTGTGCATCGCTATCTTTGTTCCCGCGTAGTGCACCGCTTCGCCTTCAGAGCCAGGCGAAGGAATCAACGAAAGCCGTAAGACCCTGGCGCCGTATGTGGGCGCGCGCGGGCTCACGTCCGTCGTGTCGCTCGGTTGCCGGTTGTGTGATCAAAAGCAACGGGGGCCGGGGCGCCGTGGCGCTTCAGTTCGCCGCCTGTTCATTTAGTATGTACGGGCGCGCCCGCCAGGGAGGCGAGGAAAAATGGCGGCGCTCGGTCGCCTCCTGTTGCGCCCGGGCTCCCTCCGCGACGTCATTCATTTTCATGTGCGTCACGGCCGCGGCCGCTGGAACAAACAAAGTCCGGGGGCGGGGCCTGTGCGGGGGGAGCGGCGGCCGGCCCGATTGCTTTCGTTCGGCCTCCCTGCTGCCTAGCGCGACACGTATTGTTTGCGCCAACTCAGATATTACCAACCTCGGGAGGAACGGAGGGCCGAGGACCAGAGACCCACACGCCCCCGCCGATGTCCGTAGGCCTTCGACCTGTTTCTGTATGTAAGTGGTGCGCCGCCCCATGAGGGACGGAGGACCGAGAGCCGGAGACGAACAGGCTCCGTCGTAAATGCCTGGCCTTTGTACCATGCTAGCAATCACGCTCGCCGGGTCTGATCGCTCTACAGACTCACTCAGGGCCGAGGACCGGAAAGCAGCAGGCCCCTGCGTGGGGGCTTTCTGCCTTCTTATCTGTCTCGCCAGGCGCCGCCCCGCGATGAACTGCAGACCGAGTGCCGGAGACCAACAGCCCGCGCGCATTTGTGTGAGCTTTCTGCCCTCTTTCTTATCTCGCCAGCTGCTGCCCCGCGATGGACTGAGGGGGGGCCGTGGACCAATTGGCCCCCTTTTTTTTGTGTGGGGGCTTTCTACCTTCTTTCCCCGTCGGATCTTGCCCGGTGATGGACCGAGGGCCGGAGACCAACAAACTCCCTTTGATGTGTGTCGGCCTTCTACCTTCTTGCCTCGCCATCTATTGCCTTGCGATGGACTGGGGACCGAGGACCGGAGACCAGCCGGCCCCCTGTGATGTGTGTGGGTTTTCTGCCTTCTTATCTCGCCAACTACTACCCTGCGAAGGACTGAGGACCGAGGACCGGAGACCAACGAACTCCCTCTGATGTGTGTGGGCTTTCTCCCTTCTTCTCTCGTCGTCTTTCTATTGCCTTGGGATGGACTGAGGCCCGAGGACCGGAGACCAACAAGCCCCATCCTATGTGTGAGCTTTCTCCCTTCTTCTCTCGCTGTCTTCTATTACATCGGGATGGACTGAGGACCGAGGACCGGAGACCAACAAACCCCCTTTCTTGATGTGTGTGCGCTTTCTTCTTTCTTCTCTCGTTGTCTTCTATTACCTTGGGAGGGACTGATGACCGAGGACCGGAGACCAACAAACCCCCGCTGATGTGTGTGAGCTTTCCCCCTTCTTCTGTTGCCTTGGGATGGACTGAGGACCGAGGACCGGAGACCAACAAACCCCCCTTGATCGATGTGTGTGGGCTTTCTCCCTTCTTCTCTCGTTGTCTTCTATTGCCTTGGGATGGACTGAGGACGGAGGACCGGAGACCAACAGACCCCCTCTGATGTGTGTGAGGTGTCTCCTTTTGTGGAAGTTGAGTAGTTGAGTGGTGTCTGTTGTTGCTGCAGTTCTTGCTCAAGTAGAGAAAAAACACAAATCACGATGGTGCTGCACCTATTCCGTACCATGCCAACAACAAGAACTCGGGTGCGGCCTAAAAATAAATGCGCTTTTGCTCTGGTGCCAGTGTTCCTGGTTCTGTATTTTCATTTTCATCTCCAGCACGGAGTGGTGGTCGTGCGCCTGCGCCTCGAAAAACTCCACTCCCATGAACTTGAATAAACGGCCTCCAATTTTTATGTTCATCTGCAGCTCTGCTCTAACAAGTGCGTCGAGCAGAGGACGTTCTTGAAGCTATTTTTCATCACTACAACGCCTCTCTAGTACCGCATAGGAGGTTTGATGCGCCGCCAACGCTCATCTCCACTCAGAAATCGCAGATAAACTGCTCGAAGACACGACAACTAGGAAGTTACAGTGGTCAGCACCACTTCCTCCATCATGTTTCAGTTTCTGTTGCTTGTTCTTTTGCCTCATTGCAAAAATATGAAAAGGAAATTTCGGTCCCGCCCCTGCCTGCCGTGGGATAGGTGCAGCTACCCTACAGCTACACCGAAACGCTTGTTAAAAGTGTTGTAATAAGGAGATCTACCAAACCTGCACGAGATTCTTTTATTTCTTGTGCAGAACATCCTCTAGTAAGTTGTGGGCACTACATCACATTTTTTCACTATAACACTGTAGCAGTTTCGGTCACACAGCTCTACTACAGTCTTCATCATTCATATTCCTCATGCTGGGCTGTGGCTGAATCACAATTTATTGATTCCGAGCTGTAATCTCGGCACCAGGAGAAACAGGATCAAAAAAGCGCAGCAAATGCGCGCTAACGAATAGACGCAGAGCAGGAAAGAGAAGCTCCGCTCTTGGAATGTTTTTATTTCAAAGAAGTCGAGCAAATAGAAGTCTACGTTCCTTGCGACAAAGAGCGCCACAGCGCCGGATCCCTGCAACACCGCAAACTTTGTGGCGACGAAAGCGTCAGTAGAGGAAGGAGATGATTCTTTTGATTTTGGTTTATTTGCTGCACTGTTTTCTTTCGCCACTGCCACCGCGTGCTGCATGAGGAGGTTGCACAGCATGAAACTGCAGCACCGTGCGCATTCGGAAAAGAGTTTCTCAAAAACAGAGAAATACACGTGTACGTGCGTGTAGAAAAACCAGGGAAGTGTGGAAATGAGCAACCAAAGCAGCAGCGCGGTCCGGCATTGCTGCGGCAGACGATATGACGGTGTCCTCGGCTTCGTCAAGGGTTTTGAATTATGTTTATCGTCATGCAGTTCCAGTTGTGTCCCTCGATGCTGGTGTTCCTCGACGTCGTCCTGTCTTCTCAAAACCAGTGTCCGAAAGACCCAGAGCCCGACGATCCACCCAACCGTCCCCAGGTTTCCGCAGATCGACTGCCCCCCGGGCGTCATATCCAGGACGTGCTTTCGAAAAAGAAAAAAATCCGCGTCCGGACAGACGAGAACTAGACTGGTGATCGCCCCGGCAAGAAGGGGGTTGTTGTTCAGGCTCTTCTTCTTGGCCGTCGAATTTTCTATAGACGATGACCCAGAAGATCCTGGCCGCAGGCTTCTATAACAATTTTTGTCTGGTTCTACTACTACTTCTTCTTCTTCTTCTTCTTCTTTTTCCCCTGCGTCGCCAAGTGGCGCCACCACGACAGCTTCAGCATTTGCTTTGTTTGTGCGTGCGGGTTTCAACATCGTGTTTTCGTTTTCATAATCCGTCGCAGCGACCACAGCACTGGCAGGACTTCTGAGAATGCCGGCAAGGGCAGTATTTTCTGGCTCTATTATTTTATCACCTTCGTCGCAGATTTTATTCACATTTTCCTTTCTGGTTGTTTGTTCAAGATGCACATCAACTTCGTCTTGCTCTTCATCCTGCACGACCAGAAGCTCCTGCTCCCAGGGACGTCCGACAAACACCGCGAGACTTACCGCCAAGGCGAGCCAGCAGGTGCCCAGAATGGAGTAGACGGCTTGGTACTTGGTTCTACTGTCGGTGGGGTCGTGAGTAGGCTGCATTGAAAGAGTGGTGCCTTCTGAAGGTCCTGCTATTGAACCTTCCTCGGTGATTGTGGTACCAGTACCACTAGTAGCTGCACTACTACTTCCTCCATCGTGCGGGTTTTGGTTGTAAAGTCGTACCATCAGGTCCAAACCGCTCCAAAACACATCTCCATTCGCAACTGCCGTCGCGAGCAGCGCCCCAAGCACCCGGCCCCATTCGCAGAACAACGAGTATTCGCTGTTCTTCCGCTTAGCGGTCAGTCGGCAACATTGCCCGTCGATGAGGCCGTCGAGGCAGGTGAACGGGATCGACGACACCGCGACACAGACGAAGAACCAGTTCGTGTGGGCCGTAAACTCAAATAAACTGAGCAAAATCCAGCCGAGCCCAATCACAGAAGTGAGAAAAAACACACTGTACCCGTAGCGGGTCAGGTAGCAGCGAGCATAAAATTGATTCTTCGCTTTGTAATCTTGATCTTCAGGAGCGGGTGGTAGCTTCAGATGGCCTGGCGTTCTTCTAGATAAAGACGACACAGTCATGTGCTTTTTGTCAGGTCTGAAGATCCCGAGCCCGCGCTCTGCCAGCAAGCAGAAGAAGGGTCGCAGCAGCCACACCGCCGAACCAATGCCGGGAAGCACCGAGTTGAGCCGGCTGAGGTCTGCGTACGCGTTGCTGGTCCCATCACTAGCCGCGTTCTTGACTGCATTCTCGGACGACTCGTCGCTGCCTCGAACTGTCCCGTGTAAAAACGTCCCGACCGCCACAACTACTACGGATTTGTCATGCAAATCAATATCACCATGCTCAGATGAATGTGTGTCATGTGCAGCCGAATGAGCAGTGTTTTCAATCATTCACCATCGTCCTAAAATTTCGAAATTGCTCAACATGCTCCAAGTGCACATCATTTTACCCATGGTAATAATTAGGGGGCAAGGCTATCATTTTATGATGCGGCCACACTAGCTTAAAACTACCCCGGAGATGGCCACTTCTACACTACGTACTATTCACGCTTGTTATGCGTGGTTTTTAGCACCAAAACTTCTGGATTTGTCTAGGAGACCAGATTATGGGGTGGGGCAATCGCAATCGCATTTTTTACTCGCGATAATACCAACAGAATGAACGACAGGAGCATCGGTTCCGGTTGTACTCCAGTCTGTCACCTGCGAGCGCAAGTAGAGTAGCCCGGTCCGCTGCAAGCCCTGTGCGAAGTAGATGCTAAAAAAGTAAACCCCGTCCACGTCGCCCAGCGCAGGGTAGGGGAAGAAGGGAAAAGTAGTTGCGCAGCTGTTCTTGGTTGGAGTGGCTGCACTGGTTGGAGCGGTGCCACTTCTGGTATAACTGCTGCCACTGCTGCTGGGCATAATGAAGGCGAGTTCGGATTCGATTCTATATTTGTGCCCGACCAGTTCGCATGATCACTGCTTCGCGATGCAAGAGATCTTCTGCTTCGAAGTAGTTCCCCGGAACTGATCCTGGACGGGTCCTCTGAGTCGGCGTCGGGCGAATGCGGACCTCCGAGTCAACTACACGAACGTTATGTTTTTCTGATCCATTGGACCGAGAAAGGACTCGCAACTACAGGACGGTGAAAACAAGATACTAGAGTGCCTGTTGTGTTCTTTGTGTCTCACTCAATACGCAGCTGCGCGTCAAGAAACCTACTACTTCTCGATCATACTACATGGCAACCAGGACAGGCAACCTGCTCTCGCTGGAGACTCACACAACAAGTCAGAATCTCACTGAAGATGTAGATGTCATACTCAATCCGTTGAGAGACCTTTCTCGAGAAGCTATTTTTACGTGGAGGTGGACACAATAGACACTCCGCTATTTTTCGGGGCGAGAAACGATACTCCAGTAGCGAGTGCAAGCCGCAGCACCGAGGTAATTTCATACTTCGGCTCGTAGCAGAAGTAGACTTTTTTCTTCCGATATCCTTGTTTCCAAAAAGATGTACAGGCTCGTTGTTATTCTTGGATTCAATTTCATCATTTCTTTTCATCTTCATCACTTCGACGCTCTTTATTTTCATAGTTTTGTACAGTGTCATTGAAGATTTATTTCAACGTCGTCAGTTGTCAGTCTCTATATGTACAAGGCGTTCTTTGGAATGAACTTCTTTTAATTTTAGTACAGCGACCCGGCCGCCGCAGTCCCTACCGTCATCGCAACATCTTCTTCTCCTTTGTATACACATTATGATGCGCGATGAGGATGAGCACGACCCCTGTATTAAGCAATTGAAAAATTGACATTTTGCTAGCAAGAAGTTTTACGAATAAATATTTTGATTTTTTATCGGACTTGGCCCTGGCCCTCCACCACGGCGCAGAAGCCAGCTTTCGTGATTATATGGTACATTTCCAAACGGTAGCTCTCAGATTCTCGGCGGCGATTTATTCGTAGGGTACTTATACTCGACGTCCTGTTGGAAAGTAGGTATCTACAGAAGGCAAGTTTTAATTTTGGTTGATGTCATGCTCATCAACATTATGTGCCACATCGCGTAAAAGATACAGTCAGAGAAAAGCGATTGTAGGAAGTAGTTCTTGGGAAAACCAAACTAGAGCGAAAAAAGCGACAGCATTTGTAGTACCCGGCGGTCTCACCGGTTCTCTTCTTTCGACGTTCTTTTGTTCTCATTGCTGTTCTTCTCTCTTGCTTTCTTCGAAATAGGCAGTTTTCGAAAATGAAAATTTCGTCCTAGAAAAAGCACACGAGGAGGAGCACCCCGGGCACTTATATATCCTAGTCTTCATCGTCTATCGTCTTTAGATTTTCGTCAAATGTTTGTCAACCACAGGAGCACAGAAATGATTATATTTAATTTTTTTTGAAACTACACGTGCAATTTATACAAGGTAAAAGATCTACTCAGTGCCTTACTTAGTGACCGTAGTGGAGCACGAATGCTAAAGCTGTTCCTGTTTGTTACATCATGCGCGATCATTTTGGTTTGCAAAGTAAAAGGTCAAGAAGATTGTGCGCCTCCAGCTGTAGGCAGTAATTCATTTTTCTTTATTATCGTCGAATACAAAATTTCAAAAGCTTGGAAAAATGCGGAAGACGTTCTCCTCTGTGTCCTGCTACGCTTTCGTAATCCTGCTGAGCAGAGCAGGTTCTCCTTTAGTTGCGTTTAGGACCAGCAGCAAAGCAACGCCAACGTCTCGAGCCATTCTTGTGAGAATTCAAAAATTTGTGAAAGTGCGAAGATTACATTACGTTGTCCGTGCGGTGGACACCATAAATACATCATAACGCAGCTATATGAACGTGCTCTGCAGCACGATCAAGAATGGGGGTTCTTGGTTAGCCTTAGCGACACACAAAGCAAGCTCTTTCGGATGCAAACATTCATGAACCACACTGCGGGAGCGGGCTCTGCTTCCGTTTCTACAAATTTACGAAAATAGTTTCTGTTAATCTTGATCTGAGGGTAAATTTTTCAGTATGTTTTTTCAGGATACTTGGTACAAGTAGTTCGGAGGAGGTGCGTCATAATTTACGTTCGTCAACTCGAAATCGAATACAAAAGGAAAGATCTCAGGCATAAGTGTTTAAAATAATCTCGTGGTTCGTACAAGGAAAAGCTGTTCTGATGCCATCAGATATGGCGTTGATAAAGCGAGAAATGGCACTGCTATTCATCTGTAGAAATCAGTGAAACAAACTCAGACTGTAATATTTTGAAGATAAAGATAAAGTTAAAGTTGTCAACAGAAAAAGATAATAAATTGAAATTAGAAGTGGATAGGTCGTAATTTAATTATTATAAGTTTGTAGACCAAGATATGAAATCCGTTAGGATCATAAGGCAAAACACTCCACCGACCTAAATCGAGTGCTCATTCATGCAAATCACGATGTAAATTCTGGAATCACGATGAAGATCAAGACGTACGAATTTGAATCACGATGGTAGTCAAAAATTTGTGATGATCGAGACCACAAAATCTCGATCTGATATAGAGCCTGTTTTAGACCGTGAGACATGAAAACTTGTGTGTGTTTGTGAACCCCTAAATTTTCCCTACAGGCTTTGACGCTAGTACAAATTGACTATTGATTGCGACTAAGAAACCTCGAATCTCACCTAGATTCTACTTGACATCCAAGATGGCCAGTGTTCACACCGCCCGCGTTTCTTCGTCGTTGATTGTAGTAACCGCCTAGGTTCTAACAAAGTTCAAATTGTAAAAGTTAGTTGTCATCTAAGATGGATCCGCGATGCACTGCACGACTTCACTCGCATTCGGGTTCTGGTTGCGGTTCGCCAAGATATAGACAGCAAATAATATTTTGTCTGAGAACTTAATGCAGCACGTGCAAAAAAGGTATTTCTGTATTTTGCAGAGTCGTCACAGAATCCGCATGATATTCTTTGTTCGCAGCCGCCGCTGACGAGTCGGCAGCTGCAACGATAAAACCATATTTCAATTTCTCTCTTGATGCACAAAACTTGATGCAACATTGATAAACCCAGACATAATATATTTGCAATCGATACATCCGCCCGCGCGACTGGCTGTTGCCCCACCACGGGAGCCGGATTTTGGTGCTGCGGGTTCCCGTAGGCTGCGTGCGTGTGCATCGGAGCTGCAGAAGCAGCAGCTCCACCACCACCGATGGCTCCTGCTGCCAGTTATGCATATGCAAAACAAGTACTTAATATCGCCAAAGAACTAGTGTAGGAAAAATTATCGGATGACAAATTTATCTCAGAGGAAAAATTCAATTCCCTTTGTTATGCAGATCCAGGTTGATAAACAAGCAGATCTACCAGATTTTGATTGATTAATGTAGCTACGCCCCCTGACGTACCTCGGTAGCCGATCGCTCTACCAGCCGGAGGTGCTAATCCAGCTCACATTTGATGACAATACTATGGTGCATAATCCAGATCACATTCACAAAAAATTGCAGTTTTGCACAAACCATGTTTGTTTGTAAGACTGCAATTTTTAAACAAGTACGAGTGCGATAGTACTTTTGCATTGCATACCGCTGCACCTGGAGCAATCCCTCCAGCCGTTGACGGATGCAAAGGGGGCGGCGCAGTTTCAGATACTATGAGAGTGCACAAGAACTCCTCCTCCTCGCCCTCGTTTGTCATGCAATACCACATCAACAACTCTACGACAGGCCCCTTTTGGTTTTGAGTACTCCGCTGCATGACAAGTTGCAGATGCAGCGACCCAAGCTGCACTACAGTCCCCACATGAAATAATTGTAACGCTACGCCTTTGCTGTTTTCCGTGATCATGCTGCTCATGCCCTTCAAACTATGAGGCGGGGAGCTCGGAGCTATGCATTCTCGTATCAGGTGTAGTGGTCACCGAAGCAGTGCTAGTGATAGAGCCGGAACTTTGACTAGACAAGGGACAAGCGGCTCTACTAGTACTTGCTGTACTAGGACAACTCGTCCTGCTAGAAGACCCTGCGCCACCGGTTCTTGTTGCAGAGCTAGTGTGTGTTTGTGTGTTTGCAGCATCACAGACGCCGTTGATCGTCGCACCTGCCGAGGAAGAACTTGTACTACCAGAAGGAGTGACACCAGCAGGAGGACCCCGACCCCGAGTAGTTCCTCCCGCCATGATGCAGTTGGAATTACTGCGAACAAGTGCTTCATCCTGGACCTCCGATGAGGTAGACTGATCTCCTGTTCTTCCCGGCTGGCCCGCGATCGCAGCTGTAGGAACCTCGCCCGAGTTGAAGATGGCTGTTGCATCAGGACTAGCAACTCGTCTTCTAGGAGATGGGCCAGGTGATGATGAGATCCTCCTTGTCCTCCTCGTCCCCGTTGTGGGCGTGCCTTCTTGATGCACCGTTGTTCCACCCACGGCGGCCCTTCCCGCGGGGGCGCACGTGGTCGCGCCGTCGCAAATTGCCACAGAAGGCGAGGAAGGCCTCCTGCGCGCCCTCGTCCTCCCGCCACTGCTTCTATTCGCGTTGGCTCCTTCTACACGACGAGACGACGCCGCAGGTCGTGCGTCGCGGGGATAAGGACAACTTCCAGGTCGTGGAGCTCCTGCCGCTGCAGCGGGCGCTATGCTGTTGCTAGTACCGCCTGGCAGTGTAGTTGCAGACGAAGTTGAAGAACCGCTCCCCAACATCGATCCCCGCAGCGGCTGCGCAAGAAGAGCCGCGTAGTCGTGGTGGTGGTGGTCCTCGTCATCGTATAAAAATTCCGCCTCGGAGGGGTAAGAGTCTGGAGTCCTGGCGCTACTTTCTGCTTCTCCGCCCGTGCTTGTAGAAGACGAGGATGCTGAGGAGGTGGAGGAGAAGAAAGTAGTACTCGGAGCAGAAGATAGTGACGACCATGGGGTCGTGGACCAAGAAGATCTACTTCTGCTATTTGAGTTGTAATTTGCTATCCAGCGGCTCCAGAAGTAGTCGTGTTTTATCTCGTCTTGTTCAGCAGCAGCAGCGTCGTGGCCCCTAGCACTGGAACTGTCTGCGCGGCCCGTTTGATCTACTGCGTGCAGCAGACCACCATGCGCATGCGGGTCGTCCGCGACGAAAGAGACAGCAGCTGCAGGAGGAGGGCGGTCGTCCTGCAGTTGGCCGGCGCTTCTTTGATGTTGCCCCTGCTGCTCTCCGGC